CCTGATGGATGAATCTGGCCCAATTTGGTGAAAAACACTGCCCGATTAGTAATTTTGAAGATCGCTCGAGTGTTGAATGTGGCGATGAGGTTAATCTGGACCTTTCACCCATAGTAACACCAAAACTGTATCGAATTCCCCATTCTTGGAAGCGAGGAGATCGCCAAAATAGGTAATCGCCGGGGACATTGCAGTTAGTCAAGCTAAAGAATAGGCGAACTTACGCTTGGGCGATTGCAGAAGTACTAACATCCTCGTGGAATCTCCGCTTCAAATCCATCTTTTCGTTGCACTATCATGTTTCAAAAATGGTGGGAGCCAATACGTTTGATCCGATTAAAATTTGACGGAAAATGAGGAGAAACAACGAATAATATTGTCATAATTTCTTGTCAAATCAAATCTGTACAGACGATGGGGCGCTTGAAATGTCTTTCCAACTACAAGCTACTATGTAAGTTGGACTGGCGCAATCGATGAGAATATGGCGGTGTCAAATTTCTCGGCCAAATTTAAGGTTACCTGCGCGGTCCGTTCTTGAACACGAAAACGGTTCCCCTCAAGCACCCGACGGAGGCGATCATGCCGAAGTGGAAGGGCACATGTTGGCACAATCCAACCTCAATCGGAAAGTATTTTTGTCCGTAACAGTCTCGGTATAACATTCAAGAAATAGAGTTTGGTGTTTTTCTGACCCCCCAAAGCTTCTTTTCTGTCCCGCCTTGTTGTATTTATTGTTTCGTCTGCGTTGTACCGAATTCGTTGAGGACTGATTGCCTTGGAGTTTTTAAATCTTACTGATTCTAATTGGTCTAAAAAGATGTACGGTGTCTGGTGTCAGTAGGATGTAAGAGTTGATCAAACCTATGCTTTTTGTCTGTTTCAGAATGAGACAAACTCTGGTGCTCTTGTCCTGATATTCCTGTCCCGTTAACATGCGATGGTACTACCCACTGGCAAGTTGACCACATGTTTGTGGCTGGTTTTTGGCCAATGGAAGAGAGCGGTTGGCGATGCTGTGCCGTTGTCTTAGTTCTGTTGTAACCCAAGCATGTCGACATCCAGCTCTTCCGAAGAACAATGTTATTTGTGATGATTGTCGTGGGTAAATATCATGAGTTTCAGATCCTCAAGTTGATATCATAAAATGCCGCACCATCTGCGTGTTTCAAATTTGATACGTGGAAAGATATGATTATTCAACCCTGTCATGACTTCATTGTCGTCGAGACGTTTATTCTCAGTAAGGATGTCTTCCTTGTAAAAGATTTCCAGATCGGTTGTCCAATCTCGGGTGAAAAAAACGTGCATGAAGCCTTTCTCAGCAGTGAGAAGACCCAATAAGGCGTGTCTGCAATCAGTCGTTGGCCACGCGCGAACTGACGCGAAGTAACCCCCACCACCTGGCATCAGGTCTAGCCATTATTGGAAAATGATGCTGAACAAACACTGCCTTCAAAACCTTAAGAATATTTGCCTGTTGGTTTGTATGTAAGTTACCGGCGGTAAGAATTAAACCTAGCATCTTCCCGAATAAGAATGGTCAAACACGCATTCATCACAGGGCGGACGAAGGTGCAGGCTTTGGCTGGCAACGTGCATGAAATCGCTTCAATGCCCAATATAACTGGTGCAAGGAGGGAGCTTTATCGGGGAGGATGCAGAAGTACTTCGCGCTAGACAACTAGTGCATGAGTCAAGGGCTCCGCACGACCCGCATTACTCCCCTATTAAAACGCCCAGAATCGCGGTTGACCCTTGGTTTGATCTCATCCCCCCCTTCCGGCTGACTGGGATTTTCCCCACCTTCTCCAGGATGGTGGCCTAATTGGGTTTAATCTCTTAACTGCTGCAGGGATTACTAGTGAAATAATCATCTTTTTGTGCCACTCACCGGGGTGTGGTGAGCGTTTGAGCCTGGCAGTCAACCTTATCATTTCATTCAAGTCGATCCCTCCAATTTTTTCTTCTCCATCACAGCATGAACCTCTAGGACAGCTGGCACCCTTGACCCAGCTAACGACTTTCAGGTTAACTTGCTTCAACGTGAGACCCTCTGGAGGAGGATTGCTGTTGATTGAGTTCCGGCCTTGCATCCTTAACTCGTGGGAGTAGTTGTACCATCGCGTCTGATAGGCGAAGGTAAGTTTGACCAGGCCGATCATTTTTTCTGGAAAGGCAAAGCCGCAGACGCACATTCAGCAAAGATCATTGTTGTGACGTCGAGAAATCTTTTGCTGGAAGAATGACCTCCACATTCACGTGTAGCGCCAGCTGAAACTGTCTTTGATTGATTGATTCCCTCACTGGTTACTCTCGCCAGCCGTTGGTGGCTGCAAATGTTTCACTGGAGCATAGGATCGACGCTCATCAAAGTTGGTTACCCCATATTTTTTGGCTGTGAGCCTGTGACTTGGCCGTGAGCTTGAGAATTGAAAGCCAATAGTCTAATAATAGCGGAAGTCTAACATCTAACTTGTGTCGTCGTCTCAAGGAACTTTTGAGGCTCTCCTTCAATTTTTAACCTTTTAAGACTTAGCCAACTCCAGGCTAGTCAAAACTTTAAATGTGTGCTGACAAAGCGTGCGAAAGCTGCAGAGATCTCTGAGACCAAAAATTTCTGGCAACATGGGAAGAGGATGGGTTGCGATTGTGAACTGGGAATTGGAAATTATGGGTATAGATCCAGGCAGAGCTTTGGAAAATCCCTGGTATCAATCAATACCTCTCCTATCGCTCTCTGATCAATGTACGGAGTAGCAGTAGTTCGTACCAGATCATCTGCATTGTGCTGGTAGTTCAATCATGCGTGGTCCCAGTCCATTTTGTCTGCAAGGGCTGTGCAATCCTGGACTCGCAGGTACAGCAGTTCCTCGTACAACCATTGTTGGATTGGTCCACCAATTCAGACATGGACATTCTGTAGCTGATGCCAGGTTCTGGATGTCTGTAATTCATAGTTCAAACGTGGTGTTTGACAGGACAATGCTTGCAGGCTGCATGGGGGATGCACATGGTTGGCAGCGTTAGTATCGCGGCTGGATCACCTCAAACAATCCGACAATATTTTCGTCGCTAATGCCGCTGACTTTGTTGTACACAGTCAGCGCATTCGAAATGCGTTCTGGATGGATTTCGTGCTAAAACACAGCCGAAGATTAGACTGACCATGCTACAACGTTTAGTTGGCTTGACGACGTCTTATGCTTTCTTTTTCCTGTTTATACTGGATAAAATTTTGGAGCTATCACTGGCCTCCAAGCCACATTGTGTTTGACCAAAAGAAAACGCAACTTCGGTTCGAAGAGATCGGTGCCGGAGGACAACGACCTCCGCCCCAATCCTTGGCATCAGAGTCGGAAATCCTCCAGAATTTGTCCAACTGGGAATTTGTCCAACTGGGCCGCAGGCACTCCATTCTCACTGGAACAGAAACACGCAAACCCCCTATCATCCGCCGGTCCGTGGAGGCCCGATTTGGGTGGATTAATCATGAAGAATATCACAGGGCTGCTGTTGAACGAAGATAATTGCTTGGCTTCTTCCAGGTGTTTCCAGGCGAGGTCGAGCTAACCATCCATTTAGAGCCGCCTTTTCATATGGTCTGACTCGAGAGAGCCTGGTAGCGATCTCCACAAGAGCGATCTCACGATCGCAAAGCAAATGATGTCAAGGCACCAGGAGAGACACCAGTGAGTATGGGAGTCTCAAGAAACTGTGCAACCTCGGATCGGCATAAAATAACAATATTCACAAGAATAGCGTGGACATGGGATCGGCTTGGCTGCTGGAACGAACCTCATCCGCGGGAGCGAAATTGACCAGGGCAAAAAATATCATGGGTGGCTGGATGATGCATCGATTTGCCGGATCCAGTCTGCCTGAGAATCGCCCATGCTGTCTTGATACAAGCTCGTGGCAGTTCCAGCGACGGCTTCCGCTGGCCTTGTTGCTGGATACATCGCCAACCGCAGCAGGATAGGCCGATGGAGTCATCTGCAAGAACACAACTGCATCTGAAGACGCTACCACAAAATACCAAGTTTCATGTCGCTTTTTGCCCAGCATATGCCTAAAATAATAAGGCGGCAAAATTACCATTAGGCTTTGTTCAAACTTCCTTAAACTGAGCCTCCGCAAGGCCCCAGCTTGGAACCCACCAACTTAGCTTCTACAGCCGAACCCGGGGCCTTGATTAAGAATACAGCCCGAAAGGCTGTCAAGGAAAAGTAACTCATTATTTTCTCTACTATCTTAGGCCTAGGCTGACTTGCATTTTGGCTTTACCCAGAACAAAGGGGCGACCATACTTGGGCACTCTGATTGATTGGATTCAATCCTTGCCCTGGCAATCAGGCGCTGCAATACGGTCCATTTATTATTCGATTATTCTCTGATGATAAATTGCTTTTTCTTCTTTTTCTTTTCTTTTTTTTTTTTTTTTTTATTTCATTTCATTTCTTGCCTTATCTTCTTTTGACCTCCCGGTTTGGTTTTTGAAATGCCATTTGTTTTGGTCATGCTCTCTTTTGCCCTAACCTGTCAACCTCCACTGTCTCTATCATCCGCAGGAGAGAGCACAACTCTCCCCCCTTGTCCCCTCCTACCTTCTCGTAACCCCACTTTCCAGTTTATCGCTTTGCTCTAATTTATCTACTTTCGATTTGGCGAAGCGTCTTGGCACTTTGCTTGAATCCAGGTAACCCACCTCTTTGCATTAGTTGACTGGGTATGCACATCTCGTGTTGCGGTTCAAGAAGAAAATAAGTTATATACTTCAACTCTCCCTCCAAGCTCAGAACCAAGAAACGTTTTCTCGTTCCTGCTGATCATATTTCTCCTCGAACTTTTTCGTTGGCCAATATACGAAGTGATAGTCTAGTTTTATTTATTTCTTTTTACTTTTGTTGTTTAATCATTAGTATCACTTGCGTTTCAAGAAACGCAGCAATCTTCATTTCCTTTGCCAACCCCAAGAATCAACTTGAGCATTTTCGAAGATGGCTGGACCTGGAGGTGGGCCACCACGCAAGAGTCATACGAAGTCTCGGAAGGGCTGCAAGACCTGCAAGAGACGACATATTCGATGCGATGAAACCACTCCTCAATGGTAGGTGTTCCTACGGCAAATAGATTGGGAATGGGAGATACGGCATCAATAAACTAACGCTGTTTGGGTAGTCGGAATTGTACAAAACATAATTGTCGCTGTGATTACATGGATAATGTGATCCCCCAAGAGCAAGCAGTGGCACCGAGGACGGGACCGCATCTACTCATGTCTCCCCAGATTGATATCGAAATTAATGCATGGTTGAAGACTGGCAACCCTCCATTCCCTGAACTACAGCTGAGTTCAAGAGAATATTGGTTTAAGTTTTCGCGTACTGATTTGCGTCTTATTCACCACATCGCTGGGCTTTCAATTGATCTACATCGGCGAGGCTACAGTGATTGTACAGTCTGGGCTCAGAAAATGCCCATGTGAGTTGAATAACGTTCATTCATTTGACTAATGACATGAGTCATATTAACACTCTGGATATCAGATTTTTGGCTATTGCGTTGTCAAATGAGTTTGTCATGAGTGCGATTCTGGCGCTCTCAGCTTCTCATCTGGCCTGGATGACCCAGAACCCCGAAACCGAAAATCTTGCTTATCACCATAGAGGGGTGGCTTTGGGAGGTCTCCAGGAAGCAATCGGTGCTTTTTCTCGAGAAAACTCAGATGCCATATTAGCAGCATCGATGCTTCTATCTTGGCAAGCTACCGAATGGCAAGTACAGACTTCGATTGACTGACTTCGAACATAGACTAACCATCATGTTTGAATAGGAGGAGCTGGGCCTCGCTTCAACAGGGTGTCTCAACTGTAAGGAGTATACCATTTTCTTCTTTGGTGATGTTTTGGTTTTCGGTTGGATCTGACTCCACGTATAGGTTCTTAACTCGATGCAACCGTGGTGGAAGGAGGAGTCAGAATTGGCAAGATTTATGGATTCCCAGAGAGCCTTTCGAAGTGCGAGAACGCCCCTAACATCCAGTTATCCTGGATCGATTGGCCAATTCCAAGACGAAGATCTTATGAGGTTAGATCGTGTCCTAAGTAGTCTGTTGAACATCCAGCAGCGACTTTCCCACAATCAAGAACACCATCAAAGAGTTACCGATTTATTGCACTTTGTTCAGCAATTGCGAAATGATATGCCTGTGCAGTCACCAGATCGAGCTTTCGAAAGGCTTCAACCGCTACGAACCTGGCTCTTCTGGCTTCCCCCAGCAATGCTAAGAGGTGGGGAAACCGATCTCGGTGCACTCTCTGTGCTCTCACAATTTTTTGGGGTAGCATTGGCTCTAGAACCTATTTTCCCTGAAATCGGAGGTTCCTACCTCGGTACCATGGCTTTCCTTCCAATAGAAGACATTCGAAGAATTCTGCAAACGAGGAAAGCCTCTCAACCTTTTGCTCCCGAAATTCAGCTGGCTCTAAGCTTAATGGAACTGCCCTGCGATATTGTTGCGGAATATAGGAGCCGGATTCATTTTTCCCCGAGAAACTCATTCGACGCCTACTCACCCGGGCCACACAGTCCATATCCTGGGCCACCGAATCTTCATCTGTCATCCACGTCTCCATCGACAAGCTCTGGCTATTCAGCTTACACTACATCTCCACTACACTCTCCACTCACTCCTGCGATCGTTGCTTCTCCCTACCAAATGCCAGCAATCATTACCTCCCGGCGACCATCTCAAGTTTACACCACGTCGCCAACCCTCCATCCTGACCACACAGATGATCGGGTTGGAGGCGACTATAAGCACAATCCACAATCTCAATCGCCAATTTTCAATCCTGCGTACTTAGGAAACCTAATAAATGGCTCACCGGTCATGGGGCCAGAATTTAATGAGTCTCCTACTCTCAGCGTGTCAGGAGGGTTGGTCATTCCCGAACTCTGCTGGACTTGATCTTAGATCCATCATACCTCCTCCATCTTGCACACGGCCCAGCTATCACTACTGCTCCTTCACAACACAAATCCCAAAGCTAAGAATCACATTAAACCAATTCATACACACAAAACATGGCAGAATCATGCGGCTGAGTCTTTTTTTATTTCCATTTTATGGAAATCCAGGGACCCATCCGCATCACGCCGTGGCTCTTACGCGAAGCCTTACTAGCACGCACCCTCAACTCGCTTCAACTCCCGATACCCCGAAAAATCTATTGACACATGCAAGATATGATTTTTTCTTTTTTTTTTTTTCCGTTACCACTCGTCGATGTACGACATAATAGCTAACGCCTGTGCCTTGGTGGATTTAAAATAACTTTCGAGTTTTGGTGAAGATTGATGGATAATTTTCCATATATGACGACGTTTTAGACGGACATAACGAATTGGGCTGTTTTCCCTTTCTTTTCTTTTCCCGTTGACTTTCTCCCAACAGTTATATCTCTTTCTGGGGCATTTTTATTTGATAAGGATATTTGTCCTTTTCTCATACCCGCATGTTACAACCACTTTTGTGATGGAGGGCACTCAACAACAATAACGGAAGCGAAATTACTGGATTTTTATTTTACTTTTTATTTATGATTATTTTTTTTTTACTACAAACCATTTCTGTCCCCTACCAGTCAAATTAGGACTTCTTTGCATGAAAAGCAAAATATATATAACTTTATGTCGTCCTCGCATATCAACTATTTTGGGAATTCGGATTATACTTTCTGCTCGTATGTATCTCTCAGGGTACAATGCCTTCGCATTGTGGTGCGTTCTGTGTAGTTCAATCTTCAACCCTGGCCGTTTCACGGAGATCACCGTGCGCAAAAGGAAATTGAAAAGGAAAATTGCAATGCGCAGCAGCTTCTGAAACAAAATTTGAACCTGTCATAAGCTTCTTCAACATTTTCTCACGTTTCAAGCTGTTGGTTGATCCGTAGCAAGGAACATTTTTTTAGCGGTTTGGCTGACATCCCTCGGCAAGTAAACGAATTGCAGGGAACGGCTGCTCCGTCTCGTTTGCGCATGCAGGGTTATATCATTGGTCGAGCGATTGAGAAGATTTGGCTGGTAGTAGAAAGTGCTTGTCAGCAGTGGGGGGAATGTACTGTACCTTGCTTGCTTGCTATCCGTTGCCAGCAACTTTCCGGAGGGGAAACGAAACAGAGCTTGGGGTATTGGGTCAGGGACAGCGCCGTTCCTCGGGACGCGTCTAGCGATGCCTGTTATTTGACCGTTGCTGCCAAAATCATCCGTGGGGCTTGGAGCCTTGACGGATACGAGATGAGCAATGGGCCTAGTGTTTGTCCAGCAGCCAACGGCGAGCTGAGGCGACAGCTTTCGAATCTGCGGTTGACGATGCAAAGCTGTCGAATTTGGCGATCGAAGAAATAAAGACCAAGCTCAGCCTCCTTTTGATATTGATGTGCTGCGGAGATGGTTTACCTTGGAAATTGAGATCCTGTCGCCAGAACAAGCTCGGGGAGTTTGTTGGTTGAACTAGAGTAAAATTTAGGTTGCAGCCGTACATTGCTATTTTTGGCGCGAGGCAGACTGCGGCTCCAGGTCGCGAGGCGAACTGCCAGAACATCCACCGTCTCTGCGGGATCAACCATCGATCCAGATCCTCTGCCCTTGCAATCTCCAAACGAGATATCTGTGACGAAATTGAGAGCTGTGCGGGGCTATGGCCTGTGCGTTCTGAGCAACCTCCCAGCAAGCTATTCTTGCGACATGCGGGCACTTGCTTTGTGGCTGTGTGAGAACCAGCTCGAACTGATCGCAAACACAAGACGCGTGCCGGACGGACACTTTTGGCATATATCTGCTCCCCATGCCATTGGGCCGTACTGGGCGATTGAAACGTCCCTGTATTGTCTCCACCTGGGCCAATTTGCTGGGTAAGTTGCTTGTTGTCGTGACGCGATAATGAGCATTGGATGGAGCAAGGATTGCTGTCATCCGTCAGCATCGTGACAGCCCCCGGCGAGAACGCAACTAAGACGAAAGGAATCGTACTTTTTCGCGAGTACAGTTGGTATCGGCTTGAGAGAACAGTTATGCCGATGAATTTGGTCATTTTAGGCGAGGCATCTGGGAGCAGCGAGGAGGATAGCCTATGCATTTTGGAACCAAACGCAATTTCCTCTTTCGCACCGGCTGAATTGAATTTCACAGGGCAGTGCTGAAGCTCGGGGATCGTTACGATACTGGCCTCTTTTCGCATGGTCATCGAAAAAATGGGATTTGGAGGCGTGGCATTCGATCACTCGTGGTTGTCCAGGGGGTCGAGCTGTCGGGACCGAACATGTCCGATGTTGGACCCATCCTGGAATTTACAAAGTCTTAGATGCTTACCTAGGTACTGTACATACAATAACGATCTGGGTTCATTGGCTGCATGGCTAACTACCGAGGTGATCACTGCCAAGTAAGCATGACAATTGTTAATGATGGTCCAGCTGGTTATGATTTTCAACATCTTCAATGTCAATGTCAACTCTCGATTCCGTTGAGTTGAGTGGGCTGAGTGAGAGTGCCAGTACCCAGTTTCGTAGTTTGGATTCGAATAATTCTTAAAAAAAAGGATATAAACAGATACCATCCCACTCCCGATTGACCATCAAACGGCAGGCAAATTCATGTTCCTAACAAGCTCGTTTGTTATTGTTAGGGAGGGACTTGTACAGTACATCCCAACCGCTGCCCCGAAGGCTAAATGGGCCTGAGAATAAGATATACACTGCTAAGGGGGTTTGGATGAACAAAGCTCTTTCAGAAGGATGCCGGATTTGCTGATCCTGATCCTGAATCCGAGCACTTTTAACAGATAACTAATCGATGCTGAGTTTCTTTTGAAGCCCAGCCCGCGATGGCTGTCAGTTGAAGCCTGTTGAAGCTCGTACAATCGAAAACATCATCAGTGCCATGATAAAGTTGAATAACTCCACCATCACTTGAATGTCGCAACCCGTCCAGTTACAATCCGGGCCGTAGATTATATTGTAAAGCTCTTGCTGATAATGTAAATGCAATTCATACCCACCGACTCCAGGCACTGGTGCGACGTTTCTTCCCCGATTTACAGGATTCCTCACGTTATGGAATATCGGAAAAGTGAAATGATTATGACACAGTAATTGCAGGCTACCCAGGCTGAGAATCCTCGAGTTTTTGCTTGTAAACTGGAGGTTTAATTCCTTTTGATTCATTTATCTTTGCTTTTAACTTTTGTTCAGCACAACGGAGAGAATGAAATTTATCTATAGAGTCAACGCTAAAACACAAATAACATGTTTGCATCAACTGCGAGCAAACATCCTTCGTGCCTTTGACATCATCCCAGGCTTGCAACTTCAAAACTGAATGCAATGTTGAATAACCGGGCCCTAGATGATTTGTAAGCTGCCGCTCACCTGCAACCTCTGGTCGGCCCCTCGTTCCGAGGGTCCGCCATCTCAACGTTATCCGCCATCTCAACGTTACTGCCCACTTATACCCATGATATTCAGTTGATTTATCAACCAATGAATCTATATTTGATAGATACAAATAGATTATATTGTAAATGAACTATTGCCGTGAATTCCTTGTAAATTTGGTGGCATTAACATAAATGCCTTTGTCTCTGCAATATCTCTTAAGTTCCTTCATAACCTTCTTCCATTTTGGCCGTAACTTCTCCAATGCCTCCTCAATACCAATCTGATGATGAATAGCTGTCATTTTGCGAATATTATCTGCAGAGATGACTCCTCCTTTATGAACTACCCTCCGTGAGCCGTTCAGACGGCGTTTGCGAGCAGCCGAGGCGGCAGTTGTCTGCGAGAGCTCCTCCTGCAAAAGAGCCACTGTATTGGCCATTGCAATACTACCCTTATAAAGCTTCTGTAATCCTTCATATATATAGTCCTCATCATAGTTATCTTCATCTTCCTCTTCCAAAGCCTCGAGTTTGCGTTTATATCGGTTGAATTGGCGTACAGTTGAAGGAGTATACCAAGTATCTGAATCCATGGAATCTGAATTTGAAGATTCTGAAGGAGTAGTCTCGAATTCACGCAATTTATTAAGGACAATTGAAGGATTGAATGGAAGTAGGCCAGTTGCTTCCCATCCATGTTTGATTGTATGAACTCTGAATGTTGCTTTTCGTATGGAGGTGATAGCATGAAGAAATTCAACCTTTGTGAACTTCTCACAGCCGCGTCTTGTTGCTTCTTCAACTGCCACTGAATGATGATGCTTAAAGGCTTGAAAAACACCAACATCCAGAGGTTGTAATAGGTGACTCGTATGCGGGATGAGATAGAAGGGAATGATGTTGTTCTTTTCACAAAAATCCATGAATTCAAAGGTGCAATGGGAGTCAAATCCATCTAATAGAAGCAGACGGTGGGTTCCTTTGGTGCGAGCTTTTGTAGACCGATGGAAATGCTGAATCCACTGAAAAGAGATTTGATCATTATTATACCCAGTGTCGGATGTAGCTATCATGGCATCCTTCTCTATTTCATCTGTCCACCGCTCCTGTAGCTGCTTCGCGGTGAGAATATATAAGGGAGGAATGGTAAAGCCATCAGTTGCAACTCCTTCAATGATAGTAAGACTTTCTCTATTATTTGAACTTCCAACATAGGCCCGTCTTCGAGGATCTCGCGTTACAATCCATTGATCATGTCCAATTCCTATTCTGAACCCTGTTTCATCGAAGTTGTAGATATCGCAATCTTGAATTCCATATTTATTGACTGTTTCTTTGAACCGGTTAAACCAATCAAGGATATGAGATGGTTGATGAGCCTGTTTCCGTAATATATCAATGGTCTTCTGCTTGCGTACATTATACTCTGGATGGCGTTTGAGAAATCTTTTGACCCAGTGCTCTCCAAGCCCAGGTGCAGGTGTGGTAGAATCTGTATGGCTCTGCGCAAGTAGGAATCGAGCAGCACCAAAGATCATCGATCGATTGGGAGGTAGGCATAGCTTATCTAGAGCTTCTATATACTGACAAAGTGATTTTTCCTGCTCAAAAGATAAAAGTCGATTAGCAGGAGGTCGATGAGTTCGCGGAGCACGGCCATTGTATCGATTGAGCAGACGGGAATAGGGAAGGTTATAATCTCTTGCCAATGCTTTGATATTGGGTTTTTCAATATCGGCTATGGAATCTAGAGCCTCTGTGATCTTATTCTCTATTAAAATATATGTAGAAGTCATCACATTGGTTGATTATTGCATTTTGAAAAAAGAGATTCGCGTATTTGAAAATAATCGCGTTGAGATGGCGGATAACGTTGAGATGGCGGACCCTCGGAACGAGGGGCCGACCAGAGGTTGCAGGTGAGCGGCAGCTTACAAATCATCTAGGGCCCGGTTAACTGCTGTGTCGACCTCCACAGAATTTGAACTATCTTATTTAAAGAAGCTGCCATAACATACGGGATACCCTGAGACTAATTGCGAAGGAAGTCCCTATCAAAAACAAGAATTACCCGTTAGTTATAGAACGCCGCCAAAAAAAAGGAAAAAATCATGCCAGACGGGGGAGGTTGGAGTACCATCGAGTCAGACGAGGTTTGTCGTTCCCCTTCCGCTCATCTTCCTCCATTGCCGCCATCAAGAGTACCCAGTTGTTTGTGCTTCTTTTCATGGAGCTACTAATGCGCTTTGACTGATCCGTGTCATCTGCTGAACACAGGGAGTTTTCACTTCATTGATAGAAAATCTTGGCGTCAAGGACGTCCAGTTCGAAGAGCTTATATCCCTCGACGCAGACACAATCAGATCATTAAGGTACAGAAAATCCTTCCTATGCCCACCTATATATAACCCATTGCTCTCTTATCACCCGGCGCAAAGCAAACCCACTAACCCACCGCCCACCTCAAACCCCCACAGCCCGGTGTACGGCGTAATCTTCCTCTTCAAATGGGCCAGCGGCCAATCGCGCAACTCCGACGTCCCGCAGGACGGCACGTACGACCGCGAGGCAACAGACAACGGGCTCTTCTTCGCCGCCCAAACGATCCAGAACGCCTGCGGCACGCAGGCCGTCCTCTCCGTGATCCTCAACCAAGACTCCCTCCTCGCCGGCCGGCCCCAGCAATCGCAAGCAGGCACAGGCATCGACATCGGGCCCGAGCTCCGCGCCTTCAAGGACTTCACGACGGGCTTCCCTCCAGACCTGCGCGGCGAGGCGCTGAGCAATTCTGCGCTCATCCGCAACTCGCACAATGCCTTTGCGCGCGCGTCGCCGTTCGTCGATGAAACGTCGCGTCCGCCGGTTTCGGAAGAGGACGCGGAGCTCTACCATTTCATAGCCTATACGCCGTTCAATGGTGTTTTGTATGAGTTGGATGGGCTGCAGCCGTTCCCTATTAGCCATGGACCTTGCGAGGAAGGCGCGTTTCCAGAAAAGGCTATTGAGGTCCTGCAGAGGAGAATTGCGAGGTACCCGGAGGGGGAGATCAGGTTTAATCTGATGGCGGTGGTGAGGGATTTGAGAGTGAAGGCGCATGAGATTGGGGATGTGGAGATGTTGGAGAGGGAAAAGAGGAAGAGAAGGGCGTGGGAATGGGAGAATGCACTGAGGAGGTGTAATTTCGTCGGGTTTATTGGGGAGGTGGCGAAGGGGGTGGTGGAGATGAAGCTTAAGGAGGGTGAGGACGGCTACAAGAAGTGGGTAGAGGGGGCGAAGAAGGAGACACAGCGGAGGCTGGAAATGAGAAGAGGAAGAGGAGGAGGTGGGGATGACTTCGAGTAGGGTAGGGCTTAAGGAGAACAGTATGATTTTGCTGCGCCGGCAGCCTTTCTCATTGAGATCATTACCCGTATAGATAGCGATATGGTTCATTTTCTTGATGTTTCCATATTCCCCTTTTAGCGCTTTCATGGATTTCATGCTCTACGTGGGAATACGAGGAATATATGTTGGTTAACATGAAGCTTCGCGCTTTCTCTCTCTCTAACCTCCTAAAAACCATTTCCAAGGATATTTTCAAAATTGCCAAGTAAAATAGCCCATTGACATGCAGAACAATATTTTCCATTGAATAGCTATGCCCTATCCGCCAGGATGACCAAAAGCAAGATACAGTGGGACCATCGCAGAAACGGGGTCGCAATTGCAAAAACAGAAACCAAGGGTTTCTAAATCAAAAAGGTGTAATCTCGGACACACTAGGAGTACAAAGTAGGGGGAAAAAAGAGGGGGGAAAGAAGCTAGCAAAATCATTAAACGTAATAAAACACAGGAAACGGTAAGCAATGCGGGAAGTTGTAGGAGAGAAACTGATGTAAACCAAAAAATATCCTTCCGCTATGAATGCAATTTTGTGAGATGAAAGGATGGAAAATGGGGCAGAATAATATGCAAAGCTATCCAAAAAGAAAGACGTAAAGTATAAAAACAAAACAGAGCGTTGCTTGGGCGTATCTGAAGGGAGCATACTCACAACAACAACCACGCCTCCCAATATCTGCTGAAATATCATCTGTCTCCAGCAACTGCCTCGGGTGTTGCTCTCAATACCCAATAATATGCCCCTTGATTCGCTCAGCCATGTCAGGGGGGAGGTCGCCCTCTTTTATAAGCCCAAGCGATAAAATATCCGCCCAGAAAAAGAGTGCCCGATCCTGAGCATAAGCAAGATAATCAAACTCACCCGCAGGTTCATTGACCGTGTCACTGGGTTGCTCTCTCTTGCGATCCAATTCAGTAGTATCACCCGCTGGTGTGTCTCCTTCTCCCCTTCCTAGGACTGGCTGTTCCTCAGAAGTAGCAGACGAGGGAGAGTGTGCTTCTTCCATCCCCGAGATCTTAGCCTGGACGATCCCCCACGCTACCCATTGTGCGGAATTCGCTGCACGCCAAAGACGAGTTTCGCGGAGAAGACGTCGAACTTCCAAGTCGAGTTCTTGCTCGGCTCTCTCGTGATCCAGGGCAGACGAGGTGGGGATCGGCGGGACTTGAGTGTCTAGTGTGAAAGGAGATATCCGAGGACTATTGGAATGCGACGCTTGAAATGCTGGAGTTGGCGCTGGGCTTGAAGATGCACTCACCGAAACTGTCGCGGAGCTGAGCGCGGACTGGGTGCCGCGAGTTTCTGGTGGGTGGAAGATGTGTGGCCGATGGGTGAGATATGCGCGAATGAATCGTTCCTGTTCTTCCGGGGTAGGATACCATTTCGTATTGCAGGCCCATGGACTTTCTGGATCATGGTAGTTATAGCACCACTCCGTCTAAAATAAGTTAGTCGATCGTTAAAAAAAAATATAAAAAAAAAAAAAAAAACTGTTGCTGCGTCATCAGTGATGTGGACTTACGAAGTGGTTGCAGAATTCCAGCCCTCGAGGGTTCGCTGAAGCATACTCAAAGTCGATAACTACAAGCTGCTTATGTTTGTTGGCGGGGAGCAGAAGAGGGGACTCTCCACTTGGCTCAAGCCGAAGAAGGTTGCCATATTGTGTCTACCAGAGTTAGACTATGACGACCTAAGTGAAACAACCATTGAAAACCGAAACGAGTTACTCACGTCGTTATGAGAGAACACAAGCTGCTTGTTAATTTCAGATGCCCCGCCATAGCATGTATCCAACCAATTGCGATAAGATTCAACCAATTTCCGGAACTTTGGCCATGGGGCACCGCATATAAAACCAAGTTGTCGCCACGGTTCTGCTTCGAGCTTGGACTCGTTGAGCGGAGAGTTGATTTCGCTATCCAGCCACGAGGCAACATGTTCGCACCGCTCTAGCCATTTGTCCCAGTTCTTCCACAAAAATGGACCACCTTCCCTCTCTTCTGAGAGTAGTTCGATCCCTTCATGCAGTTCCCGCATCCGCTTAGCGATTTGCTCGGAAGTTTCTGGGTTGCGGATGTCTCTAGGCGTGAGGGTTTTTGCACGGAAATACTGTTCGAAGCGGCCATTTTTGAACGTCCCAAGGACCCGGGGGCCGATATTCCGTTTCCCCAGACGGCGCAGAATCTGGAGTTCGCTCTCCCGATCGATCAAGTGTTCCACTTGGGGCCCATAGATGCGCAGAAGGAGTTGTCTGGAAGTGTTGTCAGTTTCACCATGTTAAGACCTCAAAAAAACATATTTAACAGCATAGACTTACGGGGGAGTGCTTCTACGCATCAATGAGCTCGAATTACTCGAATCAGAAGGAGGGGGTAATTGTTTGGGCGGAGAGACAACATATACAGCATTTGTTAACGCTCCGCTGAGGCGAACCACTTCAATGTTACCACAGTCTTCCAGGGGAATTCTTCTCCAGCCCTTGAGGCTTAGCGTGTGTGTCAAGCGCAAGATCTCATATTTAAACTTCAACCAATGTTCTTTGCTCTTAGTGGATACGCCGTTTGACGAATTCTTGTTTCCGAAATCATTATCTGCTTCGCTTCCGCCATAAAAAGCGGTTTTGGAGTTGTCAAGGACAACATCGGCACTGGGGGGTGGTAGATCAGCATCTGAAAAATCTGAATCGGATGTTGAACCCTGTTTTAAACCTCTAATGCTAGCTCGGAGTTTGAGAGAAGACGATCTCTTACGTCCGATCCGTGAAGATGAAATGCCCTCTTTCCCAGTAGCCGCATATTGCGCTAATATCTGCTCCAACTTCTCCAGGGCTAACATTCCCTCCGACGCTTGAGAGTCGCTTCTCTCTCGAGTTAAGGCTGAGGCTGTCTCTCCAGTGGTTATACCTGGTAAGGGGCCCTGCGACCCCCTAGTTCTCTTTGAGGCACGCGCTACAGACTTGGCTTTCTCCTGTTGTAGCCAGTCGAGGACTTTCGAGAGCAGCGAACGTTGGGCATATGGGTTTTCGTCGCTGCTATGGTGCCGGATTTCGGGGTCATCGTCGCCTTGAATAACCGTGTCAAAGTTAAGGCTATTGATTTGACTGCTGAGCCAGTTTAGAGAATTGGAAGATTGGTGCGGCGATGGGCGTGCTGTTACCCTCCTTCCTACACAGGTACGATGCTGTTTAGGTGATCGACTTGCCGTAGCGGAGCGCCCAGGGGAGTCCCCGTTCACGGGCTGCGCTTGTAGCTGGGGTTCGTCTACCATTGTCTCTGTTTCCCCTGCTACATTTGAGTCAGTTAACGAAACTATATTGAAGTGTTATTTGCATCCAAAAAGGCCACTCGTAACAGAACACATTAACGTAAAATCAAGGCCGCGCTAAATCCTCATACATATTCGTATGTTCATCAAAGAACCAAGCCATGACGTCTCATTTCTCCTTCCTTCTATCGCAAGCAATCCAGAGCGGAAATATGAATATATTTCCTAAACCATCATCCTGAATCGACTTGGTGTCAAGATGTACAAGTGAATTTACCAAAGTATATTCTTCATAATGCAAGACCGAAATTTTAACAACAAGAAATTTTTTAAGCAAAAAAATGCAAATCAGAGAAAAAGTGGGGGAAAAGAAGGTCATCTGTCTCCGGAGACCATGGACAAATACAGAAAATGGTGGGAAATCAAGGCATAATGACTTACTGGAAGTGCCATCGTTGGGGTTGGGAATCATAGGACCCTGGCAATCGGCGGGCGGCTTGTTGAGCTCCTTCTCCGCAGCAGATGACATGATTGTCAGCGCAGCTATTTGCTTTTGACAAGACGATCCGTCCGACTTAGCACACAGGAAACAAAGAAGCAGAACGAAAAAAGGGAAGCCTGCGAAAAGAAGCAACGAATCTGCGCAAAAAGAAGGAATAGAAAACAAACATCAACTTTGCTCCAAGCGCCCGCGTCCTTGGGGATGGTGGTAAAAGGGAAGGAAAACGAAATGAGCCGTTCCTCCGTAGCACCGTTATGGGATCAAATATATTATATCCAAAAGCAGTTCATTTTCCGCAAGGTAATATAGGGCAGAGCGGCGGGAAATGTCGACTCCCGATAGCGAAATAATGATGGGACTGGCGAGTAGGATAGTTGATTGGCAAAGAGTGACTGATGCGAGACAAGGGAGTGCTAGTATTTACAGAGGTTCTCCATATGTACCGGAAACTTGTATATATCCAAGAAGAAGAGAAGTTGGCTGAGGCGGATCTTGGGATGAGACTCGCAGTCGCAGCCGCAGTCGTATATATTTTTCTTTTTCCCCGTTGCAACTCGCCGCTTCCAGGCTCGGCCCACGGACAATCGCCGCAAACACCGAAAAGCACAGGCGTCACGTGCTGCTGACTCAGACAGAGCTTATCTCGACCTCAACCCTCGTCGTCGGCTCTCTGCACCATTTTGTTGGATACGGCTTGATCTCTGGCTTGTCTTCGGGGATGCGTTGGTTGTGCCATGGGGACGAGAAGGGCCCAGAGCACTTCCGTTGCAGTCCCCTGCGAGTTTTCTATCCATCACAGAGTTGCAGTTTGCACGAGACACACCGCCACCCAACATCCAGCCAGCAGGGGACAGACAGATAGTGCCACGCCATCGATGTTCGGTTGTTAGTAACCCCACCAAAATCATGGGCTTTTGTTTGACGCAGAAAAGTGGTTTGGGATTCCATCGAATTCAAGCTAAGCCAGTCATGGGATGGGAGAATCGAGATGCCAGAACGAATCCATGGCTTACATTATCTTACGTACCTACACAGGAAGGTTAACAATCTTCGTTGCTAATTTTGTTTCCTTTTCCCAATTTCCCTGTTTTATCCACCATATTTGAGAACAAGCACAATGCAAAACAAACGCTACAGAAGAGATATGAGAAAGAGTGCTGAAAATAATAAGAGGAAAACACGCTAAGAGAGAAATGGACGGCAACAAGAAGAGAACCCCCAATCATGATGCAGAAGGGAAGGACAGAACGGACAAAATAACCAGAACCCATGCCCAAACAAGATGACAAAAAAATAAAAAAAATTAAAAATAACGAAAGAAAGAAAGAAAAAAAAAGAAAAAGAAAGAAAACTATAGCACTACTATCAAACTATCGGCGACATACTCTAGAGGTCACACTCCAATAGAGCATGTGCATGCCAGCAGTACCATCATTTCGGGGCACATCCCGTGGTGTCAGCCGGATTCGGAGCCTTCACAGTATTCCGGGTAAACCCCACCTCTGCCAGTTGACAGGACACACACCGTCCCCCTATATGCGGCCTCAACATTCTGATCGCTGATATAAAGACATGGCCAGGAGAATTACGCAGCAACGTGGAGAGCTCGCCGTCAAGGATTTTCTCAGTGTTCTGAGAACGGACATGGGAACTTCACCGGACCTGAGCGCTCCAAAACTGCCGTTTAGATAGACGCAGATTGATTGTTCCCCTTTATAATCGAGTCTGGCCCGGATTTCCCCCAGCTTGAACCCCGTTATGTGATAATGCATCAAGAACAGGAAACCCATCCATCTGTTTGTCCATGGTCATCACAGTGGGGGTCTTTTCGGCCTGGCGTTCTGACACCACTGCGATTGTGAGGATTCTGATCACTTTGCTTCAATACCTCCAACCTTTTAATCTCACCGGAGGCAGCGGCTGGGATTGCTGTTTTATCGGCTGTGGTGCTGACGATGTTTGTGTACATGTTCGAAACCACGGCATAGGTCCAAACGAGGATACAAAGATCCACATGATGCGGAGCAAATTGTCCTCCATTGTCTGGGCTTTGCATTGGCCATTCCCAATGCTATTACGATCCCAAGCAGACTCGACACTTAAAGAATCAATATTAGCAACAGCACCAGCAAGCATTGCCCTGTCTGAAACCCTGATCAGGACAGGCTACATCAGCTTGAATATCGCACTTACCCAACAACACAGGGCGAGCAAGCAAAACACGAATGACAACCCCCACACCCTTTTCCAAAATCCAAGCCCAACAAGACGTAAAAAAAAAAAAAAAAAAAAAGAAAAAAAAAGAAAAGAACAAAAAAAAAAAAAAAAGAAAGAAAGAAAGAAAGAAAGGAAAATAAAACCCACTCAATCCCCCCCTTCCCCAGGTCCCCGTCGCCGAACCACCCTGAGAAAAACATGAACAACCACCACAAGAGCCACCAACTGGCACACATGCATGACCTGCTGCGCTACGATTTGAACCTGTAACCGCCGCTCCAGGCCCTCTAATAGCCCGACGGGCCGATATTCCGTAATTCGAAGCCGCCGCAGCAGCGCTTCCAGGTAGCCGTCGCGGTGTGGGCTGTCGGCTTGGGCTTCATCCCGGGCTCGGGCTGTGGCTGTGGTTGTGGCCTGGTCGCTGTCGTCGCTACTGTCGTCGCTGCTGGAAGATGGGATGACCTTCTTGTCCATTTTGGGGGATATTTGGTGTGGCGTGTGCTTGGCGCGTGGGGTTGTGAGGTTGGGGAGGTTGGTTTTGGGGGCGAGGGCCCTGACTATGGGATAGATTAGATATAGGATGTGGAGATATTGAAGAGGGTTGTATGTATGTAGTAGTTAAATGAGCGTGAGGGTTGCAGGAGGGAGGAATCATTTAGGAAACCCTTTTTTTTTTTTTTTTTTTTCTCCTTCTTTTTGGTTCTTGGTTTTCGGGGATGTTATGTTGCGCGTCTTCGCGAGGAAGGTGCAAAGCAGGAGTGTGGAAGTGGACATGATTAGAGGAAGGGGCGACGGCGTGTGTGTATGCTGTGCATCTTGATGTTGTACTGTACTTAAATAACAGGAATGATGCAGGCGCAGAAGCAGTAAGTTTCAATACAATAACCCCACGGATTTAAGTTATTTATTTATTTATTTATTTATTTATTTATTTTTTTTTTTTTCTTTTGGAAAAAAACACATATCCCCAGACATAGGCATGGGCAAGGTCGCTAGCTAACTGACAGACTTATTATTCCTTCGATTTCCAGGAAATGCTGATAGATGGAGAGATAGATAGATAGAGCGTTCGATATCCCGACCCGGCCCCCAAACCCCTCCACAACCAACTATCTCATTTCCTGGGCCCCTAAAGCGTATTAAAAAAGAAAGAAAGAAAGAAAATGAGGAAAGAAAAGATAAATAAAGAATAAAATCTTTGTCAAATAGTACTACTGTACACGACATGCTATGCTACATGCTTTGAAAAGAAGAAGAAGAAGAAATGTTGACGTATTTTTCCATTTCTATCATTTCATTTTTGCGTCCTTGATCGTGCACGTCACGCGGCCGTCGCCCACTGGACAACCTTGAGCGCAAAGATGACGAGGAGGAGGGTGGAGGGGAGGATCCTGTTGTTATCGTTGCTTCAGCGTTAGCGTGCATGTACGCCTCCAAAATATATATATACCCTGGAGAAGAAAGAAAAAGAGAAGAAAGAAAGAAACAAAGAAACCCACCAGACAACATAGCTCTGGAACAGCAGCCGGGCCATCGCGCCCATGTACACGTTGTTCAGCTGGCAGATCTGCGCCAGCTGCAGCGCGGACGGCGCGCCAGCGAGCAGGAAGCACACGACCACGAAGATGGGGTCGTCCAGGATGCTGACGGAGACGAATTTGGCTGCCAGCGCGAGGAGGGGGCCCATGATCAACGTGGGCAGCAACATGCGCGCGAGCAGGGAGGCGACGATGAGGTTGCGCTCCTCGCGCTGGTAGAGGTCGGGCGGGCTGCATGTGGTGGTGGTGGTAGGGTCGGGAAGGGTATTGCGGGCGAGGTTAGCGCCGAGAACGACGAGGATTAAGGGCACGGCGACGTTGCCGCTCTGCTGGATGGCGCGGGTGACGGAGTTGTTGATGAAGGTATTTTGGTTGAAGAAGACGAGTTGGAGGGACGGGATAGAGGCGACGATTATGGCGGCTAGCATGGCCCAGAGCGGTGGGTTCATGAAGGACCATAGGCCGCAGAGGAAGCGGGTGAGGTTATGGGAGATAGTGCAGATGAGTTTTTGGACCGGGAGGGGGAGGCGGTGAAAGAGGGCTTTGGATCGGGTGTGGAGGGTTGTTGCCATGGTGCGGGACGTGAATTTAACATGGTGGGCGAGTTTCTGGAGTGGGTAGCGACAGCTTGGGGGGGTCGGCAGTTGTTCTTCAAGTTGGGGCTGGGGTTCTGGCATTTGGTGCGTGGAGAATTGACTAGGAACAAATTGGCAGTTTGGTATTGGTAGCTGCAGGAGAGGTGGTGGTTGGTCTTCGGTTTCATGTCCAGCGTCGACTTCCCCTGAGTCATCCATTGCGACTAATTTTGAATATGAGTACTGTCGTGTTGTGATAGGGGTTACTCCTCCGGATTCAAAATGGGATATATCCGCGAAACTCGATGAGCCGCTGGGCGCGGCATGTTCGACATTATCGTTATCGGTGGTGTCTATGAGTGTCTGGCTATATGCAGGTGTCGTGGCATTATCCGGTTCGTCAGTATATCGTCCGGAACTGCAGAGGCGGGCGGCAGCGATTTCTTCCTCGTCTCTGTGGTATGACTCCGGCGGAGCTAGGAGGATGCGATAGCCCCAGCTCCATCGAAGCAGCTGGCCCAGTTGCTGGAAGATCAGGAGATAGAGGATGCCTCTGGCTGCAACCTCCTGGCTGTTGTCGTTTGGGATGCGATCCCAGCGCAGGCCTTCTAGAGTGTGGGCCAACGACAACACGAGCGAGATGGGTAGCGAATTGGAGTTCCCAAAGACCTGCAAATTGGTTAGCCAATGTATATGTAGAGAGAGGGAAAGAGAGAGAGAGAGAGAGAGAGAGAGAGAGAGAGAGAGAGAGAGAGAGAGAGAGAGAGAGAGAGAGAGAGAGAGAGAGAGAGAGAGAGAGAGAGAGAGGTTAAGGGGCGGGGAGACACATACACCCATGGCAACCACAAAGTTGGACTGGGGCTTGTTGAAGCGGAACAGCCGAGAGACCATGGAGGCACACAGATAGGAGACCGCAGTCTGGACCGTGAAGATGCAAGGGATGATGGCCAGGTCTGTCAGTTTTCCCGCTGTTAATTGGGAGGCGAGTTTTGTGAAGACTGGTAGAATGTCAGTATATATCCAAATATATATGGGTACGTAGTTTGGTTTTTTTTTTTTTAAAAAAAAAAAAAAAAAAAAAACACAAAACAAAACACACACCGAGACATGGGGTAAACAGAGCGACATTGAGATTGGCGACGAATTTCTGGGCCTCCGCATCAAACCTGCCCATACCGGCTAGGATATAGCCGGGGAGACTGATGCAGACGATCTCGAGGACTGCGGACAGGACCAGGATGACAAGCCGCGGCAGCGGAGGTTGAGCAGCCTGCGGAGAAGCAGCGGTGTTGAGCAAGAGAGAAGAGTGAGAAGGCCAGCCAGCGGCGGCGGCGGCCAGGTGTTGCTGGGCTACATGCTGGTTGATGGCGGAGATGGAGGAGATGGGGGAGTGGGAGGAGGAGGAGTGGGAGGAGTGGGAGGAGTTGTGGAGGATATGCGCGTTTACAAAGGAGGTCGGGGAGGTAAAAAGCATCGTGCAGCGAGCTGCCACGATGAAGGGGAGTGGAAGGGGGAGAGCAGAGTGGAGGGCAAAGAGAAGAGGAGAAGGAGGAGGAGGAGTAGAGATAGCAGCAGAGATATGTATGTATGTATGTAGTGATGTATGTGATGATGTAGTCAAGTTTCGAGTCGAGAGTCCAGTTGGGTGGCGGAAGGGATAGAGCAACCGCGTCAAAGTTGGCTCCTGGGGCAAGGCGAGCCACAAACCCGGAAAACCTTACGGGGCACAAGGGAGTTGGACGAGTCTGGACACTTTGGAGCCTGGAGCCTGGGAGCCTGGGAGCCTAGCTTGACTGCGGACGCAATCCTCTCCCGTGGATAGACATAGCTGCGTACAATACAATATATATATACAGATCCGTACAGATCTGTACATGTTGTTGTTGGTGTTGGTATACGAATCTTGGTGTGATGATGCATATAATGGCGGAGAGCAGGGTGTGTAAGTACCATGTAGGTACCTCTCCCGCGGTGAGAGCGTGTAAAGGTACCGATGAGGTACATGTTCAAGGGGTCGTGTGGCTGGTGACGTGCTGCGTGTGCCAAGCAGCGGAACCAACCAATCACAGGCCGGAACTTGGTGGCGTGCGGCCAGGCGACGCGCAAATTGGTCCGGCCTGCCTGATGTCGGTGGCAGTATGTATGGAGTACTGGTATGCTATATTCTGTATGGACGGCCCAGATTATCATTCTCCTTTTGGAATGAAAATAATCTGTGTTTTGCTAAATGGAAGACGCAAATCCCCGATTCGAGTCTAACAAGTACGAGTTGCTAGTACCTCACTTTGAAGCATGCTGCCTTGTAAGAAACCCCAGTAGAGACACCCATCTATCACGCATCCTTGTCTTTCCTTCTGCAGGCCCTTAAGCAGCTGCGCCTTATGGATTACTATTTTAGCACCGCAGATTTAAGCTTCTACCAAGCCCCGGATGTGGTTGGCTGCCATTGGCCGTGGCCCATTTAAGGTTGGCTGACGAACATCATTGGATCCACGGGTTTGGCCCGCGGGCTGCAGATCCGCCCATTTCGTGCAGATTTTGCAGGTAGTGCTTTATTTTATTGCCCTGCCTTTTTTTTTTCTTCTCAAGTATCCTTGGTCAATCAGGGTCCAATGGCTTAGCTGGACGAGGGGTCGGACTGCTGAAGAAAAGATAATTTTGCCCATTGCTAGTCGCGTCTGCGATACCATTTGGTGGGTAAAAACGTGCTTGGCTAGCAGACGAAAGAAAGCGAGTTTCAAAAGTACCAAGGTGGCAAGTGCGTGGGGAATCCAGTGTAAACCCCCTTCTTTCGTGATCCCGTAAAAAAAAAAAGGAAAAAAAAAAGAAAAAAAAAAAAAAAAAAGAAGAAAGAAACACCGCCGAACAGAAATATATACAAAAATATACGCTGACAGGGTATCCCGCTAAACTCCAAAATGATCTATGGTATTATGTTGTTGCTGCTCTCTCATCTCAGTCTCCCAGCAAAACAGGCAACCAGCGCCGGGAATCATACCCTCGCCTTCATTCAACAACAGACTTGCTGCGACTCCAAGACACAAAGAAACAAGACGCATTCTCCCATTAATCATGTTTTATATATATATATATATATATATATATATATATATCAATCTTCAAGTAAGTCAGCCCACTCCGGAATTTTCTTGATCAGACTCCACATGTACTTCTCCAGCTTGACCGCGCACTTGGCGTACACCGTCGACGCGTCGTTGTACTGTCGGCAATTGCTGAAGATCAACTTCAGATCCGCGACAAGGTCCTTCGGCGACGGATAAGAATCGCACTCCAGCCTCTCCTCCATGGTCGACAGGTCCATCGGCGATACAATGACATTGTAGTAGTCGGGGACCTCGTCTCTGTTGACCGGGTTGAGGAAAGGCCAGGCCTGTTTGTGGTTCTGGATCTGGTTCAGGAAACGCCGCAGCTCGTTGAAGTGGCGCCCGTGGCGGGGCTCCCGCGCTAGCTTGTCCATGTCTGGAGACCAGCCAGTGGCCCGAATCGCAGGGATCGAGAGTGGATCTATTGGTGCGACGACTGCGCTGGCCCATTGTTGGGGTGGCCGATGGACGATGTGGCTTTCGCTGAAGGTGCGCATTTTGGCCAGCACAGCCTCCTTCTGCTTCAGAAGCATGCGCCCAACTTCCAGATACCGTATTCGGGGAAGCATGGAGCACTGCATGAGTGTCCCCCCTTCGTAGTCCTTGATATACCCCATCCAGATGGACTTGTCGAGGGTGATCTCTTTGGTAAATCCCTGCTTTTGGAAATAGCCGGTGGCATAGTTATCGGCGTATGTTAGAAAATGCATCACGGGGGAAGTAGCTCTGACATAGTCCTTCAGATGGAACATGAGATGTGCGCCGTATCCCTTCACCTGCTGGTGGGACGAGACCGCGCAAAAGACGATTTCGGCAAACTTGCGGTCTCGGAATTCGCGGAATGTGATCCCGCCGATGACCTCCAGCGGCATTTTGACGATGGCCATAGACAGATGAGCGCGATCGTAGACGAGACGCGCGACATAGTCCTTGGGCATTTTCGGAAGCTGTTTTTGAAACAGGCACTTGAGGCCTGTAAGGATAATGGTACTCTCTCTGGAGCCATCATTGTTCACCACTCGGAATTGGATCTCTCCATTCCGCTCTTCCAAAACTGCCGGCTTTAAAGAGGCACGGTTAGATGATTTGGCAGTTTTCCCGGCAATGTATTCGGAAATCCCAACACACCTTCTCTGGAAAGGGGACGATAGTCAGAGCGGGAGTTTTCGCATCCGGCTCTATCAACCCATCATGAGAGCGTTTGATTCTTTTGGCGTCAGGGCCGAAACTGGGTTCTTGGACAGCGGCGCGCTTCGCGTCGAGATTCTGCGTGCTGGAGGTGCTAGAGGCTGGAACTGGTTGTGACACTGCTTTGTCCATCTACGCTTGAGTGCCACGACTGGACTTTCATGAATTTATGCTAGGTTTGAGTTAACCTCGGGCTGTTGAAATAGTTAAAGACGTCCATTCCAAGGTTGGTCTGGGTTCATCAGGTGACTCCTGAACTGGGCAGTGCTAGTCCTAAATAGACATAGCTGGCTTGGCGCACTTCCCTCCATGTTAAATCGTGCATCAATCAGTTCAAACACTCAACTATCCTTCTTTATGATAGTATTGAAATTTTACAAATAATACTCCACATAACTAGTTAGTTAGGAGTAGAGAAATATAGACAAACGCTTTTCAAATAAGCGGGTTGTTGATTGGTCAAGAAAACTAGCTAACTAACTACCAGCATCTGAAGAGAGAAATGCAATAACTACCCATTCCACCAGAACTGACTAATAAATGACTTGGAGCTTCCTATATAAGAGAGGCTGAACGTAGGAACTCCAACGCGTCATCAAAAACTTTCCTTCACCACTTAGTTAACGCGCCGCGAATGATGATCTACAGCTTCAAGTTGCTTTAACCATCCAGCATCCCACGGCGTGTGGTAATGATTCTTCCGCAGGTTCACCTTCGGAAACCTTGTTACGACTTTTACTTCCTCTAAATGACCAAGTTTGACCAACTTTCCGGCTCTGAGCGGTCGTTGCCAACCCCCCTGAGCCAGTCCGAAGGGCACTCTCACTCCGCGATGTCGACCTTTCTAGATCATTACAATGCCCCTCCAACTGGACAACTCCTTTTGGGAGCACCTGGCAGTTCAACAACTGCGTCTTTCCATCCCACGAACCCGCCAAATAAAGAGCAACTCCCAAGACACATCATCTTGGATCAGGATATGTGCAACCAGCTTTTGTCATTTGCCCGGAAATCAACTAACCATTGCTCCCGCATCTCCTCTCGATTTCAACTTTGTGCATCAATATGTGTAACATACTATCGACCGTGGAGTAGTGGGAAATGAGACTGTCAATATGGATGCGTCTCTGGTCCTTCTTCAATATGTGGCGGAGTTTGTTACGGCAGCTGACCATCTGCAGCCAAATGATATTCGAATCGTAGGCTGTGACAACGAAGATGGCGTCCAGCTAAACAGAAAACTCCGCAGAACCGGAACTGACTGGGTTGTCGTGGAGCACAAAAGTGTGGCTGCCTACAACGCTCATCGTTCTCAAATCCTGGATCTTGCCAGAGGTGAAGGGACTGAGCTAATAACTTCTGCTCGAGAAACGGGTGCGCGTTCAATCATACTTAAAGTAAGAAGAACCCTGCGCGCCTTGGTCAAGGGATCGTGCGGATGATTGATGAATTCTTATACAGCTCGGCAAACGTATGATTGATGCCAATTGTAGATGGGGTGTTTTGATGGGAGGGTATGAGTTTATGGTTTCTTTCATAAACATAGTTAACCACAAGAAGAACAACTAGTTACTACCAGATAGTAGTATCAGATAATCACTCAACCCTTACACGCCCCGGACAACTTCAACCACTTCCTGAACCCTGTCTTGTTTCAGTGGTTACAGCACTTCTTCTTGGCAATTACCCGGCTGCTTCTTGGACCAATCCCCCAACAGCACATATTGTCACAGAATACGTTGGGAGCCGACACTCCAGGATGACCAGAAATACAGGTGGAGGGAATGAGCCAAAGAGGGCGAAACGAGGAGAGCCAGCTTTGCGATCCTCTCGGGCCGGGACCACTGCAGGAACTAGAGCGCATGTCCGCCAGGAAATGCGCAGGTCCTCACGCTTGATCGAGGCTGCATCACGGTTACACAGCAAGCTTGACCTAAACCAATTCACCCCCCAACGCACTCTAACCGACATAGCTAATAGTTCCCCTTTAGTACTCTTTACTGTCGTTTCCGAATTCAGGACTGCCAGTCGCCAATTGACTCTAAAGAGGATTGTAAGTGTATTTGCCCGAGTATCGATTAGATTGCAATGCTAAGAATCACGAACAGTCTGTCCAGAAGGCATGGGATGTAGTTCTGGACGGCAACTCCTCAGATCTTCCAGAAACGACCCCTGATGGAGAAATCACATATCATGCTGACACGGTTGTTGAGGAGCCCCTGTGCCTGCTTGGGATGGAAAAGCTTGGGTCGGGAATATGCGGCATTGCCTATGATTCTCTACTTCTTGCCGGTACATCTGAGGAGCCCTGCGCCATCAAGGTTAATGAACACGACTTTCAGTCCTTCGTGAGGGAAGTGGAAGGGTATGAGCGGCTGCAGGGCAAAACATTTATTCCTAAATGTTACGGTGGCTTTGCTGGAATGTGGGTTAACGAGCCATTTGGAGTCCTTGTTCTGGAACTACTATAAAAGTGTTTCGAGTCATTCAACGATATGACCACAGACCAGAAGTAAGTTTTCCAGATATGTTTTCTATTGTCTTGATCTGTGGGGATGTTGCTTCTTATGCTGAATGCTGTGTTATTTTTCGCTACAGACACCAGGCGCTTGCATGCCTTGAACAGCTGCATGATGAGGGGTATCACCAGGAAGATGTCATGGCGAGTAATTTTGGACTTCGCAACGGCCAAGTCGTCGTCCTTGACTTTACCCATGTGGAACCTTGTGACACACCGAGAACTTGCGGGAACTGGGAGGGTAAGTGGAATAAACACCGTAGTAAGCCATTTGATTCCTATCCCGTTCGTGGCCCAACCACCAGAATAATCTGACTCTTAAGAATGACATAGTTATGGATCTAGGGCCCATGCTGACACATTGACTCAATCACGGTAATCCATTCACACAATTCCCAGGCTGTATAAGCTTTCCCAATTTGTAGTGCTCAGCACTAGTAATGACCTTGATAGTTGTGCAGAGTCCCCATTGCAAATCCCATCTGATCAAAGTTGTAAATATCTCCAAGCACAATCCCAAACTCAGCCATTACCCTCTCTAGAGTCTTAAACCAATCCTCCACAATATCACAGTCTTCGCACTTGGCCCGGCCACGATTAAAGCATCTCGAGAAGCAGTATTGAAGCTCTGGACAGCAGTTAACTAGTCTGGGATCCAGTTTTTTCCAACTCATGAAGGCTATTTGGATTTTTGTAAATGAGAGAAGATGATTAGCCATATTCTCCACAAATGCTGGCCAGGGGGGTTAATCCTCATGTAGCAAGCAAGGCACAGAATCCATTTGGCAAGCCTATCCTCTTCAGCCTGGGTCAATTTTGGGGAATTTGCGTGTAGATTCGCCCATGCGGTTCGGCCATTGAGTCGATACTAGGGGTAAGAGTAGATATGCATGCGGCTTCCCAAATATATATATATATATTTCTCCCCCATTTTGAACAGTATTTACCGCGAGCTCAATTCTTCCCTCTATTTCTATAGAGTTTCTTGCAATTTTTTACTGTACTGCGAACTGGTGGCATTCTCACGCGTTGAAGTGGTTGAGTTGAAATTTGCTGGCCCGCTTGGTGGGGATTACCTTATGGTTTGAAGCAGTGTCGGAGCTGATATCTCGTATATCAAGGATCAGAGATGACATCATGCTATAATCTGCCTTGTTGACTGTTTTGCTTCGCCCCTTAGTAAACTGCCTTGCTGCGCATTTGAAGCAATGCCTTGCTGAATCTCAGCACTGCCCCGCTTGTATAATCAAGCATATCCTTCCTTATAAATACTGCCTATTTATCATGTAATTATCGGAGTTATAATAATCAATTCAATATTCTTTTGATATTTCAGTATTTGGGTCAATATTCGGACATTATCTAGTTCCGACGATAATCAGAGCCCCTTAACTGATGAACATGTTTGATCTGTGGGAGCCCACCAGCAACTCGAGGGGTCCAACAAGGAGTAGCTTAGGGTAGCTGAGCTACTTACCTAGGTGCTTTAGCTACTAGTGTTCAGCTTTTTTTTTTTTTTTGCATTTAGTACGGCATGTTCAAGGTTCAAGATATGGAATGATACGGTTACTAAAGAATGTCAATATTACTGGTCCCGGCTCAGCAGACGATCAGCGGCTCGAAACAACGTGGCAACCCAACTTACGGCTCAACTACAGAGTAGTTACCCTTACGCGACCTGGCTTGAGACCCGGCTTGGCCAACGAGAATGAAACCTTTCAGCAGCAACAGTGTATTTGACTTTTGTCAGTTAGAACTTCTTTCTATTTCCCAGCCATTTCCCATCAATTGCAATGATGGCTCCCAGATTATCTCTTAAGTCCCACGTGCGGATCTCGAACAGACCTTCCACGCATGGCAAGCTGGCCAGGTGCGACTGTTGCAGGCGGGCGACTCGGCAAGCTCGAGGATTTAGCATGGTAGATGCCGTCTTCGAATGGCCCAGGCCGAGCACCCCAGTCCGCTGTTGACTGTCTCTCCAATATAACTCCAGCTTCCATTTCCCCCCCAAGAGGAATGGCGAGTGCATGCTCTATTGCAATTCAGAAGGGATGGTGTTTGTTAAGGGATTTCTTGTCTTCTCCTCTTCTTTGCAAATGTGATCGATCGTTATTCTGTTGCTCTGCAATTGTAAATTGCCTTTTGCCACAGAATTTTTTTTATCTTCAACTAAACTAGTTAAAAGAGGGCGAATGCGAAGTTCCAACTTTAACTTGTTTAGAAACCATCATGCGTAAGGTTCAGAATAAAATAAGCCATCCAGCAATATAACTGCGATGGGAATGGCTCTGATATCACACTGCATGCATTGGAGAAACTAGAGTTAAAAGAGAATAGACTGAGAATTGCCATTCGGTAGTTAATAAAGAGGCAATGAGCTGATGAGTCCGATATCGGATTGCATGCGGTAGAAAGGCATCACCTGAAGCTGCGTGTCTGTGACATACTATATACTCTACCAAAAATATCTCCATAAGAATAGGGATTGCTGGCTGGCTAGCTAGCTGGATACTTGCCCACTCGCTGTATATTTCTTCATATACAAAACTTCAGAGCTTCCATCCATTTATATCTGCAGTAGTCTTATGCACTGCAACCCGTTTAATCGGGGTCCGGGGGACCAGTAGTAGCGTGGAATTGAAAGTTCATTTGCCGGTTGGATTTAGAGGAGCGCTTGCCCACCCGTAGGCTGGCCCTAGTATGACTAGTATGCTACCGCTAATTAGTTAAAAGAGTAAAATGTTAAAATACATTCCTATCGTATAAAATATAATTCTCTTCCCCCCCCCCTTCTCTCTATTTTTCAATTTGCTTTTCGTGCTTCTTCTTACTTAGTTCATTCTCGTTATATGTATTCAGTGGTAGAAGGCTTGCTAATATACTCATAGTAACTAGCAATTAATTCAAGTTCTTGTAGAATTGTATCTCATCTCTTACAACTGGCTCAAATATTTTACCCCCACTGAAACCGGCATGCGCCTTTGAACTATTCCACAGTGTTCACTGAAGCACTGCGTCTAGGGCACTTTTTTTCTTTCCTTTGCCTTTTTTTTTCTTTTGTTAGCATCCCTATCCCTTGCTGGAAGGCCGCGTGACCCACACCTATTTATTTAACCTTTCCAAGGAAACAGTGCTGACCCAGTTGGATAGGAGTTACAATAAAAAAGCAACCTTCCACCTACATCATTTTACTATTAAGCTCATATACTAGTATCCCTGACAATATCTTCTGGTGGAGTTACCCATGGTTCCATGAGATGGCTCCCTGCGACCCTGGTGTGGTTCAATCCTTTTGGCAAAGCTCCGAGCCTGTTTACCTATGCGGTAAACACCGACTGTGCAGTCGCACTAGGCCAAAAGAATTGGCAACCCCCACCACCGGTGCGCCTCCAAAAGGTCAAATGCTTTGGTGGGGGTTGCCCAACACAAATATCTACACCATGACATGTATTTGCGAAGACACCGGCAACCAATTGGCCAATGGCTTGGGAAACAACCCCAACACTTACCTAGGTAGCGAGCACAGTTGGTGGTGATCAGGCCACACCTCGGCGGCAGTCCCCGCCCTTTCCTTTCCTTTCCCACCCGAACCGGGGCTTGGCACAGCGCTAGCGGGTTACATCAGATAAGATGGCGCCAAATCATCTTATCTGATGCCATGTGCGCAATTTATTTGATGGGCGGGAACGTTCCTACTGGCTCCCACCCCTGCTAGGCCGGCCCCTAGCCAACCTTGTGGCAGCCGCTTTTCCTTCTTCCAGCCTAGCGGGGATTTTGGTCGTATTGGATTCTGTGATAGGCGAAGTCTGGTTTTTTTTTTTTTTTTTTTTTTTTTTTTTTTTTTTTCCCTGCCTTTCTCCCTGGGGTCCCTGCTCTGTTTCTGCTTTAAAAGCGGAGCTTACTGCCTAGGTGCTGGAGGAGCAATGCTCTCCTACACTTGTCAAACGCAACCTGCGCCCTATTTTTCGCCTTCTAGTTTTGCTCCTTCGTCTTTGAGCAGCTCCAGCCATCATGGTGACCCTCTCCAATGTAGGCGCGGACGTGGAGAAGGACATCGTTCCTGAAGTAAATGACGCCTCCAAACGCGACTCGGACAATGCTTCTGCGGACTTCCAGCCGGGTGTTAAGCGTGTTCGCGCTGTCGCCTCTGTTTGGTCAAAGAAGACCCTGTGGCTCACGTTTGCACTGTAAAGTCTCCCACACTTTCGAGCACCCTACGCTTGCGACACAGACGCTGACTGACTGCCCCCACTCCGATCATTAGGCTCTATTTGGTGGCCTTTGTCGACATGCTCTTGGTCTCCGTTCAATCCACGCTCAACCCGTTCATCACCTCTTCGTTTGAAAAACACGGACTCCTGGCCAGCGTCAGCATCGTCGCCACGATTCTCAGCGGCTGTTCAACTCTCACGCTGGCCAAGATTGTCGACGTCTGGGGTCGCATTGAGGGCTTCCTCTTCATGCTTCTCGTAGTCGTTGTCGCCTTGATCATGAAGGCGACCTGCAAGAACATGGAGGCGTATGTGGCTGCCCACACCCTGTACTGGACCGGCCATATCGGTATGATCTACTGTGTCGACGTCATGTTGGCCGATATGACGACCCTGGGAAACCGGATGATTATGTTCAGCATCAACAATACTCCGACCATCGCGAGTACCTTTGCCGGTCCCAAGATTGCCGACCTGTTCCTTTCCAACCTGAACTTCCGGTGGGCTTTTGGGGCCTTTGCCATCATGCTCGTTGGAGTCAGCCTTCCGGTCGTCGTTATCATGCTGTTCATGGAACGCAAATCCGTAAAGGCGGGTTTTCTTACCAAGGAAAAGTCCGGCCGCTCAGTGTTGGAGTCGATCAAATATCACCTCATAGAGTTTGACGGTATGTATACATATATTTTCTTTTCAAATCTATCCACTATGCCCCTACAAGCTATTTAAATTAAAATTAAAGCTAATTGGAGCACTATTTTCTAGTCGTGGGAATTGTCCTCATCACGGCTTCGTTTGCCTTGATTCTCCTCCCGTTTAGCATTGTGGTCTATGCCCCTAAAGGCTGGGCGACTGGATATATCATTGCCATGGAGGTCGTTGGCGTTGTGTGCGGGGCGATATTCCTCGCATGGGAGAGATTCCTTGCTCCCGTGCAATTTCTTCCTTTCAAGTATCTCAAAAACCTTACCATCATTGGCTCCTGTCTGCTATACGGAGTTATGTTTGCCTCGGCATTGTAAGTACTAGTACAACCCCGACACTCTCCCCAGCGACACAGCGGGGAAGAGAAATAGAAGTTCACAGGCCATTTCATTGAATGCTAACGTTCGCTTCAGTTGTTGGAACGCATACTTCTACTCTTACCTTATTGTGGTGTACAGGCTGACCATCACTACTGCTGGCTACGTCCTTAACTCGTTCTCACTCTCGTCTGCCATATTAGCGCCCTGGATTGGCGTGTAAGTGATTTCCTAGCATCCGGAATACCCTGGCTTACCGCCCTCAGGAAGACACTGACCGTTTCCCCCCCCCACCCCCACCCCCACCCCAACTACAGCTTGATTAGATATACCGGAAACTTCAAATGGGCCGCTTACGCCGGTATCCCATTTATGCTTCTCGGAACGGCCCTCCTAATTCCCTTCCGCCAGCCTAACACCTCCATTGGCGCCGTCACCATCACCCAAGTCCTCGTCGGCATTGGCACCAGCTTCTTCTCCGTCTGCGGCCAGCTCGCCGTCATGTCCGTCGTCAGCCACCAAGAAGTCGCCGTCGTGCTCGCAATCTGGGGCATGTTTGGCTCCATCGGCGCTTCTGTCGGCCTCGCCATTGCAGGCGCGATGTGGAACAACATCCTTCCCTCCCAGCTCTACCGACGGCTCCCCGAGGAAAGCAAGGCCATGGCCGCCCAGATTTTCGGAGACATGCAGCTGCAGATGTCCTACCTCGATGGCACGCCCGAACGGGACGCCATCGTCGGAGCGTACGCTGACGTTCAGCGAAAAATGGTTATTGCCGGTGTCTGCCTGATGCCGCTTGTCATGGCTTCCATTGTCATCTGGAGGAATGTCAATATCAAGAAACAGGAGGAAGAGGAGGGCTCTCAGACAACAGGCAATATCTTTTAAACTATATACTATCTTTCTTGCCTTGGAGGCATTCACTTGGCACCTTTCGGAGCCCATTGAGCCACAAAGCATGATATATAATTTCTCTCCCTTTATGGGTTTGAAAAATACCCAAAAGTAATACAATCGGTTCTTCGAAGGTTACTTACTATTCCCTAAGGAGGTGTGGGAGAAATAGGGTACTATGTAGATGTGTTACATATAGTTGACAAACCCCTTGGAAAAGATCCGGGGCTAGTTTAGGGGGGTCTAAAGGATTAGCTACCAAGTTAGGTGTCGAGCTTGTACTATGTAAGTTGACATCAATGAAGCTCCGGAAAACCTAGTTTCAGGAACAAATGCCCCCGAGACCGTGGCTAAGCGACAGAACGATCCGAACCTCAGGTCAGACAGGGTATCTTAAGGTTTTTTTGTCCTCTTGCTATGATTTGATAGTCCTCCTCGCGTCGTTTAATCCTGGGCAATCCCGACACCCTGACGGGGCGCTAGGGATTCCTTGTTGTAACCGTACCTTTGGCACGAAAAAATAATCGATATTAGCCCGGTAAGGCGAGAACGTTTCGTTTCGTCCTGTGTGTTAGCACTAGTGCTACTGTTCCAGCAGAGCGATATAGACTACAGACGTCATTGATGAAAATTTTAGGTTCGGTGAAACGATATTCCGTGAGCAATCTGCGAACTTCTAGCCCTTTTGTACCAATACTAGTATCACTTGTGGGGGGTCAGCTTCTACATATTGCTGAGTGGGTAGGATCAAAGATAACTGGCTTGAGGATCATCATCGCAGTGTGCAGCTCAGAATCGATATTGGTATCATGCTCCACCCACCTGTGAAGTTCTTATCTTATTACTAGCATCCTCCCCACTGCTTGCATTTGCTGACTGTTGTGCCACGGACAGATCGATACTGGCAGAAAATCGTTTCAAAACCAATGATGAAAACTTTTGACAGGCTGTATAAAACAAGATCGAGTGTTTTTTTTCTTTTTTTTAAATTAAAAAACCCTTTCTTTAGTCGGATAGCATGAGAAGCAGCATCATGCATGGTCCACCTGTTAAGCCTTGTCGCTTCTGAGGTTGAGAAGTTGGAGGACGGGGCCTTGGGCCGAAGGTCCATGATTAAATAAATGCTATTCCTTCGCATACGGTTGTTGTTTGTGTTCTTTCCTTCCAAATTATTTATCTCTGGCAAACCTATTTGGGGAAGGAAAGGATGGTGGTCAAACCATCCGTTTCTCAGGCAGGAACCACCTACACCCGCCGTCTTGTTCCTTCTTTGAATTAGGAAGCGGAAGCCCATACCATTGCGGCAGATCATGAAATCGACGGCGAAGCAGTTACACATCTCCTCGCATTTGACCATCTTCATATCAGCTTGGATTAACTGAGCTGGTGAGGCCGCTCAGGCGGTTATGTTTTGCCATTCCTTTTTCCTTTCTTTTTTATTTTTTTATGGTGATGGCGATACCTCCAAGCAACAGAAAATATAGAAATTATTCCGGGATTGTTACGTGGGCGCAAATCATACAGAAATTTGAAGATATGAACCTTGCTGGATGATAGGTACATGATATTTGGGCCGCGGGGACTGAGGGAGTGGGAACGAGCTTGATATCGGAAATCTACATCTAGGAAATTGAGGTGAGTGGAAAACCGAACTTTCCGGTCTACTGGAGCTGTGTTCTAGCTTTAAAATTGAAACTACCCGCATTGAGAGAACTTGAAGGGGAGAGGGGAGGCAGAGAATGGATGCGGCGGGATGGAAATGGAGCGGGATAAATAAGGTATTTTAATTTGATATTTAATCATGGCCCATGCCCTTTTCGCACGACCAGTCTAACTGATCAAATGAGACCAGATCACATAAAATCTTATGCGAGATTCAGGATCCCATCAGCCAGGCTGCTTACGAGTATGGTAAGAAGCTTATCGGGTGAGCGTGCCGGAATCAAAACTAAACAGCTCTTTTATAAGTAAAATGTCTAACAAATATAGGGACAACTATATCCGTTGTGATCCCAGACATGGTCACACGGCCAGTCACCTTACTTCAGTGGTAAAATGTCATGTGCTGGGAAATATGTGATAAGTGTATTGGGTGCTCGGCACGGGCGGACCAACATTAAGAATCATATAAATAGCGATGATCCCAATACTGTAATCAATCACTCAAACATACGCTGTAGAATTATGAAAGGAAAAGATGGTTCAACGTTGAGCCCTGAATCTCCCCCGAGCTCTATGCTTAGATTACATACCTAAGAGCAGCTGAGTTAAACACGTTTGACTTTGTATAAAAAGTATACCATTTTTGGTGGTGGATTCGGCGGAACTTTTCATCTAGCCTACTGGTCGAGAGCATGGTTATCGTTCAGCTGTCTTTTATCTTCAAGAATTGACTTAGATTTTGTCATTGTAACCATTCTTTAAATTCGCCACGATCAACTTGTTTCATTTCCTAGATAGTTATCCGTATTTGAGTTTCAATTTCCATACATATCTCCCACATCGCGAAAATTTTCCATGATTGGAGCAAGGCCCGAGCGCGCTTAAACTACTACTAGTACTAGTACTAATCGTGCCGCGCGCACCCACACCTGATGTGGGTGCGCCACACCGTAATGATAAAAATATGAATAATATGAACTTCAAAAATCAATATCTCAATGCTGTGTAGTTAATCTATGATAATTAATTTATCTATATCATCTGTAGTAGCAGTATTATTCATTAAACATTCATATATATCATTAATCTCTTGTTGGGTTGATTCTGTGGCATTTTTCTTCAAATCTTTCTCAATATGCTTGACTCTCTTATAATGTTGTTTTTCAGCTTTCTTCTTCTTATATTGTGTGATCTTTCTATTTGCATCTCTCATAATGAGTATATTTTCTACTTGAACCTGTTGATGTGTATTTTTGATGCTACAGTGTTTGACTGTAAAATAGTAACTTTTAATTTTACACTCTTTTATAGCATTGAATTTCATCTGTATGAGACTGCCTTGGAAAATCTTATACAATCAATTGCTCAGATGAGGTGATTTGAAATTGAGTATATTCTTCATATTTTGCATTAGCTTTTTTATTACTCAAATATGACATTGTAGCATCTCAATTGTCTTTGAAGAGAATAGTTATGAGAAGACAGTAATTGAACAGTTTGATTGAAAAGAAAAAGAATCATTTTCTTTATATATTTACAGCTCAGAGCAATTAGAGACTTTAAAATTTAATTTATCAAATATAAATTACAGATTAAAAGAGATGATATTATAATTTATAAAATCAATTTAAATAATGAAGAATTGAAAAGTTTTTTTACAGATGTTGATTAAATTCTGTAGAAACTGACATTTTTCATATTACTTATATTCATATTGAGCAGTTTGATTAACTGTCTTTAAATGATAGTATTTATACTGCTGAAATGACACCTCATAGCAGTTGTAATATATGAGTTGAATGTGAAGAAAATTCATATAGAATAATCTTGTGAAGATCACAGTATTGCAGAAATTCTTCAATGAAATGAAATTCATAATTGTTAAAAAACAACAATCAATGATTGTTTTATTGATGTTTTTTAATAATTTTATTAAAATGCTGAATTCAAGCAAAATCAATCTCATCATTGATATAGTCAGTATCTGACATTGTGATTGTATATCCACTCAGTAGATTGTTTTGTGTATATCAATTTTTAAAATGAGTTTTGAATTTCATGATGATGAAGAGATTCAATACCCCATTATCTACTGAAATACATTCAATCACAGTGATCAATCTTTGAAAATATGATGAAGTTATAACTGAATTCAAGTTTTTAAAAGCAGTAATAACTCATTCTCTACATTCTTAACCTTCTTGAAAGCCAATCTCATCAAAGTTGTAAATATCACAGATTTGAAATGTGTACTTTTGAAATAAAAATTTCAGATAATCAAACCATATTTTGATATAATTAATATTTTTTACAGCAATTCTTTTCAGATTCATTGTCTTCTGCTTCACTCTTTTATACTCATTCAAGTTTTTTATATATCAATAAATTCACATCTTGCTGATCATGAGTGGTGAGGTTGAAGAATCAATATAATGATGTTTAAAAATGAGATTTATGTTATCTTAAATCTGCTCTGCAGTTAATAAGCAATTATTTTCTGTTTATATGAGTTATTCACTCTTTCAACACATCTTTCTGACTCTTGCTAAGCTTCTTGTTCAGTGCAATTTTTGCATTGTGTGTTTTCCTTCCATTGATTTTTGCTCAAAGATATTGATAAAAAATGTTGAATTTACATATCAGAGATAGGATTTTTTGTTTTTGATTGCTATTATTGATTTCAATGACATTCTGAATATGTTTTTCAATATCATCCATCTTATTGATCATGGTGGTGATGATATATTAATATTTGAAGATTGATTAATGAAGAAGTTAATATTTTTATCATTACGCTGTTTTTATCGTTACAGTGTGGCGCACCCACATCAGGTGTGGGTGCGCGCGGCACCATTAGCTGTTAGTTGCTATTGGCGGGAGTGTTTTGTCTGGCTCTTCAATGCACACGCCGCCAGCGATTCCGTTTGACTTTCTACCTGTCGAAATCCAACTTCTCCTTCCAGGCTCTGCTCTGCCATTCCCAGCTTGGGTGATTGGATGAGCGATCTTCGGCCAACCTTCTGAAGCACTCCTACGCAGGAGTACCTGAGTCCATACTACTCCGTACATACTCCGTACATACTCCGTACATACTATTCCTTTGAAGTCCCGCAAGTGCGATGCACGGTGCGTTACGGCTGTGGCAGTGTTTGGGTTCCCGGCCAGTCACAAGCTGCAATGGGCAGGTGTGGAGTCGTTGAGCCACACCATTACATAACATCCATGCAGCCGGACAGCCGCAATCACATGAGATTGATCAGCTCTATTACTCACCTCTTCGTCGTCTTCTGTGACTCTTCTTCTTCTTATTCCTCTCGTTCGCTGTGTTTTCTACTCTCTGCCCTCGACCCTCTGTGAGGTAAGACGATCCAGGAATACGACTCCTGAAAAGGACCTTTGTTGTCGGCCGTTCATTTGGTCGTGCCAACGATCCTGGCCCCCGCCATCGTCAACGGCCAACCAACCAACCAGCGCTCATCCTAACGCCCGGTTAAACTCTGCTGCCTTAAGCCACATTCGGTGTCCTCGCTCCCCACCATCCACTTGAACTCCTCGTCTGGGTTTTGCCTCGCGGATGAATATCAAGAGCACCAATCCGTCAAAGGCCTGAGCAGGGAAATAAACAAAAAAGAAAGAGAAAGAAAAAAGAACGGAGCTGCTACGAAAACCAACGATTCCTAGATTCTCTACTAGTTTGCCTCCCCCTCTCGCCCCAATCGAGCCTCCAACCGGTCTAAGCGACCACTCACCAGTCAGTACGGCAAACGCGGGCCCGTGGAGCCAGCCTACTTTGATCCCTGGTAGAAAATTCTTTACCGTGTCCACTTCATCGCGTCTCAGATTCGAATCTCTTGAAATACTTTATTTCTATAAATAATATCCCTACATCTATAACTAGTTATCTTTATCTATATTTATAATATACCCATTGATACAACCCGCTTCTTCCAGCCTCTGGTACTTTCAATTCTGCTCCAGCGTCACTCATTCTACCTGCTCCCCTCTAGGATCCTACTTCATGCCCCGACGATAGTTGTCGACGTTGACTGGCCTGGAGGTTGTGGAAGTCGCATAAAGCAATCCTTTAGAAGAGACAGCAAGAGAGGAAGAGAGGAAGAGAGAGAGAAAGTGAGAGAGAAACAGAGAAAGAGGGAGAGAGGGAAAGAAAGAGAGCGCCAGTTGACGTTTTTGTTAATCGGATTACAAGATTACAACAACGCGATCAAAACTAAAAGCGAGCTATCCAACCTTTCGTAACAGAACGAGCACCCTCCGCAATATGGACGGCCATGACCTCCAGGATGCTGCGGGCAATGATCTCCGGAAACCCCCCCAAAAATCTCCCTTAATTTCGCCCATTCCGTCAGCCGATGCTCAACCTCCAACCCTACGTCGTGTCGGTGACAGCCCCTCTATAATGAGCCCTTCCTCCACTCCTCTTGGCCTTATCAATGCCGCCCGGAAGCCACCTACTGTTCCTCCTACCTCTACCACACGGTCCAGCGGCTTGCATCAGGATATCCAGGCCAAAATGAAGGCATTTTCACTTTCCAGACAAGGTGCTCGTCCAGGGCTGAGCCCGCAATCATCTTCAACCGCCAATCCTGGTACCGGAAACCCTACAGTGACTTCTGCGGTCCAGGGCGGCCCGTTTGTCGGTGGCATTCCTCCCACCAGTGGCCGAGGCACTCCTCAGGTAGTTGGTGGCCCTATTCCACCGGGAATCGGCAGATTACCGTCACAGACATCCCCTGGGTGGACACCGCATCCACCTAGTCCAAATCCAAATAGCCCAATACAACCAAAGATGGGTGGTTTGGCTGCGAAAAGAGGATTAACCCGTGGAATGAAGTTATCCGATGCTTCGGGCCCTCGAATGGACAAACCCACGCCGGCGAAACCGGGAAGTCTCCCCGGTGCGAACGATGCCTCGCGGTGCGCTGGAGGAGCCCCAGAGACGCAGTTCAGCAGGTACTCAGAGTTTGTGGATACGAAAACGGGTACTCTGAATTTTAGGAACAAGGCGATTATACATAGCGGTGGCATAGACTTTACCTCGGGAAGCAGTTTCAACATATCTCTAGACGAAGTCGATACGCTTGATGAACTGGGAAAAGGGAACTACGGCACCGTCTATAAGGTTCGCCACTGTCGTCCGCATCTGCGAAGACCTGGCGTGGGACTGCGGGGTACCGTATCCAGGCAAACTGTGGCCCAATCCACTTCTACGCCAGCCTCTAGCGGTCCCACCTCTAAGAATACCTCCAACGTTATCATGGCCATGAAGGAGATCCGCCTCGAATTGGATGAGGCAAAATTTACCGCTATTATTATGGAGCTTGACATCCTTCACCGCTGTGTATCGCCGTTTATCATTGATTTCTACGGTGCTTTTTTTCAGGAAGGTGCAGTGTACATTTGTGTGGAATACATGGATGGTGGGTCTGTGGAGAAAGTGTACGGCGATGGGATCCCCGAGAATATACTTCGGAAAATCACCCTTTCTACTATCATGGGCTTGAAGTCATTGAAAGATGAACACAATATCATCCACCGAGATGTCAAGCCGACTAACATTTTAATGAACACGCGCGGTCAGATTAAGATTTGCGACTTTGGTGTTAGTGGGAACCTGGTGGCGAGTATCGCGAAGACAAACATCGGCTGCCAAAGTTATATGGCTCCCGAACGGATTGCAGGAGGTGGCGGCACCGCAGGCGGTGGAACCTACAGTGTGCAGAGTGATATATGGAGTTTGGGCCTGACTGTGGTTGAATGTGCTATGGGCCGCTATCCATATCCCCCTGAAACATTCAATAACATATTTAGCCAGTTGAACGTAAGTACCGTAAACGAAACTGTCCCAAATCATCAACCACAAAATAGCGTTTATTTTATTTTATTTTATTTTCCCCCTCTTTTTGATGCCAACCCTTGAGAACAGGCCATCGTCCACGGCGACCCTCCCAAGCTCCCTGAACACGGCTACTCGCCTGAAGCCAAAGATTTCGTCCAGAGATGTCTGAACAAAGACGCGTCCCGCCGACCCACATACTCCATGCTCCTTCGCGACCCTTGGCTATCCTGCCTCATGAAGCCGCCTGAGGACAATCCACCAACCAAGGCCGAAGAAGAATGCAAGGCAGGCATCGACAACGACAACGAAAATGTCGACGATAAAGACGCAACTACCAACAACAAAAAGCCACATCCGTCTTCTCTCATTGAAACAGCCGATGAGGAAGTCGCCACATGGGTTTTGGACGCGCTGGACCGCCGTGCAAGAGGCGTCATGGGAAATCAGCACCGGCCGGCGTTGCATGCTGTGGCGCTTGATGCTGTGCCGGGGACCCCGATGTTGGACGGCCCGTCATCGTTGCCATCGAAATGAGGAGTGGAGAGGAAAGGGGATGGATGATTTGTGGGGATTGGTGGGGATTGGAATATACAATTTTGTGGTGGGAGTCAATTAAGGGTTCCTAAAAGAGTTTTGGATGTGTGGGAGTGGAAATGGGAATTGTGGATGTGAGTAAAAAGAGATGGATTGACGGTATATACATTTTCCCGCGGCGAGAGAAGGGGGACGGATGAGGGTTACGGTCTATTGCGCAGGAGTAGAGGAAGCCCAGAACAAACAAATGGAGAGGTGGGCAGACGGACAAATCGTACTGATCGGTCGAGCTGAGGAGACGAAAATATGGAACGAAACGAGATTCAAGAATGAAATTGAAACTGCGCTGGCGCGGGATGGGTGGTGGATTTCCTTTTTTTTTTTTTTATTGTCTCCTCCTCCTCTCTCTTTTTCTCTTCCCCCTTCCCCCTCTCGTCCTCCCTCTCTCGTCTATAGTTTTGTTATGTGAGTGGATTAAGGTAGGAAGTTTAGGTTATACCGTTCTTCTCTTTTTATTTCATATGTTTCCCCCTTCATCTTTAGCCAAGGGTGGTGGATTTTTTGCTCTACTTTTTCCTTTTTGCTTGTTTCCCCCACTGTCCAAAAGGGGTTACTTGTTCCCGTTACCTCTCATTGTCGTTCTCATCAAGGGCACCCTTGTTTGGCATCCCTATGGTTCATATATATAATCTGTCCATTTTTTCCTTCCCCAAGCAACATACATACACACATCTAGATATACGCCTGTGTGTATCCACCATATATACGTATATTATATCTAATTTTCTACTCTCTAATATTTCTTCGTTCGTCTTCCTCTTCTTCTACCAACACCTTCTCTTCTGATGGGTGGATATGTGTTAGTATTGATTCGTATTTCATTATCGCCTCTGCGCTTTTCATTTTCCATTCACCTCTAGGCCGTTCGTCCTGACTAATATCTCTGCGTGGGAGTTGTATTCTATTCATGGCTGCATGTGTTTCCATATGCATAGTTCGTTTGCGAACGGGCTTGAGAGGACTTGATAAATTGGGTCGCATGCGGGAGTGATTGGTGGAGGTGCAATGGGCTACATTTCTGGAAGGATATAATATATATATGTATGTGTATGTATGTATCTATATAATATAATGTAATGTAATATAACATAAATCCGCTCTTCCCAATGGCAGTATTATTTTCTATACTTTACTATTCTGGAGGTTCGAAGGACTTGTCAGACTTGGCGCATTTGTCATCGACTTGCGCCGAGGCTGAGGGCTGACTAAGCGCCGGCTTAGTTATCAATCAGCTCCATTGAGTTCGTTTTCATCTTGAAATAATTGGATAATTGATAATTGCGCAGGATTGGGGAGCGAGAAGAAGCGAGTAGCAAGGAGACTAGGCGCACTAGAGAATTGACTGGTTGGCACATTCCTTGATTGGGCAATTGACTGGGAACTGTGCAATTCTTTGCTGCTTGACTTTATACATCCCCACCCGTCTCGCCAACCAGGTTGCATCCCGCCTTTTTGTCCCTCCGTTTGCATTTCCGTTGTTATATATAGTTATATAGTAGGGAATGCCCCTCCTACGCCCCTCTTTCTGCTCTTGTTCCTTTCACTCTTCTTCTTATCCTTCTTGTGTTGCTTCCACTTTTATACGACCCAAGCTCGGATATCCCAGAATCCCTACAAACTCAAAAACAAAACCATATCACACCCTCCGCTGGCACCCCACCACACGCTTGAAGCTGGCCTCTACTACCAACACCACTCACACAAATACCTCATCCAATTTGCGCCTGCATTCTCTCGCGCGACAATTCTCCTCTTCATCCGCCTCTTCCGATTCCGTCGCGCCCGCCGATAAACCCTCATCTGCAACCATGGCACCCACAGAAGTGCACGAGTACGATTACATAGTTATTGGCGGCGGCAGCGGGGGTAGCGGCGCTGCTAGGAGAGCGTCGGGTTGGTATAAAGCAAAGACCCTTATTATTGAGAATGGGAGGTCTGGCGGGTGCTGTGTGAATGTCGGGTACGTTCTCAATATCAACATCCGGATGCCTTGCGCTCGTGAGAATGAAGTTTTTAGTTCGGGCTATAATAACTATATATATATATATATATATATACAACGTACCAATGTAGCTGCGTACCCAAAAAGATGACCTGGAACTTTTCCTCCATTGCCGAAACCCTGCGTGATGGAGTGCATTACGGCTATGACATCCCCAAGAACATCCCCTTCGACTTCTCCGTCTTCAAACGCAAGCGCGACGCCGTCATCGAGCGCCTCAACGGCGTGTACGAGCGCAACTGGAACCGTGAGGGAATCGACCTCGTTCACGGCACCGCCCGCTTCCTTAGCAAGAAGGAGATCGAAGTTGAGTTGCAGGACGGCTACGGGAAAAAAGTCCGGTACACGGCCCCGAAGATTTTGATTGCTACCGGTGGTTACCCGCTTATCCCCGACGATACATCCGGTGCGCACCACGGTATCACTAGTGACGGGTTTTTCGACATCGAGGTCCTCCCGCCCAAGATCGCGGTGGTTGGTGCGGGATATATCGCTGTCGAGCTGGCAGGTGTGATGCAGTCCATTGGCGTCGAGACCCACATGTTTATCCGTGGCCAGACGTTCTTGCGCAAATTCGACCCGATGATCCAAACTACGATGACCAAACGGTATGAAGATATGGGCGTGAAGATCCACAAGGGATTCAAGAAATTTGAAGCGGTGGAGCTCCTCAGTGCTGGAAAGGGGGCGGAGAAGAGGCTGAAGATCACTAACAGTGGCGGGGAGGTGTTTGAGTTTAACGAACTGCTGTGGGCGATTGGAAGAGCTCCAGCTATTCAGGATCTGACACTGGAGAACGCTGGAGTCCAGCTTACACCCACCGGCCATATTGCTGTTGATGAGTTTCAAAATACCTCCGTGGACGGCATTTATGCCTTGGGTGACGTGACTGGACAAGCAGAACTGACTCCTGGTGCGTTATATATTTCCGTGACCTGATTTCTCCCACTTGAGATTGAGAATCTGTGAATCTCTTACTGATATTTTCCAAACAAGTCGCCATCGCCGCCGGTCGGCAGCTCGGAAACCGCCTGTTCGGGCCTGCCGAACTCAAATCCTCCAGACTATCCTACGACGTCATACCTACCGTCGTCTTCTCGCATCCCGAAGTCGGCACGACAGGCCTGACGGAGCCTGAAGCCATCGAGAGGTACGGCAAGGAGAATATCAAGGTCTATCATACGAAATTCTCCGCGATGTTCTACGACGTTATGCCAGCGGAGGAGAAGCAGAAAAACCCGACGGAGATGAAACTTGTCTGCGCGGGCCCTGACGAAAAGATCGTTGGTCTGCATATTCTGGGCCTGGGTGTTGGAGAGATGTTGCAGGGCTTTGGGGTGGCGGTTAAGATGGGAGCGACAAAGAAGGATTTCGATTCTTGTGTGGCCATTCATCCGACAAGCGCTGAGGAGTTGGTGAGTTTTATACCCCTCTTGTTTCCTTCTTGCCTTTCTTGGAAAGGAAAGTGAATTTCTTTTTTAACCAAATCCATGCGTGGGTAACTGAAATCATTTGGTTTAGGTCACGATGCGGTAGATACGAGAAGAAGCTTAGCCAGGGCGCATATGTAACCAGTAAATAAATGATATATATATTCGTGAATACAAGTTATGTTTTAATTCATTAAGAGATAAATCGATAATATTCTGGTCATTGACTAGATATACGAGTTATGCATCAAGTCTAAACTGGTTGGGGGGACGGGGGCGGGAAAATCTGTCTCCTAGTCCACAAATCGCTCTCTAGATTAGATAGCGGGAACTAAACCCTATATTTCGAAATCAATCACAACTTCGCCGCCCTGGCCCGCTGCTTAACATCCACCGGCGTCCACCAAGGATAAACATCTGGTACATCCTCCTTATTCCCAAAGCTTCCCTTAAACACCGGCGGCCTTTTCTGCAAAAAGCTTTTGACCCCTTCTTCATTCTCCCTGCCCCCAAACATCCCATAAATAACCTTGGAATCCAACAAATGCGCCGCTTCCGCATTCCCGGGACCCCGATACATCATCTCCCTCATCAGCGTCGATGCCACGATTGATGTATTCTTCGCAATATCCGCCGCAATCTCCAGCGCGCGCGCCACCGTCTCCGCGCCCGTGGGCAGCACCTCGGAAAACAACGCGCCAAATAGAGGGTGTTCGGCTGGATATGTAGCACCCGTGGCGGTGAGGTGTAGAGCGCGGCTGTATCCGATCAGACGCGGGAGGAAGAACGAGGATGCTGCTTCCATTACCAGGCCCCGGCGCGAGAACACAAAGCCGATTTTTGAGCCGCGGGTTGCGAGGCGGATTGTTGCGGGCAGCGTCATGGTTATGCCTATGCCGACGGCGGGGCCGTTGAGGGCCATTATTGTTGGTTTGCGGCAGGAGTTGATGGCGAGGGTTACGCGGCCGCCGCTGGAGATAGGATTAGTTAATTTTACTTTACTTTACTTTTATTTCTTTCTTTCTTTCTTTCTTTCTTTCTTTCTTTCTTCTGTCTTGTGCTGCACATGTTTACAGTACGCTGGCAGGTGAAGGCAAGTATTGGGAAAGGTGGTAAGAATGCCGACAAGAACTGATGTGAAGAACGGAAAGGGAAAAGGGAGCACACACCCATCTCTATGTTCCAGTCCATCGTCACCAGGATTAATTCTCGATCCATCGCCGGATGAGCTCTTCGGAAACCCGATCTCCAGATCCGCGCCGGCGCAAAACGCCCGCCCTGCTCCCGTCACCACAATGGCTTTGACGCGGTCGTCCACGTCAGCCGTATTGAAGAACGAAATCATCTCCTCTGCCATCGTCCCTGTGAACGCATTGAGCTTATCGGGGCGATTGAGCGTTAGGAGCAGGACTGGAGTGGCCGTCGGGGAGCTAGCGGGTACATGATCGACCTTTACGTGCAGGGTTGGCAGCGCCGAGTAGGATGCAGGGACTTGTATGGACATGATGTTGGGAGGATAACTAGTCGTTTGTTTATGATAATCAGGCTTATGAGGATCTAATATGAAACTGTCAGCTCTGCTCAGACTTGCCTAATAAGTCTCCGGCGCTAAGTCTCTGACGTGGTGTTTCAATCGCGTCAGCTTCTACGAACATGTTATTGTCTATGCAACGGGGTGCATAAACCGAAAAAAAAATAGGGATCCCATACCGTGACTTTGTAGATATATATTATTTGCACTATATTACCCTGTACAAATAATGGCTCTTGGCCAGTTTATGGAAATCTTCTCGTTCCTCCCGCTATCCGCAAGATGGATGGAGTTGTCTCGTCGCCTTTAACCGGGTTTGACAAAAACACAACCTCGGCACTTTTGGTTGTTCTTTGGATGACTAAACATGCAATAGCCGAAGATTCGGGAAGACATTGCCGGATATGCCGAGCTATCTTTGAGGCGGACAAGTAGGGCTGAAATAATCATTTTTCTCTATTTTGATGGATTTTATACAATAGCGATTGAACAAACAGTGGTATCATCCGTCATCCCCCAGCCTGTATTCTCCAACAATTGCCAATGAATGAATAAACCTCAGCAAGCGCCAGGAATCCTCCTATATAATTCCAACCCCATACAATGCTGGAGCGCTTCCACCATCGTCTGGCCCAATCATTGGACCCATCGAACCTTCGACTTCTAGTTTTGATTCCTCTCCAAAATTTCACACTGAGCACGGTAGGGGTCGGAAACCAGATGCCCAAAATAGAACTGGCGTGGCAGCACTCGAAAACTTGTGGGTTGGAGTGATCTGCGTGATGACCACGAGCGCTTGTTGATGAGCAAGTGCAGCAGTTATGGCGTGCTTGCCGTACGGGATTCGGATGTAGAAAATATGAAAAGGTGGTGTCTATGAACACCTTCTACGTTTTATCGTTGGTCGTGATCATCGTCAATATGGGTAAATCTTCCTCTGTGGCACAGTCTGCGACCAAGCCAACCAACCTGTCACTCACCCATTTCTGACATATCGAACGAGTAGCTCCAATCATACAGGCGAAAAGAGTTATCCCATTCGTTCTATCCGATAGGGTTAGTAGATAAATTGCTTGAAAGTGAAAAAAGAAAGGGATAAGCCGGGGTGGATTCAAACCCGGTCCCTCTCTTGTATATTCATTTCAAAACGTACCCAGTCTATCTCTTGGGGAAATTGGACAAAGTTACGAATCGTCATGATTTCCGGGCTAAAAAACATTTCCTCCGGATCAATTAAGCCCATTTCACTAATCGGAATCGGCACAGGGATGGGTGGCGTCTGAGTGTATTCCCCGTCCTGCGGATTGAACATGGGTATTGTTGGTGCTGCAGTTAGGGTTCCGAGTCCTATCTCTTGTAAGTATCGTATACACTAAGCCCCCACAGATACAATGATACATACCAGAATGAGCCCTTGCGTCTAGCGGCACCATTGCATTCGCCTGCTGCACCGGCGCAATTTCATTCATGATGTTGTTTGGCATCGGGAGCATTAATCCCACCTTCTGGAGAATGATATTCAACACCTTACACGCCCTTGCGGCACGTTTAGAGGACACTGCGGAAACACTTAATATAGCATACGCAGACTCCAACAAATGCAACATCTCCGACCTTCTCTCCGGTGTCATATTATCAATGGCAATATCGCCAACACCGCCAACACTCTGCTGATTTAGACGGTCCAGGTACATACAAAGAATCATTGCAGAAAGGAGCGACTCATGCGCTATGAGCGATATTCTTATCCATTTGAATTGATGTAGCATGCCCCCCGGCTGCGACTCTTGATGTAGAACCGCTTGCTGTCGCAGCGTCGTCATTGCTGCCTCAATGCACGTCTGGCGCGAGTACATGTACTGCGGATTGTTCCAGGAGAGGGTGTAATATTTGCGGTGCAGCATACAACGGGCCTTTTGGTACATGAGATCAAGCATTAATCGACGCCTGATTAAGCCTGGTGATTCGGCCACGGCGGATTCCGTGGGGTTCGCCTTGCTTGTCGTTGGTATGACTCGGCAACTATCCTGCAGGGCCTTGTCCAACTGCAATATTTCCTCATACGGCGCAAACTCTTTTGTGTTATTCAAATCTACAATCGTACCAAAGACGATTACCAGTGCCCTTTTCACAATTGTGAATGCAAGCAAGGGGTTGGCCACGTCCGGTCTGGAAGGTGGGAGTTCCATAGTGGTTTCATCAATATCTTCATCGCGGATACAACGAGGTAAGTCGGAATCCATCTGCGACGGTTGGATCATACGAGGCAAACTCGCATCTACCGACGTGAGAAGATCCATGTGAAATAATATCGTCCATGAACGTCTTCGCATCTCGCCTTCCAAAATGGACAGTCCGGGATGGTGTCGAGCGTCACGATGGTACCCTTTACGCATAGCAATGCGAAGAACTACCCCAAAGAGAAGCCAGCAGGGTAATTGCATATCCGGGTTTCGCGTATACTCTGTGAAGAAATATAGTATCAGAGCTTCGACCGCATGGGGCGGACCAGTGGCATAGTTTCCAGCGAACAAGCAATGAACGGCCAATTGGCGATATTGATCCATTTGCTGGTCGGGGGCTAGAAGCGATTCTGGCATTTGTTCTCCAGAGTTGGTGACGATGCGAATAGAGCTGCACATCATACTAAAGAGCTTGCTAACCCATATTATCGGCGCAGACCAGGGATCCTCCCAGAATAGATCATACTGCAGACAGGTCAGCCGCCCTAGCAACCAAACAAGTTACGGCCAGCGGGAGGAGGAAAGAATAGAGATAGGTACCTCTTTTCGAAAGCTTGGACGATGGATGACAACTATTCGTTATTCGGATGTATAAGCACTACTGATGAATAGAAATTGTGTGTCTGGGAGAAAAGGAAACTCGCACCTAACGGTTGATCATTGGAATTGAAGTATCGAGTTATTAAAAAGTCCACGAGCGGCCTCGGGGGAACGCGGTCAAGTATTTCCATCTGGGTCAGCCTCCCACAACGGCCACTGAGTAGGTCTGTTTCGCAGTGGCCAGCCTCAGGCGTCGTCTCGGAGACATCTACTTCGCCTTGATCTGCGAAGTAACCCTTCAATTCGCCAATCTGGAAGATGTCACAAGCAAAGGGTACGAGTCAGTATATCACACAGAGAGTTCATCAACGAAAGCAAAATGGTCATGAATTCGGCAAATAAATTTCTTGAGATAGAATGGGCGGTTGTTATAGACTTAAATGAAAATAAACGCGTACATCAGCCAAAATCGAATTCCAATGACCACTTTCAAAATATCTCGAATCACCACCACTCGGTAGGCTCAAATTCTGCATCGGCTCTGCAGATTCAATAATGGGCATGGCCGGATCATCGCTACTTCCAGGGCCCGTAGAACCAGAGGGGTCATTTCCGAAGTGATATCCAACACGGTGACCGCGGACAACTCCATCGGACCGAGATTCTGGCGTGCTCCGCGATTGGGAAGACGCTGGAGATTTCTCTTGCACCAACGATAGAACTATCTCCTCTAGGTGTTGAACACGACTTTGCATGGTAGCTTTGTCTACAGGCCGACGGATCCCCCTGGTCTGACCAGGTGGCGGGGGGTTTGCGTAAACACAGGTTGCCCCTCGGCCGCGGGTCGAACAGTTCTCGCATGGCAGGTTGCGGTCGCACTTTAGTCTTGCGTCTCCTGGTTAGCTTGGCGTATTGAGCGAAATATAAAGGGATTTTCATTGATTCATCTTGTTTTCCAACGCACTTCTTCTGGCGGCACGTCGTGCAGGAGAGCTGGGGTCGTTCTCGTCTTCTTTGGGGAGGTTTTCTGGGAGGGACGTCATCCTGAGAAAGCGCCGCTGTTGCGGAAGGGTTTAAATTAATCATTATCGTAGCTGGAACAGCGGATAAGGGAAGTCATTAAGCACATCCATTAGTTGGATACATAAGCCCCCAGATGATGGTGGCCTAACCCAGTTATATAGAACGGCCACTTTTAGTCCCGGTTGAAAGCAGTGTTGGCTTCTTCGCTGCGATGCGGAGGCCAATTTGAACCCGTACACAGGGTTCATTCCCGTTTCTTAGCCCTGACACCTTGGCAGAAAAAGCAACTCGTGGCCAAGCAAACCAGATGTTGGCCAGGCAGCCAGTGGGCAGCTAGAGTGAAAGAAAGATTAAACTCTGGAAAAGTCTCCGGCAGCTTGACCTGTTGAATGGTGGGAATTCCCATCAAGGGAGGGCTTCATCTGTGACATCAAACCGAGAGCCGAAAAAAAGGGGAATGCCGGTTGAAACTCGGCTCAGAATCATGGACAAGAAGGATTGATTTTTTCCAGCAAAGAAGAATAAAGCTAGCACCAGCTCCCAATCTTTTTGATTTGGGGTGTTTCTGCGTGTCGGATTTCTGATCAATGAGGTGCGAGTCTTCGCTGGAGACTGGCTCTTTGTGCTAGATATCTCGAATAGCAACATAACCCATTCTCATTATGTTTCCCCAAACAAAACCTGAAAAGATTCTCAAATCCCTACAAGGTTTCTAAAATTAATACATTTGGTGAGAATCAGCCGAGGCAGGACAATTCTTAGTATGATTTAGTTGCGCTCAGTCCTGCCAGGGTAGACAAACTCTAAATAGGGATAGCTAGTTAAGCTAGGGGTGGTGATCAATGCCGAAGAAAAATCGTCATCGGTACAACTCAGGGTTGCGGGTGTTGCCAATTTGAATGCGAAAACTGAAAGTACTAAAGAGAGGAAATGGAGCGAAATCATGTCGATTACAGCCGCAATTTCCCGGAGCATAATGAAATACGGAGTAGATCCTGGGTTCCCACAGCCACACAAAACCAATAGAATCAACCAGTTACAACTGCGTTTCGGTCGCGTTCCCAGTCTCTCTTCAGTTCCTCTAGCTGAGCAACCCAGATGTCCGCAATGCTAGCGGCAGATTGCTGCTTCTCTGAGGCCCGTCTCAACTTTGACAGGGCCTCGTTGCTGTAAGTTTTCGGCCTTCGGCCTTGAAAGCTGAACGGGTAAAACGACAATGATCCTTCCAATATACATATGATATTTGCAAAAATCAGCGCTATCGAAGGATCCCTTTCATCCCGAAAGTAGTGAGATCCGCACAATGGAGATTTTTCTACAGCGCGGGAAACGATTTCACCAATCGGTTGCAAGCGGGCTCGAAACGAATTTAGAAGTTCCCGTGCGTAACTGATCTGATTAACTTGTTTGCTGACCACAAGTTCAAACGCGGTTTCGGCCTGCCTATACCGGGACTCCAGGATGGCCTGTTCTGAGGCCGAGCGGTGGTGAAAAGGTATATTTAGTGCAGCCTTAATTCTACCGCCAAGACTATCAAATTCGTTCATGGCAGAATGAGCTAACATCCTTCTTATCTGCGCAAGTTCCCTGTCGATATCGTCAAAGGCAACGGATCCATGGGCCATGAAGAGGGAGTCGATCAATTCTCTGGCCTGTCGCATTACAACCAAAGTGTGGTTGCATTCGAATTCTAGTTCATGCTTTGAACCCAGGTCTTCTGTCGTTAATAAATCACAAAGTTCAACGACTTCCGATTCGCCGTCCTTCAGGAGTGTGGGAAGCAGCGAAGCCGCTTCGGTCGACGGGTTGAGCACTTGCCCAAGTCTGGCACGAGAGTCTAAAATAAGCTGATAACGGCGGTGTGATTTCGACGGGCTAAATGCCTCTGACCCTGATTGTCCTGATTGTAATGGAAATGTGCTCTCTGTCACAACGGGGGAAAATGATATCTTCGCCAAGTATAACGAGAGGAGTAGGAATACCCCAACCAACAAAGGATTTCTATAATATCTCTGATTCTCTTTGAGGTGTGAGGGGGACCTTTTGCCCGGGATTTCGTCACGTCTCTTTTCATTATCGCCAGTAGATTCCGAAGGCACTTGGTTGGGTGCGCTCCCCGGTACCGTCCCCCGCGGGCGCTGAAGACTAGACGCATCAGTGGATGAACGGGGGACAAACCACGAGCTATCTGGAGTAAAACCCTCGTGTAGAGATGGCATAATGAGCTCTGGGCCTGGTATTGATACCATAGAAAGATCCTGGGAGAAATGGGCCGGTTGCATTTGGCTACTGCGCGCGGATGCAGCGTGATCTGGTCTAGTTGATGGATTGGACGATGGAAAATCCAACTCAGGATAGCTTTCATCATCACTATCAATACAGATTAACTGATCTGCGTCTTCTAGAGACCAGCTCGCCCACGATTCTCCCAGGCAGCGGGATGTCTGAGGCTGACTCGAGGATGCCATATTGGCGGGGTAGATAGCAAGGCGTATCCAGTCTCCAGATAAGGAACGGACAAAGCCAGTGAGATTAAGGAAAACTGAATCTGAGTATCGCGGGGGCCGAGGAGGAATCTGGTACTCTTTATAGATAGTTATGCCGTATTTTGGGGGAGTTGATGCCTTCGTATTAACTAACCCTTATAGATCGGTGGCAGCCTGGATTCGATAAGCAAAGGAGGAAATAAATAAACGTGCTCTCATCAGTTGTGCTTCGCAAATACCATATATCTCTGGGATGGGAAAAGGAAGTAAACTGCTCCAACAATGCGCTGGTAATCCGTCGGACCGTTGGTGTTGTTGGTTGGGGAACACGCGATGTTTGCGTTCTTCAGGAAACTCCGCAGAATTTTTTGATTAAAATATTTATTTCACCCAGTCTGCGAACCACCCAAACATGTCCTCATAGCGAACGAACGCCGCGACATTCCACCACACATGAGGCCGCCCAACGTCTTTCCAGGGCGATGGCGCTTTGTTCCCATCAATTCCGCAGCTAGTATCCGACCTCAGTGGATACAGAAATACCATTATTATCCCGCTAGCCTCGCCGGAAGCAGAAACTGCTCTTGCACTGCGTCGCAGCTTTCGCAGACCAACGCTGGCCAGCTCCTCAGAAACAACAACAACGACAACGACAACGACAACGACAACCACAATAAAAGCGATGCACCTCATCATGGCACCTATTCGCACACACATACCCTTCCCCCAGCAGACCACAGAGTGGTAGGGACTGAGCAAGAGCTCTTCGTCACCTCCCAATACAGCCCGGGATCACCACTATTCCTCCCTAACGGAACCCATATCCTCAACAAACTAACTTCCTTCCTTCGAGCACAATACACGCAATACGGCTTCCTCGAGGTCCTGACGCCGAGCATCTATAAAAAGTCTCTGTGGAAAGTCTCCGGCCACTGGCAAAACTACAAGGATGACATGTATGAGGTACGGGGGCGGAACGCAACGGGCGAACAAACGGCGGAAACGCAGATTGGCGAAGACGAATCATACGGCCTTAAGCCCATGAATTGCCCCGGCCACTGTTTGCTCTTTAAATCGCAGAATCACTCCTATCGCGAGCTGCCTCTCCGCTATGCGGATTTCAGCCCTCTGCACCGCAATGAGATCTCCGGCTCGTTGAGCGGACTTACCCGCGTCCGCCGCTTCCATCAGGATGATGGCCATATCTTCTGCAGGCCGCAGCAGATTGGCAGTGAGATTGAGTCCGCGTTGAAGTTTACTGATACTGTGATGAGGACGTTTGGATTTGAGAATTACCGTCTTGTTCTATCTACGCGACCGGAGAAGGATTTCATTGGCAGTGTTGAGCTGTGGGATAGTGCGGAGCGGCAGCTAAGGGATGCTTTGGAGAAAAGCGGCCGGTCATGGGAACTCAATCACGGGGATGGTGCATTCTACGGGCCGAAGATTGACATGCAGATCCAGGATTCGGATGGCAAGTTCCATCAGCTCTCCACTATTCAGCTAGATATGAACCTGCCACAGAGATTCGAACTAGAGTACGCTGTTCCAGAGGGTGAGGAGGACTACGATCCGGAAACCCCGGGGAGAGCAGTGCCGGTCTTGATCCACCGGGCCATCTTCGGCTCCCTCGAAAGATTCTTCGCGCTTCTCATTGAGAACTATAATGGCCGATGGCCGTTCTGGCTCTCCCCTCGCCAGGGAATCATCCTAACCGTTTCGCAGGATGAGAAACTCCTACAAGCAGCGGATGATGCGGCGGCAAAAATGTCCGGCTATTGGCGGGTCCTCAGTAGCAGTGGGGATGCCAACTCAACTCCAGCGCCTCCAAAACCACTATCACCAGCGCGGACAACATTTCGTATCGACCTGGATACCTCTGCCAGATCTCTCGGGAAAAAGATCCGCGAAGCCAAGAAAATGAAATATAATCTGATTTTCGTCCTGGGGGAGAAGAATCTGGTGGATGGGAGTGTCGATGTTGATCTTGGCGGGCAGATGATGATGACGCTTGGGAAGGGAGGGGTGAATTCTGGGGCAACCAGCCATCTTCATCTTCTTGTTGACACGCCTTGCTGGGACGTCACAGGAGTTCCGGATTTACATGGTGGAGCTAATGCCGTGGCGAACGCGATGAAGATGAAGATGAAAGTGGATGATGTGTATAATTGGTTATTGCGCCTGGAAACGACATTCCATTGAGCCTGTGGCTTGGACTCTTTTGATTTATTTATATATATTTTTTATATCTGTACTATATACATTTGCTTTGGCGGCATTATCCTCCCCACACACAGGATGTGCGCAGGCACATAGCCTCCGGATCGGTGTTGCCAAGGACGTTGCTCATAATAAGATAACCAAGTATCCTTCCTCCCTCGTACCATGTTCTATGCCGGCGCTACTCTGAATACGGCAGCCATGATGAAGCAAGCGCCTCTTACTATCATCGAGTCGCGTTGAAGCATCCATCGTCCAGGGGTGCCATTAGGCATCCAGCCGAACGTGGGATTCAACAAGTCGATCGAACCTGGCTTCTTTACAGCTCATTTGGAAACGGAACCTTTAGACATTGATTCCAACATTCCAACACAACAACCCTTGATTAAAAAACTGCATACACCAGAACCAACTCGCCGAGGAGATTCGCAGGGAATAAGACGCCTTGAAACGGGCGGCCAGGGATATGTCCTGGCCCTTCTCCCAAAGCATGGTAACTGGGTAACTGGGACCTTAAACCTTGTTGGGATTTTTGTTAGGGGGTACTACGGCTACCCTATCACGTGCCCCCCAACATATCCATGGATTGTATTGCTCTCGCGTAGTTAGTTTAGTAAGGACAACTAACGTTATCCTCCTACAATTTTGCACAGCAGATGGTCGTCGACCACTGGCTCAACTTATCGGGCCGACCCACGGTCACTAAGCTCAGAATTCCCAGCCATCGGTGAGCTGGTTGCGGATGGGGTTTCGGCCTTAGTGACTTCCCCGCCCAGTCGCAGCATGCAGGTTATCCAGCCATATCAGGACACACTGCACCGCGATATTTTGTTTCAAATCTGCGGAGGGACCAGTCACGGCCAAACGCTGGTTGCAGACCCCCTGCCGCGCACCTCTCACAGCTGAATTGCCATTTCGGCAACTGGCGTTCACTGCAGCTGGGGGGATGGCGGAAGGATTCAATTTCTGCCGATTTCGCCAGTGGTCTTACGGCCGTAGCAGGGTCTTGGATATCAGTTTCTTTCCAAGTTGATTGTGCAGATGTAATTTGTATGGTTTATCGACTCAAGTCGTGGTTAGTTCAACAGTGCCAGGACAAGAACTAAGTTAAGGATTTCGACGGTTAAACGTTGCCAAAGTCGAGAGAGGTATATAGACAGTGTCTCTGTAATTGTACACTAGTTATTGTACTAGTACATCCATGCTCTGCGGCCATTTTGCCAACTCTTCACGGAGTTATACAGCAGGGGCGGCTGGAATTCTGTCCAAAACCGTGATAAGAGTGCCAGTGTCTGGAAAAAAATCTGTCTATATCCGATTCTAGGCGCCCGCTACATCTCCATACATCTCCATTCCATATCGAGTTGCTACAATCGGCTAGCTACCCATGAGATCGCTCAATCCCTAATCTGTCGAAAACTCCATACATGCTAATATCAGCATCAGCAACAAATTGCTTTTCCCCATCTGAATGGGTGTAGACTCCTTGAATGACAGGTATCTGAACCAACCTTCTGCCCCTCCACTGCTGAGGAAGTCCATGCACCGCACTGGTTTGCTTCGGAACGGGGTGGATCAATCCTCCAAGGTAAGGTGGGGGAAGAACTTATTATTCGAGTGCGTTTTATCCGTCTCACGCGGCGATTTTCCACGCATGAGTGTCCAACTCGCATTCTTCACCTTCACCCCACGGGGGATTCAATGCACAATGAATCGCAATCAGCATAACTAATACCTAACTGTGCCAAGCGCTACTCACTACCATTAGTGAGTGCGCCACAGCGTACGGAAAACCACATCGTACAGAAAATATTATGAATATAGCAATCTTCAAAAATTAATTAATAACCACCACCCTGTCTATCTATAATATAAAGATCATCTATATATTCATTACAAGGTGTAGAATCCACTGTAGATTGAGATTCAGTAGATTTATCTTGTTTTGATTGAGTGGCAGTTGATTTCATGAGTTTGATCTCAATCATCTGAAGAGTTTTATTGAACTCTTTTTTCAATTCATCAGCTCTACACATTGCAATCTTGTGATTCACATTTTTTATAATGAAAACTTCTTCTACTTGCACCTGCCTGCAGAAGGATTTGACAACTCAACATTTATTTACATGATAATGAGCAGTTAATTCACTTTTTCAGTGCATGTTCAATTCTATCTGAATCATACTATTTTTGAAAATCTTATTCAACTGTTTAATTAATTTAAATGTAAGAGTATTCTTTACATTTTGTAAAACCTTCTCTGCTGCTTCAATTTGACAATATAGTTTTGCAACTGTATCTGAAAATGTTAATTGTGAAGATGCAGTTGATGATTGATTTGCAGAAAGTGGAGTAAATTAAGAGCATTCATTATCATCATCATTATAAACAATAAAATTCAGATTGTTATCAAGAGTAAAAGATTTCAATTGATTAAGTATTATATTTTGATTAAGTAAGTAGATTTCAAAGTCTGTAAAGCCAGCTTTAATTGTAGCAGATTTGAACACTTGCAGTCAGACACTCTTCAGATTGATAAGAAATTGCCTTTCATCATATTGCTCATATCTGTAACAGACAGCCTTGTTAACTACTTTTATATGTGTCACACCCTTGGTTGTGCCAAGGCCCCGTGACGGCTCCACACGGCCCATCGCTTCCCCTCGGATAATCCCATCTATCCCATAACGTCACGCAGGTGTCCGAACCGGTTTCTAACCACCCTATGACATCATTCGGATGCAATAGAAGAGGATCCGATTGATGGGATATGAGAATCCTGTTTCTATACGGGGTCAGTAGATTCCTTCTGGCAGATCAATGGAGCGCCACTGCGGAGTTGCTTCGGCTACCCTCGCTCATAGAGTGAGAGGAGGATGGCTGCCCGTTGTCTATATAGAATAGCTAGATGCTGGCTCTCTATTCCAGGAGCCAGCGATTCGTCTTTTATCTTTTGACAATAAGATATCAGAGTTACCACTGTCCTCATACAATATTCTTAGTGTGCCGAGTACCTCTGGTAGTTCAGTATTTGTATAGTATTCTACGAGTTCGCGGTTCAAGCGAGATAATCAAGCCCACCCATAAGGCTTCCCATTATATACCATCCTCCTCTGTGCCGCTGCCGAGTAGCAATCGCCTCGGCGCCGTCACATTACAATCTGATAATGCTTATATTATTGAAAAGACATGCCATCAAGAGATTGTAGAATATAATTTGTATAAAATGAAAATTCAAATATAATGATTTTATGAAAATTGCAAAAATGAAGGAATTCATCTGTAAAATGAGATTCATAATTATCAAAAAATAATAATCAATGACTGCTTATTTAATGTTTTTTTATAATTTCATTGAACTATTTGAGCCATTCAAACACAATCTCATCATTAATGAAGACAATGTCAAATGTGATTATAGTATAATTATTCAATAGATTTAATTATATATATTAATTTATAATCAATGAATTCAATATTATATTATCTGCATTGACACACTTCATCATTGTTATTAATCTGTGAGAATATGAAGATTGTATGACAGTATTTGTATTTTGAAAGACAGTTATAACTTACTGTTCATGTTTTTCTTTTTTTTAAAATTCAATCTCATTAAAGTTGTAAATATCACATCCGAAGAAATGATATTGATTGAGAACAGATTTATATTAATTGAATCAATTAATGATGAAGTTTATATTCTTATTAAATATTCATTTTGAATTTATTGACTTCTGCTTTATTCTTTCATAGTCATTTAACAGACATTTTATAAATTGATATATTCACATCTTGCTCACAATGAGAGGAGGAGTTTCAGAATCTGTATGATGTTATTTAAACATTCAATTCACAGCAGCTTCAATATACTTAATTATGAGTGAGCAAAAATTAACATTCATCTGATGAATTCACATTTTAATAGCCTTCTCCTGGCTGTCATTCAATGCTCAATTGAGTGGAATCCTCATAGTCCTTGATTTCTTGCCATTAAGCCTTTCATATAAGATTGCATGTGAAACTTTGAATTCTCACAACAGAGACATGATTTTTAATGTTGAATTCTTTTTAAATATATCAATGGCATTTTGCAATTGCTCTTCAGTGTAATTGGAAGATTTAGACATGATGGTGATGATTAATGAATATTTAAGAATGAAGATTGATGATATTCATAATATTTTCTGTACGGTGTGGTTTTCCGTACGCTGTGGCGCACTCATTAATGGTAGTGAGTAGCGCTTGGCACAGTTAATAAGCATGGATGGGAGTGTGGCCGACTCCCGCCTAGTGCGCCACCCGCCCAGGCGCCCTCGAGACAGCCGAATTGTGTCTGTTGACATGACATAGATTTGGGGGTTTAGGGTTAGGGATAGATTAGGGGTTGATTCGTTGGGGGGGAGGGTGAGAAAGAGAGAAATGCAAAAACTGGTTGGGGACTTGAGCCGTGCCATGGTTGACCGTCCGAGCCATGCCGAAAGTTATTCCTGCCGAGTCTTTGAAACCTACGGCAGCCGATAGTGACAAATGTGTCAAATAGGTTTTTTATACTAGTGTTACACACCAATCATATTCATTCTATTTGTAATTGAATAGAGCTTGTTAATTATAGGAAGTGCATTGCTAGATATCATCTTCAATATATATCATCACTGTGATGAGATAGCACTACAATCACTAGATTATCCATAGTGAGAAGTCAACATAACCATTTGTTAAATGGTTGTGCTTATAGTGATATGTATACCCATGGGTGTGGTGCTGTGGCCCGGCCCACTGCGGGCATGGCCACTGAACCCGCCACTGATACACTGCGACCGCCAGCCGCAGCATAGTGGGGAACCACATCACTGTACATTATAAAACAGTGAATTTACATCATCGCTAGATATCATCGCTAGATATCATCGCGATATCATCATTAGATACAAGTGATAGATATCATTGTTAATACATATATATATATAGTTTCCACACTATGCTAAGTAGTTGCAGTGTATAGATGATGGGTTGGGTGGTCATATCTGCTGTGGTCCGGTCCACAGCAGATCCATGGATATATATAAATATATATACGGAGTACACATCATCATAACTTCATAAGCACAATCATTCAACAAATGATTATGTTGACTTTTTGCTATGAATAATTTAGTTATCATAGTACTCGCTTATTATACTTAATGATGGTATTCATGATGATATCTAGTAATGATATATGTTAATAGGATATATATTATATATATATCTATGGATGTGGGTGGTGTGGCCTGGCCCATAGCAGATGTGGCCACAACCCATCATCTATACACTGCAACCAGCAGCCACAATAGCGTGGAAACCTATATTGACAATGATATCTATCACTTGTATCTAATGATGATATCTCACGATGATATCTAGCGATGATATCTAGTGATAATATCTCATGATGATATTCAGTGATGATATCTACAATGATGTAAATTCACTGTTTTAAAATGTATTCTGTACAGTACTTAGAGAATCCAAGGTGTATTGCTTTCTAGTATAAATTTCTATCAGTGTATGTAAGTGGAATTAGGTAATTACAGTGGAAAACATGTTAGGACGGCTACCCTATCACGTGCCCCCCCAACATAGATGGTTTAGTAATTGACAACAACGTTATCCTTCCTACAAAACATCAAAAAAACCCATTTGACACATTTGTCACTATAGGCTGCCGTAAAACCCCAATGCTCAAAGCAATTCATCCATTGCTCTCAAGGTTTGACGCCGCCTGCCGCAACTATCCCGTTCTGGTCAACCCCAACTCCAGGCAAAACCCTCCAGGGCAGCTTTCGAGATAAGCTGCTTTTCGCAAACATCACTCCCTCCCTTTCTCCTATGCCCCCTCGTCTTCTCAATTATCCGCCAACCGATGCCTGAAAACACTGGCAAGCCTGGTGTGACCAGGAAGAGTGCTTTCTCCTGTGAAGCATGTCGAAAACGCAAGGTATGGTGGCTGTAGTCATGCTTTGTCCCCCGTCTAGGCCCGCCTTTTGCCTGCTTACGGTTCCACTCGACGCCGGGATCGTCGTTGTTGATTGCTTGTTTTCGAGACAAGTCGCTGTTGACACAGCTTATCTGCCCTAAACGTGGGGCAATACCGATTTGTCTTTAGGTCAAATGCAACGGAGCCAACCCCTCATGCTCGCGATGTACCGCACGTGGAGAAACCTGCGTCTATAGCCTGTGAGTCGCTAATAATTAGAGTAACAACGGCACCCCGATAAGCCAATCATTTGGTTTATTATGGCCCTATTATTGTCACCTCGTGGAATAAGCAAAATAAAAAGAAAAAAAGCAAATTTTGGCGTAATTTTTTCTTTTGTTCCCAATAATATCAGAGCCTCTGCTAATTATGTTGGTGTGTTTTCCTTTCTTGACTTTACTTCTTCTGCAGAACACCCACCTTGTCCTATACAAAGACCCTTGAAGCTCGCGTGGCTGAGCTCGAAGCAACCATCGCACAACTAAGAGGCGGCCATGGGAATGCGGATGACGCGACAGGGCCACAGAACTCAGAGCATCAACAACACCACCTCCATCACCAGCAGAAAAATAATATCGAGGAGTCCCAGCGGAGAGCGTCAGAAAACACCAGACCCCGCGATGCGCGCGATGCGCGCGATGCCGACGACAACCAGCATATCCCGAGAGACTTGGTTAGAGGCATTGACGGATTGAAGGTTGGAGATGATGGACGCATCTCTCTCTACGGCCCGACCAGCCTGTTCCAGCTGCCTAGCAGTCTGGCGCGAGAGAACACGGACGCGTTGTCTCCTGTTGCTTCAGAGCTCGATAGCCGAAAAGAACGGCTCATTAACAACGCGTGGAGGGAGAGGGCGTTTGAACAGTTGACTACCATCCCTGTAAGAGGATACCGATTCCATTGTGTTTCTATTTCGGTTTTCTTTTCCTTTTCGATATGGGAATTAGAAGATATACTGACCTGACCCAGGACCCGTTCCAACACCTACTCGATTCGCATTGGTGCTGGGTGCATCCGCTTTTCAACTTCGTTTATCGGCCGGCATTTACTCGTAAGTATATTCCCGCTTAGAAATATTCCACCCGTTGTTTTTTTTTTTTTTTTTTTTCCTTTTGTTTCCGGCCCATCCACTATTAAGGATACCTTTTTTGCTCATTTGTTGTTCTGCAGGCGACATGAAATTGAACGGCCCGTATTTCTCTGAGATTTTGTTGAATGCCATCCTTTCTCATTCAATGAGATGGTGCAAGAACGAGCCGAAAATAGCCAACCAGATCAAAGAGCTTGACTGTGGAAACAGGTTTCTCGATAAGGTCTGTTTCGGTTTGTTCAACTCTCTGAAGGCCGGTAATGGCCAAATACCCATTGTGCAGTCACTGCTCCTTTTAAGCGCGGAAGAATGCGGTCGCGGAAACAGGACCCAGGCTTGGCTATACAGCGGCATGGCATTCAGGTTAGTTGAGGACCTAGGCATCACGATTGATAGCAGAAAATATTCGAGCGTACGGTTCTCCGATGAGGATATCGAGATTCGCAATCGCCTGTTCTGGACTTGTTACTTTTGGGACAAATTGGTTTCTCTCTACTTTGGCAGGTCTCCTATCATTCAAGATACTCCTGTCAGCCCCCCGCGGATATTGTGTCAGTAACCCCTCCTGGTTTTCATATGAGGATTTTCTCTCTTTTTTTATTTATTTTATTTATTTATATTTTTTTCAAGCAACTGATGATGCAAATATTGACAGTGGATGACACGGCTGAAATTGAGATTTGGACGCCTCACGGTGTCGTTTTCCCCGAGGGCACACACTATCCACCAACACAGTCCCATGCAACCTCGTGCTTCATGAAGATGTGCTCCTTAACGGAAATCCTCAACCAGATTATAATCCACATATACGACCCGGTCCGAAAAAGCACAGAAGCTGAATTCCAGACCTGCCTCGTTCAACAAAGTAGCAGTCTCGAAAGGTGGTGGGATGAGCTTCCCGTTTTTCTAAAACTCATCATTGACAACCTCCCGCCCTACTCTCCGCCAAGCCATATTGTTACTCTAAAGTATGTGTTTTCTTAACATGTTTTCAATCCATTCAAAAAAAAAAAAAAAAAAACAAAAAAAAAAGGCACCAGAGAATGCCCGTAACTCATACTTTGTTCTAGCTGCATCTATCACACGACGAATATTCTCCTCCACAGGCCAGCCCTGTGTTCCAGGCCATTTCGGGGCGCTGCCGAAGAAACTCACAATGGGAAACCGCTGGTCCAATGCGTATCGTCCGCTACATCCATACTCGCCCTCTACGATCTCTACCGGCGCACATTCGGAGACGGACATGTCCTCTTATCCATGGCCTACAGCGTCTACACCGCCGCATCAATATTCCTGCTCGAAATCCAGGCGTTGAGATACGCCTCCCCGCAGACACTGGATAAATTGAGATTCTGCGTGGCTGCCTTAAATCGCGTTACAATAACTAATCCTGGTGAGTACATCCCCGTACGATGTGGGAGAAACCTAAAATTCTGGAACTCGGGTCTCTGAAATCATACTAAACAAACCCCCCCCCCCTCCACCACCCCCACCACTAAGTGATAAAAACCGCCCTCAACCTCATTGAACAAGAACTCGCAAAACTCGGCATCGATATCCGCGACTCTTCGAACCGTGACACCCAACATATCTCGCTTGTCCGCAAAGCAGCAGACGTCTCCAGACCCCACAGCGACCAGCTCACTGCGTCGTCCTCATCCCCATCCACAATACAGACGACTCAGTCCCCGCTTCTTTACACTGTCCCACCACATGGCGCGTTCAGCTTCACGCCTCCCCCGCTGGCGAAACAGCGTGAGGATGACGGCAACGCCATGTTGACGGATCCGGATCCGTCGTTGGCGATACCCGATTCGCTGAAGCAGGAAGGGATGTACGAGATTGCGCCGGAGCTGTTCGAGGCCTTTTCGTATGTGGAGCCGTTGTCGACTACTATGGGTGGGAAGTTCGAGATGGGATGGGGAGAGGGAGAGGCCATGTGATTTATATTTTCACTTTTTCTTAGCCTTTTTTTTTTTTTTTTTTTTTTTTTTTTTTTGCTGTTTTGTTTGGTTTATTCTTTCCTTTTTTGTGTGTGTGGGGATTTTTTTTTCTCCTCTCCAGATGTTTTTTGTTTTGAAAAGTTTGCGTTGTCAGGAGTTGGAGGTTAAAGTTATGTTCTGTACATTCGTTGGTGGCACGTAAAGTAAATGTTATATATGATGGAAATTCGCTACTCAATTGATTCACCTCAGTATGTAGATTTATTGGTCCTTCAATAAAGCAACTATTGCGTTGTGCCATTTATTTGTTCACTCCAGTTTCGCTTGATTGCTCTAGATAATGTGAAGCGTTTGCCACGGGCTCAAAGAATCGTTAAAAATATATATCTCCATAAAGAGAACCCCATACAGTTAAGCTGTTTAGATATTCATGGAACCATATCACCTTTCAACTGATAACCAGAACTGCTCATTTGGCTCGTGTTCTTTTCTTTCGGCAATCCCTGGAGGGACCTCCTCCATGGGGCCCACTGCTGCTGGGATACTCGTTGTATAACAACCTACGCCATAACCACTAGATTTTGTTACTAATAGCATGAAGTAGTTAAACCTGTTCACATGGGACATTCTAAAACACCGGGACCATCTCCGTCGCACTCTTGAGAGCTTTCCCAGCCGAGTCGCACAAAAGCCTCGGGTTTGCAGCCCTTTGTTACGAGACCAACCGCCTTGACAACTATACAGCCTTTATGGCATGCCGCTCCTCTCCTTCCCCCACTTCGAATTCAACCCAGAGCCCCGAGAATCATGGGCAGCAATCTTCGCCAGAGTAACAATCTCAAACACAGATCAACGAAAGGAGGCTCGGATGCTCCTCTGTCCCAAAGACTCCCCGCAAACTCCTGGGACAGCCACATACATGTCGTAGAAGAACCCTCGCGCTATCCTCTCTCCACCACCGCCAACTACCAGCCCAGCAAGCCGCACACCCTCTCCGATGCCCTTGCCTTCACGAGGACCACAGGCATACACAACGTCGTCCTCATCCAGCCTTCCATCTACGGCTACGACAATTCCTGTCTACTCGACAGCCTCCGGCAATTGGGGCCCAGGCGTGCTCGCGGCGTCGTATGCTTCGACGCCGCCACCATCGATGAAGAGCCCGGCCACCGCGGCAGTGACAGCGTTCTGTCAACCTGGCACCAGCTCGGCGTCAGAGGAGTGAGGCTGAATCTTGTCTCCGTTCCGCAAGAGCTGGACGCAGGGGAACTGGCGCGCATGCTCCACGAGTATGCGGATCTCATCCGCGACTACGGCTGGGTGCTGGAGCTTTATATACGCATGGAGACTATGCCGGACCTCGCGACCATCGTGCCCTCCCTGGGCGTCAAGGTGTGTCTGGACCACATTGCAAACCCGAAACTACCCCCGCGCTCCTCGTCGCCGTCATCGCCGTCGTCGTCGCCATTGAATCCGTACGACCTGGTTGGCTTTCCCGCCCTCATCTCCCTGCTGGAGAAGGGCAGCACTTACGTCAAGATATCCGGGCCGTACCGGCTCAGCGCTGACCCGCAATTCCACGACGTGGGCGCGATGGTGCGCGAGCTGATGCGCGCTGGTCGGGAGCGGTTAGTCTTTGCGACGGATTGGCCGCATACCCGCTTTGAGGGCGTCGATATCGCCCCGTTTACTGAGGCCTGTCTGGGGTGGTGTGCGGAGGCGGGCCCGGACATGGCGGAGAGGCTCTTTCGGCGTAATGCGGAAGAATTGTGGGATGTTACTGCGCCGTGAGATAAGGCTCGCGGTGGGAAATGGGACCGCTGATGAAGATCAAGCGGAGATTGGTGGAGAGGCGAAGTTCGAGGATCCAGAGAGGGGAGAACTAAATACCCTTAAATACTCCTTTTTACAGATCTGTACAGAGTATGTGTTCTGGAGATGCTTTAACTGCCCGCGCCGACCGCTATGAACTACGATGATGGCTTCTTCGTTTTTCATGAACTGCTCCCCCGTTTCACGCTGCTTTCTACATCTGTCACAAATGTCTTGGTCTTCCCCCCCCCAAACACTTCACCGACTTCCTTGCAGTTCACAAGCAAAAGGTCATTACAGGGAGAAAAGTTCTGAGAATTCCTAGACCGAAAGAAAGAATAAAACGTATAAGATAAAAAAAAAAAAAAAAAATAGAATAAAATTTTCAAATTAAAAAAAGTTGGGGAACTAACGAAAAAGAACCCAATTTTGTGATAGGTTTCTTGCTGTTCGGTGTCTCCCAACCGCACACTCATCGAATATTCCTCATCTTTTCCATATTGCTTTTTTCATACGATGTGCGTATCCAAGTACCCTGGCTATCTTCCGGTAAAACCGTATCAACATGCTTTCTTCATAACATAGATACCAATGCCATTCCCCTCGGAGTCGCGGCACTGGGTGATAAATCCATGGTCCTTTACAGATATCCACACTGAAGATTAGACGCATGATACTTGGTATTATTCTTCTCCCTGTGCTCATATCTTTTAACCATTTCTCAACACTTATCTCGAGATACGTCATTTCATTTCAGTTTTTTTTATGATGTAAATAAAAACAGCAGCAGTGGCAGTTCGTTAACTTAGCCACCATTGTAATAGATATCCGATAATCTACACAACGACAAAAGTTTTGCTTCCGCTTGATTTCTGCCAGGTCCATCTCGCCATCACCATTACCCTTTTCCAATAAAATATCACATATCGCACACAATATACTAGTCGCAAACTCATATCACCACCCATTCAGACATCATCCATTTGCTTCCTTCGTTGTAGACAATACATATCACAACCCTTCCTTGCTCCCTTTGCTTCTGAATCCATCTTCTCGGCCCTCCAATTCCAAATTACTCCCAGAAACGCGAACCATATCCAACAGCCTTGCTATCGCAGTAATAATGCGCCCTCGGATTCGGGTGTGACTTGGGATCCTTTGGTGATTCCGGCTTCTAGTTCGGGGTGGGAAAAATAATGACGCATATGGCTGTTAGAAATGTGACACGGACGGCAAATATTAGTTAAGAAAAGGGGTTTGGAAAGTTAAAAATAAATGAAATCAATCAATATACATATCCGGGCAAGAACGCAAGCATGTTTCTATGTTGACATTATAGATAAAAGGGTGAGAAAACTACGCCTACCATCGGCTTGCAGCATTGAACAGGAACGCCGTCGGTACAATTATCATTTCTAGGTGCATTGACGCCTATATATATTGAATTGTTCCCGGGAAGATATTCTGTCAGCCAGGACCTAATCCTCGCTTTAGAGCGCGAACAAAAAGGGAACGGGAGAAGCATTCCCCCATGGTTGTTATACCACCAATAAACCGCATCATGTCACCAGACGCGATAACAATAAAGGAGAGGGGGAGGGGGAGAGATCATATAACTCTCCATACAGAAAGACACAGAGACGACGGACAGGGATGGAAAAATGCATACACTCAATCCCAATAACGGCCATCGGGTCCTCGTCAACGTTCGAATATTTACCACAACAGAAGGGCTCACGTTCACTGGGACAGGTCCAGACTCCGCTCACATTGCTTATCAGCGCTGCCGTCGCCACGGCTGTTATGATGGCACCGGTGATGCTGCTGGTACTGCCTGTGCGCATGGTGGATGTGACGTCGCTTCTGCTCCTGGCTAGCTGCTGTGTCGGGGCAGAGAGAATATGGGGCACAGTGTTGATGTTGGTTCTGAGAGCTATGGTGGGCGATGGAACGTTTGGATATCAACAGACGTAGAGGAGAAGATGAGTGAGAAGAATCGGACTACTCGATGTCCATGTCGGGCTCGAGATGGACTCGCCATCTATTCATATAGCGTCACATGTCTGCATCGTGCGCGTTGTGGTTTTGAGGCAGGTGGGAGGACGGCGGAGATAACCCGTGATGTGGATCTCTGCCCAGTGCATGCAGGTTAAGGGGCCACATGAGGCATCTGCAGGCATTGCAGGTAGAGCAAGTACTGGAAAACAGGGTATTGTATACAGCGACATCGGAAAAATCCTGTTTATTTTCAACGGGTGGGTTAATATATCACAGATGACAGGCTTGTTTGATCAAATCCGCTGCATCTCATGATCCGAAATGCATATGCAGGCCCATGACTAACCCCCATCCTGTGAATCCACACACCAGATATGAGAAATAATTTCAATCTGGCTTCAATTTACGGAGTATGTAAGCTGCCAGAAAAAACAAAAGAAACCAGATGATTGACGTGATGTAATCATGATCAACTATTGGTAGTGAAATCTTAAGAGAGATGAATAAAAATGATAAAAATAAAAATGTTGTGGTTGGGAGGGCCCATGGGAATATCATGCACTGTGTATGCACAGTACAAGAATCACCAGGAGTAGATGGAGTAAGATAAAAGATAGTACAAAGCCAGCTATATCATGTGGATTTAACATCCATTTCCTTTGTCTTCAAGCTGTCTTCAATCTCCTTACGCGGGTTCGTAGGTCCTCAGTGCTGAGTTACTTCTCAGGCTGCATTTCCTGTACCTCTTTTGGAACAGAGATGTCATTTATGTCTTTCATAGAGTCTATTCCGTGAACGCCTCCAGCTCCTTTTCACCACGAAATTGCTCCCCAGCATACCTTCGAATCGACGCAGCGAGAGTACGTTCCAGTTCGGTACTTTCATCTCCGTCTTCATCCTAGTCCCATTGGGGGGGCGTAGATTTGGGGATATGACAAAACCAGAAGATCTTGTTTTTGTTGCAATATGTCCGTCGAGAAGAATATGCAGATGTATGAGTGTGATTGAAATTTTCTCATGTGCTCGCTGTGCTTCTTCGATACTCGCTTTGATTGCCTGCGCGTATGCGACTTCCTCAGTACTCCCATCTTCCTGGGCTAGTCGCAGTCCACAGATACTGGCTCGGAGGCACGCTCGATAGTAAAAGATAGGAAAAAAAAGCTCCAGCCAATTTTCCTCTATAAGTTACTTGAAAGTGGGATGAGTCGCTAATCGTACACGAGGGCCGTAAACATTTTTCAACTTCAGCCCCACGGCCACAATTGGTTGAACATCTCCTCAAAGATCCGACAATCTGGATAGCTATATTAAACCGTAGGACAGGAAGGCCTGTGTCTACGGATTCTCGTTAGTAAGGGGGGTGGAAACAGGAGAAGGGATGGATTTGCCATGTCTGAAAAGCTGGCTGAATATCGTAGACGATTTTTCGAGAGCGTTCCCTTATATTAAGGTTGACGCGAGCATCATCTCTATCTTGTCAGCAAAATGGCAGGACAGCGAGAAAGAATCACACCGTACATCATACCCGCAATTTTCGCATTTGTGCCAACACCTCCTTGCCTGACATCCATCTGTCCACACATAGCACATATTTGGGAGTAAAATGCTCAGCTGAGGCCGTTGCTCTTGAAGGTAATTGAGCTTGACTTGGTTCATGGAATTCATGAACTGAGATCCTTGGTGAAGTGTCCATGATTATATTGTGTATAACGTGAAATCATCTGATATCAAATAACTCCACGAAGACTGAGAGCTAATGCCCAGATACGAGAATGCTCTCTTTTTGGCTGTGTGAATTGGGGTTGGTTGGGGATAACAAATTGTACCATGATCCATCGGTTATTTTCGGGAACTGGAAGCTGACAAAAACAGTAGGACTTCACAAAATTCAGGTAAAGGTATGTCATGATAGTGATGCTTTCGTATACGATAAATATGCCGACACATATATAGATCTGCCTGCGAGTTGGTAGTTCATCCTCAGCACCATCCAAACGAATTAAGGCTGTCTCGGCTTTTCTTCCTGGAGTCCACTTCCAGAGCTTGGTCCCTCTTCATTGCTTCGAATAGGACTGGTTCGTCAAGGCCAACCGGGGCAATATATCATCACCAAGCAGTTTCGAGAAACCTTGGAGCGCCTCGACGATGGCCTCAGAACATGAAAGCGAAACTTCTAACCCGCCAGAAAGAAGATTAGCCAAGCGGCGGCTTGGCGCGACGGCTCGGCCGCACTATTATCCAACACAGCAGCTTTGCCGCACTGCTCGTAAGATCGTCAAACGGAGGGATAGAGGAGAGAGAAATACGGGAATTGAGACGCTGCAATCTATTTGTATTTATACACCATGAGACATATATCTGAATTGATATCTCGTACCCATTGTCAATGAATCCTATTACAGAAAATTCTCAACAAGAGCAGAAGCATCCTCATTCTGCGCTCCTCGTCACTTCTCCTCTCCTTCATCTTCCACCGTATCATGCGCCTCGCCCATCTCCACATCCCCAATCTGATCCCCTTCGCGCACGCCTCCCACCTCCAACAGATCCTTGTCTCTCGCCTCCTAGCCTACAAAAAGCTCCATGTTACCTCCCCACAGCCCCCTCCAGACCCAACAATCCTAACATTCACCCCTTTCCCTGTCTATACAACCGGCCGCCGTCACCTACCTTCTTCCACCTCTCCCACAGGTGCAACATCAACCAATCCTCACCAAGCTCTCAATGCCAATCTACCCAAACCCCTCCACCCCATTCGCCACCTCCTAACCCCTGCTGCAAGCCTTCCCGCCTGTGCAGAATTCCACCCAACCCTCCGCGGTGGCCAAACTACTTACCACGGCCCCGGCCAGCTAGTTATATACACAATCCTTGATTTGCAGCGACTACGCCTGGGCCCACGGCAGCATATACAATTACTAGAGAGGAGTGTCCTGGATGTTTTAGCCAGTTATGGGGTACAGGGGGCTGAGCTGAGCCAGATGAATCCTGGGGTTTGGGTGTGTACGTCACAACCAAGATCACCATCGGGACCCAAGTTGCCGTCCAAAAAGATTGCTGCAGTAGGCGTACACCTGCGCCGTAATATCAGTAGTTATGGTGTTGGGTTGAATGTGACAGAGGAGCCAATGTGGTTTTTCCGCCAAATTGTTGCATGCGGATTGGAGGGAAGAGAGGCAACAAGTATGGTGGGTTGTGGAGTGAGATTTGATGGGAAGACTGGAGATGTTACTATGATGGAGGTTGCAGAGAGATTTGTGAATGCATTTGTCAGTCAGGTTAATGAGATTGGGATGATGAGGGCTGTTGACAATTGTGCTCAAGCAGATGATGGAGTGCAGATTGAGGAGGTTTACAATATCGAGGAGCGGGATGTGCTTGAGGCAATTGTGAAATAGAAGCAGAAATCTCTGTTTCTGCGCAGTAAGAGGCTCTGTTTTAGGCCGAGCATCTATATTCTTCTACATACTGCATGTCTTTTTGCTAGCTTCTGAAGAGTTCAAGCATTGGGCCGGCGTCATAGTAAATAGGGGACAATGGGGTGTTTATAAGGTGGAGTCAAAATCCGCAGGGAGAACCAGATAGAATTGTATATTTATCAGACTTCCATAATGTAAGTGGGCTTCTTGACCTCCCGTCAATCGATTACCCTACATGTTTGTGGGTGGAAATTTTTGCGGCTCTTATAACCAACCTCCCGACAAAATTAACCTTGGGAAAACCCAGGAAGCTCGATTCGCATACATAAGCCAGCAGCGCATTCCAATCCTCGACGAACTAGTTGTATCCATTATTTAATGACAAAGCTGTCAATCTAATTCACCATTGTTCCTCCAAGGCCGCTTCGTCAACAATGCCTTCAGTCTATATATCCGTAACTTCGCGCCGAGCTACTCTCAGGAATTCCTAGCCTGAACAATTTGGGCCGCCAAGTTCACTCATAGCTGAATGCTATATTCAAACGAAGCAAAGGCATTGATCCAGAAGAGAAACGGATCGACGTGCCAAGCTAAGCAGGCTATCATTCGGATGAAAAACCTATCCCCTCTTCCATTATCTAGCTTCAAAATCTTATCTACATCTTTCTCTTTGTTGGGAACCTTCCTCTGTCGCCAATTCTTCCAAGTGCATATCAGACATACCAGGGCCTTTCTGGAATGATAGAAAAGGAGTAAGGGATTGCGCAGACTTCATTTTCCGTACTGTTTCGGATTACAATTTGTTTACCTCCTTGAAAATGGTCATAATATCTAACAATGCTTTTCCACTTTCCTATCTCGAAGCGAAACGGACCAGCGATGCTAGGCGATGAAGAGGGTCAACCGATCTCAGACAGGCTGGAGGATTGCAAGTGCTCTGGTCTGAGTGTTAGTGTCGGGTTTTAGCCGGATTTCTACTCCCGGAGGAAGCTTCATTTGCAACAACAAGAACCTAATCAACAAGAAAAGCAAAAATTCGCTATGACAAGATGAATAAACGCCAGGGTATTAGTGAGTTAGCAAGCATAGCGAAAAGTCAAGAAATGGGCCGGCATACGTCAAGGAGAGATGTCACTAACCTACCGAATCTCGGGCCCTCCAGCCTCCCCGAAATACGTCGAGAATAGCAGATGCGCCTCCCTATAATTGAACCACTGAGCAATCTGCATGCAAATCTCCGTAGGATGTTACTGTTGTACTCTACAGGCTTTCCTGCGTATCTCCATGCCAGGGTTTTGGTCGGTATAGAAAATTATGGGGAGCTGAAGCTTTATCTATAAATTTGATCCGGCTGCCCGAGACGTTCATTGATGAAAAGCTGACCAGGCCTCAATTTTACAAACATGAAGCCCGCTTTTTTGCTTCTTCCTAGCCTTGTGGGCGCCACTTGTCGGCTTCCACAGTATCCACTTCCAATCGATAAATGTCCTGGATACAAAGCTTCGAATGTCCATGAATTAGAGAACATTCTCATTGCGGACTTGCAACTCGCGGGGCAGCCATGTAATACCTACGGCCAAGACTTGAAGGAATTGAGGCTTCGAGTCGAATATGAAACCGGTAAGGGTCATGGTGTTTGCTTATCTCAATAATTGTTAGTAACTGCTGACCGACTTGTATTTGAATGGCAGATTCACGACTTCATGTGAAAATTTATGACCCTGATGAGGATATTTACCAGGTTCCGGAGGCGGTGTTTCCTCGCCCACATCTTGAACGGGGAGACCACAAATCTTTACTGAAGTTTTCTTACGTGGAAGCCCCTTTTTCCTTTTCTGTGTCACGAAGAGGTAATGGCGAGGTTCTCTTCGACACAGCAGGGACCAATCTCGTCTTTCAATCGCAATATTTGAATTTCCGTACTTCACTACCGACAAACCCAAATCTCTATGGCATGGGCGAACACACCAATCCCTTCCGTCTAAATACCACGAACTATACTGCAACTCTGTGGAATCGCGATGCATACGGAATCCCTCTAGGGACCAACCTGTATGGTGACCACCCCGTCTACATAGATCACAGAGGTGAATCCGGTACTCATGGTGTATTCCTCCTTAACTCAAACGGAATGGATGTCAAGGTCAACAGAACTGAGAAGGGTGGCCAATATCTAGAATATAATTCTTTAGGTTAGTGACGCGGCAACGCCGGCTAGGTGGGGATTGTTTTTTGACTTACACCAACCAGGTGGGATCATTGACCTTTACTTCTTCGCGGGGCCGACCCCCAAAGAAGTCGCGTCTCAATACGCTCAGGTGGTGGGATTGCCGACCATGATGCCGTACTGGGGATTCGGGGTAGGATTCCATGAGATCCCAGTGTTATTTGATTTCCCTTGAAAAACGCACGATTAACGTGGAATTAGTTTCATCAATGCCGCTATGGGTATCGGGATATTTTTGATGTCGCCGAGGTGGTCTACAACTACAGCCAAGCGAATATTCCCCTTGAGACAATGTGGACAGACATTGACTATATGGATCGTCGGAAGGTTTTTACCCTAGATCCCAAGCGGTTTCCGATAAAGAAAGTTCGGGAACTCGTGGACTACTTACACGAGCGTGACCAACATTATATTGTAATGGTTGATCCGGCCGTGGCCTATTCTGATAATGGGGCATTCAACAGGGGTGCTGAGCAGGGTATCTTTTTGAAAAAAGCTGATGGTTCAATATACAAAGGTATGCGTCAAATATCGAAATCATATCCGACTCTTTTCTAATGTGAGCAGGTGTCGTATGGCCTGGTGTGACGGCTTTCCCTGACTGGTTCCATCCAAACACGGAAAACTACTGGGTGAACGAATTTGCCCAATTTTTCGACGAGCAAACAGGTGTAGATATTGACGGCTTATGGATTGACATGAATGAGCCTGCGAATTTCTGTTCCTATCCTTGTGAGGATCCAGAAAAGTTCGCCATAGATAACAAGTTCCCTCCTGAACCGCCTACGGTGCGACCGAATCCGCGACCCATTCCAGGACTTCCATCAACCTTCCAGCCACTCCATAGTGATGCCAAGAGAGCCGGTGAACACGGCCATAAAATGGGCCTGCCAAACCGCATGCTGATAGACCCGCCGTATAAGATCAATAATCAAGTAGGGTCTATCAGCAACAAAACGGTGGACACCGATATAGTCCATGCAAATGGATGGGTTGAGTACGATGTACATAACATTTTCGGAAGCAGTAAGCCTTTCTTTTCAAGCCATCTATCCGATTTACAACCTTTTGGATCGGCGATTAACTACCATTGCAGTGATGAGCCGGGTATCTCGGACTGCAATGCTCAGGAGACGACCGTCCGTGAGGCCGTTGGTTATTACGCGTAGTACGTTTGCAGGTGCCGGAAAGCATGTTGGCAAATGGTGAGGGCGGATCCCCTTTTTTATCAATTTGGTGAAGTCCCATAGTGATCCTACCATAAGAGGGAGGTTGATTAATCAAAAATAGAAAACTACTACCGAGTAGCTTTTGTCAGCATTTCTGACAAAAATTTTGAGAACAGGCTCGGCGATAATCTGAGTACCTGGGAAAAGTACAGGACATCAATTGGGCAGATGCTTGCTTTTGCATCCATCTTCCAAATACCGATGACGGGGAGTGATGTTTGTGGCTTTGGAGGTAGAATGGATAATAAGTCTGGGTGATATCGTTCACTAACTAACTACCGCAATTAGGTAATACAACTGAGCAACTTTGCTCCAGATGGGCGATGCTTGGTGCATTCAGCCCGTTCTACCGCAACCATAACGGCATCGACTCTGAATCCCAAGAATTCTACCGATGGAAATTGGTCGCAGAAGCCGCACGGAAAGCGATCGAAATCAGATACAAGCTGCTCGACTACATTTACACGGCATTCAACCGGCAGGCAAGGACCGGTGAACCTCTCCTTAATCCGCTATTCTACCTTTATCCTAAGGACCCAAATACCTTCGCGATCGACCTTCAATTTTTCTACGGAGACGCCATCCTAGTAAGCCCGGTGACGGAAGAGAATTACACGAGCGTAGACATCTATCTGCCAGACGATATCTTCTATGATTACTACACTGGCAAACCGGTCCGCGGCGAAGGCAAATCCGTCACTCTCAACGATGTTGATTTCACCCACATCCCTCTCCATATCCGCGGTGGAAACATCGTCCCGCTCAGAGCTAATAGTGCCAACACAACTAAAACCCTCCGTGAGCAACCCTTTAACATCATCATTGCGCCGGGTCTTGATGGCGATGCTACTGGAAGCCTATACCTTGACGATGGTGAATCTCTAGAACAGAAGCATACAATGGAGATCAAATTTTCGTATAACAAAGGGCAATTCAAAATGGAGGGCAAGTTCGACCCCAAAGCCATTGGCCAGTTGAAAATTGCGTCTATCTCCGTGCTTGGTCATGACGGGAAGGCAGCCGAATTTACCATGGAGGGTGGTGGGGGCTCTCGGTACGAATATAATGCCGAAACTGAGGTATTTTCCACGAGGGTTGACTGGCCGTTGACGGGGCCGGCGCAATTGAAGCTTTCGTGATTGGGGAGTGTAATTTGTCAGTGTAGGGCTAACAATACCATGTTCGGCTCTCCTTGCGTTTGTATTTCTGGCGGTTTCTAAAAAATAAGCTTACAATATGATAGACTACACATCGTTGCTTGTCCCATCGTCCCATCTTTCTATCAAAAGCTTTTCCGTAAAGGAGTTCAAATGGTTCATAAGGACATGATGTTCACCAAAAAAAAAAAAAAAATAGGAGGTCGTCCTCATAAGGGAGGAGTCAATCAACTGCAACCATTCGACATGAAATCCCAGGGTTTAGCTGCGAATATCAAAGCATGGGTGGCCCAACAACTAAATTTCATGACGTTGGGAGGCCCATTGGTTAACAGGTTGAAGCAAGTCAAAAGGCACGCAGCATGCGGGTTATGCACCATTCTCAAGCAACAGTGATGTATGCAAGGTGGGGCAGACCAAGAGGGTAGCGCCATGGCTTGCTGCAGTACAGGTAATTATGTGGCACCACCAATGCAAGTTCCCGTGTCCGGCTGAAACTTTACTTCTGTATTTTCATTTCTTAGCATTTGTTTTGCATTTTCTTCTTTTCTATCTTTCATCTTCATGGCTGTCAAAGGCACCACCAATCCATGAGATAGCCTGGTGATCCTCATGTGTGCGGAGCGGTTTTTGCGATTGAATGGATTCACCAGTTTGGCCTAGGCGACAGAGCTGAATTGTGTGTGGGGAGAGCTGGGAAGAAACTTTCAGGGGCCGAACATCTAGTACGCCCGTGCCACTCTTCTACTCCACAACTAAGAGCAATAGATAGATAGATATATGGATGAAGCCGTGGTATTCGGCATGCGGCACAATAATAGTAATATATTCCATGGAGTAAAGAGAGCGCCTAAGACGAATTATATAAGGTATTTATTAAAAATGAGATTCATGCAGGGGTGGTTTTTGGCTCATGCCCACATTTGCTTCACGGGTTAAAAATGAGCGTTGGAAAGATCAATAAATATTATTTAGTAGGCGGGTATATATATACTTGAATATAGGCAGAGCAGCAGACTGAGTAGGAACCGGATATGGCCCAGCTGCTTGAACACATTTCTGTCTCCAACTCCCCTCACGCGGCATGGATGAGAATTAAAAACACAAAAGACGAAAACTTATTGCGTACGAACGCAGGAATAATATTCAAAGAAAGCGAAATGGGGCAGATTATGCTTTCATTTAGTCATCGAGGACCTTCTCATTGGCGGCCGCTTTTACTCGTCCGCGGTATTCAGACTCCCGGATCAAGTTCATTTGTTCTTCCTTCTTGTCGAGGTTCCTGAATGTGAACCAGAATACGAGACCACCGCAGAAGGCGATAATAGCAACAATAGTGTAGTTCCAGACAAGGAGAGGATCCTCAGAAACGGAGACAAAGGCTTGACCAAGGGCTGCGGATACGGCGCTGGTGAAATGGTAGAAACCTATTCGGGGAGAGAATGTCAATATATTTATATAATACTTGAAAACAAGAACGACAACGATGATATTAGAGGAGTAGAAAACTGACCGAAAACCAATCCTCTCATGTTGGCAGGTGCTTTGGTATACGCATATTCAAGGCCAGTAATTGAAGCCATAATCTCGGAAAGACCCACAAGAACATACTATCGATTGGGTTAGTACTTTTGCAAACGAGCTGGAAAGATTTTTTTTTAATGAAGGGGGTCTTACAGCACCAGCCTGGACCCAGACGTTTATTGGCGCAGGAGTATCACATTTGTTCATGTATTTCCCGCAAGCTCCTTTGGTATAGATGTAGTGCTGGACGACAGCAGCCCAAATCATTGCACAAGTGGCAACAAAGAAACCGGCTGCCATTCGTCGAAGTGGGGAGAAGCGAATTTTAATGAAACGCAAAAACGGATAAACTAGCAAATCTAATATTGGGATCATGATGACAATCCCTAGAGGATTCAGGTTGTTGATGAGATCGTTCGGGACACCATGAAGCTCCAATGTTGCAGCCTGGGAAGTAAGATTCCCGTCGATTTGATTATATGCCAGCCCTAATTATTGTCAGTGCTGCGCAAGAGAAGAGTGCGTACATATTTGCTCTTACAGAAAAGTGGATAATAGGCAAACACCAAACAAGCTTTGGTCCCTCTGGCAACTTGATCTACCCAAGCATCGTCGAAAGTCATCCACTTGGGCTTGTTCGCGACGTTGGAAGGCTTCACGTCGTTCCAAAAAGTTGGGGACCCCAGGTTACGGGTACTATTGTACAAGTTAGGTGTGGACTTTTTCAGTTAGAGGGATTAGCGCTTTCTTACGTTCTTCTGGGATTCCAGGAAACTTTCCCTTTGCAAGCAAACTTGATCAGTTTGACGGCGTTTCCTAGGACAGATTCGGTCGGTGGATAGTGAACGTATTTCCTGTGAAACACTGCAAGGACGAGGGGGCAGATGCAGAACATCACAGTAGGGAGAGTGAAGGAAAGCCAGAAACCAACGTAGCGTTCGGCGTAGACCATGGTGACTTGGCCAACGATAGAGCCGATGTTAATGCAGAGATAGAAATACATAAAAATACGCTGCGTAGTGAGAGCGGGATCCAGAATAATCTTCACGCCTTTCCGTTCAACGACGCGCATCTTGGAGTACTTCAGTTGCTCGACCATAAGCGGGGAGATATTAGGTCTGGAAAATGTCAGTTCCACATATCGAAGTCACCTAACATAGAGCATATATTTCTTACTTAAATCCACCAACACCAGCGCCGAAGATAAGAAGACCAATTGCCAGACATCCCATCGCTCCGTTAGGATGCTTAACCACGGGAGGAAGAGCGGAAATAATAAGGATGACATGTCCAAACATGGCAAGAGCAATAGAGTATTGAATCGTTCTCATTTTTCCCCATTTCGAATCAGCGAGGTAGCCTGAAAGTCGATGATATCAGTTTTGTGGAGCTCTTGCTGTCGCGCTTGGTGCGATACATACCACCGAAGAGGGGCGCAAAATAGGACCACATTTTATTGACTTTTCTAGAGTATTAGCAGTCTGTGGACGCAATATCAGTGGTAGTAGGACTGCTACGCACAAAGTACCATTCCTTGGGAAGCTCGTTGTCCCTGGCCGAGAGCTACGGAGGGTTAGCAAAAAGTCTCAAGCAACATCCCAAAGGAGTCACGCACCTCCCGGCTGGCCATTGGGTCTAGGGTCGTTTCCAGTAGTAGATCCGGCTGGCAGTGGTTGCTGGACGAAATTGGTCACTGCGAATCTTTTGTCAGTCTAACAAGAAGGAAAATTATTCACTTCCAACATTTCGGACCAAAGTTACGTACAGACGATTGTCGTTCCATAATAGGCGAAACGCTCACACAACTCAACAAACGCAATGGTGAAGCAGATCCACGGGATTTTGTCGGGAACGCGAGCGAGGGTGTCAAGCTCATGCTCAGTCGGCTCTGGTCCATTGCCGTCAAGATAATGGTCCACCTCTTTTAAATCGACCTTCCCAGAGACCGACACATCCTTCGAGGGGTTCCTGGCCACGTCCGGATTCTCTGTGGCATCGCTGTAAGCCATAATTCAAAGTCCCAAAAGGACAAGGATAACAGGGGTTGAGGCGGACGCTCAAAATATTATGGTGAATCACGAGAAAGCAACGAAGGAGGGCGAAAGAGAGAGCGGCAGTTGCACGACGACAAAGGGGGAAACACCTATTTACATATTTTTGGCCAAATCAATTATCCATGTTCAATATGAGGCGATATGACCCAACAGCACCCTTTTCTGTCGAAGGTCACAATTTTTTTACGCTTGCTTGGACACCGAGCCAAAGGGTCTGTCGAAAACTAACGGGAGTAGTCGAGCTCTTCGGCGATGGTCCAATCACATCCTGGCCATTCAAACCTCCAAGCTTCACGCAAGTTCGCGGGGAAACAAACCTGCCATAATCTTTTCCACGTTACATCTCTCAGTCTTGGCTGCTTCACAATGCCGTGAGTTATCTTAACTGTCCGCGAGAGTTGTAGTGGGAGTGCTCATTGGTCAATTCTTCCACGATCGACGGTCCAGGTCCCAGATTGAACTACGCTGTAGTTGCTAACTTCTCACGCAGTAGTTAGCCCGTGCTGAGAGCAGGGGAAGAGTGTAGCATCGTCTTTTTGGAAGCGTGGACTGGCCAGTGGCCATTTCCCCCAGGACATCTGGTCTAGTTCTCGGAGTCTTGACACGGGAAACCGAAAATTAAGTGATCAAGGCTCAGCGGTTCAGAGCCAGCCTTTTTATCATTTATTTGTTTTCGGTCCGTCGCAGAACGGTCGAAGCAACAAAGATTAGTCAAGCATCCGAAACTATAGTTATGAGAAATATTGCGTAGGAGAACAGTTACAATGCATACAGGATGGCAACCTTATATATGTCTCCGTGGCTTGAGCGGGCTATTTTCGTCCCAATTGCCATTCCCTTTCCTTCATCCTCCACTGACATTTCGGACTTGCCAAGAGACTACAACGCAATCACTCTACGCCGTATGTCTCCCCCCTGCCGTTTGTCAATTGAATTACCGAACGGTGTGGGCACTAATAATAGATATGGAGTTAGTCTCGAACCAGAACGGAACTTGGACACGGTTAATAACAATGACCTACGCAGCGTACAGCGTACGGTGTACTGTGAACGGAGTATATCTTGGCTGTTGTGCTGCTAGAAAAAATATTGTCCCCCCGCACTATCAAGTATTCAGTCGATCATTGTGCCGATGGCACGAGCCAACCATCAATTGAGGTCAAAGTACTAGCATCAGGTGCGTATCAGGTGCGTGCATTTTTGCTCCCCACCCTCCTGTTTTGCGATGCGCTTTGTTGCCAGCTCGGTACTCAGTAGTTGGCAGTAGAGGTTCATGAGAAAAGCGCTATATCTTTCGGAGTATTCTGGCTGCGCTTCATTCAAGCTTTCCTATAACCCCGTCCTCCACGATCACAAACTTTGAGAATATTGCTTGGCCCCTGAGTCGATTTGGGCGCAATTTTTGACAAGTTGCTAACAAAGCTAACCAATGCTTGTTTTTCGCCGACAAAAAGTTCCAATGAAAGATCCCAACTTGGCTAGACTTCGGCTAGTGGGCGTGCTCGGTAGGTGCACGCTACTGCTGCAGTCAGCATGTCAGCAGGGTTATCCATGGACCATATGCAAGTTCCAGGATTCACAACCCTAACGCTGGACGAAGTTTTACCAGGGCAATTATCTCAGTTCATTACGGATGGAGTCTGTTGGAACCTCGTGTGTCAGACTTCCAACTTCGACACCTGCGCAATATATAAATTGAGATACCCACGTGACCTCGAACTTGGGCTGTTTCCGCCCCAGAGAGTTGCCCGATACCACCAACCTACATACTTCTAGTACGTATTGCATGCAGTCACCACATTTCTTGCGGGGTATGGCTCGTGGGTGGACCGTGGGTGGACCGTCGGAGGATTCATGTCAGCCTGTTCTAAGGCTCAACCCGGAGGGCTCTATCGGGCCCGGAGGATTTTAGACTGCTCAGGACGGCATCGGGAACTCTGCCCTTCCCTCCAAGGGGTACAGTAGCATCATGATTAGTTGAGATCAACTTTGTCCCAGAAGATGACAAGGATCGGGCCAGATTTGTCTAGAATTAGAGGGTTGATTGGCTAGCGACAACGACATGCCGGGGAGGCCCCTCGTCCTCTCCTCCTTTCCAGGGCCACAACTCTCTCAAGCTCTTCCAAGGCGCCATCCTTCGGGGTAATGACGAAGTATCTACTGCAGAATGCCACCTCTCGCCGAAATCCCCCCCTCCCGATTCCGAGAAGAGGGGCGAAATTCTAATGTAGCGCTATTTTGCTATCCGTTTCAATTGTTGCGCGATTTCAATTGCGATAGATTGACACGACAAAACGCGATTCCTCCCTGCTTCTTCCGTGAATATGCATCGCAATCCAGGCAAGCCGATGAAAAGAGCAGCAGTTGTTCATCACATGCTGTTTGATGGTAACTACGGCTCTCCTTGTGGATCGGATGCTGCTTTATACGCACCCAGTCGGGAGAGACAACCCGATCAAGAATTCGAACAGGGAACCAGCTATTCTGAGGAAAATATTCTTGATAAAGGTGTATATCCACCAAAGATATCACGTCAATGATACACATTCACAAGTCAAGGGTCAGATCCAGCCTTACTTAGCGGCAATGCAAAATATTTTTCATACCTGGATTAAAGCAGAACCATGTCAGAAGCGCGCTGGAGAGGCATGTATCCTTGCTTGGTGCTCTCAGCAGCTGTCCTCCCCCCCCCGGTGGGAAATGGGCGGCTCTTCTATTTCGAAACCTTCTAGAAGCTTTCCTTCGTTTCTTCTCACACAAACTTATTGCCACTTCAACCAAGCATTTGGGATACATACCTGGTCAACCCTTGTCCCTGATGATTTTTTACGACTCTCCTTCGATGGCCTAGAGCGACCATATATCTCTCTTGTCATTGGAGGAAAAATAAATGTAGTTTCTTCAAACTACTAGTTTCTCCATCGGATTTCAACTCTGATTAGCTGCACTCTTCTCTCGTGAGGACAAGGGGGCTACATTTTCCTCTTTCCCGTGGTTTGGACCTCCCACACGAAGCCAAATAGCCATGCAGCACCGAGTGTGATCTTTCAGGTGGTGTTTCTCCTCTCAATCCATTCAGCGTTCTCGACCTCTTCCCCGAAAAGGCTTTGGGGCGTTTAAGGAGTAAATTTCCGAAAGCAAACGGAACGGAATCACATATGCTTTTCATTGAATCCAAGTCGCCTGTTTGGACCGAGGGAATACGTAGAAGCCGAACGAATAGGTCCGAACTTAATTTCAAAGTTTGATAAGAAACCCATGCAAACCAACGTGAAAATGAGTCGATAATATGAGCCATTCACTTCGCAGAATAGCTTGAAAATTGGCCCACTCTATAGAAATTGGATTCTTTACAAAAATTCCCGCCGATAAAACTCGAGGAAGGGTTACCACTCGCTGTACCGATTCAGAACGGATCAATTGTCGCAACATTTGAGCCTCACTGTAGCAGGCTCAAATTCCTTCACATCACCGCGGGAGTGGCTACAGCTATACGATCCATTTCTAAGCGGCGTGTGCGATACATATCCGTCGCAGGCGATATTGTCAATGGCAAACACATCCCGTCGACATCAACACTGCATAAACGCAGCATGGAACTAACTTTGCTTTACCAAATGCAGATTGAATATCCGTGGGCCCCATATCAGCCATCGGCACCGACTTTTTAACTTAACCACAAATTAATTCATATGCAAATACCGCACTCGCTTCGGAGACAGATCGCGGCATCCTATGAACTCTTCGCTTTCAAGAAGCCGAGCAGATCCAAATCGCAGATAGAGTCCAAATATCTGTCTGGTCGTATTTCACACATACTGGCGAGAGAGGAAATTTATGAATTGCTTCATGACTTCACTCCCTAAGCATTATTGCTCCGCGATCAACTACTCTTCAAACATCTTGTCTCATTTTCTCAAAGAAGCCGGTAAAGGCGATAGAATAACAATGCAGCTACAAACTATAATAGCCTTTAAATATAGGATTCGCAATATCTACAGAGAGGGGGAGGAAACAGAATACTCTGACATACTTCCGGAATTGCCTGCCCAATATATAAGTCACACTCCAAGCTTTGTCGAACTAATATATAGATCCTATCCGAGACTTCTTAATCTTCGAGAGCTCGCCAAGGGCCCGCCAGACCCAAAGAAGCAAGAACAACGCGCAAGTACGGCTGCTCCGTGACGGAGTTCCTCAAAAGGTAATGATGCGCAACCGGCAAGGAAATAAAGTGGGCTCACTCACAAGAGCACCCAGTTGATATTATAACACCGAAACCTATCGGCGAAAATAACGCGGGGAAAGAGTTGTGCTAGCTTCTCTTGCCCGTGACATGGGATGCAATGGACTCCCCTGTTCTTAAACGCTTTTCGATCTCAGCGGCATAATGAGAGAATACCAAATAGAAGCCAATCTAATACGCCATGATTCAGATATCCTGCACCAGGCACAAATCACAAATTTCGATTTGATATTAGTCAGATACAGTCATGCATCCCTTCTCGACTCTAACCAATGACGAACAACCAAAAGCAAATTTTTAAACGAGGTGGGATATCTCTCTTCCCTCGACGGCGCCCATTCCCTCCCCGCAAAACGTCCAATCCCATCCCGTGTGTAACACTTCTAGTCGACCTCAGCACGCCTGCCATCCCTGGGGAAATACCCCATCACAGCTAACGTCCTCCCCATTCCACACCCCACTTATCAAGGAGACTATCCCCTCAATTCCCGAACCACCCCCGGATACCCGCCACCATTTGCGACGCCGCGGGCAACGCTACCACACCGGCCCCCATAGCGCCAATGGCGGGAACAACATTCGTCGCAACACCACCCATCGCAATGCTCTGGCACATTGCAAATAGAGTCCCGGCCTCCACCGACCCAAGACTAGATTGCCATATCGTGGCAAACGTGCCAGCAGCAGGGCCGATGGGGGTAAAACCAACCAGCCCCAGAACAGGAGATACTGTAATTGACGTGACGATTATAGCCGCACCCGTCGCGCATTCACGGCCATTTTCCTTCAGGTAGTCGCCTAAGGTATCAAGGAAGTTGACGGAGAGGGTTGTTAAGTCAATTTTGCTTGCAATGTTTGTAAGAGTGGGAGTGATTCTTTCGACGTCTGGTAGCTGCATCTCGAACTTCAAAGTATTTTGGTTTATTTTATTTCGCAAAGCTTTCAGTGGCCGGTGTAGCAGAGTGGAGATGAGAATGGAAACCTTTCGCATGTATACTAGTATTGAAGGGTTGGATGTGGTAGGAGGCAAGTGCTGTAGACCTCTGATGTATTGTCCTAGAAGCCTGTATACGGCCTGAGCTTAACGCCATCAACCTTAAACCTCACGAACAAATGTGTGCGTCATCAATGACAAGAGAGCCCGCATCGACTTGCGGCCGAACATGCGCATCGTAACTTCGGGAGTTTTTCTCCTCATATGCACACGAGCCAGCAGGGGCACGTCTTCTTTATAAGCGAGAATGTTACGGGGCATGTGTTATTTATTTCAGAGGAGCCTCCCATACGCAGATATCAGAAAGCGAGCATATTAAATGGATTTTGGGGACTTGGGAGGCAGACGGGTCGATTAAACTACTGCTACTATCGAAGTCCTGATTCATCATTTGCCCGGGAAGTTGAATGGGTTGCTTCTTCGATTGCCTTGAGCACTTGATGCACTGGACGCATGCAATATAGGATAGCCGCGGAATGCCCTGATATCAGTGGTAGTGTTCTTCATGATTTTCAAACGACAGTTTATACCGAGTTCACGTCGGAGCTGCGCATGGTTGAATGAAGTTTGAGGGTTCATGAAGCGCGAGGGTCTAGAACATGGAAGGCACCCTGGGACAAAAGCCCTTCTCAACCCAGAGAATAAATCCAGTCCTTCAGCGCATGTTGCCTAGCTTGATAGCTAAGTTTGAGAAATATCAAGGATCTCAACATTTTTCTAAGCCTTGTTGATGGCTGGAAATACTGATGCGAGTTATATCTAAAGGTGGCAACAAGTTACACGCTTCCCATGGAACAAGGCGAGATGGCCGAGCGGTCCAAGGCGCCAGATTAAGGTTCTGGTCTCGAAAGGGGCGTGGGTTCGAATCCCACTCTCGTCAACATATCTTTTTTTTTATTTATTTAATTGTCCCGATTTGTTATTTCTCTTGATTTTAATTGTATTTTGTTGTGCGTTCAATCTGCTCAATTGTTATTTGTGGTGATGCTTTACTTCATTTAACTCACGACTTTGACATCCCGATGTAGTAAAAGGCCTCACGGTGTTTAATTTCTCGTTGCATCGTCCAGCTTCTCCTCTGTAAGGTGTTCGTTCCTCTGCAGATCCTCGTTGTTCTATGCTTATCTGGGTTTGAAAATAAAATTGCAAATGGGTTGGAATTAAGATCATTTTCGTATTCGTGCTCATCAGCCTGGACAAACATATCTGAGCATTGCATTTGCATCCTACCTAACTAATTAATTAATTAACTCTTGGCTATCTCAGGCTTTCAAGGGCTGCGTTGGTGCTTGCAGATGATGGCAAGAATGAGTCTGAAATCCCCCTTCACCACTTGAGAGCTGAGAGCCGTGAACAGGGTTTAAGAGCAGACATATCCCTGCAGGAATTGCGGTGCCCCCACGGTATCTGACCATGCAATACTGTAGCAGCCGGGGTACGCGCGGTGAGCCAGCTGTTGATGCGAAGTCTACGGAGTAAAAATGTAATAAATTGGCCAGGCAGAGTTTCGACATGACGATGCATTATTGACAAGCGGCTGATCATGGCCATGGCGTTACTGAACATGATACGGGATACGAGATTGTTCGCTGTCACCATACACGTATACATATATCCCGTGCGTTGTATAGACATGGTTTACGGCTTGCAGCTGGCCTATCATGGCATCGCAGAGATCGGGAGCTCACCGCTCACCCCTTCATCCTGAGGAGCAACACGGTTCTGGAACTTTGTAAGCATGAATGCAACTCTGCCACCTCTCTGTTTGACCTCGATTTCCTTTATCGCATCCTGCTCCTTTACCCCGCATGTGGGCCTGTTCTGCTCAGGAATTATGAAAGTAGAAAATGAGCAACACAGATTTGGGTCACATTTTAAAATGCATCTGCAGCCTGTACAACACGGGCCTGCGCCTAGCTTCGAAGAGTGTTCCGCGAATCGCGAAAATAGGAGAGAAAAAGTCCACGAGCAGGAGAGGAAAAGCGTTGATGCTCTCTCTCTCGTGACTGAGTTGATTGCATTTGAGCGCGAGCAATACCGTCACTAGCCGGTTGAGAAAGTTCGTTGGAGAGGTTAGCTACAGAGTCTGAAACAACACCATGTCAATGGCTCAGAGCGATTGGCGGCATATCACCCGTTGATTAAGCATAATCTGGCGTGTGTCATGGAAGCGGATTCTCAGGATGGACCAGCGTCTGAACGGAAAGCGAGCCGCAAGGCAGTAGTGGTCCTTTTCCCATACAGCAAACCCTATGGTTGTTGAACCGCTAATTAATTAACCCAAAAGAAGAACTGCTTTTGTCCGAAATGGACTTTCGTCAAGTGGTTCGGACATGATGGGCGTTAATTTCTCACAGGCTGGGATGATTTCCCTGGAGGATTTGCTGTCTCAGACGCACCAAGCCGAGCAATACTCGCATGCCTTACCCGTGCCCCCCCTGACTTAGTCCAATATTGCCAGATCCAGCATCGCTCCCATCACTAGACCATCGGCACTTTGGATTGAATGCACTAAATCATGTGTTCGGCTTTTGAAACTAGATCCTGGCCCCTGCTCCTGAAGTCGTTCTCTCCCTCTGGCAAATAGAGCTCGGAGGCGCGTACGCTTGCTCCAGGCATATGGGTCAACCTGCTGGTCTCCAAGCACGATGCCTTGATCTGGGGTGATAGATTGTATGCAGCTTTGGGAGTCTTTTCACTTTCTACCCGCGCTACTGGAGAAAAGTGGAGAATGCTGACTCTGAGGCTGCTTACTCGCAGATCGGACGGAGATCATGGAAGCTCCTCTGCACAGGGTATTCCGACAACCAGCATCCAAATGCTGAAACGGTGCACCTTTGAGGAAGCTTTTGAAGCGTGTTGGGAAACTTGCTTCGTTCTTTACATCAGGCTCACCAGCCCCTGGTCAGCCACATCGCTTCCCGTCGGGGCTAGGGAATAGTGGAGCTAGGTCAAGAGATAGCTTCGTTTCTTGTTTCCTTTGATTTGTTTCACCATGCTGGGGAAAGTGGACACCCAGAATACTGAGGTTCTACCGGACGAAAAGATCAAAGAAAAGGAACTTTTCATTTTAATCTCCTTATAAACTCACGGGAACGAGGGTATGACGCAAAGTTCAATTAAAGAGTCAATAGGCTGAGTTCCCGGCCTTTAAGGCTCTTCAAACCATACACTCTGCAAACCAATGCCAGGGTATTTCATGGGCTTCTTAAGGCAACTGGATAAATAAACACCGTGCAATCTCGCAAGGAATATGAAATAGGCACAACCCTATAACAGCCAATTTTATATTTTCGATCTCCAATCGGCCAAATCGCACGAAAGAGTGGCTGGATTCTGAGACAGGGAGAGTCTCCATGAGATCTTTTTTCGATTCTCTCTGAAATGGAAATCATGGCAATATATTTTGACCCATCCGCTGGTTTCCCTTGATATTTTCGTTTCCTCCTGGAATGGATCTTGGTCACCCACGTACAGAGCACTCCTCTCATGCCCTGGGATATCAAGTTCTTCTTCACCCTTCGGCACCTGCCGCGTCATAGACGACCATGGCGATGACATTCAGTGCGAAACAAAATTTTATACTTGTTGGAGTTTTCGGACTTTTCACGGTAGCTGTTATGTTCATACGGCTGCTCATTCAAAAGATCCGAAAACGGTCTTTCGGCGCCAGCGACTATCTCACAATATTCGCTCTTATTTGCTACTGTGCGGTCACAGCAATGACCGTCCTGATCTTTCTATGGGGGACTAATGTCATCGACCCGCGCGATCGGATGGGGAAACAATTTACCATATCTGACATCCATCACCGAGAGATCGGAAGCAAGTTGGCCCTAGTAGGTAGGGTTGTATGTACTACCTAGTAAGGCCTTGTATCTCTCTCACCTCCCAGCCGCAACATCATGATCGCTACTGACGTGATCATGATATGTATTTGCAGTCTCTGGACCCAAAAAACCATCATTCTCGCTTTGTACACGCGAATCCCTCCAGGGTTACTATGGCCGAACCATATATTGAGCGCTTCCCTGGCTTTATTAGCTATAACTTTCGTCCTAGTACAAGTTATCTCATTCAGCGAATGCTCCCCTTTCCAACTCTACTGGCAAGTAGAACCAGATCCAGGTACGGGTTGATGTAATTTCCTTCACCTCCCGCATAGAGCATTCACCAAGGTTAACGAAGGAGATAGGGCCCTGTGTCAAAACCACCTTGCACTCATTTGTACAAACCATTACAAATACCCTGACCCACATTTTGCTTCTCGCCATCCCGCTTCGTTGGGCCTTTCAAAGACACCGGCCTCTCACAGAGTAAGATCCCACAAACTCCCGCAAGACTCCAGACCTGCCTCAGAGATCACAATTAACCCATCCCGCAGAAAATTACTCCTCGCCTTCCTCTTCTCCCTGGGCATTTTCCTAATAGCCGTCGCGTTAGCCCCCCTTCCCATACCCGGTCACGACGCAACCCGCAGCTATCAAAACGCCCTTAAGCAATCAGAGGCACTCCTGGCCGCATTCTTGGCCAACATCATCACCATAACCGGGCTGGATAGCCCGTCGTCGGACGAGGACGACGCCCCCTTCTTATCTTCCAACGCCAAGCGGCGCTCCAATGGGAGTGGGTTCAGGGCACTATTTGATGGGGAAATCGTAGTTACCAGCAACTTCGAGCTGCAGTCTCAGACGGCCAGTCCCGCACGGGTTCGGCAGATGTTCCCGCGGCACCCCTGGACGGCTTTCCAGCGGATAAGTAATGAGAATCTTATTATCCGGGCGAAGGGGGGTCGTGATTCGCGAGAATCCAAATAATAATATCAATAAATACCAATGATGATAATGATAATGATGGAGAACGACAACTTCCCGTTTCTTTTTTTTCTTTTTTTTTTTTTTTTTTTGTTTGCTTAGCTTTGATCACTTTCGGTATATGTATTGACGAGCTTACATTGCCGGTTTAGTATATATACCCCACGGGCGTTGATACAAAAAGTTGAATTTTGGAGAAATAATTTGTTTTGGAATGACTGGCTTCGGCGGAAAAGTGGCTTCATCTGTTCTCACCGTTTTTCTTTTTCGTTTAAATTCGTCCAACACAAGTGGGAACCGATATGATGGTAATAGCAGGTCCCCCGCTCAGTTTGTTGCCGGAGCTCTCTGGTGGACAGTCATTTGAATGGTGTTAGCATCTCAGGAGCCCTGGATGGGTGCCCATTATATCTGGCTCCTTTGATGGGCTGGTTTGTCAAATTGAAAACTTTTTTGAGGTCGTTGTTGATATGGCATATATAAGTGGATGAGAGGAAGGCTTGATCCGGGAAACACTGTATCAGCTGGGATTATGGACTGTGACTACTCTGGAGTGGTTGGCATTTGCGAGATGGCCGTTGTGGCATATATATAAATGATGCTCGGTAGGACTTAGCTGGTGGTTTGATATCGGGAAGCTGAGACCAGACTACTAAGCTAAACATGAGATCACCTCGCTGCCATGCACTATAGAATCACACTTCCCTGGTAGACTGCGCTTGATTTCTTTGAAGACGAGATCAGGCAGGGCATATAACGGCGGCTCCGGTCTGAAACATGTGTTGAGATAGTTAATCCTCGAGGGTTCAAAAAAGTCCGTTCTGTCACCAAACCACATCGTGATCTAGATCTGCTTCATGTAGACCGTCAAAGTCTCCTATAAGGTTTTCTATCATCTATCACCCTTAATCTTTTCCCTATCGTCGCCGCTGCTAGATGAGGTTCCCTTTCATCTAGTGGGCTCCCTCCACTTTCCGAACAGCAACCGCTCTTCAAAGTAATATTAGTCCAAGCATTAGCATTAAGCACATCGAGAAGAGACAAGACACGGGATAGTCTAATGCTGCGCTGCGGAGATTCTCCTGGACTTGGGGGAATACAAAGAACAAGACTCAACAGTCGTATCCTGTTTCTCTGTAATGGTTTCATTTCCCCAGGGCGCGTTGGTCCGGTTTTTAAGCACACCCCAAAGACTCAAAAATCGTATACGTCGAGGATTGCCGGTAGGGGTCCAGGAGGAACTTTCTTTCTAGTTAAATCTGCCTCCTCAAAACCAGATGCAATTATTCTTGGAGATTCTGCCGGTGCACTCGCTCTGGATTCTCTGAGGGCATGAGTTATTCCAGTCTATATATATATATATATATATATATAGATATATAGTTCTAAAAATGTAAGCTAAACCTGAGCAGAAGTGATCGGAACAACTGTCCATCTATGCCCATGTCGCCTCCCAGCATACCATTTCCTCTAGGAAGCTCTATTGTTGGAGCAAAGGTGTAATAATACTCCTCAGCACTATGGTCCTACCACTTGATTTATACCCATTCGGATCAATCTCCAGTGCAGGTTATCTTCCACAGAAGCTCCATTCAACCATAATCTGGCCTAGTCCGCTTTTGCGGTTTTATCGTTTGCTCCAGCGTTGCAGAGGCGTTTCTCGGCTGAATGAACCCTTGACCGCTTGGGTTGTCCGTGGAGCCAGTAGTCGCGGGATGTTTGGCCGTTTGCCCCATAGCGGAGGGCGATGTTCAAAGCCAGTTCCGATGCGAGATGCGATTCCATGGGATGGGAGTATCGACGTAACGGCAATATTATCCTCCAGTTCCACTTCGCGTCCTGGGGATAGATGGTAGTACAGCATGAAGCTCTTATAATCCTCCGATATCTCGAGAGTATCGGCGATCTTTCGACCGAAAGAGAAAAGGGCAGCTCAGTTCTAATCTCTAAAATAATGGAACAAACATATAAAATGAAAAATAAAAAAAATAAAAATAAAAAACCTCAAGCAAAGGTAGCTGCGCCTTTCTAACTCTGGAATCTTGAGCGCCAAAAGAGCCACCAAAGTGAGTAAGAGTAAAAGTGGCGAACATCGTATAAAAACATGTTTCCTCGACTTTGCCAGAGCTGCGAATTTCCCATTTGATCCCGGCCCAGCTTGAATAAAAGAAGAAGCTTGTTCAGAATCTAAAACGCATAGGATGGACATGAAGATGCATAAGAAAATTATATCACATTCAGTGCCCCGAGATATAGAAAGCATGCTTATTAACCCGACGAGCATCGCATTGCCAAGCGGATACCGGTACTACCAGCAGTTTTGTTTCACCTACAAACTAGCCCTCCCCCGAGATTCAAACGGCAGTACTATCGCCAAAGCCCCCGCGATAATGAACAGCGCACCGCTCATATAAACGGGAACTGCAGTGTCCAGGTCCGTAAGCATTGCGACAACAGGCGCCAGAACGCCGAAAACCCTATTAGCTGCCGCCGTCAGCGCATTGCCCGTGCCGCGATCCTTGGTCGGAAATATCTCCGGCGTGTACGCGTATAGAACCGCGTACATGATATTGCTCATGAAGCTGTAGGCGCAGTTCCAACCCAGGAGAGCGTTGGAGGTCGTCGCGGTGGTGGACGCAAGGAGGAATATTCCTGTGAGCGTGGTTGAGAGGCCGAGGGTTCCCCTCCTGCCCAGCGATCGGGTTTCGACGAGGGAGCCGCCAATGAAACACCCTGGGATGCCGAGGACAGCGATGATTAGTGAGTTGCGGTACGTGATGTTGGTGGAGCCGTCGCCGAAATTGGCGCCGCGGGTGGATTGGATATAGGGTAGAAACGCGTTGTAGAGGGGGAATCCGAGGCCGATTAACGCCCAGATCAAGGTGATTAGAGAAGTTGACCAGGCCAGCTTGGGAGTCGCAAAGAGGGATTTAAGGTGGCTGGAGTCAAGTTTCTCTAATTTTCGTTGCAGTGCGACCCGAGCTCCCTCTCCCTGTGTGGTGCCGTGTCCCAGACTGGTCAGCGCTTCGAGAGTGAGTGATGATTCTCTCCCATTTCGCCGCGCCACCTCGTGAACCACCCGGATGGCGTCTTCGTCTTTGCCCGTACCCATGAGATACTTTGGCGATTCAAAGATGGTAAAACAAGCAAATCGGATGAAAAACATAACCATCGAAAGCCCACCTACAGTTATCAAGTAATATCTCCATCCTGCGTTTTCAGACCGGGTGCATTTTTCATCGTCTTCCTGGCAGGTTAAGTTCCCCAGGAGAGGCCAGGCGACAAGATTACCCAAGACTTGTGCAAGCGCCCAATCGACAGACAAAACGGTGAGTAGGAACTGGTGAGATGACGGCAAGAATTCGAGAAATATCGCAGAATCAACCGGGAGATTCCCGCCGACCCCGAAGGACCATAGCGCTGCGAAGACCGCGATGGCCGCGAAGTTCGGCGAGCTCGCAGCCACGAGCCCAAACACTGCGGTGATGCCAATGGTGAGATTGAACGCCCAGCGTCGACCGTATATATCGCAGCCAAACCCCCAGAAGACCGCCCCGGCCAGCAGCCCCAGATTCTGCGCAAGGGTAAGCAAAGGCGGGTGGCTGGGCGAGAACTCGTTTCTCACGGGCGTAAAGATGAGAGAAGTAACTATGGGCCAAAGGTTATCGCTGGCCCAGCCGAACCCAATGACTATGAACAGCTGCCATTGATACCGTCCCATACCGATGTCGAGGATAGCCTCGTTCAACAACTGAGCCTTTGCTTCGTAGAGCGGATCGCTGCAGCTGAACGACAGGGCGGCCAAGCGGGCATCTTCATCCTCTAGATTGCTTTCTTGGGATTCTCGTTCAGGCAAGCTCTTGTTGGAGGGACCAGTATCGGAAGCCTTGCGCATGAATTCCGAGTTCTCCTCACCACGGGACTCCATGTTTTAGGAGCCTGACTCGCCAACAGACGCTGGGGGAAGAGTGGAGGGGGGGGAGGCGGGGGGGAAATAATGCAAAAGGTGCTGCACACATTCGACTGGGTAGAGATGAATTTCTGAAACTAATTTAGGCTGACTGTTGATGCAGCCATGCCTCTATGAGTGTCTTTTTCTAATTTGTTGTTTTTCTGCAGGGCTTCTCGCGCCCATATGTTGTGGAAGGTTGAACCAAACTTGTTTCCAACAGGGTAGTTGTAATTGGGGTTTTGAACTATATTTCATCGTGCACTTTGCCACTCCATGCGTAATCAACAACTGCCACGGGGAACCGGAAATCAGTTATGATCGAGATCAGATAGCCCGCACAGCAAGCTACTAGAAGTTCCGGTAGCTTCCCGTCGTTTGGAATCAGCCGTGTAATACAAAGTAGAAATCCATCAAGCTCATTGGAGTGGGCCAACTTTATGATGTCGGGCAAATGCCGCGCTGTTATTATTCACGGCCACAAAGCTTGAGCTTAAATGCCAGCCCTAGCTTTACATGGAATAGGACTCTTTTGTCTTTCATTGTTGGGCCTTTTCGCAACCGTCCTCGTTAACGACAACGGCCGTTTTGCGACAGCCTCTCTCGGGATCGGGAACTGAGGTGGATTGTAGATATCCAGGCCACATATGGGTCCGGGTAGACTTCATGTTTCCATGATAACCGATGGCCAGAAATATCAGTCTGTATATAGCAGACTCAGTCGATTGGTTCCCAACCACGTATACGCGGATATGGAACTAATTCCTCACCACGGGAACTCTCATGACATGACAATTTCACACATATTCCAACCAGGTCTGCGTCTTCTTAGGACCCTGCGCATTGAATTCCACGTATGCTTCGACCCTGCGGACATCCCATCGGTAGAAGTGGTCTCGATGGACACAAGGCCCTATTTTCGTTCGATCCGGCGTTGGGTCCCCCGCTTGGTGTCTATTGAGCCATTCACAGATTGTGAATCGTAGCAGTGTATATATATTTATATGGAGAGAGAGATTGAGGGGGCGTGGACACTCCGACGTCTGGCGAAACCAACCGTCCCCCGAACTCTGCGTTGCTGAAGGGTTGTGAGAGACGTTCTCCATGCGGCCGGATATGGTTGCAAGCGTCCACGGTGGATCATAGTTACCTAGCGTATTGGCGGAGACTTGCTTAGAACTATATTAACAGACGGTTGCACTGAAAAGTCATCCATTGTCACACATTTCACCCTCTTGGGATATCTATTAATTATTTACGTCATTTAACTATTGTGAAGCTGTGATTCACGCGGTTCCTACTGCCTTAATTGTCTACGGATCTCTCTCCAAAGTGTTACAAAAGCAGAAAATCTCGGGGAAAAAAAAGGAAAGGAAATATCTTGATTAGAGTTAGAACTCGAGAGCAGTCGAGTAGCAGAAACAGCATAAGCTGCAAACAAGTAAAAGGAACGAAGTGAAATGCTGCTAGCTTGGCCAAACACACGTTGTAGAAAGAAGCTGATGATGGAAAATTAACACACGAAGCCGACTAGATAAAAGAGAGGGGAAGGAAGATCAAATGGAACATGTCTTAATAGAACACGCTGGCTTGCTACAGACAAAACTACACACACACACACACATTTTCCCCGGCCTCTCTCTCTCCCCCGTTAGCTGTAATACACACAAATAAGCTCATGAAACAGATATAAAAAGAAAAGGATAAGGAAAATACAGGGAAATGAAATACAAGAAAATAATTAAACAGAAGAATTTAACTTGGTCTTGAAAAAAAAAAATAATAAAAAGCAAGAGAAAGAGAGATAAAAAAGGAAAATCATGAGTAGATTGAGGGAGGAAAAAAAACAGGTAAAATCAAGAAATATGAAGGGGATGATAGCTAGCAAACGGCAAAACAAAATACTAGCAGGGGAAAGGGGAAAAAAAAAGAAAAGAAAAATTCACATCTGTTTGCTGGATGGACAGAGACGCAGAGCATAAAGCAAGGAGTACTGAGACGGACGTACTTACAAAAATGAATTAAATGAAAAAAAAGGAACCCAGGACCATCATTAAAAAAAATGAAAGAGATGTGAAAAATTTGGAGTTACGCTCGAAAATGCGTTCCATTGTAAAAGGGAATAAAGCAATGAGGGAAAGAGGTGAATTGATGGACGGTCACTAAGACAAGTTACGTGTTGCATGTTGTGCGAAACAGACAAAACACTCAATCAAGTACGCAATGTGCAAGAAGGAAAGAAAACGCCCGTCACCACCAGGTTAGAATGCAGTTGCAGCCTTTTATCTTTTTGCCTTTCTTTTAATTTTTCCCATTAGAAGAAGTGTGTATAAACCTTCGAGGATTCGTGGACTTCCATCTCCTGAATAGCGTTAAATAACTGGGTGTTAGTTAAGGTGCACACGAATGGATAGATTAGAGGAATATTGGCTAACCATCTTGAAAGTATTAAGCTCTTCTTTAATCTGCTGTGCTAATAGCGGCGTGAGTCGATTGCAAGTCGCAATATCTCCGCGACGGTCATACTCTCCACTAGGCCATGTGTCGTGAAATTGGATGCGGGGACTGAATGATATGTTTCGCGCAGCGGTTTGTGGCGTAACGGGTGCACTTGAGGAGTCGGATGTAGTGAATCGACCAGAGGGGAGGAAGTAATCTTCTCCTTCAATTGTAATGGAATCCGTCCGTCGATGGCCGGAGCGCGGGGGGTGATCACGATCACCATTGGGGGTGCTTGGGGCGCTGGAGTGGGGAGAGTCCTGGATGTGAGGAACAGGAATCATGTCAACTCCTTTGAACTCGACCGGACGAAGGGTGGGAGAAGAGGTGTTGGAGCCGGTGCCAGATCCTATAGGTGAAACATAACAATGTTAAGACGGACATGCCCCTTCATGAATACCTTTTTATCAATGATAAGAGATAAGCTCACTTTTCAGAATTCCCTTTCTCACTGCAGCGAGAACTTCAGCACGCTCTCTTTCACCTCCCATGATGCTCTTGCGGACCGCGTTAACGTTATCAGCACCGTAGCTTTGTTCTCTTCCTGTGTCTGAGCTACCAGTTTCCACAGAAGTACGTCCCTGAGCTGAGGGCGATGTTGCTGGTTCATTATTGTAATTATAACTATTATTATCATTGACCTGCACCGAAGTGCTATTCTTGGACCGTGCCACATTGTCGTCGCGCTCCGCTTCCACATTTACTATGGACACCCGAGGCGTCATAGGTTCAGCAGGTGCAGTTGCATTCCCCATGGTGTTGTTGGGTGTAGATTTAGGTCTGAAGAGCCCGACAAGTGACCGCGTGGAGTTTCTAACGCCTTTGCCCATCTTCCTCAGCATAATCGACGCCGAAGAGGCAGTGGAAGAAATAGACAGATTATCCATCGATCCCGAAAATAGATGACCTTGCCCTGAATATATGCTCTCACCAAGTCCATTGGCTTCTTGTTCCTCTGCAATTGCAGCTTGCTCCGCACCCAATTCCTCGTCGAGTTGTTGCTTTCGCGACACTTCTTGGCTAGGTCGACCAGTTTGTGTAGCTTGCTGGGCACTGGCGGCCCGAAGCTCCGCAACACTGCCAAACGACAGTGCCCTTCGTAGCCTTGACTTTCCAGATTTATGGAAACCTTTTTTTGACAATTCTGTCAGGCGCTTTGCAGCAGGACTTTGTGTTTTACCTTGTAAAGGAGATGAGGACTGTTCTTGCATTACAGAAGGTGTTTTAGTTGCAGAGTTCGTAGTAGTGAGGTGCTTTGTTTCTGAAGATTCAGAGCTCATATCCACCGGTTGGGACAAAGGAGAAGGATTTGTGACACGTTTCGAATTTTCAATGAGTTTGTGATCTAGTTTCAGTGTAGTGGGCGATGAAACTGGAGGAGCTCGTTTTCCCTTTTGCTCCCAAAATAATATATGTTAGTCATAAACACAAAGGCAAGTGAAATAAAAATACTGGAGAAGCAGGCTTACAGCTGGAGGTGACGATCGGGTGGATGAGACACTTTCAGCGCTACCCTTGTGGGAATGGGAGTATGACTGAGCAGAATGAGGCTGCTGATCGACGTTTTGGGGAGTCAAATCTTTGGTGTCTAATGAAATTTGTGTTTCGGAGACTGATTTTCGTTCTGATACGTTTACCGGGGTCATGTCTAGACTGCCCAAGCTCCTACGTCTGTAGCGCTTGGCTTGCTCTGATGACTGTGACTTGTTAACGGACCCATCATCTACACTGACACCTCTGAAGTGAGATGGGGGGCCTCCTTGCTTTATACTGGGGCCAAAACTGGACTGCAAGGGTCCGTTTGCTACAGACGACGAAGCCTGCATAAGCCCATTCTGGGTTTCAGCCCGTCGTTGACCGCGACGGTAACGATCTGGAGAAGATTTAGCAGAGGCAGCGGGAGATGTAAGCCCAATTGAAGACAAAGGGCGAACAGGAGGTTCACTGGTTCGTTGTCTTGTTGGGATTGCAGAGTCGTCTTTCGAAACTTGGGATATAACAGAGGACGGGATGGTAGGGAAAGTATTAGATACCGAACCAGCAGCAGGGAAATGCACACGAGAGGGAATCAGGCCCGGGTATGTAGGGTTTGCTTGGGTATGTACTGTCGAAGGAGCAGATACCGCTCTATCCTCCGTTTTTAGGTGATGGGAGCCATTCTGACGCATGTGAGAGCTGCCAGTATTCGTCAAACTGGGAGTGCTAGTGAAGGCGTAAGGCGCAACAGGATGTCCAGCCTGTGAAGTCCTATAACCCATCCCATTCCCATTCCCATTCCCATTCCCATTCCCATTCCCATTTTCCAACACATTGTTATGTGATGCCCTAGACGGCTGCTGGTTTCGAGACATTTGTGAATGCTGTTGTAGTGTTGAAGTTGTGGGGGATGGAAAGGTGCCAGTAGAAGAGGTGCGAGGCTGCAGCAGAGTGATGGAGTTGGTCTGCTGGGGAATCGTTTGTACCAATGCAGCCATGATTGGAATCACGCGATATATTTTATGGAAGAGAAAGGTGAACGGAGAAACTTCTGACGATTTGACCCAGACACTCTTGGATCAAGAGGCACGATAGGTAGGGAATTCGGTGATGTAGATATCCACCACAACGCGTTCTGCTGATTAGGGGACAAGATGATAGAGGCCAACTAGAACAAACCTGCAACCTTGAAATTAATAGGTCAGCTGAGGCATCCACCAATAGTATGTCGAAAGTCAAGTTGAGAGGAAGTCAGAGAATTCGAGGAGAAGGTTTAGGAAGCGTTGGGGAAACCAATTGAGGAGGAATTGGAGGGGAATGTAGGTAGGGGTAGGACAGGACGGGTACCGATGTGATTGTGCGAGCTAGGGTAGTCCTTCCATTGTGTTCACGCATTCCAAGGCGAGAGTCGGGAATAGATAGAAAAGCCAAAGCACTAGGCAGTTGGGAGGATTGTAAGAAAGGAGGCCTACCAAGATCACGATTGTAAAGCAGTTTTTTAAAAAGAGAAACGATTGAAAACGGTAAAATTATACGATGCTTAGGTCCAAGAGTCCAGATAATGTCAAACGAATGGAAAGAAAACAACGTCAGCAACAAGAACGGGACACGATGGAGTGGATAGTTGTTTAAACGAGGCGATGCGAGATGAGGATCCCAAGGAGCTCAGGGAAGTATGCAAATGAGGTTCAAAATGAAAAGGAAAGTAAGATGGGATGGTGAAGAAGAGGGTGAAGAAACACAGAATCAAGCCATGAAGAAACAAAAGAGTAGTGACAGGCAGGAAATATATCAACTGAACGAAAGGAGATATAGATTAAAAGGAGACAGAACAAGCTGAACGAAGAGAGAACCACGGGCCTATTCCTCCAGGGCACACACGGGAGAAAGAGGAGGAAGAGGAGGAAGGGGATGGGGATGGGGACGGGGGTGAGGATGACGGATGACAAGGTCAACGCCAGCGAAGCTGAGAGAGGAGAGGAGAGAGGAGAGGAGAGGAGGTGAGGATGGAGATGGGAGACGGAGATGGTTGAGGCCTCAGGACCGTACGGGCGCTGGTACATACAGGTGTTGGTTGTTACGGGAGTCCAGCAGCCTGAAACATTGATACCCAGGATCGCTCCCTGACTGGCTGGTTACATACCGTTGTAAAACCTTTGGGCTGTTGATACAGCCACTACGCCGCATCCCGCCTAGTGGTGGACGCTTCGGACAGCTTCCCTGGCCCTTACAGCGAGTCACGCACCGATATTATCTTGGCTTACCGTACTCCGTACCTTACATTACTTTTCCTGATTTTATCTTACAGTATCTCCGTACAGCGCCAGGCAGCCCTGGGAAACGCCGGATAATGGATGGTTCGTGGAGACTGCGGATGTCACAAACCATAGTGCTCAGGCTGGTACAACTTACCCGGAAGAGACAGGAGGACGGACTGTACGAGACGTAAGGCAATATGGGGAATATAAGGCATCAAATATCCAAAAAAAAAATCAAATGAAAGGAAGCTGAGGACGTTGGCAGGACGTGGGTTTTCGAGGTCATCCACTGGGTCCCGAATAGGTCGTATTTACATAGTATTTATTTATATCTGCATATCAGTATATCAGTCTATCTGTCTATTTATTATTGGGCAGAAGCGATTTTGGGAACGGTGAACCTTGAGGAAAAGATCCCCTACGCAATGTATTGTATCTTTTCTATCACTAGTCCATCCCATCTTCTGCCCTCTCCTCCGCTCTGTTCTCCGACGTGGTAAGAATTGCAGAAACAGGAGGGGGATAAAAGAGGGCCCCCCCGCTTCCTCCTTGAAACCTGCGTCGGTTAGTTACTCCGTTGAGTGGTGCAATATTACGCAGTCATGCAAGCTCCTGGTTTCTCCTGATTCTAAGGGTCGCTAGCGCTAGTCTCGAGTCTATTCGCCAGACACGAGCGTTTTCAAATCAAAAAACGCACGTCGCTAGTTAGTCCATGTTCACCTTTTTCATGGGGTAGATGGTAGATTTGTTTGGCTTGATTTTCGATCGGCATATGTATTTTTATCAGATCCTCACCCTGAATCCCAATAATGTAGAATGATATGGTATATTGAGAGAGGAGCTTATATTTCGTTGGGCCCACTTGTGATACAAGCTAAGTTCAATTATGCTTGAGAGATGTAAGGAAGGAAATAATGGAAACAGCAGATGGAATCATTAACTTATTTTTGGTATTTATTATTATTTAGGAAGCAAGGCACATGACTTCTGCAGACAGATATCTTGATATTCAATTCTCCCTCGCCGCTATCCGCATCAAACAAGTTTTTTCCTCCTTACTTTTCCCCAGACTATTTTTATTTATTTATTATTTGTTTATTTATTTATTGATAGCCCTGGTACTTTATTCATTTCTACTGATTCTCTTCTTGATACTCCGGAGTTCTTCCCAGCTTGCATGATGACGGCGATGCACTTGCCACTACGAAATAAAAATAAACTCCAAGCTCCAAAAGTCCTGAAACCGTCAGTAGCAGAGCCTCCATGTCATCCCCCAGCCAATCCCGTCATGTCCTTGGCTCATTTTTGTTCAGATGTCTCCCATGATTATTCCCTGAAAATCCCGTCCTATGGTTGAAACGCAAATAAATATATTTGTTTTTTTTTTTTTTTTTTTTTTTTTTTCTCCAGAGACAAACGATCATCTGCCAACACCGCCCCTTTCCAGGTTCCTCCTCCCTTCCCGAAAGTCAGATCAGCACACATCATAAGCTATGCAGATCATTGGGTATTTCGTTCTCACCGATCAGTTGATCAGTGGTCAGTGGTCAGTGGTCTTTTGGGGGGTTTGTAAAATAACATCTGGATGTACTCCGTAGTGTCCAGTACATATGCAGAATGCTTGCTTGCTTGTTTTCCCGTGGTTCCTTCCCCCTCCCTTTTTATTTTCATCTTATTACTTCACCTGTTCCTCGCAGCCAGTCGGACGATTTCGCTGATTGAATGAACGAATGATTGATTGATCGGTGAAAATAAAATAAAATAAAATAAAATAAAATAAAATCTAATATCTATTCATATTCAAACAATACAAAAAAAATAAAAATAAAAGATCGGGCTACGAGCCGCCAGTGGGGGTGGTGAAACGAAACAAGAGCCTTGTTCTTTCTGTAAAATTTTATTATTCTTTTTTGTTGATCAAGTTGTGCATGCACTATATATACATGTATACATGTATATGTATTTATGTAAATATATAGACCTGAAATCAAACAAACTTGTTCCTGATGCTACTGAATAAAAGGGGCTTCATTTATTTATTTATTTGTTTTTTGTTTCGAGTGGTGTAACATCTTGCCTAACTTACACCATTCATATTTGTATACGAGGCGAGGGACGAGTCTAGCCCCCTATCTTTTTTCTTATTTTTATTGTTTTTGATCCTCCCCTGACTTTCCGACGCTGGTAAGTACAACCTTTCTCAATTGCTCATTAGGTAAAAAAGAGGGAGAGGCGTGCAGTACAGCCAATGCATGGAAGAGATAGAGAATATGGGAGGGCGCAAACAACATACGTTCATTCGATAACTGATATCTTGCGTGGTGTCTGCTGCTGTAGCCTGTGTAAAAGCGAAATGGAATAATTACACTGTTCGTTTCATGCGATACAGATAGATGGGACTTCGAAATCGGGGTACCAAGGGAAAGTGGGGACTGGTTTTGGGTTGGGTGGGACAAGAGGGTTAAAGGATGGACCAAATGGTAAGAGCAGCTTCAGGGAAGCATAGAAGGTATAGATCGACAATGTGCGAGTAGGTTTCAAGGAAAACTTTTTTCATTTATATATAACTGGTATATATGGATATAGATCAAAGAAAATAAGGTGTTTGTCAGAGGCTAAGGACACATATAAAGGGAAATGGATTGCAGTCCAGAGTCCCGGTTAGCGCGGACCAACCATCCTGATATCATCATATCAACGAAGGGAGCGGTCCCTTGAAGACACTAATAGCTGTCGACCGTCAATTTCAAAACAAGAAATAAAGATTATGGTTGTCTCTTGATTTTATGGAAGATGGGGGTTTTGGGCTTCCTATTACGGACTAGCTCCCCGCACCAGCATTGATCATTCAGGATGTTTTTGCTGAGGTAATCGCCTTCACTCGCCTTTGTGCCAGCCAGGCAGGCTATCTGACAGTCCAGGATTGATCGGGAAGGTGTATAAAGGTCCATATGGAAGAGTAGAATTATCAATTGGCTTCCGGGCTTGAGAGTAGTTGGCTGCGGGGCTTACGCACCGATGATTGGGCTTGTTTGGTTTAGATTAAAACCCCATTTACGGGGAAATTATATCGGGGTGATAATACTCCGCAGAGATACAATTATTCCGCCAACCGATATAATTCCTCCTAATCCAAAACTAGGATGGTGGGGGTTGGTTCTAAGAGCAGAAAAAGGGTCTCTCAAGATGATATGATTTGATGAACTTTTTGCTTCTGGTAGATGTTAAGTGGCTCTCGTTCGAAGCTGAGTTTTAGCAACTGGAAATTCGAGGTATGGTTTGACGATCCATGCATTCAGTGTTGAACGGCGCAATGATGACTGTGTGCCTGCAGGATGCCCCTTGGATAACTTTCCAGTCAGTTGCACGGAACTGCAAAAAAGAAAGGATGCAAGGAAAACAAAAAGCACAAGATACATAATAAGCGTTATAAAAGGATGTTTCATCGAACCTATAAAATTATCCGTTCGTCTCCATCTCTTGCTGTGGAAATTCAACTTCACGAGGAGGTTGCCCCTCAGCTACAACCTCCAAGAGATTCGGACAAACCCGACATTCACTGTAGATTTCCAGCTCAGGAGGCAGGATGGCAATCTGATATACCGATGTGATTGTCGCCTCCCATCTTGTACGAGTCGGATAGCCCGGGTGTGTCATTAGGGCGCGTTATTTTGGATCTTGCAGCGTGTAGTGTCACATAGATGTCACGAAATAACTGCATAATTTGTTGGGGTGGGTATTAACTATCCTGAGACAGTGCCCGTTGATTTTGGAGAATGTTCTGGAGAGGAGCAGGAGCCACAAGGGGCAAATATACTAAACGCGCTAAAACCCGTCGCTGACTCATGAACGCGGTTAGTGCCACGTGACAATTGCCTCGACGCGGCTCCTCCCGCGCAACCACAACAATGACGTCACAGCCAACTGGTCTTTGCCAAGAACACCAACGCTGTCATGTTGATTATCGACGATTTCTTCATCCACCTTTGAATTGTATGATTGATTTGCTAATTCCAGAGGATCTAGGTATTTTCCATAGCGTCTTGCGAAGTTTGCCACGGGGAGTCCGCTGCATCAGACCCACCACACCGGTGATATCTGGCATCCATACTCCATCACATCATGCCGTTCTCTTCGGGATATTCCAGGAAGTCCCTCTGGAACAAACCATTCCTTTCCCTCTGGGCGAAGCAGGAACTTTCTCTGCTTTTTCCCTCCATGAAAACACATGGCAAGTGAATGGCCGCAATGATGCAACTTGACTGTGAATGTCAGGAGCTATAAGATGCCCTCTTTTGACTCGCCGTAGTCCTCTTCCTTTTTTCTTCATTTAACTTACCTTCTTCATCCTCTCATTACTCCATTTCATATATCTGTATGACTGCTGAGTTTGGGATAATACAAGTTTTGAGATCGGGCCCAATATTGACCAAAGGATCAAAGCCACCCTGACCTCGACATTACACATCCACTGAATAGCCGTTGCACCAGATCCTAACTTCCTACTCCCCCCCTCCTCCCCCACACACCCCACCGATGCCTGTTCAATACTATTTTCGATATTAAATCTCAGCAGGAGAGGATGTCACTATATAATCTACCAGAAATTTCACCACTTGATGAGGACTCGGTATTTCTTCCAAGAGTTTCTTCTACCATTCCGGGGGCTTTATCACTAGATTCTGAAGCTTTATCCTCAGAGTGTAAAACAAACTCCGGGCTGCCTTCACGGGGGTTTGGAATTGCGGTTACTGAGGATGCTGAGGTTAACGCCAGCGCTTCCACAAGATTCAATGTACCCGCTGTTCAATATGCCCAGCCCACCCTACATCAAGAACTGGGGCAATCTTGTACGGTCAATCCGAAATTTTTAACTTTACCCAAGGATGCCACAAGCATGCAATATGATTTGCTTATCGATTCTAATCTTCCACATCTTCATGCAGACCAAAATGGAGACCTACTCGCCGGCGTTTCACTAAACGGGGACGTCTCCTCACTCCCTCCACAAACCCCGGCGCCATCAAAACCCCCTTCCCCCGAAACTTCAATTTCTTGTTCTCCATTGTGCAACACTTTCCATACTAATTCATCCTTGAAATCAGTGGGAAATGCTTTTGTTGACCAACAATGTAATTCGAATTCCGCGGCGAATCCGCGTGTTCCGTTCGTGATTCCATTGAATGAAAGACCTAGGCAATTTTACACCCCGACTATGAACTCTGATACACAGAAGTCCGCCAACAATTTAAATTTCGATGAGTGGTGCCGTGATGGCGGAGATTATGCGAGCCCATGCCCTGCCCCTCGTGGAGAAACCTCCAGGGACCAAAGTGTTGTTGACTTGAGGTTCCTTGGCTCTTTATCACATTATATTATATCCAACCCTGTTTCTTCACAGATTCAGTCTACTGTTCGCCGCCTGGATTTCCATAAAGATTCCCCCCCAGAATTATCTCAGTCTGAATTTGATGAGCTGGTAGATTCCAATGAATTTTTGCCTGACCTGCTCTTATCTCCATCACCTTGCCACCCGGCTGAGCAGAAAATTTTCAAGAAACATGAAGCCTCGGACTTCTGTCTCGAGAGCCCAACACTCAAACCTCCGCGAAGGGAGAAAGAAATGTTCGTGCGCGAATATAACTTACGAAAACTGCCTACAAGAAAAGTTAAAGGACCCCAAGGACCCTCCAGGTCTGACCCTTCAAGTCCTGCAATGTAAGAGAAAAAGCTAAAAAGATTCGCAGGAGTCTATAAAGCTAGGTAAGAAGCCTGCCTCTGATGGGTGTAGTGACTGAAAAACACATTCTGCAAGCCTGCTTAGCCAGACCCGGAGGAATGCGAACCCCAAGTCTCTGGATGACTAAATGGAAATTAATGGATTCCGTCATTTCCATTCTTCCATTTACTCTGCCAGGATTTATCAGTCCAGGTTTTCACTTTTCTTCCTTTTTAGATCTTATTTCATGATTTGCGGTCCTACATTGGATTATATTACGCCACTTTTCATGGGTTAACCACTGGCATTGTCGGAAACTCCTGGGTTGAGAGCCGGATGGACTTGCAGGCATTGATCCTGCTTCAAACCAGTAAGGAATATGTGTATGTGAAGCTACCAGCGGTCCGGCTCCCTGTTGGCTTGTCCGGCTCCCTGTTGGCTTCCTGCGCTGTGGAACTCTCCTCTGCCGTCTACTCTAAAGTTCTAACCATTCGGCAATTCAGCTTAGTTCGTGCTCGATGTTTTGTTTTGCTTCTGGCATTGGTTTATTTTACTGGTTTATTCTGGCCTGCTATTTGCTCATGTATTTTTATCACGGAGGCGAATAAGGCTATGCCATATTGCATGTCCCCGGGGGGTATATCGAGATATTGCAGATATATATTTACGTTGTTGTTGTTGTTCATTTGAGGGCGGGTATTTGTTTGCTCCGATTTTTGTTCACATCTTCTTCATTTCTTCAAGCCTGTACGAATGAATGCACTTGCTTCTACGAGCCGTGTTTCCCCAGTTACCTAAACGGTATTGTGATGAAAAACTTGCGAAAAGTATGTGCATTTCGAATGTAACGCCCGTGGGGCTCTCGTGGACATGGATATCATCTATCATCCACTTAAGCTGGCGATACACACAAGATAATTCCTTTCCCAAGAGGGGAGGATACATCACCGTTGCTTTCTATTATCTATTGCTAATTTTCATCCACACTGAGGTAATATTCCGAGATAGAAAGAAGTGTGTTGGGTTAGGTGGGGGGAAGACATGACGGCCATTCATTTTCCATCGATCGGTTTAGTGCATCCATTGCACGGGTATTTTCATTTTTAATCATCACTCGGACTCAGCTCGTCCCATGCTCATCCGTATCGCCATCCATATCGCCATCCATATCTGTGTCATCCATATCTCCATCCAAGCCCTCAAAAACCATAAACTTCTCCCCGCTCGCCTCCGTCTCTTCTGGAACAACATTCCCATCCTGCACCTCACATTCCTTCAGCACAGACTCGCGCCCAATCCTGCAACGTCGCCCAATAATACAGCCTGTAAGCTGACAGCGCTGGTCCACCACAGCACCATCCATGAGCAAGCAGCGCGTCAGTCGCGCACCCGTGGCAATGTGGCAGTTGGCGCCAATCACACACTCCTTGATGACACACTTTTCTTCGACGGTTACGTTCTCGGCGATCAGGCAGTCGGCTTTGGTGACTGTGCATCGCTGGGCGATGCCGGCTGGATGGGCGATTTTGTTCATGTGGGCGAACGGGGACGCAGCCTCGCGACCAACGTCGTTGATTGGGTCTAGTTTTGCCAGACGGAGTGAGGTCGACAGAAGGAGGGTAGAACTGTCCACGCGCCGTATTAGAGGGGCGGAGGGTTGTGAAGGGTGAATGTAGGCGAGGATTGGGGGTACGGAGAGTTTTTGTGGGGATGCTGGGTTAGGATTGACGGTATCGTCTAGTTGAAAAGGCAAGGTGTGTTGGGTTGGACGCGGTCGAGTCTGCTTATGTGTCGCGCTGCTGCCGTCCGGGTTGATGTTGGAGTGGGAACTTGATTTTGTTGTAGACATGGCTGTGATGTCGATTTCTTCCTCGACACGCTCTTCGGCTACGAAACCACGGCTATTTGTGGCCTGGTTGCTGAAAACTTCTCGTAGGCTTAATTTCTCGCCTAGGCCCGTTTGCCATTCGGCCTTCGCCCACCATCCTATCAAATCTTCGCTGACGCTTTCGAATTTCTGGTTTCTTTTAGCCATGTCTTTCACCCAGTACGGCAATAAGTAGATATGAGCATCACGGTAGGTGGTTAAGAGCTTCACTCTGCCATGGCTTCTAAGGAGTGAAGGGCGGATCAAGAAAGCCTTCTTCTCGGCCATTGTGTTTTTCAGTGTATCCATTGGCGCAGCGTACACAAGTTTTGATAATGAGGCGCGGCCGGATCCGTTCCCGCCTGGTCCGCCATTGACAACGGCAGCATCATCTGTATCCAGGGGTGTTATGGCCAAGAAATCGGCCACCTCCCCTTTGATCTTCTCTTCTTTGGAAGTGGGTATGGGGTACCATACCCCGAGACCGCCTCTCCTTCCACCATGCTCCCCGCCAACGCCAACCATGCTTGATACGCGGCTTGAAAACGCTTCACCGACTGACGAACCATCCAGAGCTCCTTGGCTTGACATCCACGCTTCGAGGAGCGATTCGCCAAGCAAGTCACATATTAGGTCGCAAGGAAGAAGCATAAAATCGGACCTGATACATGCTTGCACATCAGGTAGTCGCAGAAGCTCCGAAGTACCAGTAGTGAAGGTTAGGTCTCGAGGTGCAAGCACTGATGGGGATGGAGAAGGTAGCGATGTAAGATGTGGGTTTTGCGATAGGGCAGCCTCTAGAGCGGGCTGACTTGACTGAGGAGTAATAAGAGTTATATCTGAGGCGTTTATTAGAACATTTTCTAATGACAAGCAGCAATTGTATGTGGGATGTTGAATGAAATGATTTCCGCAGTTGATTATGACGAAATATAAGGTTTCCTTTGAATATAGCAACCTGGGCACCATATGCGGCATGTATCCGCAAGTCGATCCACCCTCAACATACAAAATTCATTCTTGTATCCCATGTTGATGGCGGTAAAACGCCCATTGGAGGAGATCAGGACTAAATAATAAATAAATAATCTGTGAAATATTCCAGAAGCACTTACTCGTAATGCCCATGCGATAGCACCAGTCTAGAGGGTACCAGACCATAGGGCGGTTCGCAATTGGAACAAGGGCTTTGGGGAATTCCTCAGGGTTTGAAGTAAATGTATTCAAAGAAACGCCAGGGCCACAGAGTATGAGAGCCTGAAACCCCGCATAGGGTACAACAGAGGCATGAGGCATGTTTCTAGCTGACAATTCGAGAAGCTGACAAGGGATCTCCTTGCCCCGCGACCTGCGTTGATCACACTATCCTTCCCAATCTTCAGGATGACACCCCGCCCACCGGCTCCGTGCCCTGAGCTTTCGGTGGAAATTTATATTATAAGCAGCTTCCCAGAACAAAGAAGAGTGAAATAGCGGGGATGCCAATCAATGCTCAGCCGAATTTGCTGAGGGTAATAGGAGCGTGTCCGCAGGAAGAGCCGTGCTGATTCAATGTCTGCGCGCTGGCGGCTTTTTTTTAGCTATATACTCCGGACAGCCGTTGTCCTGGATCGCAGTGGAGGGCACAATATCAAAATGTATATGATAGATCGTGTCGATCCGAGATCTCCGATCAATTTTTCCTTTTTGTTATGTCCACGTGACTTATATGCATGTATCGAGCAAACAATGCAAACACAGCTCGCGTCCCCAGCCACACGTTTAATCCCCGCAAACAGCGCACGGGAAACTACACAACGCGCTCGCCGATGTCCGAGGTTGAAATCTTATATACAATACGGGGTAGTTCATGGTTTATAAACACTGATTTCGTTGTCTACTCCCCCTTAGCCCCTCCACCTTTTCCCTTACCTCTTGTGGAGGACTACAATGTGGCATTCTTGCCATCTGCATTGATCGCCCGCTTGTGGATATACTTAGACATTGCGATTATTTACCCCCTTATTTGCACAAAAACCAATTATACTTCTGTTCCCATGTCAAACCAACCTTTTTCCGACAGTCGTCGTCGCCACAGTGGTCCCGGTGGCTTTAGTTCCACCGGTAGAAGGACTGCTCTCGGTTATTGGCTTCCTCTCGCTCTCACTGTCGGCGTCGCCGCCGTCAGCCTTGCTACTTGGGTATGGAGCGAACGCCGCGACGGTGAAGACGACGATGATTATTACGAGGATAAGGAACACCACAAACGAAGGGATGAAAATGTTCCAGGAGGATTTCAACCTGGCGCTGAGAGCAGCCAGCCGGAAAGTGGATACGCGAAGGCGACCGGGGCCCATGATGGAGCTCACCCGGAAGATGCGAGTGTCATATCGCGAGTCCAAGGTGCATTGCGACGAACCCCAAGTCCACAGCAACTGTTCGACGGCGCTAGCAGGAGAGTCGCTGCTGGAGTGGCTGCTGCTGGAGCTGTTGTTGGAGGTGCGTTGACTGCGATCCGCGAAGAGGGACCGAACGATTTTGAAGACCATTCCCGATGGACTGAGGAAGCGAATTCCCGAAGTGTTCTTGCGACTGCGGGACCTCGCGCCATGACAGGAGCATTGCCGCCTCCATCTGTGGCTCCAACGGCACATGCACCTAAAACAAAGTCTAGAAAAACCGTGGCCATCGTGGTGTCTTCTGTTGGATTTGTGGAGGATCAAGACGATTCGGAAGGGCAAATACCAGAACATGTAGGTTTATTATTCAAAATACTAGTCGATGCAGTTGGAGCTAATCCACCATTAAATAGTCTATCCTGTCCCATCTCCCTGAATACGTCGAACCCGATACTGCACGAGTTTTCGTCTTGATATATGCTCCTGGGTTGCAAGCTCACTCATCCAATTCCCCAAGTTCGTCTCGACCCACACCTTCTCTTTCCTCTTCCTACGCCAACATTTCCCCGGAGGAGGGAACTGTAGAAAACACACAAGATGTGTCCAGCCTCGATATCATTGAACCTCGTCCTGCAGGGGATGATTTCGGGTCGGCGTCGCCCCTTTTCAAGGCTCTCTACAACCAAGCCCAGTCACTGGTCGACAAGGAGACAATGATTCTACCCTTTAGCACACCAACTGGACACGTTCACATGCTTCGACACCTCTCTCCAGAAATTGTATATATCCAAGAAAGCATGACCGGCAATGACGGTGAGTCGGTTAACCAAATTACCGCATGGGTTCGACAAGTTGTTGTTGTAGTTGGTGCGGAGGGCGGGCGCGGTGGGTTGGTAGATAGTGACGACGAGTCTGCAATAGGTGCAGATAAGAGTGAAAAATGGTGGCAGAAAGAAGGAGTAACAGGCCTAGGCAAGCGACTTGATGTGGTTGATGGGCTAAGAACTGGGGAAGACTGGAGACGGCGTGTCTGTGGCCATGACTGAATGATAGTGCCGGATCCCCTTCTACTGACACTTTTTGTGAAATAAAACGTTTTGATGTTTTCCTAACTCACGATATGACCACCCTCCCAAACAATTTTTTATTATCCATTCTTGTACGATTTTATTCTATCTACGTATTTGAATAGGGCTCTTTTTATCTCGGGGTTGTTTCCCCTTTAGGCTATTCCATCTCTTTTATGATTTTTTACGTATTTTGTATTTTATTTTATGCTCCTTCGTTCAAGAGATAACGCATTTTCGTCATTTCGTCAATCAACTTATAACACCTTTACTTCCAATTTTCAAACCTCAACCAGTATGCTAAGTTGTCTGACACTCATTGAACACCGTTTTAATCGACTACGTCAGCGTAACTTTTGATTCCTTTTTCGCCGAGGTTGAACTAAATCAATTAGTCAACTACCTAGGTTGACGCTAGATCGAATCCGTGTAAATCACGTGATATAAGAGCAGGTGACATCCGTGGAGCCTCATCCTTGGCATCAACCAACGACAATTAACGACAGTTCATACAACGATGATAGCCATCAGACTGGCAGTATATCTCGACTCCATTAGCGTTCCGCCGTCTCGTCCAGTATACTGTGCTGTATAGGCATCTCCTCTTTCAATCTGTTGTCCACCGGAGCCGGTCGTGGGCGTGCCGGTCGCCGTTCCGTTATCCGCACCTACTCCCCACATGTCTCCCTCATCGGCTTTCTATCAATATTCGGGGGTTATAATATTCTTATCCGTCCTGTTTGATAGCGTCTGAACTGTCACATTCGGGCGCTAGCAGTAGAACCCTCCTTAACTGCATGGAAGCGTCTTCCAGCATGGCGACAGCTGTGTCCACGAAACTTCCCGCGCCCAAAATCAAACGCCCTCCTCCGTCCTACATCCAGACTGGGATCAATGGCGCGAAGCCTTCACAGCCATCTCCATCCCCACTGGGTTCGGCTTCAAATCGTGCTTCGCTCGCCAAACAGCCATGCTCGGTGACTCCGATAAGTGCTACCGCCGCAAATGGCGCAAATAATCGCCAGCCAATGCGCCCCAGGAAAGAGGCTCAGAAACCAGGAGACTCTGCATCTCGTTTACAGCGTCTGTCGATAAAGCATCCTGGCGCAGATGGAGCTATTACAGATCGGAATCAGCTGAAGATGTTTCCAGAGCCATATGGTTCGTGTTCCCTATCGTGAATTTTTCTCTCGACAAAGTATGAAACGCTGACCTACTCTGACCACATAGTGAAAACTACGTCCTATATCCTCAAAAAATACTCGAAAGTTCCGCCATCCTTAACTATACATTTACATCCCACCCACTTCCGTTTCGACCAGCAAGATGGCAGCTTTCCCTATAACTCTGAAATGAAGATTTTCATGAAGCACTTGAAGGCTGGCACAGTTCCTCACGACATGATGGAGGAGTTGGTGAGATGCGGAGTCCGCTTCTATGAGAGTGAGTATTTGTTATTATTATTTATATCTTTGAAGCTTCGGAGTTAATTTTGAATAGATTGCCTCATTGTCCGCGTCGTGGATCATAAATCCATCTCCACGCAATCCAACACCTCATCCAATTCCAATTCTGGGGAGAAGAGCTCACCTTTTTCCTTGCACAATTACAATCAGCACATCACTCCTTCACCATTTGTTCCATATCCGCAACAGAATCAGTCGAAGATAAAGCCTACCACCAATGGATCTTCAACAGGTAGCAGCCATAAAGCAGACGAGCAGCCGGTATCAGAAACAAGTAGTGACACTGTAGTACCCAATGGAGTGAAAGCGGGATCTAGCAATTCAAAACAACCAGCCATGAAACCCAAGGTGTTCACCACAGTATTACATCCCACACCTCAGTCTCTACTCGCAGAATTAACGTTGTTGTCCATGACGCCTGATCCACGAGTAAATCGTCGCCAGTCCCAAGCATATCCCGCGTCGCGAACTGGATCAGCTGTCCAAACGCCTAGTATATCTACACTTCCATCTTCTCCGATATCTGACCGTCCGCCTCCAGCAAAGAGACAAAAGATGATGGTTGAACCATCAGAACTTCTAGAAGCAGAGGCAAAACTTATACATGCCACAGCTCCACCACTCTACCTAGAGCCGGTTGATTCATTGACCGCGAGTGCGAGTCTTCTCAAGTTTTTAGAAGATCCTCGACATCGCAACAAACCGCCTTCACCAAAGACCAGAAGGCGGACTGTCGCAGAGTTAGCTGCGGATGAAGCATTGGCTGCTGAAGAGGAACGATTTATGCTTATCATGGATGAGAGGCTGGGGCCTTCCACTTCTGGCAACGCTGGGGGAGCGAAGCCTCCTAATGTTGATGACGAAAGTGGTGCAGCTCCATTCGAACCTAGATTTTCAAGATTCAAAACTCTCGAGAAAATTCGCCATGAACATGAAGAGAAAGCTAAAATCGAACATGAAAAGAAGCTTCAACAAGACCACGCTAAAAGGTTGCAGCAGGAAGCTGAGAAAGAGAAACGACGGGCAACAGAGCAGCGGTTGGCAGAAGAACAAAGCCGGGAAGATAAAAGAAGGGCGCAAATGGCGGCAGCAGCAGCACACCATGCCCAGGTGCAAGCACATGCCCAACTTTTGGTTGCACAAAATCGGGCCCGCTCCCAGTCCCGTGGAAACCCTGCTATGGGAATACCTCATCAGCCGCAGCCTCGACAAATGGTTCCAGCGTCTCAAGGTCAACAGTCATCTCCACCAGTCCGGAATGTAACCCCTCATAGTTCGTCACCTTTGGCAGGAAATTTGATGGGACCTCAGATGAACCAAGGAGTTCCAATGGCTATAACAGGTTCCTCACAAGGAGTGGGAAGTCCACTTCAAGTTACATCAGGTGTACAACATAGCCATCCAGCTGTTATGGCACATCCGATGGTTAATACACGAAGCCAACAGGGTCAGAGTAGACATGGCACTCCACAGATGGGGCAAGGGACCCCTGCTATACAACATGCCACACCAATAATGCGCAATGCAACTCCCACGCAGAGAATGACACATGCAAGTCCCAGCGCTTCTACCATGGCTCAGACCCCTGTTATGAACCATCCCATAATGGCCAATCCCCAGATGAATGGTGTGATGATGACCCCGCAACAACAGCAGCAAGCTATCCTGCAGCAGAGGCAGCAACTTATTATGCAGCGAAATTTGCAAGCCCAGGCCGGCACTCAACAGTTCACGCCTCAGCAAATGGCACAGCTTCAGCTCCAGGCCAATATGCACGCACAGCAAAGTATTCAGCATGCCCAGCCTCAACAACACCCAAATATATTTATGCAACAACAGGCGCAGACGCAGGCGCAACAGCAGCAGCAAATCCAACAACAGCAGCAAACCCAACCGCAGCAGGTGCAACAGAACCAGTTCCCAAATGCAGCTGCTTATCAAGCACATGTCATGCGATCTCAGCTGGCACAGCTGCAAATGTCACAGGCCCAAGCTCCTCACGGCCAACAGCAAGGGAGCCCGCAACAACTCCCACCGCAGCAAGCGATGCCGCAAGCAAGTGGTGTAGTTGGGCAAGGCCAAGGAGCACTTCCACCTCGCTACCGGTTACTCTACACGCAGCGCATGCTGCCACAAGCTCAAAACGAGGTACGCGCGAAACTCATACAGCAATTCGGTCATCCGTCTGGCTGGCACGATGCCGTTCGCCAGCAGTTCCAAGAACAAGTAGAGAAAATCGCCAAACAATATTTGTTTGACTTTATGAAAAGGGAGGGTCAACAACGGGCCCAACAAGCGCAGGCACAGGCACAGGCACAGGCACAGGCGCAGGCTCAGGTTATCCAGCATCAACAGCAACAGCAGCAGCAGCAAGGCATGATGAGTAACAGTATTGCTAAATAAATCGATTCTCATTATTTTTTTCATTCTGTCTTTGCTTTCCTGTTATCTTAGTTTGTGCTGGGCGCAATCTGAAAGAATTTTTACTTGGGGCATCTGGCCTTCCCTATTCTTACCCATTCTTTCTCACCTGTTTAATCTCCAATTCCCCACCCACCTTTATGATCACCACCTTCCCAACATAGTCGCCCACCAGTTCCCCATCTGCCATTAGCATCCTATACTGTATTTCGCTCTCTTCCTTTTCTTCCTTAATTTCTTTCGTATTGTACTTGTGTTAATTAGGCAGATGACCTACATGACTACTACGGATGGCTTTCGTGGCATACCTGGCTTGCCCAATAACCTAAAACAAAAGGTTCATCCATCTTTCCCAGATGTTGACTTTGTTTTTCTCTCTCTTCTCTCCCTCATCCTTCCCCTTACTTCCTACTTACCAATGGGCAGGCCTCGGGGTAGAGAGAAAAAATTTTTTTTTTTTTTTTTTCCTTTTTTCGATTTTTAATATGGTTGGGTTTATTCGGAATTTTTTCAATTTACTATTGGTAGGTCAGGTTAGGGCGGTTAGGGCGAGGTAATTCGATTTGGCTGAATTGACTCATGACATACTATTTTTTGTTTCCCTTTTTATTTTTTCCCTTTTCTATCTTTCGCATGATTCCACTTCTGTCCTTCCTTTGTTGGTTTAGCCTAATAACAATGGCTGTGTGCGGCTTTATAAATCGGTAATTATTACTTCCCTTAGCCTTTTTCTTCATCGCTGCTAAACCATGTTCATACAAGAAGTAAGTACGTCACCATTCAAGCTTAATGTATGTCTCCTTCTTGATCGATCTATCCAGATGAACTTCTCTTCTAGGGATAATACGCCTGACGAAGGTTTTATTTTCTAACCGCAAAGGGATTGCTGCAGGGCGAGATAAGAGCCCCGCATAAGCGTTTTCCAGCCTTGAATGCGAATGTCATGCATGGGATGGGGTAAAGCCTGGCCGCGGCCCGCACTGCGGAAGCAAACATATTTATGTCTATTGTTAGAAATATATTTATTGATTAGAATTGGATAGATAATATATACTGGATTTCTCATTGGATGAATTATGTATGTAATGTACAGAAAGTGTAGACATACCACTGTACGTTACATGCACACAGTATTGACTGGAAATTTCAAGGGCGAGAGTGCTCTGGAGAGCATAAAGTCATGCTGCATCCAACACACCTCCAGCTTCCCCGCTCATAATCTCAGTCAATGTCATTCCAGACAGCAATCCTCTTCAGTATATAATGACGACGGTCGCCTGGGACGGAGCGATATGCCAGTCAAATTGGGTTATGACGTGTGAGATGATGCTTCGCAGGAATATTGATGAAGTACGCAACACATTGTATCAGCAGGAGAATGGGTTCCTCCTTGGCAGGGCTCGATTTGTCAACGACGAAAATGGTTTCTTAGGGTAGTCAGAAAAATACGTTTTCGCGTAGTGTGCAGTGTGTTCAGTGCCCGTGCGAAAGCCTTATTGTCGCGGACCATGCGGCTTGCGTTGCCTAGTCAGACGCACCGGGGAAAAGCAAACAAGATTTCCGTAAGTAAACCTTAAGGTTGATGCAAGTTCTCAGGCAGAATTCCATCGGAAAGGTCCTCAAACCTCCAGCGCTACCCCACACCAACTACGATAGGCGTTAACGGTGGCTTGGGCATAGCTACAGATCCAGGACTCCACCAAGTACGTGCGCATGTCGTGGATTCCTGCAGAGGTGGGATCATTGGTCTCTGGGTCATGGCATGGTACATGCAGAGGCTTGCCGCCGAGATGCAGGAAACTGTCCGAATTAGGGTTATCGCGGCTTTACCGTCAAGACCTCATATTCTTCATCTCATCCTTCCGCCCTGAAATTTGCGTTGACTAGTTATTCCAGGTTTTGGTGGATTTCCGTCCATTGACTGACAATCATAGCAGCTTTTATAGAAAAGGGTTTGTAACGCTGATTTGACCTAGCGTTGAATGAAACACATGAGAATGGAGTGCTGTACTGTATATATGCTGTGCACATACATAGCAAACATATCCCTCAAGAGCTTCTGATACTCCTAGACATTGACCTAGAGTGCTTGACTTGTCAGCTTCAAAGGGGCATCATGAATCGTGAATGTGCAACAAACATGATTGGACATTTAGGGAAAACAATTGGGAGCAGCGGAGTCACTGCATGGTTTTCAGCCACACGAATCAGAGGAGGAGCAATGTAAAGCAGCATTTTGGTATGGATTGCATTAATTTCGGTACTCAAATTCACTAGACTTTTCACTCAGTCCCAGCATTTCGTTCCACATCAATCGTCTCGAGTCCCATGTGTAAAAGGCAAATTGGTCAGTTTTGTTGTGGCGTCCAGCACTAGCAAGAGACATACAGGGACACTGGGGGATCAGCATGCGAAAGGTCCACCTTTGGTCGAGCGCCACGAAGGTGGGATGCGAGCCAAGGTAAGCTAGATGCTAACTGGTGCGGGTGATGGAAATTTTTATGCGTTCAAGATTGATTCGTGCGTGCGAGTACTGGTAGTCGATGATCGATGCCCGGACGACAAATCACAAATTTAATCAGGGATTCATTCATATAAAAATTGGACTCCACGAAGTCCTCTGATTCATTCGCGGAAGAGCGAAAGAAGCCAACAGTAGCAAACTAGCTGTCCCAAAGTCTTTTGCAGGCATCTAGATACATTCAAACAAAATGCCCGATCTTAGAAAGATCAGAGCATTGAGTTTTATTGACGGGAGAAGCCGCGTTTTTTTTTTTTTTTTTCAAAGAAAATTGAGGCTTGCGTTTTGAACATTGTATTTTCACCTTGTTGGAGTAGTGAGAGTCTGCTGAGACATTCTATGCTTTGCCCTGCGTTTAAAAGAGCACAGCGGTTGATATCTGGTAGTCCCAGAACATGAAAAGGGATAAGGACATCTCAAGTGTACATGGGGCTGGAGTAACGCAATGTGCGCAATGAAATTAACCTCCTAATGGCCGGAAATTCTCTTGGGTACGAAGGGCTGAACCCAGGCCTTGAGAGGTCAACACCTAATGATATCTTCAACTGAATGTTGAATCATTTGGATTTATCACTTTCGGCCTTCCGGACCGCTTTAAGCTGTTCTTGGGCTTGGCAATAGGTCAATAATGTAGATATGAGAACTCGAACATGAAGGGATCATCTGTACCGATTATCTGTATCGGAAACGCAGACTAGCTCGCACCAATTGGAGGAAGGTTTACTGGAAAAAGGTTCGTCATCTCAGTCTGGCCCGAGAGTGACTAAATCGGGCCGTGCGGTAGCTAGCTGGTTTGGGTGCGGATCAGCATTTGTGGATAATTTAGAGATTCAAGCGAATCTACGGAGTACGCTGGATGCCGCGATCTCCAACTAATATTTTAGGCTGAAGCGTATCTATGGCACGTTGGAGTTGCGGGCCACTGGTAAGCACAATCAAGCCCTGCTCACTGCGTGCGGCCGTCCGGAACGAAGCAAAGTTTGTTTGACAGAAACTGGTTTGATGGAATGTCGTATCATGATTGAGGATGCTCGTATAGATTCGAACGGATTATAGCTTGATTTTGGGCCAGGGGAACGCAACGGCGCGGCAACATCCACAGTTGGAGGCCTTCTCTATAAACCAATTGTCCCGCAGAATTTTTGCACACTAGACTGATCTGTAGGGGTATGTATACATCCAGGTAAATTTGAAAGTCGGTAGCCGTGCCACGGGAGGAGGGGACCAGTTTTAAATTCTTCATACGCACAATCGACGAATTATGCTAAACTTTAGACTTCTCACATTTGTAGGGATATGGGATGCGGTCACCTTGCCACAGATGTGGCGTTGGTTTGACGGTTTTGATTTTGGCATGTATATTGATGCTATATAGTTCGAAGGGTTACTACCCTTTCCAAACGGCTCCGGTAGTCATCCATGGTTCAGGATACGAGTTCGGCGCTTTCGGGAAGGAGGAAATATCGGCTGTGAGTATTTACCTCACGAATATTTAAATAATTCTCCCACCACATTTGTAGAACAAATATCTTCCATGTGCAATTACTTTCTGATTTCTCCCAGAAATCGAGCCCCCTTTGCTATTGTAAACCCTGTATTCACCATTCAGCACGAGGACATCCAAATCGACGCAAATCCTTCGTGGCATTTAACTCCATTACCACGACGGTAGATATCTGGTATTAAGGTATCTTTAGCAGGTTCGGCATGGACGATAAACGTCTCCCACCTAGCACAAATGCTAGACGAGCTGGAATATCGAACTTGGTTTCCGGTAATTTGACACCCCCAAACTTAACAGCCCCAGAACAGCAGACGTATGCAGAGCGGGGAAACAATGTATTGATTCAGGAGCGCCGTTCCACCTCTAATACGGGAATTCAAGGATAGATGCTAGATTTTCAGTCATCACTGGACGAGAGACTAACACATCAATATCCAGGTTCCCTTGATACGAAGGGTTTAGCGCATTCTGTACCCGCTAGGGTGTACGACAGAGCCACTGCAGACCACGATACATTACAGGGTTCCCCCGGCACCATTCGTGGCGATCAACTGCAGAATGCGACGTCCTACGTCCAACCTCCTGGGCAAGCAGACTACGGCTTCGGGTACGAAGTCCCTGGGCGAGAAGACACTTGGTTAGCGACGACGGCGGAACGAATGAATGAAACTGAGTCTGGTTTAGGGTTTCCTACCTCGGGGTATTGCTCGGGCGTGGGAGGAACGGGAAACAACGCAGCGTCTAATCCAGCATACGCCGGAAGGCCAGGCCCTAGGGAAAATCCTTGGGGATACGACAGCAATGGATACTTTGCTTCCCCAACCCATTCCTCAGATTTGGGACACACAACGACGCTGGGATGGACGGACGAATCACCGGGCGAAACGACGCCGCTGCAACAGCCAGCTCACTCTCTTGCAAGTGTTGCCAAAAAAATACCACCACATCCTTTCAAATGTGACGCACCAGGGTGTGGTGGTAGATTTTGGCGGCATGAGCATCTAAAAAGGCATTTGAAAAACCACACCAATGAGAAACCATTCGTCTGCTGGGTTCCCGATTGCAATAAAAGCTTTTCGAGAAACGACAACCTTAGGGCGCATTACGTCACGACCCATGGGAGAAAAGGAGGTCGGAACCGTTATGTAGCAACGCTGGATGAGAAAAGTTCAGACTACGACCCAGAATACCGGGGCGACCTGACACCAGATGGCCGACCACTCAGAGAATAACTCTTTTGGATGCGATGGAAGGCTGAAGATGTATGGCGTGGGCGTCTGGAACAGGTTTTGTGAGGTTTGGTACTAGCGAATGGAATAGAAATACTCTGGTGATTTTGTAGGACATATCGATCGATGGTGAATAATGAGGCCGCCCATTCATATGATACCTTTCGGCTGGGTTTGAAATTTGACTTCGGCGGTCTGCTTGGGCTGTGGGATTTCTCATAGACATGAGAAGTACATGCGGAGGGATTTCGTTTTGAGGCATCCAAAGAATACTTCACGGTGATAAAATAAAAAATAGCGGACTTGGGGCGTAAATTAGGTAGGATTCATAATATTAGCCAGAGATAGGCTTCACTTGAGGTTTTTTCAACTTGTTTCCAGCTTTGTAAGGATTTAGTGGTGTTCTCTGCTTAGGCCATGAAAGATAACAGGGGTGGACCCTCATCGAAGAGTCGGCAGAGGTGAGTACGCAATGGTGACTCCTGCTGGACTATATATGTATATTGTTATGTAAATTGTTAGGTTCCTGGAGTACAAATGGGATCTCTCACCAGTACGCCTAATGGTAGCATAGAGAGAGGAGCCACATCCGTATGTCGTAACCCACCACCCCTTTGGCTTGTCCCAAACGCCATCTTCATGATTTTAAACATTGGCAACCGAATCAAGGAGCAATTATAAAATAATTCATTCGAATTCTTCAGTCTGCTGGCGATTCAAATGACGGATAAATATAGGCCCGATGCCGGATAATGACCTGTCATATGCGGCTTAAACTTTGCCATGTTCGTAGTCTAGAAAAACAGTTAGAATTGGGCTACTGTCTCTCAGGCCTAGGTATTCAACACTGGTTTTTGAAGGGAAGTAGCTTGTTTTTACATTGGCGAAGCGGGAGCGTGAGAGGAGATCACCGCAGTTGACACTATCGGTGCTAAGCATTAGCAGGAAGGCCTATATGTTGCTGTCTTTAAATTGGGAACTTGAAGTCCGCCAATGTTGTCCCGCATGCGGAGAGTAAGATCACCTAGTTGCCGAAGTGTTGTCCGCAATGTGAGTCCAACGTGTTCGGCATGTCTGGCCCCCGGTGCGCGGAATGAAGAAAACGGGTCCAAGGGCTGCCGGGGCGTGCTTTGGAAATAAGTGGAGAGAGAGTATTTTCGCGCAGGAGTAATATGCTGAAATGGGGTATAGCGGAAATTGCAGTGGTGGCAAGGGCATATTCTCGGAATTCATTGAAATGTGACATTGAAAATGAGTTTTCTGTCTGCCCAAATACACTCGTACACATAAATTAAGGTAGCTTGTTTGCGCGAACTTATAAATTCTTCAATCTCGCATTGCGTCGTTCCTCTTCTCGCTTCGCATCCACGCGACTCAGGAAGTCCATCCGGCCCAAGTAACCTTCCTTAGCTTTACTATGCACGTCGAGATCATCTTTGATGCCTGCCCGATCGACATATTCGGCCCAGTCAAGCTTAGATTTCATGACCGTATTCAGTTTAGGTCCCTTGGGCTGTTCAGCTAGTCCTGGACCACCGGGGACAGCGATTGTCTTTTCCCAGCTTTTCTGGATCGAGTTAGGCGGGTTTGGATCGAATCGAGAGTACTTGCGCAGGGGCCTCAACAGCGGAATATAAACGGCATCGGAGGAGGCGTTGAGTTCGCTATCCGCTTTCGCATTGCTTGAGGTCTTTTTCTCCTTCTTCGCTGCCTCGGATGAGAGATACAGTTTTGCTTCGGCGGAATCCTTCGGGACAGTTTTCTCCTCGGTTATAACCTCGCCCGCGAACTTGTAGACTCGTTTTATAGTTATACTTTCTTCATATGGAAGAGTCTGCGCTGGATCACGCGAGTAATCACTTCTTGTTGCGCCCACTTTTTGTTTGCCTTCCTCAAGAGCTGGAGCTCCACGCTTCGGGGGAATTGGACTGGGTCCAGCAGCTTTCATCTTTTCCCACAGCGCGTCCACATCCACCGTAGCACCATCAGCCTTTGCTAGCGGGCGCCGTTCCTCCTTCCTGCATTAAAATAGAGTCAGTAATCCATATGCAAGTATCGTCCGCTCATAAAACCAAATCCCAAGAGAAATTAGAGAAATCACATACATCCGCATCCTCATACCCCTCGTCCTCACGAACCCGCCGCCGCCACCAACATCATCATCTTCACCGTCGTCAATTTCAAAATCATCCCCTTCGTCAGCACCAACCTCTTCACTATTCTTCTTTTGCTTCTCCCCCGCTTTCCATTTCCCCTTCCTTCCGCCCTCTTTCCTCCTCCTCCTCCTCCTCCTCGCCTTCTCCATCTTCTCCTTCCCAATTCTTATCGTAGCCTCGTCACCGGAATCAAACTCAGCATCCACAATAGCATCCCCATCATCCGGATCAGGTGACAACTTCCTCCGCTTCCGAGGCCGACCGCCAATAGCATATGAACTATCGCCATCGCCACCGTCCCCGCCCTCTTCCTCTTCCGCATCGCTCTCAGCAGGTGCGTTGACGTCAAAATCGGAATCCTCTTCGGAGTTATAATCTTCGTCCTCGTCGTTTTGATTTTCTCCTATAGCCACGGCGCCAGACATGTGTTCGGGCTCGGATGGTATCGCATTCGACACGCTATCGTGCCTGTTTCCTGATAAGGTTTGTCGGGCCATATTCCGTGCTCTGCGATTTCGAAAAATCGGGGGTGCTACGAAATTAGCGTTTTTTTATATACGTTTGCAGGTATGGTTCCTGGACTGTGACAAGGTTTGCAAGTGACAAGTCGGATCAAACCGGGGCGAGAATAATAAGTTTATAATTTAGGCTATGAAAGACGTACGTTCTCAAAGCCATCAACTAAAGAAAAGCGAAAACAAGTAATCGGTAGTTAACGCAAACTTGAAGCTTCAAAATCTCGCGGATCACCAGTACATGTGATCGACGTCGGAATTACTGTTGTTCCGTTACGACTCAAGACGTCGCCCCTTATGTCAAATGACTTAACTGGGTCTCGTTATTGAAAACATGCATATGCATATACACGAGTGTTGTGGGAATTAATGAGATTACTCTGACGATGCGTCTGCCTTCCTTCTTGGAGTAGATGACGAAATATATAAACCACTCACACTGATACAGAACCAATAGGGGAAAAAAAAGGCCATCGAAATAAGATACATAAGACATAATCATAAGCCAAAAACTCCCACCCAACCAACACAAAGGAAACAAAGGGTGGGTGAAATAAAAACAAAATAGGTAGACATTCAAATAAAGATATCATCATCTGGAGAGCCGGCACCAGGCCAAGAAAAAGGGCCCCCTCAGTACCCAAAATCAATAAAACCTCGATACAGCCAGCCCCTTAGAACAAAGAACTTTTCCCATCATGATCCTCATCCCTACTCTGTTTGCGCGCTCCCATCACTCCAGTCTCAACCTCAACCACGACCCCTCTCTTCCTCTCCATCCCAAACTCCATCCACCACCCCAGCAACGACGCAACCCCCAGCGCAGCCTCAAGCACAATCAACACACACATAAGCGCAAACGACGCATGTGTGTCCCTGCACAGTCGACCAAATCCATCCGTGGCATCGACTGGTCTGCCCTCCTCGTCGAGCCCATCTGCATAACCCCATTTGCACGTCCAGGTGTGGATAGTTTCGCCAACGTTATCGTTGTTGTTCACACGGGGGTCGGTGACGACGGTAGTGAATGCGACGGAGACGATGGCAGCGATGAGGCCGCTGAGGGCCACGATAGCTATGAGGCTGTTTAGGAGAACGATACGGGCGTGAGGCTAAAGGGTTGGTTGTTTTTTAGGTTAGTTTGGTAGACATATGTTACACATATAAGTGACATAAGGGGAAGGAGGAGGAGGAAGAGGAGGAAGGGAATACGCACAGATGGGAGGAAGGAAAAAATGAGATAGGCCAGGGTGAGCAGGGCGATGATGCTTCCGCAGGCAATCAGTGCCGTGGTCGGACGTAGATCAAGTTTCTCAGGCCAAAGGACGAGCCCCCAGTTTTCGAAAGGGTTAGTTTGTTGGTAGAAGCGAAGAGAGCGGACTTCGCAGCCGATGACGGCCAGGGAAATGGCGAAAATGATGCCAGAGATGGAGACACGGACCCAGTGGAATATTTTGGCGCGGCGCAGGTAGGCGGATTCATCCTCATCGGAGGCGGTTAGGGTTGTGGCATGGGAACCGTTGTGGGAGTCCACGAGAGAGAGTGGAGGGGTCATTTTGGTTGGAAAATGATAATGATGACTATTATGATGGAGCGAGTAGTTGAATGAATTGAAGGCAGAGAGAACGGTTCACGCCTTGCCTTTAGAGAGAGTTTTGTGTATTGAATAAATGGTAGGTTGCTAAAGTGAGAAAATGTTTCCCTATTCAATGGGCAACCGTCACAAAGCACCGACAGAGCGAATGATGACCTTGCAGCAGTGTCTATGTGACCCAGCAAGAGTGCAAATGAACGCTTCTTTCTTTCTCTTTAATTTATTGAATAAGGAGCAGGATCTATAGCTGGATAGATCAATGAATGAATGGACCGAAGCAACAGGCCAAGGCACAGCCCAGACTCGCACGGCTGCCAACCGACTGGTGGTAGAAACAAAGTAGCAACAAAACGAAAGCAAGAAACGGAGAATGTGAAGGAGTAGAAAGAAATATTGGGGGAAATGGAACGATGGGAAGCGGGCGACAATATGTTTTTATTGTCCAATTTGCTGCTTCCAACTTCCAACCCTGGTGGAAGACAACAATCGCATTCTCTGTGGGACGAGGAGAACAGACACGGGAGGGACATGTCGCATCCAACAGGAACACCCTCCACGTCGGATCCACGATTGGCTCTCCCAACCGGTCGATCAGCGCATACAGGAATGCGCGAGAGTTTCACTGCGCACACTCTGCAAAAGCCGGGCGGCTGGATTGGCCACTTTGGACGGGCTCGATGGCCAGGATGGTGATGCCGGGGCGGGTACACAACATATCCGCAACCACACAACCAACACATCGATATCCAATCAAACCAGATCCCAAGGGGCTTCCGATTTCCCCAGAAGCATGGACGGGGAGTGGGACATGGCCTGGATATGCAGCTGATTCGTCTGGGGAGTTTGGCGCCGAGTGGTGCAGAATCCCAGTGCGTTTGTATACGGGAAGCCGAGAGCTTCAGCGCCAGGAGCACCGAGGTGATTGGACGAAGGTCGAGAATAGCTTAGTATATTGGCCCAGAAATACCCGTTGATGTCGAACCATGAACAACAAAACAACATCGTCATCTAAGTTAGTTGACATCGTAGGCGTCTAAACTCGAGTCCTTTCTCACGCCGGGTGGATGGCCCATGACCTAGCAGCGGCGGATTTTCTTGCGAGGGCGTCTCCAATGCATTATTGATTAGGCTGCTCTACAGATCTGTATATTGAGGGGCTTTTGAGTCGCCTCTCTGTGCAGCAATACCAATTCAACGTCAAGGTAGTCAGACTATGGCAACAAATTCAATTCAAAAGTTCGGAATAGGAGGATTTTCTCTCGTCTTTCGGTTTGCGCGTATATATATATATTTCAAAAAGAAAAAAATAATAAAAATAAAAAACCGAAAAAAACCAAAAGCCACACTGAGCCTCTTTTACGTTGCTTTCTCTCGTGTTTCCTAGAATCATGCACACTCTGAACTCATCTTTGGAAATGAAACGCCAGAGAACCGAGAAGTTCGATACGCCGATTCGGATATATGTATGTTTGCTTGCTGTAAACTGTGGACTGCGAGGAGCGCGGCGGTCTCTCCAAGCTTGTCTTCAATCGTACTACTCCGTAGGTTGATCACCAGACAACCAGGTATTTTGACCTTTCACAGGAACATATAATAGTATACATGTAATAGATTTCTTATTAACCGCCCGGCGCCCCCGGCCCCGGGCTCCCTATTTCACCATTTCACTCCTGGAAAATAATGGAAAAACCTATGTACATACATTGGACGGAAGGCTGGGGACATGAACCTATTTTACTAGGTTACCCCACCTGATGCAAACGCCAAACCAAGGTAAGTCAAAAAAAAAAAAAAAAAAAAAAAAAAAAAAAAAAAAAAACACGATAAAAGCGAGGGATGTATTTAAAAATAGGAAAGGGATCTTAAAATAAAAATTCAATCACTGCCCAACATCTCCACCACACCTTCCAACGCCCGAACCTCCTCCGCCTCAACCCTCCGCCCCGCCACCACCGCCCCGTGCCCATCCTCCGCTCCGCCCAGCTCCCCATTCCTCATCAGATGCATCCGCGTCCGACTCTCAATATAGTCCCTCCTCTCCTCACGTTTCGGATCTAGCTCTATCTCCCCTGCGGATCGGGGCAAGGTTGACAACTTCGGCCGTAGTTGGGTTAGCATCGCACGGAGAGCGGGGAGTTGGGAAAGTATGAACGTCGTGTTTGTTGTTATGGGTTTGTGGGACGGGTCTGCGGTGTCGCCGATGCGGAGGCGGCGGGCGGTTGTGTTGGCGAAGAGGAAGGAAAGGTCGGGGGCGTCTGCGATTGCGGGTTGAGAGGGTATGGCTGGTGTCGTTGCTCCTTTCCGGTCGGGGGAGGCCGGCGCATGGGTATCTCTAAGGAGGATTGAGCGTAGCTGGACGATTATTGCGTCATTGCGGTCTGCTTCTTGCCGGAGTGCGCGCTGGAGTTTTCGGGTTTCGCGCAATTTTTGGCGTTGGAGGGTTATTGATTCTAGAGTTGGAGCGTTGGGGGCGCTGGGGCCGAGGGAGAGTTTCTATCATACAGACGAAGGGATAAGAGTTAGATGTAAGCGTTATTCTAGGAAATTCTTTCTGTTTTGGTAAAAAAATTTCCCCCACCTCGTAATGCGTCAACCGCACCCATCCGAGCAGGTCCTCCGGTACTGTCAGGATATTCCTTAACACGTAAATTTCGAACTTATCGAAGGCCTTATCGACCGTCGCCTCCAGCAGCGTCTCCAATTGATGTAGCCCATTCTCTATTTCCAGCCTCGCTTCCGGATACTGGATGTTCCCATCATCGTCCGTGTCCGGGATGGAGTCGGCGGCATGAGAAAAACCTAAGCGCTCTGGCGGGGCGTTCAAGAGACCATCTTCGAGACTGGAGATGGCTTGGTAGATCAGGTTATTTATGGAGTTTATTACGTCGTCTATCAGAGACTAGATAAACGTGCAGATAAGCATCTTTTCTATACGAAGCGCTGCTAAGGTAATGTAAGCACACGAACTTACGAGTGGGGTGTAGCTGAAATGTTCTGTGAGGAGGGCGGTTGTGGTGTCATTCATTGTTGCTGAAGAGATAGCGAGGCTGGCATGTTATATAGATACATCTATATAATTTCCCTGAGCAATCCGCTTTCTATATTCCCCACCCCGCCGTTTGAGATGGAATATTTGAGGTGAAGACACGTGAGCCGCGTGTCGCGTCAAGGTTTGTCGATGACTAAGTACTTGGACAGGACTTTGGGAAATTGTACGATGCTCACAAGAAATATTATAAAAATGGATTGCTTGATCTCGCTATTATTTTCAATATTTTAGACACTCACAGGCAACCACATCCACACACATTACAATGAGGGGAAGGGGAAATCTGACTCTGGGGCCATTCGCAGACCAGCCGGCGGGTATATATACAATAAACAGTTCACGACAGGGGGGTAAAGGAGAAAAGCTCATATAGCATTCAAAACATGGAAGCAGGTACCTGGAAGAAACAGAAGAGAGAGAGAGAGAAAAGAAAAGAAGGAGAAGGAGAGAGAGAGAAGTTCTTTGTCCTGACGCCTCGAATCTCCTCTCCAACAAGGGCAAACGCCTATCGATATCATACACAGCTTTCATACATCATTTACAACCCGAAAATTGCAAAGGCAGCAATTACCAATCCAGAGAGGGTTGCGGCATGGGAAATTTTCTGGGGTGCTGCGTTGCCTGTAGCTAAGAACGGATCAGCGGTTTGGGTCGGTGTTGGCCTGGCTGAAGAAACGGTAGATGAAATAGATCCGTCGGAGGGGAGAGCTATTCCGCTACCACCGTTGCTGCCAGGAGTTGGGTATATACCCCCGGTTGGGAGTGAGCCGCCAGTTGGGAGGGGTATAGGGTTGTCGCCCCCTTCGCTGCCACCGCCGCTAGAACCTCCTTCTCCACTCATAGCGATGGATCGGAATGCTTCGATGTTCTTATCTTGTGCTTCAGGGCTAGAGGGAAGAGAAAAGATGTTAGAATATTACAGACAACACTTCGCAGCGTTTAGATGACAGATGATTTTTGTTAATGAAAGGTGGGGGAACGGAACAGGGAAACATAATACATACGGATTGATAACCATGACCATGCCATTCTGGCAATGATTTTTCTGGCCACAGAACAACCATACAGGGCTGTTATCGTTGATCATAATCGTGAACACGGGCATTTCCGTAGCATCGGCCGACACGGGTAGGAACCCAGACCGAATACCTGTTCCGCCGCCGATGGGCGAACAGGGGTTATCAAAAGTGGACTGCGCAACGGAGTGATTCTATTGTAGATATGATGATTATTAGAAGCCTGCTTTCCCGATTCCAGAGAGGACATTTCGCCCGGATTCCCAGCTTCTTACCGCTGGATGGAACTGAAACTGGACCATCGAGCCAGGTTCAGCTTTAAGAGAGTCCGGATAGAACCTCTTGCTGCCTTCTGCATTGCCAACTTGAACAGCATGGACGGTAACCATGCCCTCTGGCGACTGCCGTTTCGTCGGCGCCCATCCGGCAATGACTTCATCCTCGACTTGCGCATAGATTCCTGTTGCCAGAAACACAGTCGATGCCAGCACTCCCCTGAGCAACATTTTTGTCGATGTGTATTTTCTGTTTTATCTAATTTACGCTGGTAAACGGATGGACAATTCCCCGATATTGTATAAGGAGAAAGAGAGGGGGAAAGCAATAGATAATATATATATATAGATTTTTAGAATACAAGCGACTAGCGTTTTGATGCTGTGGAAGCGAACGAGTGAAAATATGCGTAGATGAGAATAAATATATAGAGAATATATATGAAGAAGCAAAATAGAAAAAATTGAGACAGAAGAAAAGAAATCAGCTTTCGTCTTCCAGAGAGTGGTGCAAGAAAGAATGGAGAGGAGAGTTGGATAAAAGGGAAGCTCCAGAAATGAGAGGGAAAATGGAGATTTAAGACGCATTGAGAATATTGATGATGCATGAAGAATATTGGCTGTCTGCACTCCTAGATTAAGGCTTTGCGGAAGCCAGGAGGTGCATGTAGGGACTCGGAGCCGTCGCAGATTCCCACTATGGTATCAGGAAGGGCAACATCACGGCCCTGAGAATTACTCAAACAGGAATGGAGAGGTGCCCAGGACAGGATATGCAGGCGGAATGAATCGTGTTGCCTTTCGGGTTTCGAGGCCAGGCGTCAGATGCAAGTTGCTGTCGCAGCCATTGCTGCCCGTTGTGCCTGTGGAAGAGAGGTATAGATAGCCTGGTTGCATGTTAGAGAAAAGTTTGAGGAAGTAGAAAAGCTGAGTATGTATGGAACACATTGCAGATTCGACAGATTCCACAGATCCTACAGGACAAAAGAAGAAGTCTCCAAGAAATAATCTCTCAATATCTACAGAGGAGACTTGCATCAATCATTGCGAAAGCCCGTGGCTCTGGAGCAAGGGTGGATAGAACGCCTGGGAAGTGGGTTATCCCGACTTGAGGGTTCTCTATCTTTCGGAGCGGGTCGCACGGCCTGTGAGACCAGGGGCGATCGCTGTTCCATGCATGAATGAGGATGTTGATGTGAAGCGTGGAAGGCTTTGAAAGTGTCGCATGCTTGTTTGAGGTTATCGACGCTCGGTGTCCTTCCAGTGGGCTAACTCCACCCCTTCTACCTAGGTAGCCCCACACCTCGTCAAATCGAGGACAGTCTTGCGGAAGTGCGGAAGCTCATTGTAATTTAACTGCCTCTGTGTCAGTGAAGGCCATTTCGAAATATTGCCCAATTGTATCGTGTGTAGAGGTTCGATCTCATTCTTTCCCCGGCCTTCACTAAGTCGTGGTCAGACGTCTACGGTACAGCAATTATAGGCTGTCAAATCAGTCCAATCAATTCCTGCTCCTGCTTCCATGATCCGCTTTCAATTTGCCAGCGATGCAATGGGCGCGGTTGAAAAAGAAAGCAATATTGCGAAGTCGTTTCTAGGTGGCTCCATAATCCCAGGAGTGAACGCCATAGTCCAAAACCCTTTTACATCCTCCTTGAAGTAATACATATAGGTGATTAATTGCAATTGAGCGCCCAAAACTCCCTACCACTACGCCACCGAACATAGCCTATCCGAAAACAGCGGCTCATAGCGAAAGTCGTAAATCCCAGCGTTTCAATCATTTGATAACTCATAGCTTCGTCTGTAGAATTCCGCCCGCCTCAAAAATCAAGTACTAGCTGCGGCGCCAGTCTCTCTAAGTCCTCAATCTAGAAAAAAAAAACCGACAAGTAAATTTAATACAATTCCCTACAAATTTGAAGAAATTAAATTAGAGAAGGGGGGAAGAAGCACACAAAACACATACCTCTAAATAATTATCAACCCTCGCCCGCGCTCCCCCCCTTGTATCCCGACTGGCAGATTTACCACTCTGCCCTTCCGTCCTCTCATACGACGCCCGCGCCAACGCCTCCCGTACGAAAATATCCACGTACTTGGCCAACGCCCGCACGGCGTCCTTCGTGATCTTTGTCTTGTCGTCTTGGAAGTGGCGGTGCAGGAGCGTCGTGAGAAGTTTGGGCTTGATCAGCGGGTCGGAGGATTCGAGCTCCTCGCGTGGATCTAGCGGGGCAGGCTCGGTGATTTCAGCCAGAATGTAGTCTGGTTCGTCGGAAGGGGATCTGGAGCGGGAGCGGGATTCGTAATCCGACGATGGCGTAACTCGCGGGGATGAGTTGGGGCCACTGGTTGAAGGGGTTCCGGGCGGTGTGCTTGAGGCGCGGGTGTCATCGTCATTGTCATTATTGTGGGCGGTTGAGGAGGTTCGACGGCGTGTAGTGGAGGAGGAAGAGGCGGACTTTTGTGTTGCTGTCCGGGCTGTGGACTTGGGTTTAGGTTTGGGTTTGGATTTTGATCTCGTAGAGGTCGTTGAGGGTTTTGTTATGCCGGCTCCATTTCGGGGGCGAGGAGGGTTGAATGGAGGGCGTTTCCGTTTTGGTAGAGATATGGGAGGGTCCATTTGGATTCGGGGTTTATGGGGAGGGGGTTGTCTATAAATCTCCTCAATGCCCCTTGGGATGCAACGGTGACTGCTGGGAACCGTAAACAATGCCACGTGACAGCGTCCATTTAGTGCTTTATTTTATTTTATTTTTCTTTTTCTATTTCTCTACGGACTCGAGATGCATCCCAACATCCGCAGTACCGAAACCCTTATTCGCATAAACATAGAATTGTCTTTTTCTGCTCATCGACCATGCATTCACACAATTCCACAGAATGGGCAACAATAGCAAGTGGAAGCAAGTGAAAGCAGTTATTCCTAACAAACTTTCACATCCCGATGGATAAAAGAATTCCGCCGCTGCAACCTCATTCATATCCACTCCCCGGCGGCTGAACAATCGTCACCGCCAATCCTGCCTCTTCGAGAACCGCCTTTGTCCGCTCCCACGGCACCTCAAAAAGACCCGCATTCAATCTGCATCCCCATAATTCGCCGAGCTGTTCTTCTTCACAACCTCCAGTCGCAGCCAGCGCTGTGGTGGTGGTGGTGGTGGTGGCAGGAGAAGTAGTAGAACTCGCAGCGGCAGCAGCGGCAATCTGCCTTTTCAAATCCGCCATGGCTGACATCGTATTTTCGAGAATGATATCGGGCGGGCTCCGACTCCACCGCCCATAGTGCCACGATGTAAATAGGCAGATGATCCAATGCTTCTTCCCTGCTGGTCTCGACAGTGCCGTCAGTTCCCTGGAGTTGTGTAGCGCCCCGCCGCCAGCTCGTCCACGTCCACGTCCACGTCCGCGCCCGCAATTTGATAGCGGTGCTGTTTGGGACTGTGGCTGTGGCTGTGGCTGGTAGTCCGCTGGCTGCGGTGGAATTATTAACGCCGTCCCCTCGGGCAACTTGAAGGCGCGTGACTGCTGGCGGCTTGTCTGCGTCTGCGTCCATGTCTGAGGGTGGGAGAGATATTGCTGGCAGTGGGAGCGGAAGATTCGGTAGGCAGCGGGGTACTACGGGCGGGCAGGGATTTCGTTAATACCGGCATGTATGTTCTCACGGCGTGATCGAGATTCATCCGCCCAGAGTAGTTACACTGTATACGCATAGAGCTGTAACAATACGTACCTTCTCCTTAAAAGTCGCCGCGATCCCCTTCCCCCAGGACCCCTGGCAGTTACACGCGTCTATTCGTCAGGAGTCAGTATGGGGGCTAGCACGGCAGAGAAGGGAGAATGAGGATAAAAGGATGAATGATTATACGTACGAATTAAAGCTGCACCCTCCGGTGCATCGAAGAGATCGCCTTGGATTTCAGTTATGATACTCATCTCTTTTCTTTTCTTTTCTTTTGTTTTTTTTTTTTTAAAAAAAAATTATTTATTTTGGCCAGCGTTTGGTTGTTTTGGTTGCGCGGTTTCTTAACGTGTTTAGCAGCAAGTGAAATAGGTGGATCATGGATGGATACAAGATCATATGAAGCTATTTGAAATGGGGAAAGGTAGTCAGACTGACTGACTGACTTGTAAAAGAAAGAAAGCAACAGAGAGAAGTAGTGCAAGTGTTGTCAAAAACAAAACATAAGTCAAAAAAAAAAAAAAAAAAAAAAAAACATTTATATATCAACCGAATGATGCCAGTGTTGAAGAGCTTGACTCATTCATGCCTACTGCTGTTAGATTAACTCAGCGCTCGGCGTTGAAAAATGCACAGCACCAGATATAGATAACTGTGTGTCTGGGAGATGACATATTTACTAGGCAAGGTAAGGTTAAAAAAAGGGAAGAAAGAAAGTAGTCCATCAAATTGGTGGTGTGGATCACCAAACCCATTCCATAAACCATTTAGATTGCCTTTCTGAGGATAGGTTTTGTTTCTCAAATCAAACTCCCTTTGACCATTATTATATTTAGTTAGTGCCAGGCTTTGGAAAGCCAGACAAACTCTGGAGAAAACATACCTCATTCACAATACATATTTAATGAGGATGTAAGGTCAGATATTTATTTCTACCAGAAAATAAGAAATCAAATCTGCTACAGAAAAAGGGCGAAAACCTTACATCAAATTTGCAAACCCTCTAGTAGAGGTCCTGGAGGTTTAAGAATCCACTGACATATGCACAATGCACCAGTCCTATCCCCTGTCTGCAAAAGTACGTACATTACAAATAATGCCTATTTAGCTAACTTACGACCGTCATTAAAATGAATTCCATGAAAGGTAAAAGACAGGAAGAGAACAAGTGCATAAGCCAGCAGGGAATCAATAAGCCATACGGCTGGACTGTTGTGTGTCCTAACTAGAAAGAAAAAAGAAAACGAACTTCTCTTGCAAGCTGCTGGGACGACGGAGAAAGAGCTATTTGCTATATGGATCCTATGGGGTCGTACCATACCCCATCTCAAAACTCAGGTTTTCAACGGAAGAAAAGTTGCCGGATACTCTGGCATTTCTTGATAACGCGGTCCCTGCCCCTGAGTGCGCCCTGTTTTGGAGAAGCTAGCTCCATTTTGTCTTCTGGGGGAACAGTTGATGAAGCTAAATTACTTTCTCCATAATTTTTATTGTCATTATTGCCATCGTTAGTGGACGGATTCGGCAAGTCGTGTACAGGAGTACCGGGTCGGACAACGCTATTATTACCGTTGGACGTGTTCGATTTAATCTTGCGAGTGACACTGTGCGAGATGCTCTTGAAGATGCTATGATCGTCATTAGAGGTGCGCTGGAGTTGGTCAATCTCATCGCGGATGGTTGAGCCGTTTGTGGCGAAGTTTTCCTCTGCCATGGATTCGAACTTGATCACGCCGCGGTTGCCGGGGATGTTGAAGATATCCAAGATGGCGGTTTGGATCAGCACGGTGTGGCGCAGGTTGGTTATTGGGGCGATTGAGCAAGGCAGCGCGGAGACGGTAACTAGATAGGCGGGCTCGTAGCTACTGGCGAGCATCAGACAACAGTTGTGCTCGACGTAAAGGAGGATGGAGGACTCTGGGCGCTGGAATATCAGGGAGAGGTTGAGGGAAAGTTCCGAGAGGTTCTGGAAGTCATTTTCCAGCTGCATTTGAGTTAGATATCGTTGGTTAGCTTGACGATCCGCTGCTGTTTTCACTCGCTATTCAGGTTTCCAAAAGTGGGACTAAGCAGGGAAAGGGGGGCATTGGATGCCTTACAAGGACATTCGTTTTGATCTCGACAACAACGACGGAGTCCTGATTAACGCGGTGCCGAGGGGTATGATACGGCTCTCTAGAAGTGAACACTTCGTTGAAGTACTGGCTTCTCTTTTTCGCGATGTCCAGCTGACTGGAGGATTTGGTCAGGAAGCGGTTGGGATATCCATCAGTGGGAGCCCCGCGAGTCAGCTCCTTGGTGATGCTGTTGCTGCTTTCATGGCCTTTGCCGGGCGCCTTGCGTAGGCGTCGACTGGGTTTTGGAGTGACGCGCCTGTCAGACTCGACTGGGTTGCTTTGCACGGAGGTGAGGGGGACCAGTGTTGGGATCTTTTCCATGGGAGTTGGGTCTGAGATACAGCCTGTATGGGAGCGGGCTGGTGATGCCATGTTGGATGAGAGATGACTGTTTATTTCTCTTAATGAAGCATGCAAGGAGTGATATTTGGAATGCGGGTGCGCTTGCTTAGGAGAAGAACCTGTTGTTTACTACAACAGACAAAAGGAAGGGTTGAGATGACTGCCCGGGTGTGGTTCTTGTTCTTCATGGGACCCAGGCTTGCCATCTGCACAGTTGGTGAAGACACCTGAACAAACATTCACTTGCTTGTCAATGGAAAGACAACCTGGGAGTGATGGCAATAACAGCAGCGATGGTGTCATTCTGTCATGGAGAACAGAACAGCAGAGCTTCCGAGATACCTGCCCTCTTCATGATGGGAAGGAACTGGCTGCCTGCCATAGAAAAGAATCTCAGGCAGAAGAAGAAGAAGAAGCAAAACATGAGCAAAGAGAAGAAATCGGCCCGCAAGTGTTGATAAGAACACTTCATTGATGGGTTGGAAGGGAAGAACAAACTGAATTCCATGGCATATAAAATGGTATGGGAAAATGGGGGAAAATGGGACAAAAACATGCAAGGACCTCCATCTAATGGTGCTTCCATACATTGAAATATAGGATCCCGCATCCCCTATATCTGGAACCAGAAATGCTGTATGTTTGTCTATATGCTGCTCTGTAGCGAAATAAATTCACTGGTTCTTATCTAACTGATTATATAGTAGTAACAGCTTCTAATCTTTCCACATACCAAATTGCGGATGGGAATGGCGACCCTCATTCGGGTACAATATCAGACAGCACTGTTCTATAGACATACTCCAACAAAACCAAATGCGTTGCTGATTCTCCCTTCTGTCCGAGGGCAGTGTGGTATGAGTAAAACGAAACGAAACATCCGTTCCTTTTTGTTCCCCATCTATCCCCCCCATCTATCCAAAAACACCTGATTCAGAGATTCGAGAGTCAAAAAATATCCGGCGTGGTACGGAATAGTGTTGGAGGTGTCTATAATTTAACGTCAACGTCGGTGGGGTCATGGTATTCCAACTGCGGATTCTCTGCATGGGATGTATGTATCGACCGTCGAATTTCACGTATGCACGGAGCTAAATTCCAGAGTTGACCTCCATTTCCCTTGCTCCTATTTCAGGAGAGCCAAAGGGACCATACACATGTAAAAGCTACCTCGCTCCGCTGGGCCGGATTTGTTCTCGTCGGCGGTTTTGTGGGTTGGCTCGATCAAATAAGACTCACAGGTGGTAGGGCACATACCCTCATTTTTGAGTATAATGTTAGGCCCATCCGCCCACGCCCACACCCACCCAAGGGATTGTATACTTATACACAAGAACCCGCACTCTCGTAATATGTCTGATCTAGCTCCGGGATGTAGTGATCCACATGTTCATCCACTAACCGCTGAAGGCACGAGGGTGCAATTCTCCTTATCAGACCCACTCGCGAGCCCATCAGGCGTACCAGCGATGGCATCGACATCACCATCGCCGTTCCTTTCCACCACCTTGCCAAGCTCCTCGTTCTTCCTGACGAGGATATCTCTCTTCTTGGGCTGCATCGCTCCAATCTGCAGTGCCTCCTCTGGCAACGGCCGCACGTACGGCTGACATACCCACCACGGTCGCTTGTATTGCGCCACCGTAGCCTTCGAGCTGGGTGGTTGGGCGTCCGTTTTTTCATCTTCGATCTCCGACTTAGTTGCTCTTTCTTCCAGTGGTGTTTCGAAACGCTCCGGGAACGCGTCGTGCTCCTGTATTCCGGATTGAACGGCAGCCTCGACGAGTGAGACGATGTTTTCGAACTCGGACATCCGGCCCGCGCGGCATTTGGAGAGCACGTCGCGGATGTGGGTGTGTTTGGAGATGAGGGGGCGGAGGAGTTGGAAGAGGTGGCCCTGGATGGAAACGAGGTTGGGCGAGGTGGGTTTGGCGTCCTCCTTGTTCCTTTTGCGTTTCTTTTTGGGGGGCTCGTCGCCTTCTCCGTTTTCGTTTTTCTTTTCGGCGTCTTCAACTGGTGGGGATGTGTGGATCGAGTCGCACGTTGCAGGGTCGCTGTTGGCGTTGTTGGCACTGAAGGTGGCGGTTGGGGAAGACACGTAGAGTGGCTTCCTCTCGGGTGGTGGAACCTCGAGGACGTATTTGTAAATAATATCCATATATCGACGCAGTACGAAATCAACACGATATCCACCCTTCCTATCCCTTCCCACCCAATACTCAGCCCCATCTCTCTCTTCCCCCCTCATACCGCTGCCACCCACCGAGGACGACGGCGGCGGCCCGCTAAATATCGTCGGATCACACAAATTGCCCTCCGCACTCATCACGCCATCCGCCCCCGTAGCCTCCAAACACTTCTCAATATCCCCATGATTCAGAATATTCCCATTCGCAAAAATAACCGTGTCTGCCGGTAGGTTCTCCCGCAGATAGCGAATGTACGACCAATCAGCCAAGCCGGTATTATGGCCCTTTTGCTCGCGCCGCCGGCCGTGAACGGTGATGATACTCGCGCCCGCGGAAAGGATCATGCGGGCATACTCCAGCGTCTTCTCCTTGGTCTCCTGGATGCGGAACTTCGCCGTGACAGGGATGGAGAGCTGTGTGTGGAGCGTGTTGATGAGCTCGTAGATCAGGTCTGGGTGCTCCTGGAGGAATGCGCCGTAGTGGCCCTTGCGGGCGATTCCTTGCGGACAACCGAGGTTTAGGTCAACGGCGTCGCAGAAGGGCTCGACGGCGCGGGCGGCTTGGAGGAGATCATCTGGGTTGTTTGCGCAAAATTGGACTATGAGCGGTCGGTCGAAGGAGGGGTTGCCGTCCAGGTAAGGGATGGTATTTGACTGTGGTGCTCCCCCATCAATGTCATTTGCGGCGGGGGGGTTATGTGTCTTCGACCTTGGACGGGTCGCTTCGAAATGTTGCAGGCGGTAATTGGGGCTTTCTTTGAAGAGGCGCGAATGGAACATGGGAGAGTAGGCGAGGAGGGGAGGGGAATCCGAATCAGGGTTCATGAAAGATCGGGTGAGCATGCGCCATGCCTATACAAAAGAATCCAATATAAAACATGATAAGCTCAGGGATCACGATATCGCGATAGATATATATCTGACTATATACTATGCACATATATATTTACTTCGCATATTGGCAGACAGGGCCTAGATCAACTTACAAACTCGGACCTATCCACCATGGGAGCCAGTATCATTGACGGGCTCCCCAGGCTCTTGTAGAATTCCCTACCGAACAACTTCTTCGTTGGGTGAGCTGCGGCCATGCTCGGCGTGAGGAGGGCACGCAGCTTCGCCCAGGATGGGGCCTTCAGAAGAAACGCTATTTTGGCGTTGCCCGAAAGACAGCTATCTAAAAAATAGCAAAGCAAACGGGGGGTGAAAGATTTCGCTGGGAGAGTTCTGGATTTTTTTTTTTTTTTTTTTTTTTTTTTTTTTCCCATCGTTCGCGGCTTGAATTTTAATCCGGATCCGAAAGTCCAGCACCCTAGGGTTAGTTCTCTCCCGACAGACTGGTTTGCGAAAAGGAGCCATAGCTGATGAACCACAATAAGGTTCAGAAAGTGTAACGGTAAAACTACGCTACGTTACAATATGTTTATCTCAAAACCAGAATGAAGGTGTTCAACGAGGTAATATATGTAAGGGTCAGAATCTAGCACGCAACCAGCTACTGCTGGCCCCTGAAATATAAGAGCGATAATAGTCTCATCACTGGGTAAGATGGTCGGTCACTTATAGAGACATCGAATCTAAGGCCAGGGCAATCCTCACATACTGTATGACTATGGCATTGCACAGAGATCCGGCGACTGAGCGTGTCTTGCGCACGAATGAGGATATTCAGGCAATAGTTTGTTTATCATATCCTGAACTACTCCTACAGAGCAACAAGAGACATGACCCCCTCCACCCTTCATCTAACAAGGCTGGTAATGAGAGAATGGCGCCGCTCAATCCGTCGAAGGAGGTAGACTCCTATACATCTACATAGCGGTATAGAGACATAAATGGCGCCGGTGGAGTTGCGCTGGCCGTACCATCCCGTCATTTTATCCAACTCTTGTGGGTTATTATTTAGTCTTGACTAGCTTTAAGAATTTGCCAAATCCAATAATTTCCATATTAATTGAGACTGAGGCAAGCCTGGGATTCATCCATCACTCTTATAGAAAGTTGATGAGCCAGAGCTTCCAAAGGTGGAGCTGGAACAGAATCCCTGCTGCAAAGATTCTGCTCTGCTGCGTGGCTGTCTCTGATGGTGGCTGAGCCCAGGAGTTTTCGTGGACGCTGTCTTGGTTGAAAAAGTATTGTTTGAAAGGACAGGCAGTTGAAGTTGAGTCCACATCCACGATGCTGGCTGCAGACGCATGCATGTCCATCCACGGAGATAACGGGGTGTTTTTTCTCCATGATGAACTGGAATAGGCCTTGGAAAGCTTATCCACTGAGAATTGTCTCTGTGAACATTGCGTAAAGGAACACAGCCAGCGGGATCTTTCTCCGTCGGACCAGCAGAAGAATTATTCAATGGAATCTGAGGAATCTAAGGAATCTTAAATGGGGAGGTGATTCGAATCTTGGGGACGGGGCAGAGTCTTCTGGGCCCATGGACGTTGGGAATTTTCCTCACTTGTTGATCTGCTCTTTTTACTCGTTTTTCTTTTTCTTTTGCTTTTCTTTAATATTCTTCTTAACTTTTTTTTTTTTTTTTTTTTTTTTTTTTTTTTTTCTTTCCGTTGCGATGCCGCTGATCCGTCCGATAAAAAATGCAGTTGCCCGCATCCCTCCCCATCGCCAGGATCAAAGTTCGCGCTGATGGGTAAGCAGCGTCGTATGCCACCGCAGTCATGGTAGTCGTGGTGGTGGTGAATTGGCCGGAGGAGTCGAGAGATACAGCCGCCGCCGCAGGTCTGGAAAGCGCAGAGAACAATGATACCATGATTATGCAGCAGATCTCACCGTTGCCCCAAAAGGGCGAATCTCTGGCAGGTTTGAAGCGTACCTCCAATGTATATCAATGTATATGGACGCTTGGCAAGGCTCTTCGAGGGCTTTGGTTTGGATTCCTCTGTTGTTTCTATTTTAAAACCGGTTATTTCATGCGCCAGCTGTGGCACTTTTGGCAGTTGGACCAGGTTGGACTCTCGACCCGACGAAGGTTTCTGACCAGCGAAGGAGGAGGGAGAACACACAGGCTGCACAGCCCCCTTGGGTCCCTGAAAGCCCCCCAGCAGCAGCCGATTGGATCTGGGAGGGTAGAGGAGACACCTAAGAACCTGGCTATATCGGATATGGGATGACAGCCGAGACGCTGAGGAGGGCAATTTTTCTGGGCCAACAACATGCAGTCCATGCAGTCCATGCAGTCCATTCTGCACAGGATTGTGGTGAAAATAACGGACAATACCGTGTCTATACGGCCTTGGCAAGAGGACGCGTGTCCTAGGTGGAGGCTGGATGACTAAGGTCCTGGTTAGTCATCGGGTCAAGCCAAGCCATCGTCAACCAACTCTCTCTCTCCTCACCACCACCACCACCACCACCACCACTGCAAGAACACTCCACTCGCCTCTTCATCCCCCCAACAACCCACCACCGTTCGTTTTGATATCTCGTCTTTTGCCAACGATCCGATCGATTCTTTTCACATCGTCACTCCGCCCATCGATATTTTTTTCGCATCGAGTAGTTCCTTCCAGCGGCGTCAGTTGGTGGGATTCGAGTCGAGCACACTATTCCCTTTTCAACCTCCCGTATCGCCGGCTGAGGCCGTCTCGATCTCGAAGGGTTCTTTACCATCTTTATACACCGTCTCCTTTTGTCTCCTTCGCCATGGCTACGACTGGGGAGTTACAACCGCCAACTTCTTCGACGTTGAACAGTTGTATTGATCCAAACGATATCGACTCGTTCATCAATTACGACCAGCCGATCTATCCTTCTCCATCCCTTTCTCCCGCTTCGGCCAGAGCGAAAACTACAGCCAGCACCAGTTCTGTGTCAACCCCTGCGGCAAGTTCTGCGCCAAACGCTCCCAGCTTTTCATCCGCCAGCAGCAACAGCCAACAATCCTCTTCTTCCCAAGTCTTCTTCTCGGGACCAAGCCATGAATATGATTCCTACAAACAGCAGACTGGCCTCCCACCAGGCGGCCTGGCCAACACGATGGCTATTAACCGGAATATTGAGTTGGATTTCACGTTTGGGAACCAACATAATTTCGCCATGCCATCCGAAGCCTTTATAAACCCCACTCAAGAGATGGTTAACTTTGGCTCCTCGCCCCTGCCGACTATGCCGACATTCAGGAATTCGGGGATCGGACTCGATCTGGATCCCGACACACCAACTGACCTCATGGTTAACCCGCAGTTTACTTCCACGACAAGTAAAGCCCAGTTCGTCGATCCCAATGCCTTGGGTGGCCATGAACTATCACCACTCGCCCAACCGAGCCAAGTGGGGCGCATGTATCCTGGAATGCATCAGCAGCAAGCGGCTATGGCGAAGGCCGCTCAGCAACAAAGGCAGCAGGAGATCATCCGTCAACAGCAGCAGCAACAGCAGCAACAGCAGCAACAACAACAGCAACAACAGCCACAACAGCCACAACATGTCCGTCAGGCATCGAAGCCCCAAAACAAGGCCAGTCGTCCCAGCGATCCAGCTGTTGAGGAACGAATTTCCCGCCTCCTGCACCAGATGAGACAGAGCAGCGTGGCCACTTCTGTTGTGCGTGAAGAAGATTCCAAGCCCGTGAATGTTTCGCATAACTTAAAGCCGAAGAAGGACGAGGACGAAATGGATGAAGATGAACGTCTTTTGGCTAGTGAGGAGGGGAAAAAACTCAGTAGCAAGGAGCGCCGTCAATTGCGAAACAAGGTCTCTGCTCGTGCATTCAGATCCAGACGCAAGGGTAATGTTCCCCAATTACTTGTGTTGGTTGTGGATTGCTTCAACTAATGGCTTGAATACAGAATATATCGGCCAACTCGAAGGAGAGGTTGCGGCCAAAACTAACGAGACCAATGATCTACGTCTTCAGAATCGTGCGTTGGCAGAAGAAAATGCTCGTCTCATGGACCTCACACGCATGCTTCTTTCGTCTCCGCACTTCTCTTCATTTCTTAATGACATGTCCATGAACGGCCTCCCAGCTTCTCAGCCAGGACAGCAGCAGCAACAGCAGCAGCAGCAGGCCGCAAAGGATCCGAACCCGTCCCACGTTTCCGAAGATATCCAGATGCAGAATCAGCAAGTCGGATTAGCCATGGTTCCCGAGCAATCAGTTGACTTTGCAGGAATGGATATGAATACCCCAGGCTGGAATACCGGCATCGACATGAACTATAACAACACCCCCGTCTTCGCTGTTCTGGATGTCCCTCGAGGGCCCGATCTCGATAGTGCTGTTTTGTCAGGCAAATCATCCAACTCTGTTGGGCCCATCTGCACAGATGAAACTAAGGAACAGATTCCGTCGATCCAAAGACCACCGCCCCCAGTGGCTGATAGTTCTACTGAGGAAGATGAAAAGAGGAGAATGAAGTTGGCTCCAGAGGTGGAAATCGATGAGTCGGATCCCTCTCTAGCCCTATTCTATGATCAGCCAATGAGCAGCAGTTCTCCAGCAACGTCACCAACAACTTCTCCGACATTTGAGGATACGTTCGGCGGTATCACACCGGAAAAATTATTTGCTCGAATCGATCTTTTGGTTGACGATTATTACAGTTCTGCGACGACGGAGGGCCAGGGAGGATCCACCGGCTACACGGGTGTTGACTCAGCGACGATGGTACGGTTTGATCAACTTTGCATGAGCATAGAAGGTGCCTACCAACGTGTTTCGTTGGTAACTGCACACCTTGAAGACACACGGGACAACGATTCAGCATCGTCTTAGATGAAAAGGATCCAAAATTGGTTGAAACCTTTGCAAGCCGCTACTTTCCCGTTCTTCGCTATGCCACGACCGTCCTTTCTCACTTGCTGCTAATCCCATCCTTTTACTACTCCTGGTGTTGCCCCTTAGCGTATTTTGATCAGAACTTTGGCCTCTGCCACCATCTACCGTCTTCATTGTTTTTCCAACCATAAGTTTTATTTTTATTTTCCCCCCTTTTTTCCTGTGTTACTGGGCGTATAGAAACGGGACATAAGATTGCCTCATGCGCCTCGTGTGTTTTTTCCTCTTTCCGTTTTTACATCTCCGTTGTATCCCGGCTACTTCTGAGGGTTTGTCTGGGAGGAGTTCAGGTTGCTGTTTTTCAAAATTTACCTTTAGAGATATTTATATATACATACACGTGTATATATATTTGTGTGTGTGGGCGATTGCGTTTGTTCCGGTTTCCGAATATGTCAAGACTGTCCTCACTGGCTGTTCCCCGACCTTCATTTGCTGATATAATTTCCTATGTCCAGGCTCTTTTTTTTGTTATTCTTTTTCCACTCATCACGCTCATCTCTCTTACATGTTTATTTCATTTGTCCTGGTTTCCAATTTGACCTCGTAAATATGGATATATACATATATAAAGTTACACCTTGGCTCAGATATGGAAGAAAACTGCTCGGAATATAATACAATAATTTACTAGTTATAATTTATATACAGAATATATTTTCTTGCATCTGTGCAATTGAGTTGGCTGGTGCTGTTGGGCACTAGTTGCCCAGGTGGCCCTCCACCGCACGTGATTACCCACCTATACCACCACGGCGCTGCTGGTGATTGAAGCTCTTTTGCCCTAGTGGCCTAATAGGTTAACCATCCCACAGGTGCGACCCTCTGGGCTTAGTCATACCTGACTCATTCCAAACTCGACGTAAAAAAAAAAAGTTGTAACCTCCAACTGAATCAATGTAGATTCGTTAATCGTTTTCAACTTCATTTTTATGTAGAGAGTTGTTATCTTCATACTGATTCCTTCCCCTCATAAACTATTTTGTTTCCTGGCTATGTTTTAAATAGAAGTTGTAATTATCCTCTTTTCCCCTGCTATCCCACTCACGCAGCTGGTCGACTCGCGTCGGCCTGGAAGGGTAACATTTTGGCAAATTGGCGTCCCTCCGCGCCGCTGGAACGCTTCTGACGAATGCAATTCGCAGAAATTCCTCGTTCCCCGTTCCAGCACCTTATTTATGTCCCCTCCTGACATCCACTTTCAACCATAATACCCGCCATTTCACCAACAGAGCCCCGCGCAAAACTCCCAACCGGCTCCCATACAGAACCTCCGATTTCCCCAGAGAAATAGACCTCGAGCACCCCATTTTCCTCGCCCCAAAACTCGATCCCAAGAAACTAGGCGGCGTCCATCGGGATAGATACCTCTTCCGCGACCCCGACAACATCTCCCTGTACCCCGGCGAGCAGTCCTTCGATCCCACAACCGCCGCCCACCATCCAATGAAGTTCTTCTTCGAGTTCATCACCACCCCCACGGCAGACACGCCGGGCACAACTCTTATCGTCCACTTCGATGACAAGCGCTACCTATTCGGCCATATACCCGAGGGCCTGCAGCGGGCCTGCGGCCATCGCAATATCAAGTTGACACATGTCACGGACATTTTCATGTCCGGCAAGACGTCGTGGGCGAACAATGGCGGCCTGCTCGGGATCATCCTAACGCTTGCCGAGTCGGCGAATACCTCTGCCTGGTCGCAGAAGGAGGTGTATCGGACGAAAGCAGAGCGGCTAGCGAAGCTGGCGGCCGAGACGGCGGATCCGGTGCTGGCAGAGTCGTACCGGCGGCGGCTGGAGCATTTCCAGGAGCGGAGCAACAAGCTTGCCGTGGAGTTTGAGCGGAGGGGGAAGCTGGCTATCCATGGCGGGCCGAATTTGACGCATACGGTGGCGACGGCGAGGAAGTTTATTTTTCGGACGGGGATGCCGGTTTATATCCATGAGTTTAATGGGTTTTCCGAGGGGGGAGGAGAAGTGGAAGGGGAAGGGGAGGGTGGTGAGAGGAGGAATGTGGCGGAACCTACGTGGACTGATTCGCATCTAAAGGTGTGGGCGCTCTCGATATTGCCCACGTCTTCGCTTGGATCACCTGCTGGATCTGTAGGAAGTATGAAAAGTGCGCGGAAGCGAAGTCTGGATGAGTTCCAGGAAGGTTCTAATGCTGGTGCTGTAGTTGCTAGACAGGGTTTAGAGAGCGAGAATGCTATCGCCCTCGATAAACGTGCTCAGGACCAAATAGCCCGCCAGGCGGTGGTGTCTGACATGTTCAACTCCGACTGGCGTTTGGATTCTTTGGTCGAGATGCCACTTAGTGAAGTTCGGTACCCTGCGAAAATCTTCGTCCGTAACCGGGAAACTCACAAGCTCGAACCGTATACGGGCCCTGGGCCGGATGCCACCGATATCGTTCCCGATATGACGGTTTTAGTTCGGAAGCCATGGCCTGGTGCTCTGACGGAGACTCTTCCCCCCACTACCCCGTCGGACATATCGATTTCCTATATTATTCAACATTATGATGTGCGGGGGAAATTCAATGCGGCGAAAGCCAAAGCCTTGGGTGTCAAACAAGGTCCTAAGTTTGGCCAATTGACTGCGGGTCAGAGTGTGGTGTCCGAGGATGGGAAGATAATCACTCCGGAGATGGTTATTGGAGAATCTCAGCCGGGTGGAGGAATTGCTTTTTTGGATATCCCCACGGCCAACTATGTCGAGAATCTCGTCAATAGACCTGAGTGGACTACGCCTGAAGTGATGAGGGGGCTTACAACTTTTGTCTGGATCCTTGGTCCAGGCGTTGGCAGCCATCCGCTTTTACAGGAGTTCGTGGTCAAAATGTCCCAGTACAAGCACATCGTCTCCTCTATGGATTACTGTTCAAATTACCTCGCTTTCCCGTTTGGTTCCACAGAGACCACACACTTCTCCGTCCTCGACAACGAACGATTCCACGTGCCACATCATGATAACGTGGAACTTCCACAAAAGACGTTCCTTACGCCACCTTCATCGTCGCCACTATCACGACCTGCGAGTGACCCTTTGAAGTCGGTGTTCCTACCTGCACTTCCCAACTTACAAGTCGAGCTGCAACCGAAGTTTCTGATCAATAGCGATGGTGTCCATAAACCGCTCAATACAAATAGCATCACCAAACAGATATCTTCTCGTGTCCTCAAGTTAGCACGCGAGGCCAAGGAAGACATTAACAGTCCCGAGTTTCAGGATCTTCTGAAGAAAGTTCGCCAGAACATCCCCGATCAGGATGCAGAGATTATCACGCTCGGAACCGGCTCTTCCCTGCCATCGAAATACCGAACTGTTTCTGCAACTTTACTCAGGGTTCCTGGGGTTGGGAACTACTTATTTGATTGTGGTGAAAATACTCTTGGGCAGCTGCAGCGCACGTTCGCGCCGGATGAGTTGCAGGACGTCCTACGAGATTTAAAAGTGATATGGATAAGCCACTTGCACGCAGACCACCACTTGGGGACCGTGTCTGTTATCCGGGCCTGGCATAAGGTCACGCACGGAACTCAGTCTCGAACAGCGCCTCCGCCGGAGCAAGAGTGCGATCTTACGAAACTCATAAATGAGAAGAGGCTTTTCGTTGTCTCTAACGCGAAAATGCTCGAATGGCTGGCCGAGTACTCCAGCGTAGAGGACTACGGCTTCGACAATCTCTTACTCCTCGCGGCTGACCCTACGGTTCCAGATAGTTTCCACTATAACCATCTGGGCAGCGATGGACAACCCATCCTCGACGACCGTGGGAAGCCCCTAACAACATTCCTCTCTTTCAACCCTGACCGGTCACCGCTTGCCCTGCAACTCCAGCAAGCCACAGGCCTCAGCACTCTCCTCACCGTCCCCGTCATGCACTGCCAAGGTTCCATGGCTACCTCTTTCGTTTTCCCCTCCGGCCTGAAAGTCTCGTACTCCGGTGACTGCCGCCCATCGCGCGACTTTGCCAGAGTCGGCGCAGACTCGACCGTACTGATCCACGAGGCAACCTTCGAAGACGACATGCTGCAGGACGCTCAGGCCAAGCGGCACAGTACATGTGGCGAGGCATTGCGGGTCGCCAAACAAATGCGCGCGCGTAATGTAATCCTCACTCACTTCAGTCAGCGGTATACGCACAAACCCACCATTCCGCGCTTGAAGATATGGGCTTCTTCCCACCTCTACTCGCCCCCCCGCTCCCCATCCCACCCCCGCGCCCGCTCCGCATCGGGATCCCCACTCTTCAACAAGCTCCCCGCACGCATCGCGGCGTGGCGAGCAAATAACCCGCCGGACGTCCCCGTTTCGGAGAATGATGCGGCCAGTAATGGCAGTGACAATAACGGTGACATTGATAGTGACGATGACGGTGGTAATGCCCATGGCTTGGATTCCGAGTGCACAAAACCAATCTACGGCGCGCCCACGCCGGACGTGATGCAGCTGGACGGCGGGGTGCCCGTGCCCGTTGTCGTCGCTTTTGACATGCTCCGTGTCCGTGTTGGCGATATGCTGTGCGCGCAGCGCTATGTTCCCGTTCTCAATCGATATTATGATGCTAAGCAGGTGATGGCGGTTGAGCACGAGGAAAGGAGGGACAGAGCGAGGGCGCTGGCGGGTAAGGATGGAGGTGCGAGTGGGCTTGATGTCGGCAGGGGGAAGCAGAAGCAGGGAAAGAAAGTGCCGAAGCAGGAGGGCGGGGGGAAGAGGGATAAGCAGCATGGCAGACGCCAGTCCGGGTCTGGCGCTGCTGATGTTCCTTGGCTTGATCAACGAGGTCATGATAGGCAGGATGAAGCGCAGCTCTCTACGGGTGGTATGGGCGGTTAGACTTACTGGGATTTTTCATGTTCCCCATCCCCTCATCGCCTATCTATCTACTTTTTGGGCTTCCCGACTTTTCATGCCGGGATGGATGGCTATGTAGATTTTTATTTACATTATTTTTATATATATATTTTGAGGTTTTCTCGCTTTCTTTTTACACCATTGGGTTCTTTTCTCTAGGCGTTTTTTGAGGCTTGTTTATGCATGGAGGTGCTGTACGATAGATCGTTGCTACTTGACACCAAAAGGGCAAAGATGAGTATTGAATAATCGGGCATAAGTACGCCAGTTTCTTCCCGCTTGGCTTACGAAGTGATCGCTGGTTGTATGCCTTGGTAACTAAGCGCTAATCTTCTAGCCACGCTGAACTCGGTGTCCCTGGGCAAATGATCTTCTTCACTCCAACTCGCTTGAAGCTAGGACATTCATACACCGCCGTGCAAGACTCATAAGCAGTATGTATGAAACTACGAAACTGAAAACGTTCCCCACTAGGCTCGATGAGAAAATTTCCCGCGCAGCACTTGCAAAATCATGCTCTTCGCAACAATATCGACCGTTGGCACTGTGAATAAACCGAACTCAAGTCGGCACTATGACAACCTACAGTCTCCTGAGGAGCTCAATGCTTGCTTGCTCGTAAATGCTTCTTGCTCCATGCTCAAAATTAACCCGCCTAGTCCGAACGGCGCACGATATGTGGTAGAACTGACTTTTGGCTAGCAAACTGAGCGAAGTATCCACCGCTTGTTCAAATATTGCAATCTTCAAAGGAAACGTGCTGCTGTAGCTAAAAACAGCTTAACCCCAACCCCACTTCATACGAATATCCACCTACCAGCTACCCCTTTACATGATACAGCTTCCATTAAATAGATAGTACATCAACACCGGTTGTTTTCTCCTGGAAGGTCACTCGGCATGGTAGCGTCGGATATCTCCCATCACTCCACTTGGCGGTGGAACCGATTAGATGACGTATAACTCCTACATACGATAAGGAACTTTACCGCAACAAGTAACTTCGCTGTTTACGGGGCTAAGCAGAGAGAAACGAAAATATACCGGTTTTAGAGACCTTTTTGTCCTTTTGTTGGTAACAGGGTAAGGGGATGGGCTCGGGTGAGGCGGAAGCCGAATCTCCTTCCTATATAAAATAGTTCCCCGCAGCGTGCATTTCTGGAAGAGTTGATAGAGGTCAATATCTTGGTATCCGGTCAATATCTCTGCTGAACTCCGCGCTTCGCTCTGAGCGTGTCAAGTTTATTTTTTTTGTAGAGGCGTTTTGGGTTGATTGATGTCCTCCGATCTCGCGTCCCATCTGGGCTCAGTGCTTTGATCCTGCCAAACCCGTAGCTATGAGAGAGACACGCACTGCTTCCACAAAGACCTATACACTTAGCGATGGTATGTTGATTGCCTTGGGTATGGTTTCAAGAACCTGCGACTGACTCCGTGGTTTTTGGCCTATAGGCAGAGTAATTCCTGCCATTGGCTATGGGGCGATGCAGTGTTAGTTAGTCCTATCTATCCTGCGCAGTGTTGCTTACCTTGTAGACAACAAAAAATAAACTAAGACGCCCCAAAGATGGCATGGTTTTCCCCGACGAAGAAAGACCCAAAGTCACCGAGATCCTCAAACAGGCCATTCTCGCAGGCTACCGTTACCCGTTACATAGACACCGCACCAGGGTATGCCACAGAGGATCTCCTTGGAGAGGCCATCCGTGCCTCAGGCGTGCCTCGCTCTGCATTTACAGTCGTGACCAAGCTTCTCCAAACCCAGCATCACGATCCTGAGGCTTCGTTCCGCGAGTCCCTGGCAAAGCTTGACGTCGGCTACATTGATATTTTCCTCCTCCACTGGCCCAATGCTTCGGGCCCAGACGGGAGGTGGAGGGGCATTGACGAAAGACCGACGTTCGTGGAGACATATAAGAAGATGGAAAAGCTCGTCGGCCCTAAGTGCAGGAGTCTGGGTGTTTGTAGCCTTTCGCAGAAATCAATGGATGTGCTGTTGAAGGAGTGCACGGTCAAGCCGGTCATCAATCAGATTGAAGTGCATCCGTTCAATCCAAGTCTGAAGCTTGTGCCGTATTGCCTGGACAAGGGAATTCAGGTGATCTCTTGGGGGTAGGCCGTTTCTTAATTTTTTATCGACCCCAATCCATCTTTAGGGTTAATGGCCTTTGTCACTAGTGGGATAGAAGCGTATGCACCCGTATCGGCAGGGCAAGCCGATTGCTGACCATTTCATCATGTATCTTGAACCGGTAGACCGTTAGGTGGTGGACCGAAGAGCCTCTACTTCGATACTTCGTCCATGTACAACCACAAAACCCTGACCTCGCTTGCATCTCGATATAATGTCAGTATCGAATTGATCATGATATCCTGGCTGGTTCAGCGTGGGATCGTTCCGATTCCACATTCGGCCTCGCGCGCCCGGATGGACGATAATCTGTCCCCGGTTTCCTTGACGGACGAGGAGGTGGGGCAGATCAACGACGTTCATAAGGAGATCGGGCAGCGTAGGTTGATTGACTCTGTCGGATTTGTTTGGGGGGATGTTCCTGGAAAGGGACGTGCGATTATGGGGTGGACTGTGCAGGAAATGGGATGGGAGGACGCAGAGGGCAATGTATTGATTTAGTCCTCTGGCATGGGACTACACAGTATGTAAGTATATAGCTCATGGCTAGAACAAGGGAGCTAAATGTTCAAGGATCATGGATATTGAGGGCCATCCATTCTTGGTGTTTTAGAATTTCCGAATCTGCCGCGTATTGGAACCCATGACTTCCAACGAAATGCGTGCTCAAGAGCAAGAGGGGATCAGCTAGCCGATGAGCGACTCTTTTTTTCATTTATTATTATTTTTTTATCCCTCCCATTTTCTCATACCTTTACACATTCTACTCTGACTCTCCACATCCAATTCAGAAATGTGATAAGGCGCAACACACCCCGTTTCATAGAGGTATCAAATAATGTGCTAATTGGGAAAGCCGGAAAAGCATGGGAATAGAGATACCATGGGAGAGGAATCTCTCAAGAATGCAAGCCTGCGTAACTATGTAGGTGCGTAGTTGTTTGGGAGAGCGGGTGCTGCATTGGGCGAGAATGGCCAGTTCAAAAAAATTCGTGTAGATGCTCCCGATTTTCCGTTGATGGGTGAGAAGCCAAATAAATTGCTGTCTCAGGCCCAATATCCCGTTGGTTCCGGTTCCTCAGGAAGCCCTAAGCTCCCTGTAGTTAGATGTACGTTGGCGTGACTGAGAAAGGCTTTCGGATACTTCCATCTGCAACCATACCCCCGTATTGAGCAGTTTTTGCTGTTAGCAGGGACGAGGCAACTTCTCCTAGCGCGCAGTGCACTCTGTACTAGAATGAGTTCGCATCAGGGACTTTGTATGCGAACTTCGCCCCTTAACCGACTGCAAACAATCAGCCAAGCTGGAATATTTAAGAGAATATCAGCTCAATAGACTTGGCGGATGTTGTTGTCGCTGTTTCCGAACTGGATATTTAATCCGAACCATCTGCTGGGGCCGTATAGCCGTATAGCGGTACCAGCTCGATGCCTTGCAAATGATGACATTTAATGTCTGTGGAGGCACGATGCAGAGGTCGGAAACTAGTAACTATAAAGCGTCCCAACCCACGGGAGAAAGCATTCGACGAAAGAAATCCCCTGTCATTGTGCCCACAAGCGTCCACAGTAGCCTCAACAAATGCACAATGCCTATTCAAGAATGTAATAACGCAGAACTTCGTCAACAATGTCCCGGCTGGGGATAAGCAGTTCAATGCGGTTAGAAAATCGACGATTGGATGGTGGTTTTTCCTGTCGGCCGCAATCGTGTCAGTTAGCGCTGGTGCTTGCACCCAGAGTTCAAGGATTACGGCGTATACAGCTTACGCTGTATGCTTGGAATAATAGTCAAGACCCTCGCAGCTCTTGTTGTTGTTGTTGTTGTCTTGTAGTGTGAAGCGAGATTCCGTGCTGTAGTAAAAAGCAATTCTCATCACTCTTGCGCAGCGTAAAGAGCTGGAGCCAGGACTCGCAGAGCCACGGAGACAGGAACGAACGATATGCAATCAGAATCACCAACCCATGTCAGACCGGCCCGCGGGCCATCTCTGTCTCCAGCGCAAGCCGTGCGCAGAACACCAGCACAGGGGCTTCGGCAGGGGCGCAAACTGGGGCTGGCTGGCTGGCTGGCGAGCTGCCCAGCGTGGATGATGCTTCCTCGCCCTCATCCATGGCCATCCATGTGTCCATTCCCATTGTCTGGTGCTGGCAGGCATAAATATACAGAGGCCGCACCGCAAAGCAGCCCAACCGGGCGTTGAGTTTGCGGATTGATTCCGCCAATGGGTTCAAGTTTTTCTTCTTCCTGCCTGCAACACCCTTGCTAATGATTGTGGCCTTTGCTGCTACAGGAAACCAGTTTTCATTTGATCATATTGTCCAACTCGCGTTTCAGAAAAGCAGAAGTCTGCTTGGTTGAAATTGTGTAGAGAAGCAAGATCTGTTTTTTCTTTTTTTCAAATAAAAATCCTGCGCCCAATATACAAAAAGCCGCTGCTTGCCGCCTGATCTGTCTCGCCGCGAGCAATGGCTCAACCGGCTCAACCGGCTGAACCTGCTCAAGCCGCAGCTCACATTGTCGTCGACGACAGTGAGCATGAGGTTGAAGCATTTGACGATGACTTGTAGGTTACTTAAGAAATGTGACCAAGGCAGCGTGTTCGCTGTTCGCTAATCCCATCGCCACGGATATAGCTCAGAGACCAGCTCAATAGCTTCACCGATCTATCAATTTCGCATGTAAGATTTCGCCCGTTTCTTAACAGAACTCCTGATTTGAAAATAGCAAGCAAAGGCAAAATGGAATATAGATACAATGCTAATAGCTACAAAAGAGAGCATGGGCGACGATATCACGCATATAAAGACGGGGCGTATTGGGGACCAAACGACGAGATCGCTCAGGAGGTCCTAGATCTTGCACATCATGCATACTTGTTGGCCATGGGCCAGAAACTGTATCTAGCTCCTCTCAGCAAGCCCCAGGTACTGCCATCCTGCCATTAGATTTTACTACATCCGGAGTCTTGTATCTAACCACCTAAGTATCCCACAGAAAGTGCTTGATGTCGGAACTGGCACGGGTATTGTGCCTTATTTCTTTCTCCAAAACCCCCTTATTCCATTTATAACCTCCTGAGTCCCAAGATTCCTTTTCCTCTTTTTTTTTTTTTTCAATTGAATAATATATATTTGTTTCTTTTCTAATTTGCTCCAATCCAGGCATATGGGCTATCGACTTCGCAGACCAACATCCTGAAGCCCTTGTCATCGGCACAGACCTTTCCCCGACCCAACCAAGCTGGGTCCCCCCAAATGTGAAATTCCAAGTCGACGACGCAACCGACTACCCCTGGACCTTCCGCACCAACACCTTCGACTACATCCACGTCCGCGACCTCTTCGGCTCCATCCCAGACTGGACAGCCTTCATGAAACAGTGCCTCACCTGCCTCAAACCCGGCGGCTACCTGGAAGTCAGCAACGCCTCCGTCTGTCTCGAGAGCGACGACGGCTCCATCCCGGCCGACGCCAAGCACCCCCTGCGCCAGTGGGGGCGGCTGTTCCGCGAGTGCGGCGAGATCATGGGCAAGACCACGTCCATCAGCGAGAACCAGCGCGACGTCATGATCGACGCGGGCTTCGAGGCCGTGGAGGAGACCCGCTTTAAGCTGGTGGTGGGCCCGTGGCCCAAGGACCCCGTGCTCAAGCAGCTGGGCCGCTACCGGCAGCTCGAGTGTCTGCAGGGTTGCGAGGGGTGGGCGCTGGCGTTGCTGACGCGCGTGCTGAAGTGGGATGTCGAGGAGGTGCAGGTGCTGCTGGCGAATTTCCGCGCGTGTGTGAAGGATAGGAATATCCATTCGTATACGCCTGTGTCTGTGGTGGTGGGGCGGAAGCCGTTAGGCGATGGGCAGGGGGTGTAATTACTGCTTGATCCTGAGATTTTTTTTTTTTTTTTTTTTTTTTTTTTTTTTTTTTTTTTTTTTTGTTAGGGGAGAGTAGAGAATACCGCCATAGTTTTCGTTTCCTTCCTCATTTATTTGTTCGTTCGTCTTTCATCTCGTCGCACTGATGATGGCGAGGGTTCGGCGCAAGGTGGAATGGAGGCGAATCCATGACCTTTTGCGATATGTGATTACGATTTACGATTTCTGAGGGGAGGTCATTTATTACTTTTGTTGTTGCAAGAGATTTTTCCTAGGGAGGTCTTTTACTAATTTCCAAATGAAACAATCACCAGGCTACAAGGTGTTTTGGTACTTCGAATTTCTCTATCCACGAAGTAGCTATCTGGACTTTTTATATTACAACATAATGAAGTTTTACCATGTCATGAAATAATAACGATAATGATAAAAAAATGAAATTAAAAGTCAAAAGATCCATCCCCTCTATCCCCTTTTATGCCGTGTAACCATGAACTCAATAGCCAGCAGCATCATTCCCCTCCGCAAACATCCCACTGTCCAAATTCTTCGCGCACTCCTCGTGCCAGTTGCGCGGAGTGAATTTATCCGCAATATTCTTGAACGCCTCGAGGGTGCAAAACGTGTCATTGCCAGGAAGGTGGTTGCTGGGTTTCGATGCACAGCCGGGGATACGAACGGGCTGATCGTTATATCGAAGGCGGACGTAGTAGTCTTGAAGCGGAAGTGTGGGAATACCTGATGTGCTGGAGCGTGCGATTTTGGAGGGCTCTCGGAAGGATGGTGACGATGAGGATTTGCCGTGGAAAAGCTTAGACATTAGGCTGGATGGTTTCCGCTTCGCTGATGAGGTTTCTGCTTCTGGAACGTTCAGCTCTTCAAGGATATCGCCAGGTTTTTGGGCGTGGGGTCTGTTGGTGGCTTTGAAGAGTTCAACTGCTATCGAGGAGGTATAGGGCGGCCACTTTCCGTCGTTAAATGCACCCAGGCTGGTCAGGATTGCGGCGATTGTGGTATCGTGACAGCCGCTTATGGCGAATTTAACGACCTCTTTGGCGTCACCAGCTCCGTTTGTAGTCGGTTGCCAGCCGCCATGGACCGATGCATGGACCATACGATCGACTATATCACCCATAAGAGCGCCAATACCTAGTTTACGATATTCGTTGCTCTCCCTGTATCCGGTAAACCATTCGTCCATGGCAATTTTATCGATTATTTCAAGGGCCTTCGCGTCGTAGAATTCCGCAGGAAGGCGTGTGTTTGGGCCATGTGCTAGAGTGGAATTGATTGTGTCCAAGATACCCGAGAGGCGAGGGTGGGAATCCACCGCAACGCGGGGAGAGCTGGAAGGCATCCATTTGGACCAGAGGGAGTTGAGGTATTCCATATCCGCGGTCTGGTTCCCTATATCGATCAGAATTCAACCACCAAACCGGCAGTAGTTCCAAAGTTAGTCATGAAATCCTTATTACAACGGCTCATCACACATAAAAGTGTATTCTGTAGGTAGGGGAATGGGGCTGATGTTAAAAAATACATTTATCCGCTGCCCGCTGGGCAAAAAGGCGGGCCAACTGCCTGAAACGGTGGCAATTACTTTCATTGGGATAGAGCGTTTCGTCTGCAAATGACCGGGCCACAATGGTAGGAGGGCGGAAGTTCGCAGTTCGTGTGTCCGGAGGATACATTCCCCAAAAGGTCTGCTGCAGTGACTCGAGAGCTCGGGGGATGGGGGTTGTGCGGAGGTACATGTCATCGGTGTTCGACCTAACTTTGGGCATGAAACCTAGCTGGTCGACATAGAGGTATCGTAATCGTCGACCCAGAGCAAACGTGGACTGGCGACCTTTATCGGTCAATTCTCCTGGTAGGCTAAATTTTTACGAGGTATAAGCCGCTGGACCGGGGGGTAGATCCGTAGTAAAACTATATAAAAGTCCAAGACTTGCCAGATGCCTTCAATCTCTCCCTTAGGGCCTACTACCATCGCCGCCTGGTCGTTCTCTCCAAAGCTCTCCATCCTTCTCCGCCATTGAAAACTATCCCAGCTGGTCAGATCTTCTGTTGAGCTGGCAATTTGGGTGAGTCTTCGTGCGGCGTTGCAATATGGCCAATCTGGGGAGGTGGCATCAGCGTGTGCACTGAAATGGGGGTAGGACAGGTACGGAGGCGGGAGGCATTACATGTAGCCAGGCCGGTCTAAGCTATAAATTAGCCACGGGGAAAACAGGCAGATGGAAATTGATGATATTTATGAGAGCAGCAGGCGTACGTTTTGAAAACGAGAGGATACGGGCGTCCGTTCGCCTACAGGTGTGGGTTCAAATGTGAATACTAGTACCTCAATTTGGAGATTCAAAGGAAACAGCAACGGGTGATGGATTTACCGTGACGGAGAAACTATATAAAAAGCAGACAGGGGAGGTGTTAGAGTAGGATAGTTTTAACTCATTTATCTGTATAACGAGACTCACCACCTGGACCAATTGCAGCTGCAGGCCGTCTGGATAGAGCTTGTGTAGCTCTTCTTTGGAGTAGGGTTCGCGGGGCACAAGGGACGTCATTTCGTGGGGATCGAGCAGGGGACAGTAGAAAGAAAGGTAAAGAAGCAAGGGCTAAAGTGTTAATGTTGTAAAGAAAACTAGCCGAGAGAAATCAAGCATGGGTTGGTGGCGACATACAGGAGGAGTAGTGGTTGTGGTATAATAGGTTGCGATAGATGCTGAAGGTTTGGCGATAAAGGAGTTCACTTCAAATAAATAATCGAGGAATGAATTGAAAATATCTCGAATATTGAATATCGAATACTGTATCAACAAGAATTCTTCCACCGTATTGTGCCGCCGCACTGCGTCTGTTCCTATTTACTGCTCTAAATAAATACACGGATCCTGATGACTCCATTCCCGAGCTGCGTGGTTCTGATTGGGCCGTTGTGCTGGATTCCTGACCTCATCATCTCATTTTTCCTTCAACCCCCATTCAACCTCGCAAATCTCCAGCTTCAACCTGCCATGGTTTGCCCAACTCCTCTCCCAGCCCGCTGACGTTGTTGCCTCTGTATGGTGTGTCCACAAATCATCCATTCGTGATCTCTCTTGGAGGGAGACTTCTCAGCAACCCAACTCAAAACTCCAACTTCACCCCCCACAATGGTCAACCGCCGCTCATTCTATTCCGCGCCTGAATGAAATCCAAGGCCGATTCGTCCCCAGAGCACAGATAACATTAGATTGCTATCCGTAACTGACCCTGTTCCATTATACCTGCTCCTCCCGGAGACCCTCCCTGCCCAATTATAGTGGTCCGATCCCCGGCTGGCTCCATCTCTCTCTTGTCCTCTGGTTCAGTTTATTTTATTTGAGGGAATAAAAAAAACAGAGAACCAACAACAAACTCTTCCTCTCGATTTGATTTGTGACTGGTTCTGACGTCGCACACCGAGGCAATCCAGCGGCGTCTGGCGGTGTCCAAAGCCGTGTGTGAATCGGTGGCTTCCTGTAAGTTCCCTTCACCCCCAGATCCCCACGCAGCGAGGGTTAACAATAATAATATAATTAACTAATTATGGATTGGCTTTCGTAATGTTCATGTTGTTATTCTATAGACGCGTCCAACCTCCGGCCCATACATGCCAGTACAAAGCAAACCACTGATCTGGATCTGGATCTTACGGTCAGCATTGTTGGCGCAAAATGCAGGTGAGGACACCGCTTCTTCACTCTTTTTTTCCTTTTTCCTTTTTTTTTTTTTTTTTCACCCCCCCTCCTTCACCCATCCGTCCAATGCTATTATTTTTCCATTTCATTTCATTCTGTTTAATGATTAAATAATTATAATTTGGTTCGTTGGATCGACAATCATATGTTCAACGATCCCTTTCGGCGTCTTGTTTAGCCCATTTATTTGCTTGCGTGGGTCCCGGGTACTTGCGGGGCTGTCATTTCTTATACTTCGTCTTATATTTGCTTTTCGAGTAACATAAATCCTACCTAGGGTAGTTTCCCTACTTTTTATTTGTTTCGGCGTTATTTGACTTTAGTACTACATGCCGGAACCGTCCTTTTGGCCTTTTGCGGGCATTTTTGTTTCTTCTCTTCTTTCGTTTTCTCTCCTCTTCTCTTCTTTCTTCTCTTCGCTATTTATTTTGTGCGCACAAACAATCCCTTTTGTCCCTGATTGAGCTCCTGCTGGTTTCCCCAGGCAATTTAATTGCTATCCCCTGGGCTGGCTTCACTACTTCCCTTTGCGATAATGCCTTGGCTCATGGCGAATCTCTCGCGGAATTCGTGTCGCCAGCAATAATATCCGTGTTATTTGAGCCTTCGAGGGCGGTCGGCTGCTCGCTTTTTTGCGAACCTTTTTCTGCACCTGAGGCAACACAGGAAAAAAGAATAAGGAAAGGGCAAAAGGCAGTAAGAAGAGCGATTGTCAGCCGAACTAGCGCAAGGAAAGAAGTGAAAAGGATGTTCCTGGTTGTCCCGCGACGTCATGATGTGATGTGACTGTTTATTACACTTGCTGTCCTCAATTCTACTGTTGTCGCAATTGGCTCCCAAAGGCGCGTTTCTCATTCACACCGACTCTGCCTTCGCCATGTCGCGAATTGTCCCATCGCATCACCACTCTGTCGATCCGGGACAGGATCGATTCATCTATTCTGACAGCTCAATCTTGCATGGCTGCCGTCCTATAATCAGAACCAGAGCACAGCTAAGCCTCGAGGAAAATCTACAGGGCTCCAGTCGTTTGCACCCGCATCCACGTTCTCCAAACGCCAAGCCGCGGCCGCAATCGCATGCCAAGGCTGGACAGCTTTCCAGCAACAAGTTTCGTGATGAGAAGCCACGGTTATTGCTAATGGGTCTCCGTCGGTGAGTACACTTAAGGGAAGGAAGTGAGGGGGGATTATATTATTTGTTCAATGAGGAAAATGAACAATCCATTGCTGATGAGGAGAGACAAGGAGCGGCAAATCCTCCATCTCGAGTGTCGTCTTTCACAAAATGCCCCCAACAGAAACGTTATTCCTCGAATCGACAACTCGCATCCACAAGGACTCAGTCCAGTCAGTTTACGTCCTTCTTTTCCTGTTATATTGGATACCTCAGTTATATATATGTGTGTATGTATTTATTAACTCTTTTATAGCTCTTTCATGGACTTTCAAGTTTGGGATTTCCCTGGTCAGTTGGAATATCTCGAGCCATCCTTCGATCTGGAAGATATCTTCGGTACTCTAGGCGCATTGGTATGGGTTATCGATGCCCAGGATGACTATCTAGAAGCCGTCTCGAGGCTAAACAGAACCATACTCCTCGTCCAACAATACTATCCTCACATCAATATCGAAATCTTCATCCACAAAGTCGACGGCCTATCTGATGAATACCGCTCTGACACGTTCCAAGATATCGTTCAACTCATATCAGATGAGCTCAACGACGCTGGCTATGAGAACGCGCCTGTACATTATTACCTTACGTCGATATACGACTACTCCGTTTTCGAAGCTTTCAGCAAAGTGATTCAGAAACTCATCCCGCAACTTTCCGCCCTCGAAAACCTCATCAACATTCTGGCCAACAACTCCGGCATGGAGAAGATCTACCTGTTCGACGTGCTCAGTAAGATTTACATCGCGTCGGACACAAAGCCCGTAGACATGGCCTGTTACGAAATGTGCTCAGATTATATAGACGTTATCGTCGATGTGAGCGAGCTGTATTCGTGGGAACACCCTGAGCGCAAACCCAACGGTCCGCAGATCCCTGAAGCGGAGAGTCATATAATTTTGCATGATAAGAGGATGATCCATCTTATGGAGATGAATAAGTATGTTTTGCTTTTTTTTGCGTTTCTCTCATTTTTCATTTACATCCCTTTGCCATCAGCTTTTATATATGTAGATCTTTCTGGGGAGTGGCTAATTTAAGTTTATTTTTTCATTTTCTTTTCCGCCTCTGGCTTATAGGTATTTATGTCTCGTTTCCGTGATAAGGAATGCAGACGCGAGTGAGAAAAAGGGCCTTATCGATATGAACTGCCGCACGTTCCAGTCCGCACTGAATGAAGTCTTTGCGAAAACCTGGGAGCAGAAGTCGTGAAAAACTCCTACGGGATAGAGGAAGAAAGAATTTATCCTCAGAACATACCCCTCCTCCACGCATGCACTCATTATGTGATTCAACCGGTCCGATAGGGGGCTTTTGGGCACTTGCCTTCCATTGTCTAAATAGTTATGCCGATTGACCCCTTCTAACAGTTTTCTCCTTCTCGTTGCTTTTGCGCTCCTTGTATGACTTTTGTCGCAGCGACATACTTGCTCTATGGGGTGGCCTTTATTTACTGATGTTTTTCCACTATCGAGAGGGTATAACTGGGAGACAGGGGGGACTAGTAGTTTGGGATAAGTTTTAGAAACCTCAATGCAGCTCCGAAAGTGGAAAAATGGCAGAAGCCGTTTCACTTGTTGCATCATAATGTATTGATCAGGAGACTATATATATAACATATAACTATACTATGTGTATAATATAATCGCTCGGATTATTGAGGTTATTGACAATAATAAATTCAGGGGCCTAGATGAATATAACACATTTTCAAAGAGCATATCTCCATGCTCAAACCAAAGAGGTGTCAGGCATAGGCTGATGAATCACGCAACGACTGCCGACTTTGTGCTAGGCGATCCAGTTGACAATATCTGGCCAACGTTGGATGAACAATAGCGGTGTGTCAATCTGAGAACGGCTTGCAGGTCATTTAAGGCCCGTTACATCATGCACGCAGCCCATATATATTGGGATTGGACGTTCAATCGCAAGCCTTCGCGCTACCCCTACGAAGGTATTGGGATCAGTTTCATAGAGCACTTCAATTTCCAGAGGCTGAGTTCGATAAGATAAGTGGAGTCTCTCCCTCAGACGGAATATGTCTACAAGAGATAATGTGGAGGAGAACACTTGCAGAACCACGGAGGAACCGTCAGTCGAAGTTTGTTCTCACATCACGGCGGCGTCTTTCCACGGAATATCCTTGTCAAAGGCAGAAAGAACGAGAACAGGTATTGAGGACTGGGTGTGTAGTGGGTCTATGAGGAGTATGTCGAGTACGCGCCTTTCAGCGGGTCTGTATGGCTATGGAGGAGGGCGGTGGTGGAAGCATTGCCGCGTTGTATTCCAAGCCGAATAGCGGTGCAGAGATCAATATACAAGGGAGGATGTTGAAAGTAATACTGTAGTAGTCCTGGTTGGGGAGGTACTAAATGCTGGTAACTAAGGGCGACGGTGAAGAGCCTCGAGGATATCTTGGGACAGCACCCTCCCGCGAAGGTCTAGGAGCCTTTTCCAGACCTTGAATTGCCAGAGCTCCCTGCAGTGGGTAAGAAAAAGTACGAGACAGAGAGGTTTGGGGAAGGGTAGATTATCACCGTAGGGGAACTTGATGGTTACTTCCAAGGACTCTGCTATACCATGTGCTACAGACCTTCAGGACATCTAAGAAACCTAAGTTACTCTGACAGCGAGAGCATGGAAACACCTTAAATAAAGTTCAGGACCTCTCTTCTCCCCGTCAACAGCAGATAGACAATGATACACCCCTCTAGCACGGCAAATAGCCTGTCTACATGCAAGACATCGTTCGCAAAGCGCGAGTGATTGCGACTGGGACGGAAGCCAGCTGGCGAAGCTAGCTGTCTGAGCTAGCTACCACCGGCGCCACAGACACTCCAAGCACAGAACGATTTGGAACGCAAACAATGGCAGCTCTCCGCCAGCGCCCTGGCAAAGGATCCCCTCCTTCATCGAAGAGTGGGATGAGCGAAAATGAATACGACCACATAGATTACACGCCCACCTCGTCAGGGAGCGAGGAGGAGCTGTCTTCCGGCTCAAAGAACAGAGTCAAGGCGGAGGATGCAGGCGAGGCAGGGCAATCCAGACGCAGATGGTCCATCAGTGTCCTCGATCTCTGCCGGGTCATATTTTTGCTTGTTCTCACCTCCTGCGCGCTGTCATACTATATCACCACCGACTCTGTGCTCTGGGGCTATAAACCCAAGTTCCTGCGCTGGGCTGCTGTGAAAACCTATCTCGTACGACATTTACCTACCCCTACCACCCCTTCCTTCCCTTGTCGCCACTTTTCGATATTACCATTTCTACGTGAATGAAGGAGCTCCTTTGCTAATAAACGCCAATTTATATTGCAGCGCGGGCCCTTGGAACTCACACCAGCACAACTCGCCCTCTACAACGGCACCGACCCCTCCTTACCCATCTATGTCGCCGTCGACGGCGTAATCTTCGACGTCTCCGCGAACCCGCGCATCTACGGTAAGGGCGGCAGCTACAACAGCTTCGCCGGTGCCGATGCCACGCGCGCCTACGTCACTGGCTGCTTCTCGGAGGATCGCACGCCGGACATTCGCGGCGTCGAACTCATGTACATCCCCGTCGAAGACGACGATGAGAACCCCCTCGAGCTGGCGATGAGTAAGAAGCAGAAGCAGGCGCGGCGCAAGGAGGAGTGGAATGCGGCGGTGGAGAGTGTGTCGAAGCAGGTGATGCATTGGAAGGAGTTTTTCGCCAACCATGAAAAATATGTGCAGGTTGGCAGGGTTGTTGGGATTGAGAAGTTGATGCAGGGGCCGGAGAGGGAGTTGTGCCAGGCGGCGCAGAAGATGAGGCCGTTGAGATCGAAGCTTAATGCTGCGAAAAGTGCGCAGGTGGAGGATAAGTTGTAGAGGGTTCGTGAGCTGTGGCGGTGTGGCGGCTTCTTGGGTTCGGATAATATGATAAATAGATATATGGAGATTTATATAGTGAAATTTCTAGAGCAATTTGGTGAATTTGTGCTAAGGTGAATTTGGGGTTTGTGTGTGAAGGTCTCCAGCTATGAAAAGTGCATTTCACGACATGTTGGCTGTGGTTGTTTATGGAGTTACATTGTTACAAGCCACTATACTAGAGTCCATCAGGGAGATTGTGGAGGTTATGGTCAAAGTAAATCAAGTAGGTATTAAATGTTCTTGAGGATCATATTACATTTCAGCCCTCCGAAAGCGAAACTTGGGAACACCCATCGACCTGAAAGGAAATATCCCCACGGAGAACATCGCTTGAGAATAGATTCTATTGGGAAATTTTGATGGTATATCTGAAGTTATCCACCACGATATGGGCTACAATCGAGGGCGTATAAACCAGCAGGTCGATTCCCATACAACAGAAAAACCCGGGCCAACGTTTGTTTACTTGGAAATTTTGGATCCTTGTCTCCACAATGCAGATATAATCGTTTTTATTTCTTTTTATATCCATACACTCATGACGACGAGCTAAACATGGAACAGAAGGGGGGAAATTGATAAAGACAAGAACATTCAGAAGGAAAGTCAAGAACACCATTTTGACGAACGCAAAACCCCGGGGACAGAAGAGGAACCGGAAATGGTTCGGAGAAATTCGTTTACTCGGCTGCGGTAACGGCGCGGGCTGGAGAGGCAAGTTTGTTAGGATACATTTGGACAGTATATGCAAAGATAACACCGAACCGATGAAATATCGGCTACATATCCAGTCCAACAGAAAGAAGGGGAAACGAAACGGGCTTTTGACGTACTGTAGATGTTCATCTTTGAGTGACCAACAACCTTCTTGATTTGGCCCTTCTCCTCCAGGTCGGCGAGGGCTTGCCGGGCCAAGCTGCCGTTGATCTTCAGTCTGTCGACGAGGGTAGCGACGGTGATGAGGCGGTAGGACTGCACATCCTTGTAGAGCTTCTCGGAAGTGGCCTTGTCGAGGACAACGGCATGGTTGGCCTTGTCCTTGACTGTATTGTTAAAGACATCATGTCAGTTTCATTTCGCCTCTCGTTGCCTTTTTGTGCTTGAATCCGCAGGTGACAGAAATATCTGTCGAAGGGTAGCTATCCAAAAATCGCCTTCCCCCGAACCTAACACCTCTATCTTTCCCTTAGGGGCGATATTCTTCCGTACCTTTGCCCTTGGACCACTTCTTCTTCTGCTTCTTGCCGCCGGAGCTTGCTGCGGGTGCCTATCCCGATCGCAATCATGAATCCATCAGTACTAGAATACAATGTCTACCGTGCCAAGTCTTTTCATCACATAACATCCGGCGCTGGCTTTCACATGACCACCGGAGGAATAGAAGGGGAGGACAGGAAGATTCACTTACCATGTTGGGTGGTATATGCGGTGGTTGTCGACGACCAGGTGTTCAACGACCTTCACGAACTTCTGAAGAGGAACCAAGGTGCGAAATTGCGAGTGGGGTATGACTAAGCGTGGATTTAGCCCTAAGCCCTTGATTTGGCTGAATAAGGCTAGATTAGAATGGGATATCCGCTATACCATAAAAAGCAAGTTTGAACATTTCAAGTCCCATTTGATATCACATCAATGAGGAGTACTAGGTTTATGGTGGAATATACCCGCCCTTGGAGAAATGGTTTGAGTAGAATATTTTCAAATAGGCCAGGTAAATAATTGCGTTAGCCGTAGATCATATTGTTCGCATAGGGAAATCGGTTCAAATGCCCGCTAAGAACCAACGCAAAGTGGGCCAAGGCAAGTAAACGGATTCCGCAGCTCATGTTCCTGTAATGGGGAAGTCATCCATATTGAAAGCCGGATGCTCATCTTCAATATTCAGAATCTGAGTAAAGCCTGTTTCCGTGCCATTCCCTACGACGTAACCAAACGTATACCCAGTCTGCCATCCAACCCATATCAAACCACTCTGGCGACAGTCTGCTCTGACCCAAGAGACGGAGTACTTTCCTCCATCCGCAAGGGGTATTCGAGCGATTCGCGGTCTACGATTGCATATCCATTGGTGCACTGTGGGTATGTCATCTTCGTTGGCTGTCATCAGTAGCTCCGGGAACGTGGGACACCAGAGCAGCTGGCGGACACTGGATTTTTGGATCAAAGAACCAATCAACTTGGGGGTTTGGCTTTTGGTTGACCACATCCACACGATATGGGGAAGGCTCTGGTCGATTGTTGCCAGCATATGTCTGTTTCTGCTGAAGGCAATTGAGGATACCGCGCGTGCCCCACCACCAGCGCTGCTGAAAGTATATGGGAAAACAGGTGATTTCGGAGCTAGGACATACTCACTCGTCCCGTTTGTGACGCTGGACTGTTGTTCTACGAAGATATCGCGGCCTATAGACCCAAATGAGAGAGGGTCTGGAAGAACTGAGAGTAAAGAGAACTGGGAGGTGAAGTGAGCATCGCCGGAAAATCCCCCCGTTGTAAATTATGGAAGGAATCGGAACTTACTGTCTTGCAGTTAGTCAGTGCAACAGTTCCATCATGCCTCCCAATAGCCAAAAGTTGCGAATCTGGACTCCATTCTATCGTTTTCACTCCCAGATTTGAATCGTTGGCTGCCTCACTATAGGTCCTGTAATACTGCCCATCCGCAGTGTAAATCTCAACCCTGGGCGTCGTGCTCGCAGAGTCCCACACACCCAACCACGCGCCATTGGGGCTCCATTTTAAGCCCTGGGCATCAACGGTGTTAAGAGTCACCGTAGTGATGGCTTCATAAGTTTCCGGCTCATGGATAGTTAGGGTATCATTCGCGTCAAGTTTCAGCAGCAGCGCCAGGTGGCCCGTAGCCGGACGAAAACCGTAGCCGGTCGCATTGGAAAACTTGGGTGATTTTATCACGCGCTGACCACCAGTCGACAAGGAGAATATCGTTAGGTGGACGTTGAATTCCGAAAAGGCGATAACTTCATCATGCGTGGCTGCAAAATCGACATAGGTGAAATTGAATGTGTCGCCAGCTTCGATTTCGGCACACCAATTCTCATCGTGCACATCCCAGACGGAAATATAGTTTCCGCTCGCGTAGAGAATGCGCTGGCTGTCAGGTGAAAATGCATCAGGTTCAGCAATTGAGGGCCCAGGCGGTTTTGACCATCGAAGAGCTTTAACGCAACCCGTAATGCTCTCTTTGAGAGCGATATTTCGAACGATGTTCTGGCCTTCCGGCGCGAATATTATGGATAGTTTATTGCCGGAAAGAATGCATATATATCGGCAATACTCAGACGGAATAACACACGAGTCTGGGTATATATTAGCAGAAATCTTGAAACTCCTAGTTGGAATTCATATTTTAGGGGTTCTCGGCTTGAAATAGTACTTAGGTTTTTCATGAGGCTTTTGGTAGACATCGCAGGTGCAAATGCGAAGTTAGGCTTGGTGTGTGTACCTGTTGAACTTAGTTATAGCCAATTAAATTGAGAGGAGCCCAACATTCGTGCGGCAGACTATAGTGACAAATGTCTCATTTGTGTTTTTATGTAGGAGGGTTAATCTTTTCAAGTTATTATCGTTGTGGGAGCTAGCTAACTACTGCCTATACAACTATAACTACGCCTAGTCACATGCGCTGGGGCAAATGCCTGGCCCAACACCCACTACTGTGTTTCATCAACTGCCAACTTCTTCATGAGAATATAACAAATCACGATAACACCTTCATTCGACTGCATATGAGAATAGTAGAAATGAATGTTGATATACTTACTGTGTACTGTGGTTCTGCAATAGCAACTAGATCAATTTAAATCTCTTATTATCTATCTTTATTGATAGAGAGTTCCTCATTATTATTATTATTTATTCCTACACCGCCTAACCTATATAGTATGCGGGCAGCCTATGTTACATGAAAGGAAAACCTTGTGGTCAATACCACTGGACTAAAAACCTCTTCCCAGCTAATTGCCTTCGCTCCAGTTCCCTCCCTGCAGTTTTACCAAGGATCAGCCAGCGCTGTTCCTGAGAAATGAAGAAAACAACCCCCTTTCCCCTCTCTTGTTACATCCCCCTTCCATGTCTGCCGCGCGCACCTCTCCCATACTCACGCCTGTTGCAGCTCCCCCCCCCACCATTCGTGCTTTAAGCACCACTGCATGTCCCATTGGCATGCATCAACTACCCACGAACGTAGGGGTACATTTGAATTTTCCACTTTTCCAACTGTTTTTCGTATAATTTTAACCCCCCAACCCGTTCAATATCATCGCACGCCCTCTGCAATTTCTCTATGTGTGTGTACTGCACAGGTTGAGTGGTCATGGAGCCCTCAACGCCCTCCCATCCGCCCAAGGACATCGACACGGCCTACACCAGGCCACTGGAGCCGGAGTCACCGGCCAATTTTGTCACTGAAAAGACTGGCAAGAGGCAGAGGAAGACTGTCACAATGCCTCCCCCAATCCTCAAGAAGCCAGCAATAGCATCCTCACAGCCACCTCTCAGCTGCAGAAACAGTTTGAGGAGGCTCAGCAGCAACAGAATCTGTAGCAAAAAGCTCTCATTAAATTGATGAAGACTCTGAACAGCTGAATTGAGAAAGAGAAGCAGTCAATCAGTCAGAACTTTGCTCAGATCTTCTGTGAGAGATTTGTCAAATATATGACAGCAGATCTGAATGTAGCATCAATTCTGAAAGAAAATGCTGCTCTGAATACTCATCCACAGTTAAATGCAGCAAAGACAGCTGTGAAGGAGTTGGCTATCTGAGTAGATATTGTTTAGAAAAGGAAAAACTCTGCTCTTTCTAAGATTACTTCTGTCAAGACTGCAGCTTCCTCAGCAGATAGAGCTAGTGGAGCTAGTCTGCAGCTCAAAAATGCCAGTCAGTCAAGAGGCTTCACAGAGAGCATAAAGCAGCAGAAGAACTCATGAATCCTCATCACTTTTCAATCAGAGAAACAAATCACCCAGCTACAGTTATATGCTATGCAGCAGACAATCATTGCAAACATTCAGAGAATGGGGGATGTGGTCAATGTGTTGAAAATGAAGCCCATCAAAACAGATTGAGTGATTACATCAAGTAACAGAGGTATACACAACACTCTGATCATTGAGAAGACAATAGCTACTCTTTGTGAAGTTCTTGACACCACAAAGATCCGGCTATCAGAGCATTGGTATAATTATGCTGTTTCAGAGATCTCAGAATTTATTCAGAACTGAAAAGAAGCAAAAATTCTCACAGATAAAATGATTGAAAGAGAGGTTTTGATTCAAGTAAAGATAAAGTCAGTGAGCTGTCGACCCTCGCGTCATGGGGTGAACCTCAAAACAGGGAAGATTATATGGATTGTTTTCTTCCTTGCCCCAGTAAAAGACTTCTCACTCTTCAATGTTAATGAAAAGGCCAGGCTGATTGAGAAAAGGCTTTTAACAGTGAAACATAATTCAGAATGTCAGAGGTTCTGTCGCTCATCAAAGTATGTGCAACTGACAAGATGCTTCAACTGCAGTGAGCCCACAAACCAGCATGAGGGGCCAACAGACACAGAGTGCAAGAGAGTGTCAAGATGTGTCAACTGCTGTCAACTCTACTCAGCTGAGCATCAGCACTGCCCTACTGCACTCAGATACATGAATGACATTCTCAGACATTTAATTCAAAAAGAGCTAGCAGCTGTTCACTGCCTTAGCAACAGATGTCACGGAGATGCTCAGAAATAGCAATCACTGCTAACACAGCCAGCATCAATGATCACAGTGATGATATCTACATCAACCACTCAGTCAACTTAGTCAACACAGCTCACTGAGCTAGCACTTTGCAAGTGAGTGACTATTCAGAGTTTCATCAGTAAGAAGAATACCATCTGATAGATGATCTGCATCAGACAACACTCAGTTCACACAGCAGTGCAGCAGCACAGTCAAGCAATTAAAAAACAATCTGATTTCAGCATGCAGATAGTAGATTTAAAGCTCTTCAATCTCATATCATAAATGAACTTTAACAGCAGCTCATCAAATAACTTTTCATATTATAATATCAACATCAGTGATGCAGCTGATGCTGCAGAAACAATTAGTAAAAAAATCACTCTCTGCAGATCTTCTGAGCAAATACAATCAGAGCAGCTCTTTATCACACAGCAGCTCTACAGCTTGCTTTCAAACAAAGCTGTGAAGTGATCTGTATACAGAAGTCATACACACACCCTGACATCAAGACTTTTAGCCACTCAGTATATGAGTGCTTTGCATCTATAGACCGCTGAAATACCACTAATCTAGAGCAGTGAGAGAAGAAGAGGCTTCAGATCATGACATATATATGTAAGAGCTTAAAGATAAGAGCACAGCAACATCAGTCTGTGTAAAACAGAAATCTACTATAAGTCAGTGTAAATGACTGCCACATTCTCAACGTGTACAAACAATCTGAAATAGATGCAGTCATAAATTATCTGATCAATCTAAGCCCATCAGCCCGCTATCTGATAAATGGAAATATCAACATACAGCATGATGCCTTTGAATCAGAGGCAGTGAATCTGCACTGAGGCGGGGAGCTTGTTCAATGAGTCAGTGAACATGAGATAGACTTTGTGGGAGAGATAGATATTTCAACTCATATAGTAGATTATATGATTGATCTCATCTTCTTCAATGTGATCTTTGCTTCCATTATAGTGCATCAAGATTTACACTGCAGCTCAGATCATTAGTCTATGATCATTATATTGTTAATAACATCTCTAACACAGTGTAAGAAACCCGCACTAAGGTGCCAGTGCTAGGCCGGAATTAGCGATAGCCCTAAAGATATGACATCGCCGAACATAACAACCACCAACGTCATATCAGGATATGACATCGCCGAACATAGCTCCACCAACGTCATATCAGGTTTGAAATCAAGGCATTATCTTGCCATTTGCATCATACTACGCCATCTACATTATAGCAAGTTCGATCTGCTTATGATACTGTGTGTATATAGCTAGCAGCTGGTCCAACCTTCTAGGGACCAGCGGATCATTCTGTTATAATCTGACCCCTACGTTCTACACCCTCAATATCTAACTACTTGATCTGAATCCTCTCCGATATATCACCGTATTATCTCCTACTGCTTGATCCTCGTAGAGTCCTAAGGACCAACCCGGAATATAAGCAGCCATTTCCAACATCGCTGCTTACACACAGCTGAGTAATACTCAGATCAATATCACAGACTCTCAACTGGAGCTCTTTATAGATTTTGTCAGAGGTTTCATGATGAACATGTTTTACTCAGAGAGGGTTAGAAATATGGTATAGTTTGATCATCTGATCCAGCATTTCACTCAGAGTCTTCTGACTGCAGCTTAGACAATCAGTAAGCCAGCTCAATAAAAGCAGACCACAGCTTTCTAATGAACAGCAGACTGCTGAAGAGCACACTGAGAGCTCATCACTCATCAGACAGAGGCCGCGAAGCACCAGTTCAAAAACACAGTGTATAAAACCAAGCATGTATACTGAAGACAGATGATCAATGAAGTCAGAAATGGTAGAGATCTGTACTGAGTGGTGGTATAGCATCAGCTGAAACTCAACCTCAGAGCACCCCCTCTGATGATTGAGAATCAGATCATAGAAGAAACAGCTGTCAAAGCTGAAACACTTCAACAAGCAATTCTGAAGTGATACAACTCAACTGATGATGTGAAGTATAACTCATTGAATGATGAGCACTGAAATGGCATGAGAAACCTGCTCTGAAACCTCTGGATTGAAATGGAGGAGATGGAGTGCAACATCATTGAAGTACAGAGTACCTCCTCACGCACAGATGGAATCACAATGCAGATGCTTAAAGCATGCTGGCAGCATGTGTTCCTCTTTATACAGCAGCTATACAACTGCTGCCTCCAGCTGTGCCACTTTCCATGAGCCTAGAAACTGACAGAGATGACAATGATATTCAAAATGAATAAGAGGGATAGAAGCTCAGTTCACTTCTGAAGACTCATTGCTCTGCTTTCAGTAATCTTTAAAGGGCTGAAATACATCATTGTAAGGCGACTGGTGTACACAGCACTCATTCATGGTATAATCAGCCCATAACATGAAGAGGCACTGCTCAGAATGATCTGCATGTATGTATGTATGTATAGGTTTAACGTCCCGGAGAAAACACGGGCAGCGCCCGTGTTTCAGAAGCCTCCCGAAGGGCATGGAGACGTGCTACGCTGGAGAGATTTCTATGTACACAGAGAGAGAGAGAAAACAGAATCCAGGTGGCAACTCTTGAGAAGACTCAGCTCATTGCAAAGGATTTTTCTAAGCTGCGCATCCACTTCTGGCCCGACGTATGGCCATTCATGGTGGGGCTATAGTGTGGTTCCCTGAGGGGACCGCCGCTGCCGTGCCTGGAAGGCTTTATAGTGAGCAGAGAGGGATACCTCTCTCAGTTGATCAGAAAGCTGTCTGTGCTTCTAACATCAGAAGAAAGACAGACAAGATAAATAATGAAAGAAAGAGAGGGAAAGTGTGTGTTCTGAAATGAAAAGAATAAAAGAGAGAGGTGAAGGAAAGACTGTGTCATCTGCAACACCTTGCAGTCACGTGACATGGCACAGACCCGGGGGAAAAGAGAGGAGAGAGCACTACAGAAGGTTGTGAAAGGAAAAGAGCAGAGAATGACAGAGAGAGCAAAGAAAAGAAGGAAGAAGAAGCATTTGAGCCGATAGAGACAAGGGCAAACGAGAGGAAAACAAAGCAGAGCACGCGTAGATACAATGCCGGCAGTCAAACCATATCAGCTGAGTCAGACACGTAGACTGTACTGATTACACCACAGCTAATTGAGACAGATGAGCCTAGTTGTGCTATCTGTACTGTCTGCATAGACTGTGATGTCCCTGGCAGTTGCACTAGCTACCGTGGGTGTACTCAGCAGGCCGGCCTCGTGGAACTGCTGCGGGGGTTGTCAGATGGTTTGCAGCCAGCCGGCTGCGTTACCTTGTGCAGTACCGTGTGTAGAACTGCGTGCAGTCCAGCAGTTCTACAAAGTCTGTAGGGGTCAGAGACCCTAGATAGGCAACAGCTGTCGCCTGGTTGTGTGGCCGTGCTGCTGGCCTCTTGGGCCAGTGAAGAAAGTGCCTCTGTGAGTGTCGACAGAGCACCAAATGTTCTGGGCTCTTGTTGTGTCCACAGACACAGGTGAGCCTCGCATCTGCATGCTGGAAACGCCTGTGGTACCAGGAGAAGTCCCCATGAGAGGAGCGGAGTGCGAGCCAGCGGTGAAGGGCATGCCGTGGCATGGTGAGCTCCGGAGGGGCCTTCACTTGGTATTCCACAGTCGGCCTGCTGAAACTCCAGCCCCGGTACCAGTCAGAGAGCTTGCCACAGGCTCCACTCCACCACTTTCGCCTTGCCTCTTGGCTGAGCTGCTTGGCCACTGTGCGGACCCCACTGACTGTGGGTGTGGCCTCGAGACCATAGGCTGGGGCTGCAGTGGATGAGACTGCCCGCTTAGCCAAGCGGTCTGCTTCCTCATTGCCCTCTATCCCCATATGCCCAGGAGCCCACTTCAGGCCAACATTGTGCTGTCTGAGGAGCTCATGGCAGCGGTTGTAGGCCCAGTTTGAGGAGGCTGCTGCACTGTCCCGTATGCCCCAGATGACTGAGGTGTTGTCGAGGCAGAGCCAGATCTGAGGGTTGCTGCTGTCCTCTGTGACACAAGGTAGGAGCTTCACGGCGCACTCCAATGCCCGGCAGGCACCAACTGCCTCAGCGTCGAAGACATGTGACATAGGGCTCAGCGCAGCTGAGAAGCTGGCCAGCTGTTTATTTCCCTGATAGACTATGAAGCCATAGCCCACCTGCCTGCTGTTGTCAAGGTTCCGTTCTGATCCATCTGAGAAAACATATAGATCTGTTGAGGGTTGACTTCTCCACCATTCCTTGAATGCCTGAGCAGCACTCTTTTTGTCTACACCCTCTGTGGGGTCTGTCCCGCATCCCTCTGAGTAGTGTGGGATGGCAAGTGTGGGTCTATTGACTGCAGGTAGCAGCGCCCCCAACCGCTGGATCTTGGTCTTTGAGCGCTGCCGGGTTCCAGCCCCTCTTCCTCGTGTGATCATTGGAGGTGCTATCCGTGAAGCCAGTGGGTGCTTCTCATCCACCACCTGAAGCCTTGTCGCGAATCGAATTTTGGCCTCCTCCAGAGCTACCATTGCTGATGGGAGCCCAGCATCCCGGTATAGGGTAGCGATGGGCGTTGTACGGAAAACTGGGAGGACCCCTCTGGCTGCCATAGTAAGCACCTTCTCAACTGTCCCCACATGCCATCCCAGGCGGGAGCTAACCTCCCCACTCCTGCCCGTGTGCCTTGCTGGCTGCGTGCGGCCGCCGTACCAGGCCTCTGTGCCATAGAGCAGTGAGGGAACCACGCAGGTGGTGACCGCCTTCCGCAGAGCGTCTGCTGGGGGCCCGTCTCTGGTCTTTCCCAGACTCCGGATGTGCTGGGCCACGGCCCTTGCCTTCTTTGCCCGGGTGGAGACATGTGGTCTCCAGGTGAGCCTTCTGTCGAAGTGTACACCCAGCCAGCGAAGTGCTGGCTCCTGTCCAGCTGGGGCAGTAACAGGGTGAACAGTGAGGTCCTCAGACACAACTACTGCTGGTGCCTCATTGTGTCGCTTTCTTGTAAGATGGATCATCTCAAGTTTCTCTGGTGCGAAGGCCACCTTGTTTATCTCCCCCCACCTCAGAATACTCTGTATATCCTGTCTGAGAAGGGTGGCATTGTTGTCAAGTGAGTGGGTCGCCCGCCAGATGTTCAGATCATCCGCATAGCCAAAGCGCAACTCCGAGTTTTGCCTCAGCAGCTCTGCCAGGTACAGAAGGAACAGTATTGGTGACAAAGGAGACCCCTGTGGCGTGCCACATTGCATCTGATGTGCTGCTGTGGTGGTCCCCTCCAGCCGGACCTGAGCTCTGCGTTCAGTGAGGAAACTGTCAATGAGCTGCAGCAGCTCGCGTGGCCACCCCTGCTGCGCCATCCGCTGAAGCAGCCGCCTGCGCAGCACAGCATCAAAGGCACCCTGCACATCCATTGTGACCATGGACACTTCTTTGTTTTGTGCGAAGGCTGCCTCCACCTCATGAGTGAAAGCAGCTACCAGGTCCATTGCAGATCGTCTGGGCAGCGCCCCCCCATGCTGTGGGCTGACTATGCCGTGAATGAGTGCCATGTACGCCAGTCGCCTTGCAATGATGCGTTCCAGCCCTTTGGAGATTACTGAAAGCAGGGCAATGGGCCTCCAGGAGCGGACTGAGCTTCTATCTCTCTTACCCACCTTGGGTATCATTGCCACCTCTGCCAGTTTCCAGGCTCGTGGGAAGTGGCAGAGCCGGAGGCAGCAGTTGTATAGCTGCTGTATAAAGAGGGACACATGCTGCCAGCATGCTTTGAGCATCCGCACTGTGATTCCATCCGTGCCTGGGGAGGTGCTCTGTACCCCAATGGTGTTGCGCTCCATCTCCTCCATCTCAATCCGGGGGTTCCAGGGCAGGTTCCCCATGCCGCTCCAGTGCTCATCATCCAGTGGGTCATACTCCAGATCATCAGCTGAGTTGTATCGCTTCAGAATCGCTTGTTGAAGTGCCTCAGCTTTGGCGGCTGTCTCTTCTATGACCTGATCCCCAATCACCAGAGGGGGTGCTCTGAGGTTGGGTTCCAGCTTATGCCATGCCACCACCCGGTACAGGTCTCTACCATCTCTGGCCTCATTGATCACCTGCCTCCAGTATGCACGCTTGGCCTTGCGCACTGCATCCTTGAACTGGTGCTTCGCGGCCTCTGTCTGGTGAGTGGTGAGCTCTCGGTGTGCTCTTCGGCAGTCTGCTGTCCACCAGGGGGCTGTGGTCCGCCCTTGTTGAGCTGGCTTACTGACTGCCTGAGCTGCAGCCAGAAGACTCTGAGTGAAGTGCTGGGCCAGATCATCAAGCTGTGCCACATTTCCAACCCCCTCTGGGCAAGGCATGTCCACCATGAGACCTCTGACAAGATCTGCAAAGGGCTCCAGCTGAGAGTCTGTGATCTTGATCCGAGCATCACTCAGCTGTGTTTGAGGTGTTGTTGGCAGCATAGTGATCATAGACTGGTGATCCGAGGCGCAGTGTAGATCTTGACGCACTGTAGTGGAAGCAAAGGCCACATTGAAAAAGATGAAATCAATTATATGACCTGCTGCATGAGTTGAAACATCTATCTCTCCCACAAAGTCCATCCCATGTTCACTGGCCCATTGGACAAGCTCCCCGCCCCGGTGCAGATTCACTGCCCCTGGTTCAAAGGCATCATGCCGTACGTTGATATCCCCACCTATCAGACAGCGGGCTGGTGGGCTCAGATTGGTCAGATAGTCCATGACTGCGTCTGTCCCAGGCTGTCTGTACACATTGAGAATGTGGCAGCCATTTACACTGACCCATAGCAGATCCCTGCTTTGCACAGACCGGTGTTGCTGTGCCCTTGTCTTTGAGCCCTTGCGTACATATGTCATGACCCGGGGCCTCTCCTCCTCTCGCTGCTCCGGGTTAGTGTCATCCCAGCGGTCTATAGGCGCAAAGCACTCATACGCTGGGTGGTTAGAAGTCTTGGTGCCAGGGTGTGTGTATGGCTCCTGTATACAGATCACTTCACAGCCCTGCTCGAAAGCAAGCTGCAGAGCTGCTGTGTGACAGGGGGCTGCCCTGGCCGTATTTGCCCAGAAGACCTGCAGGGGGCGATTTTCCTGCTGGTTGTTCCTGCGGCGCCAGCCGCGTCGCTGGTGTTGGTGTCCTAGCATGAGGAGTCACTTGGTGAGCTGCTGCCGAAGTCCACCTGCGGGATGAGGTTGAAGGCCTCCAGACCTGCCATCTGCATGCTGGAGTCAGACTGTTCTTTAGCTGCTTGGCTGTGCTGCCGCACTGCTGTGCGAGCTGAGCGTCGCCTGGTGCGGGCCATCTGCCAGGTGGCAGCTGTCTTTGCTGCATTTGGCTGCGGATGAGTATCCGGGGCAGCACCCCCTCTCAGAATTGATGCTGCATTCAGATCTGCTGTCACATACTTGACAAACCTCTCACAGAAGATTCGGGCAAAGTTCTGACTGACTGGCTGCTTCTCCTCCTCAACCCAGCTGTCCAGAGTCTTTGCCAATCTGATGAGAGCCTTCTGCTGCAGGTTCTGTTGCTGCTGAGCCTCTTCAAACTGCTTCTGCAGCCGAGAGGTGGCCGTGGGGATGCTGTCGCTGGCTCCTTTGAGGACTGGGGGAGGCATTGTGACATTCTTCCTCTGCCTCTTGCCAGCCTTTTCAGTGACAAAATTGGCCGGTAACTCCGGCTCCAGTGGCCTGGTGTAGGCCGTGTCGATGTCCTTGGGCGGACAGGAGGGCGTTGAGGGCTCCATGACCACTCAACCTGTGCAGTACACACACGTAGAGAAATCGCAGAGGGCGTGCGATGATATTGAACGGGTTGGGGGGTTAAAATTATACGAAAACCAATTGGAAAAATGGAAAATTCAAAGATACCCCTACGTTCGTGGGTAGTTGTAAGGATGTACAGTCTATGCAGACAGTACAGATAGCACAATTAGATTCATCTATTTCAATTAACTGTGATGTAATCAGTACAGTTTACATATCTGACTCAGCTGATATGTTCTTGACTGCCGGCATTGTATCTACACATACTCTGCTTTGTTTTCCTCTCATTTGCCCTTGTCTCTATCAGCTCAAATGCTTCTTCTTTCTTCTTTTCTTTGCTTTCTCTGTCATTCTCTGCTCTTTTCCTTTCACAACCTTCTTCAGTACTCTCTCCTCTCTTTTTCCCTGAGTCTGTGCCAGGTTATGTGACTGCAAGGTGTTGCAGATGACACAGTCTTTCCTTCATCTTTTTCTTTTATTCTTTTCATTTCAAAATACACATTTTCCCTCTCTTTCTTTCATTATTTATCTTATCTATCTTTCTTCTGATGTTAGAAACACAGACAGTTTTCTGATCAATTGAAAGAGGTATTTCTCTCTGCTCATTATAAAGCCTTTCAGACACAGCAGCGGCAGTCCCCTCAGAGAACCACATTATAGCCTCATCATGAATGGTCATATATCAGATCAGAAGTGAATGCGCAGCTCAGAAAAATCCTTTATAATGAGTTGAATCTTCTTAAAAGTTGCCATCTGAATTCTATTTTCTCTCTTTCTCTGTGTATATAGAAATCTCTTCAGCATAGCACATCTTCATGCCCTTCAGAAAGCTTCTGAAACACGGGTGCTGCCCGTGTTTTCTCCGGGATGTTAAACCTATACATACATACATACATATCTTATGCAGTACTGTGTGTAGAACTGTGTGCAGTTGAGCAGTTTTATAAAATCTGTAGAGATCAGAGACTATAAATAAACAATAGCTGTCATTCAATTATATAGCTGTGTTGCTGATTTCTTGAATCAATGAAGAAGATGCTTCTGTGAATGTTGATAAAGCATCAAATGTTTTGAGTTTTTATTGTGTTCACAAATACAGATGAGCCTCACATCTGCCTGTTGAAAATGTTTGTGATATCAGAAAAAGTTCTCATGAAAGAAGTGAAGTGCAAGTCAATGATCAACAGCATACTGTGGCATGGTGAGCTCTAAAGAAGTTTTTACTTGATATTCCACAGTCAGTCTGCTGAAACTCCAGCTTCAGTACTAATCAGAGAGCTTGTCACAGACTTCACTTCATCACTTTCACCTTGTTTCTTGACTGAGCTGCTTGGCCACTGTGTGAACCCCACTGACTGTGAGTGTGGCCTTGAGTTCATAGATTGGAGCTGCAGTAAATGAGACTGCTCATTTAATCATACAATCTGCTTTCTCATTGCCTTCTATCATCATATATTTAGAAGCTTATTTCAGATCAACATTGTGCTGTCGGAGAAGCTCATGACAGTGATTATAAATTCAGTTTGAAAATGCTGCTGCACTGCTCTGTATGCTTTAGATAATTGAGATGTTGTCAAAGCAGAGTCAGATCTGAGAGTTGATGCTGTCATCAGTGACACAAAATAAAAGCTTCACAATACACTCTAATGCTCAGCAGACATCAACTGCTTCAGTGTTGAAAATATGTGATATAAAGCTCAGCACAGCTGAGAAGCTGATCAGCTGTTTATTTCTTTAATAAATTATGAAATCATAATTTATCTATTTGCTGTTGTCAAGATTTTATTCTGATTCATCTGAAAAAACATATAAATCTGTTGAGGGTTGACTTTTTCATCATTTTTTGAATGTCTGAACAACACTTTTTTTATCTACACTCTTTGTGAAGTCTGTTCCACATCTCTTTAAGTAATGTGGGATAACAAGTATGGGTTTATTGACTGCAGATAGCAGTGCCTTCAACTGCTGAATCTTAATTTTTAAACACAGTTAGATTTCAGCCTCTCTTTTTCATGTGATTATTGAAGATGCTATCTGTGAAGTCAGTGATTTCTGACTGGGATTGATGCTTTTGTTTCAAAGTATGATATTGTTGTATATGCTCAGAAGGTTTTGATGCTCAAATTGCTGGAGATGTTAATTTAAAAGAATATAAAAGTTGACTCTAAAGAGATCTGCTGAATTCTGAAGAAGAGTAACAAGATTGAAAAATTGCTTAATTGTAAGTAATTATATGCATGCAGTTATTGTTAACAGTAGTGTTGTAATATATTATTTGATGCAACACAATGATCAGCATTGCAGATGTTAAAATGTAAGAGAAGATTCAGTTAAAATCAGTATTATTCATCTGCAGAAAATTTAAAGCCTGTTCAGTGATTTTATTCATACAATGTCAGAGCTGTACAGAAAGTGGATATTTATCTTTTGACAGCATAAACCTTCATTATTGCCATTTTTTTTTATATGAATATTAATCTGCTTGGCATTCTAGCATTACTTTTATTACTTATCAGCGGTTTTTATCATGATGATTATTGTGTGATTTCAGTGAATGTGTTGCAGTTGAAAATCCTGTTATATTACTACTTTCTCACATCAAATATCAGTGAAAAATGGAGCTCATTTTCTGTGTTATAATATACAAGAGTATGAGAACCTTCTGCTCAATCTTTATGGCATGTATTGTTTCAGATTCACAAATATCAGTATTACTTCTCAGCCAATCAACCAGTGCAATGAACATACTGGCACTCGTCCATGTCATATTTTTAATACACAGTGGGTGGGAGGTAGGATTCAACAACTGAGTGATAAATTGAAATCCATGAAATGGATCAGAATACATGAATCATATGTCAGATGAGATAGTTGAGATGCTCTGATGAATCACTTCTACAGCAGCAAGTCTGATTAATTGTTGTCTACAACATAGATACTGTCATTTGCCTCCTGGGTTGCATTGTCACTGTTGCTCGCCATGATTTTTGATTTTTGATGATATTTGCAGGTTCCAAGCCGGCCAGCGCTGGATTGAGTCAGCACAAATCACGACTTGTTCCAGTGTATACTGTACAGATTTAACTTGATTAGGTTTAAATTCACCACTTTTTCAACTAATTACACTGTTGAACTCTATAAAGTGGATTTTGAAGCCAGCTTGGCACTCTTGGTGAGTTATACAGGGTTATCCCCTCGTGGGTAGGTTTTTGCAAAATTAGCGTGGTTTCATTAGTGTATATTATACGAGATCCCATTGAATAATCAGTGTATTTTTGAGTATTTGTTGGTATTAGTGTAATATATAAACCCTAATTAAGGATCCGCGCCAATACATCTATATTAGGATATATTATGAAATTCCGCCCAACATCGAGTTTTCAAACATAAGGGGGTATTTTGACATCCTGAACAACCAGAATTTGATCTCCCTGCCTGTTTACCTTCCTGCTGGCCAATCTTTCGTTTATACTGACACCAGGCACAAACACGCTGTTTTGAAAGAGGAATTCGTTGATGATTTAGATCAGGATTTGATCGTTCGATAGGAAGATTATCATGAATCTTAGGTGCAAATTCAAAGAGCTGTTGATAAAGCTTCTCATGAAAGCTTATATGAGAAGGAAGATCCTTTGCCGGAATCCCTTGCTGCTTCATATATATATATTGAAGCCGGTATGCATTGACAGCCGCGGAATCGATAAGCCAGTAGAGAATAGGAAGCCAGGTTCGATAGGTGACTCTATGGCTAGTATATGCTGCCCGGTATTGATTTGCTAGGTCTACCCCATTCATATTATGATTATAATCATCTATAATCAATGGGATTTTCAGCTTCTCTTGTGGTTGACCTTCAAAGACTTTCCTAACAATATTGGCATTGGTTGAGAGTTCCCCTGGGCATTTACGAGTACGTTCAATAACTGCGTCCAATGAATGAATCGTAGTTAGTGCCAATACCATATTATTATCTTGCCAGGCAAGACAGAGAACATTCTCTTTTTCAATGGCATGCAGGGTATTCCAGGGTATGGAATTTGAATGCTCTCGAAGCTCGCCTAGTACTGCTGGAACCTGGTTTGGACGAGTGGTTCCACATGCTCCATACCCCTGTTGACGTAGTTCTTTGAATAGAGGAACTGATGTAAAGTAGTTATCCATATAAATTGAATAGGATGTGACCGGCTGTGCGATAGAGATTTGATTAGGGGTGGCATTCGGCGTGGCATTCGGGGGGTTGATATTCGGCGTGGTATTCGGGTTGATATTAGGGCCGATATTAGGGGTGATATTAGGGGTGATATTAGGGTCGGTATTAGGGGTGGCATTCGGCGTGGCATTCGGCGTGGCATTCGGCGTATTCGGCGTGGATACCGTAGGAAGCCGGTTCACCAGATTCACCACCATAGATCCGGTTTTTGTTAATGTAGGGAATTGAAACATAGGCATTATACCCTGCCGGCGGCTAGACCAGAAAAATGTCCATAAATAGCCATGTTCTGATAGGCCAAATATCTTATATCCCCGAGGAATTGGTTTATTAGGCATCTTGTATGTATGTTGACTCCGTCCAAAGCATTTAACCATAATCTCATCAATAGAAATCTTGGAGCCAGGGGTGTAGTATTTTCGGCATGCCATATGGAACTCAGTAGCCAACGGCTCTACCTTATACCACCAATCATCCTTATTTTTGGCCCCCGGGCGGCGGGCTTCACGGGGGTTAGATATATGGATATATCGTTTAAGCTGTTTAAAACGCGTATGGGTCATATAGGATTGAACAGAATGAATAGGGCCCTGTTTCAGATCATTCCGCCAGTATAGATCAGTTCGATGGGATTTATGAACCCCCATATAGAGAAGAATGCCTATAAAGACCTTTATCTCCGCTGGATTGGTATTTTTCCATGAATATTGTTGGATAGAAGGCTTTGAGGATATAGAAATTTCAGAAATCTCTATATCTTGAGCTTCCTCATCCTCCTCTATTTCTGAAAGCTCTGGAGCTTCATCATCAGTATCTCTAGCATCTTTCTTTAGTTTTGCATAGAGATTAGTAGAATCACTGATATTTTGAAGGCTTTCCTCAGAGAAGAATAGAGTAAATAAGGCATAAGGACTGCTAATATTGATATTCGCTGGAATATTAAGAATTGGATCTCGTGAGGCAGGCAGTATTGGATGGAATTTCACTGATTCTAGAGGTGGAAGTTCTGCAATAACCTCTTCAATAGGCCGTTTTCGTTTTCTTGACATTTTTGTATGAACTAGAGAATAAATTAGTTAGCTAGGTCATTTGAATTGATTAATATAACAAAATTACCATTGGATTTAGTAGGTTTCTCAGTGGATTCCACGTTCGCAGGTTGAGGGGGTTCCATATTCGCGAGGGGGGGGTGGGGGGGGTGTTCCATATATTCCTGAGTAGGGGTTCTTTATATTCGCGGATAGGGGGTTCAAACGCGTTGGATTCTCAACGCGTTGTTGAGATCTACATGGGATTGTTCATCAGTAGATCTGAATGACCAATTATCATTCATATAAAATTATATGGGATTCTATTGGTTATGCCCAGGCCGCCGGTGCAGAATTCCATACACTAATTGAAACCACGCTAATTTTGCAAAAACCTACCCATGAGGGGATACGCAAAATTTACCGAACAGCAGGCCTTTTTCGGCCATGCCTGCGTTTTATTGGGTTTGTAATAATATAACCATACCGGGCGCGATGCTGCTTCATGTAAAAATTGAGCTGCGAGAGAACCTGGTTTCCGGGGGACCCAATTGTCTGTATTACTAGTCAGTCATTTGTAAACTAAGAGGTCAGCGTTGACAGATATTAATGGTGCAGTTGTTACCACGACATGTAGTGGCTCGGAAGACGACGAGGTTTTATTATTCATTTATTTTGATAATAGTTCGTTAGTTACTTATGAGGCAGAAGTACTACCTGATCTTGGCGCGTTTGCATCGTCTGTTTGCTTATACGGGGTCAAACTACTAAGGGAATGGTTATTTGGCGACTGGACTTCCCTACCACACCCCTGAGTCTTCCTTGTAACTCTTATGGCATCTCTGATTGCACACGAATGCTAGACCATAAATTTTATATTTTGGTCATTATTTATTCATAATATCTCCGCGTCCTCAATCCAGCGCCATAGTTTTCTGTCCGCTACAAACCCTCTGCTCATTACCGAAGCTAGAGTAAGCTTTTTTGACAATGTATGTCGCACGGGTTCCACATTAGAAAAGTATGCCTTCTCATTCCGTTCAATATCACTTGATGATTGATCATCTGCCGCGAGAATCTTTTCCATATCCAAAACCGCTGGTTCGCCATACTGTTCTTTAAACATGGTCGGTATGTCCGACATTTGCTGCCCGTATATTAATCTGTAAAGCTCCGCAAAAAGGTTATAGTCCTGTAAGGCATCCAAATGGGTCAATCGTGTAAAAAGCCGCACCTTTCTGGTCATCTCCCAAACTGTCTGATGAAGCGTCACATTTTTCTCTCTCATAAAATATTTTGCGACCCTAGCTCGGAATGCGGAGTCAAGGGCAGGCTCTATCTCATCCCTTGGATGAGGTAAGCCCGGTGTCGCAAGAAGCATGGCAATCGGCACAGACGATGAGAAAGCCCAGTCGATAATACAAGTGATATTGTAATCTTCGTCAACAAAGATGTTATTAACACTAAGATCAGGATGGTGGAGAGGATATCCAGCTTCAAAACTGCTCATGGTCGCGTCGGATTCGGTCGTAAAGGACGGTATCATACTCTCGAGAAACTGGCCAGCGATAAAATAGTCCAATCTGTTCTTGCTGCTATCAATTTTTGAGCCAAGTGTGACGAAATCGTTCCATTTATCAGTTGCAGATAGATAACTGTCATAAGAATTGTATTCCGCCGGCACGGGAACGGGAGCGAAGAAGGCGTGATGTTCTAACGTGAGAAACTGTATATGCTGGAGAAATGCGGATAGAAGTGACTTATAGTAGTCCTTCTCACTGCAGAATGGTCCCCGGAAGAATTCTTGTAATGTATGTCTGTCTTGCAAGAGCAGTCCAGGCGAAAGGCATGTCTTCACACTGAAACAACCCTCCTCTTCAAACAACGAGCCCATCGTATCAAACCGAAGGTGTGACAGTTGTGATATAATATCCCCGAGTTGTCTCATAATCTTCTCTTTTTCCTGTTGTTTAAGACACTGGCGCCGAGCGGTCTTTGGGATTTGGTAAGGTTGCGGGTGCCAACTGCGAGTGCTAAGGGGAGAGCCTTGGGCTTTGCTCATTAAAATGAATGGCACTCCGATTTCATTTAACCTAGTAGGGCTTTGTTCCATTCAGTAAGGTAAGTTAAAAGGAGCAAGCGGATGACATACCTGTAGTAGAACACTTCTGGAACAGGAATGGAGCTGTTCTCTCGAATGTATTTGATTGTGGCTGCCTCGCTCGCAAGTACAACTCCAGCAGTCTCCTCATCTAAACTGTAACATGTCCGAGGGGAGCGGAATACCCATTCCACACCATCATCAAAGGTGAGAAAAATCACCCAATTTAGGCTACCGCTTCTGGGTCTTTGAGTCAGGTCACAAGTGCAAGGTACATTTCGTAATCGCTGGACAAGGTGAAGAAGTGCAGAGACATCGAATTTTGCATGTAAGAAGACTGGCGCGTTATGTCGTTGATTCGACATTTTTGAGAATTTGGGTTGAGAGGAAGCTGGGGGTTCGCAAGTGTTCGACCTTGTCACCAAGTTATGCTTCGCAAAGGTCGAGGACAACAGGTGTGAGACAACCAGGTCCTACCGCTTTGGAAATTCTGCCACCCTAAGACCACTTCGCGGCCTTGGTGCTTGGCAGCTTGCTGTCGCGAAATTAAACACGATTGTCTCCTCAAGAATCGGAAGAGGGTTGGCAAAAATCAAAATGCCTCGACGACAGCAGCCTGGGACCCCTCCAGGTCTCCCTCCCATTCCTGCTGGTGCGTACAAGAAATCATATTATCCGGCTCTAGATACGGTCTATTACTTAAAAACTAGTGAGGCTCATCATCTCCTTAAGTGATAATTTTATCTAACCGTCGCACAGCCGACGACGATGAATGGAGCAGAGGAACAATAAGTAATGATACGCAAAGCACCAGCCTCCACACAGTAAGGACCAAGCCCACCAAATGGGCACAAAGAATCAAGCTTATCCTTCCAGGTGATAGACGATGCCACGGGAGAAACCTACTATGTTTACGTGCAGTATATTCGTAAAAGAGCCTCATGGGATTGAAGTGAGACGAGCTTCAGTTGTTACCGATGCGGAATATGTCTCCTACTCATCCAGATCGAGTTCCAGTTGCCCTTTCTTATTATTAATTTTACTGTTCCAGAGTGAGGGTAGATGAAAATCGACTTCTGCTGTCATTCTTAACTTGACAATTTCTATGACTCACAGGCCATTGCTCTTTTCCCACATTCTTAATGATGACCGAGTAAAAGGTTTCCTAGTACCAATGGTCGCTTCATATCAATTTAAGAGAGCATCAAGGGGGGGGGATCACGTAGCAAGGATGGAGAGAACCATGGGTGGCCCGGGTCAGTCCAGTATCGCAGCATTGCTTGATGAGATCGTCGGAAAGTTTTCATTCCGAGTTATCCCTGTCATGCACTCTGACAAAAAACGCGTTGGGGCCTAACGTAGCGCTTAATCCATCTCGCCCTTTTTCCATTCAGACGAACTCCCATCCAGCAACATAAAACGACTCACCCCTGTTTGCATTTTGAACATAATACTCCGCTCTCCGCCCACTTTTAACCACCTCTTACCCTGTCTCTTCTAGTCGACATGGCCCAACGTCAAAATCAAGGTGTGCGCTATTCATGTTTTGTTACCGGCCTACTTTGACTGACCATTGATAGGAAAGCAACCTCAAGGGATCAGGAAACGATCACAAGAACCTGTCCGCAGGAGCTCGCGCCTTAGAGGCCTCCACGAGCAAAGTCTATTCAAGTACAGGAAAACTGAGCCAACCCATCCACGTCCTCTCCGACTCGCAGCACTCTCAGAGAAGAGGCATGTTGCTTTCCTCGTGCTATACTACGCCATGAAACTAACTCAAAGCTAAGGTCCCACGAAACCCGCCGGCACCTACGCAAGCTAGTATACCTCAAAAACGAGATCGCGAGAAGCTGAATTTCCATCCTTCCTTCCAGCTAAGCACCCGCAAAAGCGACAGCGAACATCTCTTGCAAGCGACACTTGTAAGGACCATACCGTTGAGGACACAGCTGGCCACGAGGCGACAAGTGGCATCAGTAATACCGATATTGACCCAATTGAGTGTTGGATACAGAGAGGACATTGGCCCGAAAAGTATTTTAAGGAGCACGGCAGTATGAATTCTCTGCTTGCAAGGAGAAAATCTACGTCTTCTCTTCGTCGCCGTAAGGGATCGGAATCAAGCGATGCCACTCCCAGTGACCAAAAGCCTAGAGAGCAAAAAAGTGCTCCATACAAGAACCCGCGTTACCGAACTTTCCTTGAAACAAAAGGCAGCTTCATGGATAAATCCAGTCTCGGCATTACGGATGTGAGCAAAGCACTCATAAAGGCCTTACTTGATACGGATCAACCAGTGCATGACGAGTCGTTATTCCAAGGTCACCTCTTTGATGCAACCTGCCGGAAGCTCGCAGGCAAAAACGAGACTAGAGTAATGCTAGATATTATGCGATTGATTGTTCCTTCTGCGGAGATTCTGGCAACCTATGGCGCCACCAAGCTGGAATGCTTGGTAGAAGGTGTCAATGAAGGCTGGAATAAGAGCATACCTTTCTACGGACCCCGTCCACAGCCTGACTATTCTGTGGGGTTCAGGCGGTCGGCATTCACAGAAGACCAACTTGAAAGGCTCAAGCCCCTTTGAGGCGACTGGGATTGTTATTCGTTCTTTATGGCAACAGATACTATGCACTTTCCATTTCTGACGTGCGAGGTAAAGTGTGGTGAGGTGGCGCTTGATATTGCAGACCGACAGAATGCTCATAGTATGACTCTTGCTGTGAGAGGCGTAGTTGAACTCTATAGGGCTGTGAAGCGTGAAGAGGAGCTCCACCGGGAAATCCTCGCCTTTTCAATATCCCATGATCATACAGCGGTGAGGGTCTACGGCCATTATGCTGTGATTGAAGGAGACAAGACTACCTTTTACCACCATCCGATTCACAAATTTGATTTCACGACCTTGGATGGCAAGGAGAAGTGGACAGCCTGTAAGTTCACAAAGAATGTCTACAATATATGGATGCCGATTCATTTTGAAAGAATCTGCTCGGCAATTGATCAGATACCGCTGGATCTCGATTTTGATGTCTCACAGACGGATCTTCAGTTTGCTCAACAGTCAGAAACCGACTCTTTCAATGAGAATGACAGTCAATCAAGTCAGGCAAGTTTTATCAGTTCGACAGATGTTACCCCGACAACCTCTTTCAGTCAGCAAATAGTCTTCAAAAAGCCAAGGAAGAGGCGGTAGTGCGGAACGTAAACAAGTTCTTTTGAATAAACTGATGCATGAATTTTAAACATTCAGTCAATAGTTAATGAGAGATGTTAGAGTTATCAGCTTGTGTGAGCTCCTGGGCATATGGGGATAGAGGGCAATGAGGAAGCAGACCGCTTGGCTAAGCGGGCAGTCTCATCCACTGCAGCCCCAGCCTATGGTCTCGAGGCCACACCCACAGTCAGTGGGGTCCGCACAGTGGCCAAGCAGCTCAGCCAAGAGGCAAGGCGAAAGTGGTGGAGTGGAGCCTGTGGCAAGCTCTCTGACTGGTACCGGGGCTGGAGTTTCAGCAGGCCGACTGTGGAATACCAAGTGAAGGCCCCTCCGGAGCTCACCATGCCACGGCATGCCCTTCACCGCTGGCTCGCACTCCGCTCCTCTCATGGGGACTTCTCCTGGTACCACAGGCGTTTCCAGCATGCAGATGCGAGGCTCACCTGTGTCTGTGGACACAACAAGAGCCCAGAACATTTGGTGCTCTGTCGACACTCACAGAGGCACTTTCTTCACTGGCCCAAGAGGCCAGCAGCACGGCCACACAACCAGGCGACAGCTGTTGCCTATCTAGGGTCTCTGACCCCTACAGACTTTGTAGAACTGCTGGACTGCACGCAGTTCTACACACGGTACTGCACAAGGTAACGCAGCCGGCTGGCTGCAAACCATCTGACAACCCCCGCAGCAGTTCCACGAGGCCGGCCTGCTGAGTACACCCACGGTAGCTAGTGCAACTGCCAGGGACATCACAGTCTATGCAGACAGTACAGATAGCACAACTAGGCTCATCTGTCTCAATTAGCTGTGGTGTAATCAGTACAGTCTACGTGTCTGACTCAGCTGATATGGTTTTGACTGCCGGCATTGTATCTACGCGTGCTCTGCTTTGTTTTCCTCTCGTTTGCCCTTGTCTCTATCGGCTCAAATGCTTCTTCTTCCTTCTTTTCTTTGCTCTCTCTGTCATTCTCTGCTCTTTTCCTTTCACAACCTTCTGTAGTGCTCTCTCCTCTCTTTTCCCCCGGGTCTGTGCCATGTCACGTGACTGCAAGGTGTTGCAGATGACACAGTCTTTCCTTCACCTCTCTCTTTTATTCTTTTCATTTCAGAACACACACTTTCCCTCTCTCTTTTATTCTTTTCATTTCAGAACACACACTTTCCCTCTCTTTCTTTCATTATTTATCTTGTCTGTCTTTCTTCTGATGTTAGAAGCACAGACAGCTTTCTGATCAACTGAGAGAGGTATCCCTCTCTGCTCACTATAAAGCCTTCCAGGCACGGCAGCGGCGGTCCCCTCAGGGAACCACACTATAGCCCCACCATGAATGGCCATACGTCGGGCCAGAAGTGGATGCGCAGCTCAGAAAAATCCTTTGCAATGAGCTGAGTCTTCTCAAGGGTTGCCACCTGGATTCTGTTTTCTCTCTCTCTCTGTGTACATAGAAATCTCTCCAGCGTAGCACGTCTCCATGCCCTTCGGGAGGCTTCTGAAACACGGGCGCTGCCCGTGTTTTCTCCGGGACGTTAAACCTATACATACATACATACATACTGAACTTTGAATTAAAGAGAAGAAGGCTTGGGAAGAACAGATTTATCTTTTCTAAAGAACTTTCAACAGCTCAGATCAGTCTGAAGCACTGTAAAAAATTACTTCATCAAAATTCCATCTCAAAGTTCAAGAAAAATAGTATCATAAAAGCAACATTTCAGGGTGTGAAGAAGCAGACTCACAAAATTATCTTGTTTGAAAAGCTGTTTGATTTTTTGATAATTAGTGCATATTTAAAGATTTTAATATCATTCAACTTTCAAATCTAATCTCATAAAACATAATCTTTAAGAACTTTTTTGATGATTTTAACAATGTATAACTTCTGTTTTTGACTCAATCAAAGCCATCTTTTTCCAGACCTTTATCTGTAATAATAAATTGAGAATTCTAAAAGTATTTTCATCTTGATAATGTTAATGATATTGCTAATTATATTGCCCTACAAATGAATATCGGATATTAATTGCTTCTATTTTGCTTCAGATTTGCATAAGAAGGAGATAAAAGAATGGAAAAAGAGAATTAGTGATCATATATAAATCTAAAATATGCAGATGACACAGAAAGCTGAAAGCTGGTCAGTTGCACATTATATCACTGTTGATTGAGTTACTTTCTTTTTTTTTTGCTCAGATATGAGCATTTAGATACGCAGATTCTCTGTGTTGAAAGGTTCTCAGATCACTGATCATCGACCAGTCTTTGAACTGAGTCATAATATACTCAGAGCAACAGCCTAGGCCTTCAGACTCGGTGAGATGAGTTGTGTATAGCTTGAATATACTATCATAATAAGTTGATTTAAGAGTATAAACATTGTTGTCATAAGTTGATCTGTCTTGTTGGTATGACTGAAGAGCATCCATACCCCGAGCTTCTAATGCGCAAAATAACATCACAAAGTGCTGGTGTGAGGTGGAAATAGATGTGAGCTATGCAATTTCATGCTAAGCTGATTAATGACTTTCTGTTGTTTTCTCTACCTTTTCTCCTATCAATGTCCCTATTACAAAACTATGATCGTACGAATCTAGTACTGCAGACAAAGCATTTGCTATCTAATAACTCTTTATATAATCAGTGAAAAATCTCAACTATATGATCCACAGATCTTTGACTCAGAAGAGAGATATTTTGAACAGAATCTGTGTCCACACAGAAGAGTTTTCCACTCTGAAGAAATGCTATAGCATATTGAGCATTGACATCAATGCTCCAGCTCAATGACCTTAGCCTTAAGCCTGTGGATATCCTCATTGTTCCCAATCAGCTCTGCAGAGTGTTTGATTTTTAGCTCAGTGTTCCACTTCTTCAAACACTGCACTTCTTCTTGTAGATCTGTGATCTTCACAGACTCTGCTTCAAATATGGTGTGAATTTCTTGATTTGCTGTCGCCTATTCTAATATCACCAGAACTACTTTCAGGTTGAGCATTGTGCATTTCTTCAGCAGCTATAATGTTGTGGATGCGGAGGAATTGAGGAGCGCTGAGCCATCAAACAGAGCCTCATACTCCGGGAGGCTTGCGTATCAGGATGGTGGAAAGGGGCGTTGATGCGGGATGTCGCTCCGGGCTGCCAACCAGGGCCGGGGACGCTCGGGTATACCAAGAAATGGGGGGCAGTCACGGGGTGCTCGTCTCGGGTTCCAAGGTTGCTCTCCCCAGGCATTGAGGGCGAAGACTGAAAATAGAACTCATGCAGCAATGGCGTCCCTTCCACCAGCTGTCGCATGCGGATCACCGTGGGGAGGGACAAGAGGGTAGGTATCATTCGGCTGTGGCTGCGTACAGTAGAAGAGGAGATTGCATGACAGTGTGATGGACAGGCGGGCTCGGCTTCTTCAGTTTTATTCAAGGCCACCCTACCCTCACCTGCCTACCCAAGGGCCGTTAATGAACGGCTAGGAGAGGCCACCTTAAGGCCACCTTATGATCGATCATGATATCACTTTCATGTACATGGACATGGAGTAGCATTACGTCTCACCCGTTGCAGATTCGGCTGTGACACTGGTGGGTTTGACTGTATGCATTCCCCTCTCCTGTTTCTGAAGTGTAGACACCCGCTGGCGCAGTGCTGATTCCGTCCTCTCTGGAAAACACCTCTCTATCTCCGGCCAGGGTCGGCGCTCCTCCATCATGCTCAGGAGCTGTGTGTCATCCTCGGGGAGCCATCACCACAGCCTGTCTCTGTGGCCCTTTCTCCCCTCACCGCGCTCATGCTGAGTTTTTCCAACCTTGTGAGGAGCTGAGCGACCGGTTGGCTGCACACTCTCATGCAACTTGCCAAAGCCTCTTCAAACAGTTAAGAAAAGAACTGCAGATGCTTGTTGAGCTGTAGCAATAAAAAATAAAAATGAAGAGCTGTGGAGAAATCTTTTATAACTGATGCAGAGGTAATATAAAACTGCTTTATAATTAATTTTTTTAATTGTTGTGGCTCTTACTTGCATTTTCTGAATTGTTCATTGCTGAGAAAGTCATCACTTATGCTGTAGAAGCAAAGCATATCAACATCAATATTACAACAAACAGAGTGAATCTGCTGATGATTCAGAATATGAATGTTATCATTTATTTAAAAATTTCTATTTCAATCATCAGACCTCTTTTAGAATTTTTAATAATATTTAAAAATATCACAGAATATAAATGAAAGACATTCAGAATATGAATAAACAGTTTTTGAATTTGCAAAATCATCATCTTGCTGAATAAACTGATGAAGTTCATTAATATTTTAAAGCATATCATTAATAAAAATTGCTAAGTCAATGAAAATATTGTTTTGAAGATTTAAAAGTTTGAAAAAAGCTTTTAAACTATCATCTGAATTGATTATATTCAGTGATAATGAATCAGCCTTTGTGGCACCTCTTTCAAGAGAAGGCAGTTCAGTCAATGTATTAGAGATATTATTTTAAACATTATAAATAAAGATGGAAGGTGAATTCTGAATGTGATATGTCAGATCACAGAGAGATAATGCATCATATTAAAAATTCTCTGAATTGAATGGTGATATGAACATCTTTTTTGATTGAAAGAGGGCGTTCAATAATACACACAGTTGATTATTACTGTTAATAAACATGTAAATTTCAATCAGTGGCTTTGAAGAAAGCTTATACTTGAGAAGCAGCAGAGTTTTGAGAGAAATATCACAATATAAAATTGAGAGAGAGGGTTTTCTGAATTCTGAGATGTGAGAATTGAAGTATTTACACAGTGAGAATGATTTAAAATGCTACAGTGTTCACAATTTGAAATTGTTTGTATAAAATGTGAAAATCATCTGAGTAGAAGATTGAAAATATGAGAGAGAAGAGAGATCATAAATCAGAAATGAATTATGTAATGAGTATACTTCAATTAACAATCTAACACTATTTTAAATACAGATTATGAATTGATTAAGAAAAGACAGAGAAAAGAGATCAGAAGAAAAGGTTATATAAAGAAGATTTTTATAAAAAAAAGATTAAAGTAGAAGAATATCAGAAACCACTTCATAATAAAATGTGAAGTGAAAGAATGTTAAGAGCTACATGAAAAAATCATTAGAAATTACACAAATGCAGAGTATGAAATAAAAGAACATTAAAAACTACACAGAAGAATTGTTAGAGACTATACAAATGCAAAGCATGAAGTGAAAAAACATTGAGAGTTATATGAAATCACGATGACAGAAACAAATAGGTGCAGAAGAGGAGTTGATTGTGTAAATTAACTATTAATAAATGTTAATTCATCACATTATCCTCTTCAACTGAGATGAGTGTAGACTTGTAGATATTGAGAGTGGCGGTGTTCTTCAAGATGAATACAGGTTGTCAGATCGGACGATTGTATTCTACTTATTTGATGAGATATTCACAGCAGTGGTGATTGGTTTTATTATCAAGAATTGCTTTGATTTCTCATTTGAACTTGTTATTTTCTTCTATAATGATAAGTCACAAGTGGCTGGCAATTGAAGGTTCTCTGTGAGGGGAATAGATCCTCAGCCGCAGGTTGGAGCAGGTTTATATGAAAGACATTGTGAATGTCAGGTGAAGTGTTGAGTTGATAATTATATATATCTAACACTTCCTTCGCTGTATACTTGATATGACAGTAACTTAGTGTATGCAAGAGATGGTCCATTTTTATATTTCTGAAATTCAATCAGATTTTATTTTTTATATGATATTGAATTGCAAAATTTATTTTGATATTTATTTGGTTTTCATAATCTTACTGAATGCTGATTATTGAAGCTTCTGCTCAATTATAAGCTTTTTTTAACTTGCTCAAAATATTTTTTACTGTTTGTATAAGGCTGTGAGTGTATGCAGTTTATCAGAAAATTTCAGAGAAGTTCAAAACCTCTAAATTATATCTGTGTAGAAGGAAGAATAAGCTTATGCCTGTTGTGACAGAATCTCAACTGTTAATTGCAATCTCAGTGTATTATGCAAGCTCAAAGTGTGCTGACGAATTGACTGTCTTTATCTGACACAATGAATGAAGGTAGATCATGTATATGATAAAATGAGTTTTTGATGAAAGCATCTGCAACTACTTCAATGTTCATCTTGACACAGAGCTATAGTATTACACCCTTGCTGAGTCAGTTGACAATAATTAGAATGTTTGTAGAATCTCCACTTTCAAACAAGGAAACTGCAAAATCAATAGCTATATCACATCAAGTTCATTCAGAGATAAGTAAAGGCTTCAGCATCTCTTTTCACTATTCATATCATACTATCACTGAGCCACAATAATCACAGTTGTATATGAATCAGTGTATATTCTTCAACATATCTGATCAGTAATAATTTCAGATGATAATGTAATATATGATTTCATATTCTGAGTGCTCAGTCATCAGTGAATCATGACTTTCTTGCATGATTCATATTTGTAGAGGTTTTGAATCAGAGACTCATCATCTATTTTAAAAGTGTAAGCAATTGTCATCATCAATTGAACATGTTGAGATATTTGTTTTTAAGTATATATCTGTGGGGAATTGAGATGCTCTGCTTTGTATGATTTCAGCAGTCGGTTGTCAGAATTCATCTGCCTGTGCTGTTAATCTTCATTGTTTTTTAAATGAGGGCTTTTAAGTTTAAAATTGATTGATACATATACAAGATTCATCTGGTTGTGTAGAATCTTTTATAATTGCAAAGTTGATTAATCAATGCTTTTAATGTTTCCATTTATCATTCAAGTCATCAGATGATATATTTTGTTCACAGCAGAATAAAGCATTCATAAAAATGTTCTCTACTTTAGATTAAAAATGAATTGTGAATAAAAAATAATTAAAAAACAACAATTAATGCATATGTTTTTCAGTGAGCTTACAAGTGATTGTGAAGTACTCTAGATTTTTATAATTAATAACAATCTCAAATCTCTCAACATTTACGAGTTCAGACTTTCATTTTTCAAAATATTATATAATCATTAAAACCTTCTTATTGTAGATTTTATAATTGCATTCAGCAAATGATATCTTTTTCAAAGTGAAGACACAAAATTGTAGAACATCGTCATTATTATATTGCATCAGTATCTCATCTACTATATAATCTGAGATATCTATTTCAAGAATTATATATTTATCTGAATTGAATGATTATAGCATTGAAGTGTTTATGAATATATATTTCAGCCTTTTGAATGCTGCGTCTGCTTCATCCATTCATTGAAATACAGTGTCTTTTCAGATCAAATTCATTAGTGATTGTATGATATCAGAGAATTTCTTGATGAATCTTCAATAAAAGTTAGTGAACTCTAGAAAACTTATAACCTCTTATACTGAGACTGATGTCTCTCAGTTGAGAATTGCTTCCATCTTCTTAGAATTCATATATACACTTTTTTCAGCTTTAATGATGAATTCTATATAAGTTGTAAATTTAATTTCAAAGTTGCATTTATCAATGTCCATCTGCAGTCCAGCTTTTCATAGACAGTCAAGCACTTATCATATATGCTTACAATACTCAGCAAGCAATCCATCAGTGAAGATCAAAATATCATTCATGTACAATGAAGCGATCTCATTGAGGAGATCACATAAAGCTCAGTTAATGTATTTCTGAAATGTACCCAAAGTATTCATCAATTCAAAAAGAGTTACAACCAATGCTAGAGCTGATTTTGAAAGACTTCAAAATATTCAAAGAAAAATCTCATTCAATTGTTCTATTCATCTTCACTGGGTGCCTGCTCATATGGGTATATATGGCAATGAAATGGCTGATAAAGCTGCAAAAAAAGCAACTGAATTAGAAGTCTGCTTTCAAAGAATTATATTATGAGCTTATATTAAGAGAAAAATAAGAGAATTATATTTGCAAAAATAGCAAGATATCTGGTTTTTACAAAAAGAGAGTGTACATTATTCCAGGTTTAAAACTAAGCCAAAATGGAAAGCTTGCTCAATAAAATATAAAAAGAAACTTTTTGCTACAATAATGCAGCTAAAGCTTGGACATGGTTATTATAAATCATATTTAACAAAGATTAGAAATGATTTAAATAATGTATATTCAGATTGTCTGTTATATGAAAATCTAAAGCATCTTCTTTTACTTTGTACAAAGCATACAGAGTTAATTTGTACAAAGCATACAGAGTTAAGATTGAGATTGAGAGAGAAGTTTGAATTGAGACAGTTAAATTTAAAACTTTTATTCAATACAAAAACTGGAAATGAATTTTTGATTGAATATTTAAAAGAATCAAATATTGCTACAAGATTTCAATTAAATAGCTTGATCTGATAATGAATTCAATTTTTATTTTTATTTTTTTCTTTTATTTCTATGTATTTACTTTAATTATTGTTCTTGTTTTTATTTTTATTTTATTACTTTTGTTTTGAAATTTATTTCATTTTGATTATTTTTAATTTTGACTTGTTTTGAAAAGTTTGGTTTGTGAATGCTTTCTTTTCTTTTAATAACTGCTGTTTTTTATACTCTTTATTTCATTTGTTTTAAATTGAATGTATTGATCTGTTGTTATTCTTTTGACATTCTTTTCTATATTGAATAGTTTGAATAGTTGTTTAATTCTGGGCTAGAATTCTACTATTGCATGTATTAAATTGATTTTGTATATTAGCTTATTTTTAAGTTGAAAAATCCTGAAGTATTTCAGGTAAATGTCATAGTCACTGACTGCATACATCTATTGTGGCGTACTTACGCCCCTACCCACCCCTCGCTGATTCCCAGAGCTTCCGCTCCACCCCTTCCTTCTTCCGCCCCTACTCAAGGCTTCTATCCTTCCTTTTATAACCCTGCGATCGCTCCTTCCGCAGGAATCAATCACTGTAAATAAACAAGCATGTATATATAAGGGCGTCCGCCCATCTTCATCTTTTAGAGAATCAGACGTGTATTATCCTACTGAGCTGCGTACGCTACATCTATAATGGAATAATAATAATAATAATAATGAGATGTTAACAGCAATAAATACAATCTCAATATTAAAAAATATAATAGTAATTTTTTACATCTTTTTAAATAATCATCAAAAATCTCTTTTTATAATGTGAATGAGATTTAATTCAGTTCATATATTCTCATTAATTTATTTGAATAAACTTTTTTTAAAGATTCAAACATCATCAGATTCAGCAGTTGTAAATGATAAATAAAATAAAAAAAAAAAACTATCAATAATATTCAAATTTGATTTATATAATTGATGAATTTCATATTGATATGAGAAGAATGATCATTCAATATAAATAATTATCAGCTGTAATCTGTTTTTATTTTTATAAAAGAATTGAATATTTACTGCAGTCAAATAAACTTATATTCATCATTATTGCACTTTATTTTCCGAGACAGTAAAGTATACTTTATTCTTTTCATCATCAAAATCCTTCAATCGGATATCTTACATATCACATAATTCTTCTTTATATATAAAAACAAATGAAAAAGCTATTTCATCTATGCAAATGATTGTAAGTAATGAAATGAATTCTCTACTTTCATTTTAAAATACATCCTTATTGTGTTTGAATTTGAGAGGTTTAATTGAGACAATTCACTTAACAACTTGTAAAAAATCTAATAAAAAATCTTTTTCATCAAAATTATAAATATTTAAATATTTAATTTTATATTTTATGATCTTCTTCTGCAGTTGAATAACAGACAGTAAGTTAATCATCAATTACATTAAAAATCACAAAATTATAATTAAATGATAGTAATATAAATATGAAATAATGATTGAAATGTAAAGAGTTATTTACAGTTTTTTTTGAATGATTAATTATTTGTAAATAAATACTCTGAATTTGATTCCTATAGTGTTGATAGAAATGTTACATTCAATTTTATTTAATTGACTATTTGACAATCTCTTCAATTAAATTTACAAGGATTTGAAATGTAACAACAAAGTCACACTTTATTAGATGAATTATATGAGATAGAAGGATTTGCTTTTTGAAATCTGTAAATATTCAGTAGAAGATTGAAATAGCTTCTGATTTTAAAATCTGCTGATCTTTGAACTGCTGTATCAATGTAATACAATTGATTTCATATTTTTTGACAGTAGTAGTGTAATTAGAAATCAATTCTTTATTAAGTTCATCAATTGCTAACTGAATAATGTGTTCATTGATCATATTACATGTTGATGAAGAATATGGATATGAATGTTGAGGATGACAAAATTAGTGATCGTTAGGTGGGAGCGGTCGTTAGGTGGGTGATCACGTTAAGCAAAACCGCGATCGTTAGTGATCGTTACCTAGGTAGGTGGGTTGATCACGTTACTATAGTTAGGCACGTTTTCTATCTCCATTCAAAATTGAGTGGAAGATTCAAACCAGATAGCATCCCAGCTCCTGGTTATTGGATAGTGTCCATAGCACGCTTAAAATGCCTCCTGATAAGCCTAATATCGATCGACGACATTTGCAAAGCAATGGGATGACTTACACTAAAATGATTCTCCCTAAGGAAGGAAACGGAGATCTTCCAGATGATGTTGAACTATACAGGCAAGCCCTTTTAGACTTCGGTGGCTCGATACCTGACTGGGCCGAAAGTCCCATCAAAACAACATCAAAGGCACGTCTAGTTAGAGGTTGTGGTGAGGACATTAAAAACCCCCAAATATCTTCGCATGATGACTCCACCCAGAGCCCTGTATTGTCTGCGGATTTGTGGCAGCAAATAGAGCACTGCTTCAGCATAGCAAAGAAAGCTCAGAATCTAGCCAAGGTACATGCTCCGCAGCCCGAATGGAAACATCTGCTGCGAGGCATTTTCAAACGGTATAAGGACATTTCCCCGGCTGCAGAGAATCAACAGTAAGTAAGCCTTCCACATTCCGAGATAGCACCTTTGTCCATCTAACGGCTGAATAAAAAGGAAACTGTTTGAGCAATTTTCTCTGTACGTATCCTCTCTCCCCCAGAGGCTGTTGGGAAGAGACCTTTAATTGTTTTATCTACCCAGGGAGGAAAACATACTGTGGGATGATCAGAAGAGATCCACGGAGGATTACCCGAAGCCGGATTTTACCTACGGATACACAATTAACAACGATATCCCCGTATCCCTCCGTTCAACAGAAATTGTGACGAACTTCTCCCTTGAAGTGCTCGGTGACCTGCGATCTGCTGGCCTGATATCCTCTCCGATTAGAGGCCTTCGTGAATGGGCAAAGGACAAGGCCACCAGCCTATCTCAAGATCAGCTCATTTGCTTTCCCTTCGCAGTGGTTGAACTCCGTCCCTGCGGTATTTCATTCTTGTCTGAAAACGAGTCCTGCTATTCTCAAGCGGCAAATGGGGCATTAGCTGCCCTACGGCTTAATGAGAAGCTCTGTAACTGGGCTACGGCCAGCTACGATTCTGTTCCACCAGTAGTGGCCTTCACATGTGTCGGAGAAGAGATCAGAGTCTGGCTGGCATTTTCCGAAGTAAAGGATAATATTCATCTGAGTCGTGTAAGTAGTGCTCCTTTTGGTTGCATAGGCTTTATATTGGTACTTTTGCTGATATCTATTCATTCGCATTCAATAGAGGATGGTGTGCATCTGGGAAAGCAGTCTGTTTTCAGGCTGGGCTGTAGTCAAGACTTGCTATATAGTAAAAAATATGTTACTTTGGGCATCCAGAGTATGGAAGCCGAACGTTTCAGGTCATATCAGCCGAATACAGCAAAACAAAATTTCGTTCCTGCTTGATAGACATGTCACTCAGGCGTCCTTCGATACAAGACCATTTGAATTTTCAGCCAAGAGCACAAAACCTACGTCTCCCAAACCCCTTGCCGCAACGAAGCCCCTATTGTTTGAATTTGGTTCTCAACGGCCATCGCGTATACAGGAAAATAACCAGGGCCCTCGATTGGATAGCTCGGAATTTAACTTTGGCGCGCGGCCATTCATCCCCCCCAAAATGAGCAAAGCCATGGATCTGACAATTTGTTCCCCGGGAAGCATTTTCACGAACACAGCTGAGAAATCTATAAATGACAAACCACAGAAGAATTTCCGGCGTGTCTGGCATAGGAACAAACATATCACCGTTAGATTGCCGCCGAGCGTCAACCATGACCGAATTGTGGAACCCAAACAAAAACAGAAGGATAACGAACAGCAGCTATCGCACTCTAGTCCCGCTGCAGAAACGAGAAATACAGCGGAAGATCAACCCACAAATAAAATATTTGGAAACTTTCATAGTTTGGGGCATGCTTCCATGCCGGAATCATCTGCTGCGGTGGAGAAATTAAGTGGGCAAATCAACTTGTTAGGTTTGAATGAAACTGTGCAGACCGCCTCCGGTATTCAACCAACTAAAACAAAAAAGAGTCCGCCATCAACAGATGTAATCTCAGAAGCACTCGACAGGGATAGTCGAGGAAAATCCCAAGGCAAGCTTCCGATGATTAACTTGGGGCAACCACAGCGGAAGACATCGTCCGTTGGTACCCCTAACGCGGAAGCAGATTCTAACCGTCCGAGGAAACAGGGCGATGAAGCCACCCAAGGGGGTTCTGAGCCATTGGGCAAAGCATATGAACGTGATCACTCCCCTCCGCTCAACACCAAGGCGGCAGTTGATGGTAACTCTTCGTCCGCTGGACCGTCCAAACTGAGCGCTGGTGAAGGACAAGAAGCATGCCCTGACATCATCGAGGATTTTCGAGATTCTCCAGACGAGCCTGAGCTTATGATTGGCGCATGCCCACACTATGGAAGCATGGTAGCTGAGTCACTCCAGTTGCTGCGAGGCAATGAACTGCTGCGACTAAACGTAGTATCGAAAATTACCCTTGAGCTCCAAGGCCTCGAGCTCCTTGATGTGACTTGGAGTGTGCTGGAGCTTTGGGTTGCCCAGCATACAAATGCCCCGTCGTCGCCATGTGAAGCGCTGGAAAAGATTATACGGGAGCTCAACGACGCCCTGGATTTGCCAGGTGCTATTATTACTGTGGAAAATATGTGGGCAAGCGAGCCAAGTACGTGGGAGAATATAGATCGTGCTCTGCAAAGCATCCTACAATCGGATGAGGCGAAATTAAAGAATATAATGGCCTGGGCAATCGAATGCATGGATCTCTTGGAAGGCCTCGAGCTTTGTGATATCCTGAAGTTTGGGGAGCTATCTTGCTTGGAACTGAAACGCATGGACCGGGAGATTATTGATATTCTTCGTACCGCGGAGGCAGATGAATGAGGCCTCCACGGTTGTTATTTAGGCTCAATAAGCACAGTCAGCGTTTCGCTCAACTCTTATGGACATACAAACGAGCGAGACCAATCCTTATTCGCAGGGTTAATGTGAACTGTAATAATGACAGGACCTGACGCAAACGTTTGTGACTCATTTGTGACTCATTTGTAACTATGTGCGTACGAACCTGTTGAATGTCAGTGATGAAGGGGGGGTTTACGGATATTGGCCAAAAACAGAAATGGCTGCACGCTGCGCGTTGCACTATATCATTGCACAATATCCGTTTAATAAGCCTTTCTTTTAACCCTGTTCTCGCACGAAGCTTTACAAAGTCAGCCCCCCGCAAGGCTTGTATTTTTTACACCAATGAAGGACAAAGATAATGTGAATCCTACGTATATATATCTCTCTTGAGGAATAGGAGGCTACCTTAAGGATTGATCCTTTTTGGTATAGTGGTAAAGCCTTCCTACAAGATTGCATGTTTTACAGATGATGCCGACGATGCTGTCCATGAACCAAGTCCGCTTCGAATTTATCTAAATCTAATTTCTAACCCCTAATCACTAACCCCTAGGCACTGACTCTTTTATCCTCAGTGGGTGAACAAGATCGTGGTAATTTGCTTCGATGTAATATCATATACATCATTCACACACACACACACACATATATATATATATATATATATATATATATATATATGGTACATAAGCCGGTGCGCGCCAGACAAGCATATTTGATCAAATATCCCAAAATTTCGATAGGGCCTTGATACAAAGTCGACTACCAAGATGGCATCGCAAGCTACCGCTCCCGCCATCATCGCCAGCTGCAAACAGACACGCTTCCATGTGCGAGGAGATGCGGATTCAACAGAGGTACGAAAGCCCACTAGGCCCAAATGGAAAAAAGGGAAACCAAATAACATAGTTACCGCGTAAAGATTGACATCCAAGGCCTCAATATCACCATCATCCCTTCTGGCCCTGACCCCGCCATCTCCGAACCGGCCGACAGCACAAAGAGCAAACCAGCCAAACACCGCGGGAAGTCGAAGGCTAAAAGTGACGGAGTTGAGATTCTGTCAAATGCTGATTTACATCTGAAGGCGGGCGTCCATTATGGTCTAGTGGGGAGGAATGGGACCGGGAAATCGAGTTAGTTGGTGCTTCTAATTCCCCACCCCAACGCATACATGACTCCGATTCAGTTGAAGCTATTATGAGCATCTAATACGGCAGTGTATCTGGATGGATGCACGGCCGTGCTTACTTTATTGTTCTCATGCATAGGGTTGCTTTTTTTTTTTTGACTGGTTTGTTGCTAACTCTATCCACGAAGCTATTCTTCGTGCACTGGCTGAAAAGCTCATTCCCAGTATTCCAGACTCCATCCGGGTGTCTATTCTTCAACAAACAGATGGTAATCAGGATGCGCTCACTGAATATGCCTTATTCGCAACTGATGATTACGGTGAAACTGGGACAAATGGCAGAAGGACTGTTTTACAAGAAGTCATGCGAGGTGATGTGTTGAGAAATGATGTCGAGAGGAAGATCAGGGGTAAGCACTAATGTGAAAATTTCTGCGGCCGTTCAGATGAGGGTGAATTATCCCATCTTTCTTAGACGACGACTACATACTAACATGTACTTGACGTGCCCCATATTTCTTTGGAAATAAAAGTGCTTTCGCATGCTTTAGAAGAGACGGGGGACTCCTTAGAACCGGTACGAGCGATCCGACAGCTTCGTCATGAGGAACTGGAACGGGAACTGTTTCTGGCGCAGAAGAACGCGAGCCTGAGAAGTGGTTGTCGAGGAATGCAGGCGAGAAAGGATCTAAAAGTAATTGAGCAAAAGGTTGCAGAATCTGCAGATTTGTAAGTGGTAATGTCCCCGAGCAACTTTTCGTGAATTATAAATAAACGAAGGCATAGATTGACTGGAAAGGAGTTAGGGTGGAGAAGAATCGGGATGCAGGTGAGCCTTCAGAGATTAAGGAGGAGACGCAGGCAGCTCTAGATCTCTTGAATGAATTGCAATGCCAATATGAAGCAGTATGTTGACCCTAAAAAGAGGAGAAAAATAACGCCCTGGACACATGATATATTAACCACCATCTGCAGATAAAAATCACAAACATCGAGGCCGAGGCACGACGAGTGCTTCTAGGCCTAGGGTTTAAAGAATCGTCCTTAGAGCAACCATTCGAATCGCTCTCGGGTGGTTGGCGCATGCGTTGCATGCTTGCTGGAAGCCTGGTGCAGAAAGCAGATATTATGATTCTCGATGAACCGACCAATTTCCTCGACCTTCTGGGGATAGTCTGGTTGGAGAATTATTTTTCTCATTTGCGTGCGGTGGATGACGATAGAACCGTCATACTTGTGTCCCATGATAGAGACTTCCTCAACAACGTGTGCGAGGAAACTATTATCCTGAAGGACCAGACACTTGCATACTTCAAGGGCAATATTTCAGCGTACGAGGAGGATTTAGGAGCGCAGAAGCTTTACTGGGGGCGTATGAAAGCAGCTCAGGATCGCCAGGTCGCGCACATGGAGGCGACCATTCGAGACAATATCAAGCTGGGCAAGAAGACTGGCGATGACAACAAGCTTCGCATGGCGAAATCTCGCCAGAAGAAAGTGAATGAGAGGATGGGCGTGCAGGTTAGCGCCAAGGGTACAAGATTTAAACTGAACCGTGATCGCGTGGGGTATCACGACTCCATGAGAGACGAGATAGAGGTCCCGCAGGATGAAAAGGGGGTGTCGATTAGTATTCCCGATCCACAGGAACTGAGATTCCCGGGACCGCTGGTCTCTTTGGAATCCGTCCACTTCTGGTATAAGCCCAAAAGCGATCCGATTCTCAACGACATCGACCTGGTAATCCACGTGGGGGACCGAGTTGGAATCATGGGCCTCAATGGGAGTGGGAAAACGACTTTGCTAAAGGTCCTAATGGGGTCCATGCAACCGACACTGGGAACCGTGTCCCGCCATCCTAGAGTAGCTATTGGCTACTATTCTCAGCAGTCTGTGGATGAGCTCAAAGCACTGGGGCGGTCCGAGCCGGTACTGACTGCTCTTTCATTAATTTGTCGCGACGCTAATGGGAGTCTTGGGGAGGGCGAAGCTCGTGGATTGTTGAGTTCATTAGGCCTGATAGGAAGAACCGCATCGGATGTCCCAATCACACAGTTATCAGGGGGCCAGCTGGTTTGTGTTTCCTGTTCCGTTTCATCTCACTCCATTCCGTTTATATTCTCTACGCAAGTAGACTATTTGCATAAGTACTTCTACTCAACAAGATTTGGTTATCTAGGTTCGACTAGCAATGGCTAGGATAATATGGAATCTGCCACACCTATTAGTCCTGGACGAGATCACGACGCATCTTGATTTCCACACTGTAATAGCGCTGATTGAAGACCTCTCATCTTTCAGCGGCGCTATCCTGCTCGTTTCTCATGACCGGTATTTGGTACGGGGCGTTGTTGAAGACAAGCGAGCCGTAGCGGGCCAAGATGGAAGTGTAGAAATGACTAGGGAGCCAGGTGACGACGACGAGTCGAGACGGCGCAGTGTATATATATTGAGGCGAGGGAAGCTGCGTATCCAGGAGAATGGCGTGGAACAGTTTGAGGAGAGCCTGCAGAAGCGGGTACAGACGCTGATGCGGGGACACTGATGCCGATGCAATTGCTAAGTTAGTAGTATTTTGTGCCAAAATAAATCACCGGCTAGCATCTTTCTCTCAGTCTTCGCCATTTCAGTTCCCCTTATTCAAAGTTGAGTGCAAGTAAGTTGTCTATATGCTGACCAACTAACTAACTCTCCCACTCTTGACATGACTACTCGGAAGTGAAAGATGGGGTGGCACAGAAGGGCCGTGATAACCGGCTATGGGCCATGTCCGCTGTTCCGACCCACACAACGCATACTGCAGAAATTGTTAGGCCACTGGGGCAAAAGAGCTTGATCACCACCAGCGCCATGGTGGTTTATACAGACGATCCAATCCAAACCCGCAGCAAAAATACACAGCAGCAGTCACGTGGAGTGGGTCGCTGGATGCGGAGTTGCCTGACTAATCCCCGCATCTCCACGCGGAAGTCGGCCCGGCGTTGGCATCGCAGATATAAACATGGACAGGCTCCTCTACGCCTCATCTCCTCACCGGCAGCTGCTGCGTGCATCCTCGCAGCACGCCTTTCCACAATGCGCCGGATATTGGGGATATAATCAATACCACAATGGCTGAGCTACTCCAGAGACGTTTTCCTCTGCTGTTGTCTTCGTCAGCCAATTTGCGCTGTCGCTTCTCCGCCCCCTGCTGTGTATCTCATTTTCGGCGTCGACGACGGTTCCAGAGTTCTGCAGCGGCCCTTGGTATACAGAACTGTCCGACAGCTCATACGCTACCATCACCATCACCATCACCATCACCATCACCATCACCATCACCTTCACCTTCACCTTCACCGTCGCCTTTGCCCTCGCCATCGCCGTCACCACTTCCATGTACTCCTGACTCGATTCCTGCCTCTCGCGCTTCGAGGTCATCCACGTTGGAGCATGCGAAACCCTTCTCCGACTTCCTGACAGACACCTTCAACAGGCAACACGACTACCTCCGCATCAGCGTTACGGAGCGTTGCAACCTGCGATGTCTCTATTGCATGCCCGAGGAGGGAGTTGAGCTTTCTCCAGCTGTCAAGATCCTCACAACTCCGGAAATCATCTATTTGTCCTCCCTTTTCGTCTCTCAAGGCGTCACTAAAATACGCCTTACCGGTGGCGAACCGACCGTCCGCAAGGATATCGTACATATGATGCAACAGATAGGGAGCCTACGTCGTGATGGACTACGCGAATTGTGTTTGACCACTAATGGTATTTCACTGCATCGAAAACTGGATAGCATGGTAGAGGCTGGGTTGACGGGTATCAACCTAAGTCTGGACACGTTGGACCCGTTTCAGTTCCAACTCATGACCCGGCGTAATGGGCTCGAAGCTGTGATGAAGAGTATCGCCCGTATCCTTGAAATGAATAAGCAAGGGGCGGGGATAAAACTGAAGATTAACTGCGTAGTTATGCGTGGGATGAATGATGGGGAGATTCTCCGCTTTGTCGAGCTCGGGCGCGAGAAGCCACTTGAAGTCAGGTTCATCGAGTACATGCCGTTCGACGGGAATAAGTGGAACCAGGCGAAAATGCTACCGTACAAGGAAATGCTTACGATCATTCGGGAGAAATACCCCAACCTAGAGAAAGTCGCTGATCACAAGAATGACACGAGCAAGACATATCGTGTTCCAGGATTCAAAGGACGTGTGGGTTTCATCACAAGCATGACGCACAACTTCTGCGGAACTTGTAATCGTTTGCGCATCACCAGCGATGGCAACCTCAAAGTGTGTTTGTTCGGGAATGCAGAGGTATCGTTGCGGGACATGATTCGAAAGGAAAACGATGGGCAACCGATCGATGAGGAAGCCATGAAAGCGCTCGGCCTGTTGGAGTCTGCCAAAAGGGCTGGTCAGGTCGAATATGGAGGTCTCGTCAATGAGCGGGAAAGAGAGCTACTCAATATCATTGGCATGGCTGTCAAGCGGAAGAAGGCGAAACATGCTGGCATGGGAGAGTTGAAGAATATGAAGAATAGACCTATGATTTTGATTGGTGGGTAGGTTTTGCTTTTATATATACCTGTTTTGTTTATGGGCATCTTTTTTTTTGGTTCTTCCTGACAGGTCCTTTTGGGTTTGAAATACTGGGACAACAAGGGTCCATCGCATAATGTGATATTGTGTTATGATGAGGCTGCATTGCGTTTGGCTCATGTTTTTGAGACTTGATACCATTTCCATACTCTACTTATGATTTAATGGAGATATGTCCGCTGCCTTGTACCACGCTTTGCGTTGCTCCCACTTTATGTCATCCATGAATCAGCCGATAGTGCTAATGGATGGCTTTCTTATTCAGATGAACATGGTATTGCAGTCAGTGAGACTTCCAGACAATCCCTAGGGACCGCGCGCTTAAAAGGCAATACCCATGGGCATCTCGGTAAAACATGCCCGAGTCCGCTTTGGTCTGCGATTCCCACCTATCTACTCCACAACACTTCCCTCCCACCACCGCATTTCCGCCTCTTTTCAACGAAATGCTCCGACAACACAGGCACACCACTACCACCACCAACCACACAATTACCAAAAGCCCACTCGTCCACCAAACCCTCCATCCCTGATCTCCCAGTGGCCTCCGACCCGTCCCTGCCGCACCTCACCCCTTCCCAAACTGTCCACATGACCTCCATCTCACATAAAGCTGAGACTACCCGCGTTGCCACTGCCATGTGCCGCGTCATCTTCTCCAATCCAAAGCCGTACTCCCTCCTAACGACGGCGGAGGGCTATACGAAGAAAGGCGACGTGCTCTCTGTCGCACGCATTGCAGGGATCATGGCCGCGAAGCGGACGGCAGATTTTATCCCGCTGGCTCACCCAGGGCTGGGGATTACGGGAGTGGAGGTTGATATTCAGGCATGCGCGCCGGAGGATGCCTTTGGACATCCAATGTCTGATGGGGAGGTTTTGTCCGTGAACAACAGCAGCAGATCAGCGCCAGCTGCTGTGATGACGACAGAGGAGTTGATAACCTCCGCCGCTCACCCGCACGGCAGCATCGTGATTACCGCGACGGTATCTTGTCATGGACGGACGGGCGTGGAGATGGAGGCGATGACTGCGGTGATGGGGGCAGCATTGACAGTGTATGATATGTGCAAGGCGGTGGATAAGGGGATGGTGGTGGGCGAGGCGAGAGTGGTGAGGAAGACTGGGGGCAAGAGTGGGGGGTGGGAGTGGGGGGTCAAAGTTGAGGATGAGAGCGGGGAGGGCTAATGGTTTTCTTTTGACTCTGGGGTCTGGATTTAGATTGTGCTGTTGGAGGTGAGGGTTGTCTTCGATACGCCAGTGTATATAGTAGTGAATGCTTCAAGGACGTGCGCGAGAAAATGAGGCTGCGTGATAAACCCTGTATATTTTTTAAAAGGGGAATATGCATTTCTCGAACTGAAGCGGTCCTTTCCTTTCTGAATAGTGAAATCCCCATCAATAGAGATCGAAAATTTAATTGCAAAAGGCCATTGCCACTATCGTTAAACAAAAATATAAAATCATCAAGTTGGCCCATCTATCCCGCTCATCTATCCCGCTCACTCTTCATCACCAGATGATTCATCCATATCCACATTTCCATCCTCCTGTTCATCTTCCTCAACCTCCTCCCTATATACACCATCACTATCGCCATCGTCATCCCCCATCTTCACATCCCCCTTTTCCGCGCGTTTCTTCTCATCATCCCTCCGACTCTGCTCAAGCAACTTTACCCGCTCATCCTTCTGCTTCCTCTGCGTCTTCACAAACGCGCCAAGCGGCGTCGTTTCCCACTCCGCATCTTTCAAGAACCCCTCAACCTCCGCACGATCCTTGGGTGCAAAAGTCACTTTTGACCGCCGCTCTTCAATCCACCGACTATTCGCCTCCAGCTTCTGCACAACTAGCACGATCATCTGGTTGACTTTTGTATTTTTGTTTCCAGAAGTGCGGGAGGACATCTCTTTCAGCCAACGCTTGAGCATGACGATTACAGGAAGCGAGAGTTCGGGGAAGGCAATGTTTTTGGCCCATAGGATGAAGAATTCCGAGAGCAGTTCTGCAACTTCAGCACCCACTCCATCCTGGTAGACGCGGGTTCGTAGGTAAGATTTGGGGGCACGAATGCTTGTAGCGAAATCGAGGGGGCGGAGGGTGGTGGATTTTGGAGGCTTTCTCATTTCGGCGGAGTTGAGGACCTCAACGAGTGCGGCTCCAAGCGGGATGTAGGTTCCTGTCGTAAGAGAGATACGGAGGAGGGATCTCGTGAGCTGGAAACGTAACGGGAAGTATTGTGCTGTGGGGATCAGACGCATCGCTCCGAGGGTGATTTGGACTACGGGGTAGATAAGCGGTCGAAGCGGCGATGCTTTGCCCGCAGTGGCTTCTACAACGGAGTCGCAGTGAGACGACAAAACTCTGGACCAGAAGTCCAAAGAATGGATGTACTGCCAGTTATACACAGTCTTGTAGGAGTCCTTTGAAGGCTGCGTTATGCTGCTTCTCAGATGCATGGCCAGTTGTCTGATGAAATTAAACCCGGTGGTATACGAGATATTCTGGTCGATCCCCCAAATCTCAGCTGCAGAGTTTTTGATCAAATTTACGCCGGGGAGTGTGTGCGAGGTTGTATTTCGGCTGCCTTTAACCACCCCTTCGTACGTTGCCTTCAGGACTGCAGAGCGAATTCCAGCATCTCCAATCACCATCAGGCGACGGACGATCAGAAAGGCGGTGACTCTAGTAGCTTCTGTGCTAGCGGAATCCGACCAGATGCCGACGACGGTTTTGAGAATAACCCTTAAGAGCTTTCTGAATGGGAGGAGATAGGGAAGCATTGGCTCAAATGATGCTAAGGTCAACTTCAATGCGGCTGTGTCGGACAGATTTGTAAGAAGCTGATGGATAGAAGATGCGTAGGACTTGATTAGAGGGGTCAAGGTTTTGAACTTTTTCGAATCCATCGAAACTCTGATTTTCCCACCGGCACTCTCTTTGGTAGGGAGGTGGTGGCTTAGAATCCTAGGGACGTATTCCAATGCCGTGAGAAGCACCTGGTGGTAAACATCTGCGTCTGAAATCGTGTATTTCCGTTCTTTGGAATCCGCTTCACTCATGAACGCAGCTGATCTGAAAGCTAAGACCACTTGTCGAGTTGCCCTCATGGAATTTTGCTCAATCATTGATTTCTGCCATTGTTTAATCGTCAACAAATTAATCGTATTGACCGCGTCACCGGCTTCGGTGGCTTCAGATGCCTTGGTCTTCTTTTTCTTCTTGGGGAGTGCGTCGTCTTCCTCTTCCTCACGATCACTGAGTGCATCAACTTCAGCGAGGTCTCCATGGTCCCCAAATTCTAGTAACTCCGCATCGTTTTCCTTAAGGTATTTGTAGAATTCGGGATCTTTATCCTTCAGACCCTCCAGCTGTTCCATATGTGCATCGATGTCGTCTGCATCGCTGGCCTCTGAAGCGGTATCATCCTCTTTGTTATCGCTCAGTGCAGGTGATTCCTGATCTCCTTCTTGTTTTTCTACCTCCGCAGTGCGTTTCCTCTTCCCAATCTTCGGCGCTACCTCCCTTTTATTGGAAGATTTCTGCCTCTTGCCGGGAGTGGGGTCTGGTACATCGAATCCACCAGCGAAGAAGTCATCCACGTTCATATCGGCAAAGGAATTTCCCCCGCCAGCTGCTGCAGATTTCCGGCCATCACCATTCTTCTGTGTCTCCTCATCATCAGATTCGCCATTTCCTTGTTTATTCTGCCGTCTCTTTTCTTTTAGACGGTGTCGTTGCTTGACCTTTGCGAATTCCTTGCGGCGCTCGATAGTCTCCCTGAGATGCTTTTTCTCAAACTTCTTGGTGGCCTTTCTCGCAGAACCTACCATGGCTAAATAAAATGGACGGGGACACCGAGGTAATTGGCCTTATCGATCGCTGTGGATATTCAAGTATGACCAATATACCTAATTGTTGTGTTGTGTTGTCTTCCGCTCTTAATCAGAAAAATATTTTTTTCTCGGCGCAAAACTTCGCACGGACCACTGGCCATCCTTAGCTAATCCGGCAGAATTTCCTCATCCAACACCAAACCTTCCATCACAACTCCGTCCACGAATGCAGACAAATTCAACCATGTATCAACGCCCGTTGTCTTATGCACCTACGCCATACAGTTATACTCCCAATATAGCGCTATCGGCGTCTATTAATCTGGATGAGGTACGTTTCTGATCCATACCTTGGTTCTCATCCTGACCGGTATGGTGCATCGGAACAGGAAGTAAAGCTATCATCCAGCTCCGCAGAAAGAGACCTCTTCGAATCTTTAGCAGAGATATATAGTATCATTCTGACTCTGGATGGGCTGGAGAAAGCCTACATTAAAGATGCAATTACGGAGTCTGAATATACCGAAACATGCGCACGGCTATTGAAGCAGTACAAGTCCAGCCTGAGCGATGAGACCGTTGCCAAAGGGTTTGTTGATTTAGATACATTCAAGCGGACCTGGGGGGTATGTGGTCTGGCATTCCCCCTCCTGATATTCATTACAATTCCATACATTTCCTTGCGTGGCTAGGAGAGGGAAATCTAACTTCGCGGTAGCTAGAGTGTCCCAGGGCAACAGAGCGACTAAGAATTGGTGTTCCTGTCACCGTTGAGCAGGCATCTCACAGTGCTGCATCTGCACCCAGCAATCCCAACACGAGTACATCAGGCAGTCTGATTCTGGCGGCAACGGAAAATTTTATTACGTTCCTAGATGCTCTGAAACTGAACATGGTGTCGAAAGATGCTCTGCATCCACTGCTTTCTGAGATTATACAATCTGTGAACAGAGTAACCGATCAGGACTTCGAGAACAGAGGGAAGATTATACAGTGGCTTATTGCCCTTAATCAAATGAGGGCGACGGAAGAACTGAGCGAAGACCAGGCCAGGGAACTGGCGTTTGAAATCGAACAGGCCTATCAGGGCTTTAAAGATACATTGAGTTGAAAACATCCTCAATTTGATATTCCTACTTTATTACACAGCCTCTACCGGTAACTTATGGGCTTCTCTCCATCTAATCCCAGAGGTAGAATTGATGGGGTTCCGCTTTGCCTTTTTGAGAATATCCCCTCCTTGGCGAATTACGAATTATTCACCCTTACCATAGCCCGCCGTCATAATAGTCTGCCGCGAAATGCGGTGCCCGACTTCCAATTTGAGTGTCAAATACAAAATGGATATATTTTTTCTCCGTTTTTGTTTGCTTCCAACCACCACCACTCTCCTTCATTCTTGTGTGGATTCTACAGATGTTAGATACGCCCATTGTCATTGGGGAATATCGAGGTTCGGGCCGTCATGATAGGATCTCAATTTCCCCCAATTACGACGAGCACATGTGGCCGGGGGCTTAGTGTTAGGAGTTGTAACAATATCAACTCTGGGAGCTAGATCATTAGAACCAGCGCTGATTGAAGATGACAGCGTGATAGCGGAGGTATGGCTAGTTGGTAAAAGTCCTTGAATCGGTGATGATTCAGGAAAATGACGAACAGATGTGATCGTACTTCGTACAGTCTTCTTGGTGGGATCTGAGGACTTAGTCTGAGCTTGATGTTATGTCTAGGACCACATTTCAAGAGTTCGGAGAGCCACCGCTTGTGGAACTGTTTCAAGACGGTATGAAGGGGGTTAAAAAGGCGTAGACAGATTCGTTCAATTTTTTTTTTTTTTTTTTTTAAAAAAAAAAAAAAAGAGCCAAGTTGCGACAATGGCTTCTTTTTCAAGTGCCACACCATTGTTTGGGACCTCCCGGTCCAAATACAGTGGTTGTTCTAACTTGCAAATTGCTTCAGAGTGCGATCGTCGCCGTTTTTTTGTTCCTGAAATTTGTAACCCTTCGCCCTGATCATGAAAGCCGCTGATGCTTGTATTCATGATTGCCGGTTTTGCAGGGGTCCGCTCTGGTGCCAACAATGCCCCCTTCTCTCGCAATATGATTGAGAGGCATTAAAGTCGCGGCAAGTGACCTAATAGCCGCTCAGGGCTTCTTTTTGATGTTGTTCCCGCATATTCTGCACTGTGGCACCGGGCGATCGCCAACTTATCGATAAGGTTTCCACGCACGGACCACATTTTATTTTTGGCAGCACTATAATTTTTTTTTTTTTTTTTTTTTTTCTTTTGGGTGTTGGAAAGTAATACGTTGAAATACCAGTATGCGCTGTCCTGTTTATACTAGTATTCTCTGGAATATTACTTTCTTTCAATATTCCCCAATCGCCAGGTTGCGATAATCTGTTTGATTAGCCAAGTTCTGCTGCTCAACGCTCGGGTACATACCACCACAGAATGAGCAAACAGTTACTTCCCAGCGATTCGAAGCCACAGATGCCGCTTCATGGTAGGTATCTTGGATTTGGTGTTCGTAATTGGTGACTAATTGTTCCCGGTTGCCTACCTGTATAGTCTTCGACCTCCCACAACTTTACACAAAACCAACGGCAACCGATATCCTGCGAGCTTTAGAACGACTGGCTGTTAAGCCACGCAGCTTCAACTACAACGATGGCAACGCTCAACTATCGATCCTCCAAACCGGAATTTCGCAGTACCTAACGTCCATCATCGCCAGCGCATTATCATGGATTGACTCCGACGAGCTCCGTGAATCCATCTGGGACGCCGCCAGCGCTCGCCTCTGTGAACGCTCAGGAAGGGCTGGTAATACGGTTGCTCTGCCGTGAAGCAGTAATGAGTATTAGCTAATGTTATACTAACAAGATAGCTATGCCATCCATCTCCCGCGTCTTCACCATCCCCATGACCCAGCAAACAAACTTTCAGCTAACTCTCCACGAACCCTCCCTCACATCTGATAACTTGGGTATGAAAACTTGGGTCTCCTCCTACCTGCTCGCCAAACGCCTCCATTCCTTCCTCACAGTACCTCATTCAATCGTCCCATCGATATCTAAGATCGACCGCCGCCTCCGCGCTCTCGAGCTGGGCTCTGGAACGGGATTGGTCGGACTCTCCTTTGCGGTCCTTTGGGGATCCGCGGCCTCCATCCGCCTCACGGATCTGGACTCCATCGTACCCAATCTAGCTCACAACGTTGAAATAAATCAAGAGCTGTTGCGAAAGACGGGCGCGAGCGTGTCGACGGGTGTCCTGAACTGGTCTTTGGAAACAGATGCGCGCCCTGAGCCAGATAGCGACAAACGATGCGATGTTATTCTCGCTGCAGACCCTCTGTACTCTTCTGATCATCCGCAGTGGCTTGTGCAGACAATCCAGCGCTGGCTATACCCTGATGCCGGGTCAAGGGTGGTAGTTGAGATGCCATTGAGAGATGCTTACTTGCCGCAAGTTGAAGAATTTAGGTACCGGATGGAGGAGGCGGGTTTGGTTGTCTTGATGGAGGGCGAAGAGATCGGGTTTGATGATTGGGAGGGCAGTGATGGGACGGCGCTGGAGGTGCGGTGTTGGTGGGCCATATGGGGGTGGCGAGTGAGGAACAGGACACTCCCTGAAGCCCAGTACGTACCATGATACGTGATTCTGCGTGATAACTTCCGGGCCGTGTTCACTAAAGTATTCCTCAGCGATGTATAGGGCAATTTGGTAGTCCTCAACTTGTTGGCAAATGGGATGGCACAGAGCCTAATTGCCTAGTACCATGTATTTCTGAAAATAAAATAAAATAAAATAATCGACCGGGAAAAGGACACTTCCGCTTCGGATTTTATTTTAAGAAACCAGGACACTTTCGTTCGCAGGATCCCTTCAGAGCACTGAGAGCAGTGACACTCTGAGAGAGTGAGTCGCAGTTTCTAGACGCAAGCGTTAGATCCAGCCATAGTCTTAAGACGTTCATGAGGAGAGATGATTCAGGCCACCGATGCACGGAATCGACAGCTTAGAAGTTTTGGCATCAGACCTACTATTACTCGAAGAATCTCTCTGCAATGATCGGGACCTCTATCTTCCAATTGCCAACTTCGCGCCATCTTCGAATCGGTGTCTGCCTGGATGGAGCATGAAGCAGCCTTTGAAATTCATCCCTGGGAAACGTCCGGCCTCCATAATTCAAACGAACCCACTAATCTAACTAACGTTTGCCCCACATAGCCGGACCCTTCATCAAGCTCCTAAGGAAAGGCTTCAAGTTGGTAAGAGGTCCCAGCGCTGCTTACGGAGTAGTGTTGCTGATGATTTCTTGTCAAAAGATTCAGTAAAGACTTATAGCAATGCATATTCCTTCTCATAAGCTGCCTTCTGCTCCATCTTCATCTGTACAAATAACTCTAAGCCATCTCGTGCCTTGTCGTCAAGCATGTCAACATGAGCTTTACCCCCGTAATAAACCCTGCCGGGTGATAAAATATTGCATCCACATCCAAGCTCTTCAAATCGTGAAATTGGACCAGAACTCTCCGCTCATCCAGGAGTTGCGCATTAACTTGGAAATGCATTGCAGAGAAATCATCATGAAATATTGTGGAGCTAACTTCCTCCACTCAGAAAAGTGGGATTGATCACCTCTTCCACTCAAGCCACAATGTTGGTGAAACGAATCTAGAAGTTTCTCAGCCTTGGCACATAGGTAGCCTTGTAAACAGATAGGACGACTGTTCTGAAGCAATTGGAGGAGAGGAACAGGATGTTTACTAGTAATTTTTCTTCTCTTGTTTATATGCGGAGACAATGAGGTTGTTCCAGCACAGGGAAATATGGTTGTTATGAACCACTTGGTATCCAGTGTCTATCTACAGAGTGCTCCGCAAGTCATTTTCAATCAATCGTTATATATATTCATAGAATATTAAACCATCTGACTTGATATAATATCTCTTTCATAAATCACTTTATCAAAGAGAAACAGTACGAGTCATAACTCCAACAAATTTCCGCTGAATCAAGCACTTGTACCACCGAGCTATGGTTATAGGTCTCCTCACCCATATCTTTCATCCCAATCGTCATCAGTGTCTGCGAACGAGTGAGCGACTAGAAGAAATCAAACGAACGCAAAATAGACGAAAAGCGCCTCGAGAGATTTTACTCGATGTCCTCTGTAAGGAGAACTCTGAAGAAGCAACGCAGCTGCATAACCGGCGGATAGTGTTGAGTGACACAGGTTTGGGCTAACGGTACAGGATATCAGGGGGTTTGTAGCTGTGCAGGAAGCATAACTGGTCTGAGCAGCGTATGTTGATGGGAGGGAAGATCAGTAGAGGTGGAATGTTGGAGGTAGAAGAGGGGAGTTGTGGAGATTAGTTTTGGAGAGGCGGTTGGTAAAATTGAAGGAAGATAAGGAGGGAAGGGGAGAGGGAAGGAGAAGGAAGGCTGAAGGCGGGAAAATTTCGGTTCATTTGTAGGAGTTATATGAAGTAGTTGAATTCTGGGGATCAGGTCGGGGGCAATATATGTACGTTGCATATATTCGGAATGTTTACTCTTCGATACCATCCCAAGATCCATTATCATTTGAATTTCTTCCATCTTCTGTTTGGCCAGCATGCATCCGCCGTCTGCTTGCCTTAGCCGCATCTCTCCGATTGTGCTCCTTTCGCCTCTCAAACCCACTCTTCGTACTTATCCGCGTGCTTCTGCGCGCCTTCTCATCCTGCGCCCCTTTTTTCGTCATCGGTCGTCGAAGTCTTACACCGTGTTGCTTTAGATCCTTCTTATCCTTCTTTGACAGATTGGGTAATGAATTCAGCAACCATTCCTGGATGCCTTTATCTCCAGAAACTCCACGCAACTTCTCGCTGGCAGCGATAACATTCGCAATATTTTTCACATAGGGGATGTCCTCCTTTGTGTAAAAGGTGACTGCTACTCCACCCTCACGTCCAGCTCGTCCTGTCCTGCCTACGCGATGGACATATGTCGCACTAGAGTTGGGAATGTCATAATTCACAACGCCGTTAATCCCGCGGAAGTCTACACCGCGCGAGAGAAGATCAGTTGTGATGAGGATCCATATTTCGCCTTTGCGGAAGGCCGCCATGATGTCAGATCGTTGCGAATCAGACAGATCAGAATGTAGAACAGCGATACGTGACGAACCGCCAGCTTCAGCAGGGATGTCGTATTTCAATTCAGAATGTAGTGCCACAGCCCTAGAGATGGTTTGTGTGAATACCAAAAAGGGTGCTCGTAGATGGGTGTCTGAGGTGGAACTTGCACCCTTTGGATTCAGAAGTTGTCGTAGCCCCAGAAGTTTCCCCTGTTCGGTCGCAGCGTAGACGAGCTTATGGGAGATATTGGGAATGGCAGTATCTTTTAACCCAACAACTAGCCGGACCAGAAATGATTCATCGCGTAGTCCTAGCGATCGCCGTTGCTCGTTAATTGTTGACATGGCAAGCTCTTCGATACTCGAACCCATGGTCGCAGACCATAGTCCAACTCTGAGTCGCGCATTTGTGCACGCACGCCATACCTCTAGAGTTTGGTCACGGAATAGGGAGTCTAGGAGCACATCGGCCTCATCTAGGACAAGACTTTGGATTGTTGGTAGAGGAGCGATAGAACGGCTTTTGTTACCAGAAAGAGAATTTGCAAGTAACAGGGGAGTGGAGACCAGAATGTCGCTTTTCGTGACGGGAACCTTTCCTCCAAGCCGTTTTGCCTTTGCGGCTTCATCGTCTGCGGCTTCATCGTCTTCATCTTCGGAGATCCCACTTTCTTCATCTGAAAAAGCTTCTTCCATTTCCATGTCTTCCACAACCCGCATTCCTTTCCGCATGGCTGTAATCTTCACACCAGTACCCACCATGAGCTTTCTGCCCTCGTTAACGATTTGTGAGACAAGCTCTTTTGTCGGAGCCAAAATGACCGCAAACAACTCCCTCAATTGCGATTCACCTAGGTGATGATGACATATTATTTTATTAATGAGCGGAATCATGAACGCAAGTGTTTTTCCACTCCCTGTAGGTGCAACAACCAATAGATCTGGTTCAAGCGTGGATTGGGATAACTGAAATCCGTCCTCTTGATTTCTCGCGGACGAGCTCTGACAATCCCCAAGCAACAATGGGAGTGCGCCAAGCTGGACCTCAGTAGGCACAGCGTATCCCTGATTAAGAATGTTCTCCGAAAGCCGTCGAGAAATCCGATATCTTGTTCGCAACTGCTGAAATGACATTAATGGCCGTGGATACATTCTCTGAGATTTCCTCTGCTGTTTCCGGCTTAGGAAAACAGGCGCCTGTTCGCCCTTCTGTTTCTTTTTCTTTTTCCCTGACTTTTTGGTATCTTCCGCAATCACCGGCGGGGTCCGAAGATCCGTTACTTTGATCTTATGCGCCGTTAAAATTGTTTTTCGCTCTTTTATGCTCAATGGGCCCTCGCTGATAACAATCTCATCGGAAACGTTTGTCTTCTTCCCATCATCCTCGTTCTGATTTTGTGTTTCGGTTTTCGCCTGGCCGTTGGAAAAATCATGAGCTGAGGAACCAGAACCAAAAAAGTCTGGAGTTATGGCAGTGGCATCTGCAGATTGTTTATTTCCATCTGATCCTCTCTTCCGCTTCCTTCCTTTTATTTCGTTTTGTTCGTTATGAGCTTCTGCAGCATCCGGCTCATGACGACCAGAAAATAGCTGAGGATTTGCAGCTGCGCCCGCGGATGGTAAGGAATTTGATATCGCTGGCCTAGAAACCGGGCCCGTTTTGAGTTTTGTTGACCGCGCGAGGAGCTTGAACGTATCCATCTCCACACTTACTGCCGCCTAACAACGTTGCATTGTCCTGATGGTTGCTTCCGCTATGGTTTTGCTTCCTAAGGGATCCTGGTCATGGTCCTAAAATTCCTTCGAATAATCCTATGATCACGTGACCATGGTAAAATGGTGAAAATATATCGACTGCTCTGATCACTGAAGCTTGAAGCATTGCATTTGATATCAGATAACCATTGGGCCATCAATCTACTGGAAACTAGGAATTGTGGAAATAATTATTTTAAATGCGAGTGATGTGTGCAAGCAAAGGAAATCTAATTTTGAAGTATTTAATCTGACAGCAAAATTACGTGAGGGAATCCATGGCGACTTGGCAACAGATCGCCTTAGAATTCTATTATACAACTGCAGGAAAATATGGGAATGGATAAAGAGGGAAAAAATGGGAGGAAGAAAGAAAGAAAGTTCGAAGTAAAATATGTTGCAAAGATTTTTAAAGGAAAAAAGCCCAGTTTATCTAATGCGCATGTGCAGTCTCGCCCCGATATCCAACAAGCTTGAATCGGCCAATTATTTCGCCAACGGAGAAAAATCCTATCAACTCTGCAGTCGTAACACCAAGAACGGCTAGTTGCTTTTTATCGAGACTCTGGAGACGGAGAAGAGTTTCTGTGTTGAAAGATTTAGAAATCTGTGACATCAAGGCCCTTGGTTGACGGAAATATTTAAGGAGAGGTTGGTAGAATTCTGTGAAAGTGGTCAGGCCCCTAATTTGTAGCGCGTTAGCTTTGCAACAGAATGCCATATTCACTCCCATTCGTAAGAACGGATGCCAGTGAGACTTACGGCGGGTACATTTTCTGGCCTCTGAATACTATCTTTGACAACTCCAAGCCAACTTTCGAGTAATAAATCGTGGGGGGTATTAGTGCTGGTTCGAATTTGTCTAGGTTAGCATTCCAGCTGATGAGAGGTTGAGACCGGGATCTCAAGTAAAATAGCGAAAGTGACCATTGACATCCTCAAGCATGGACGATGAAATGGCGATGCCTGGATCAAAATATTGGGTTCTTACAGTCGACGAACGCGACGCATTTTCCTGTTCGTCCACCGACTCTCTTGAGGGCTCCACCAACACCTGTGAGAGCCTTGATAACAGCAGGGCCAGCGGTCGAAGCAGCCTTAGAAATCCCCTCAGAAGCTTTTGATGCAGCGGAAGTTGCGGCGACTTTGGATTTGGAAGCAGCCTCGGCAGTTGTTGACGCAGATCTGAAGGCGGGTCTTCGGATCAGACATCGCGATTGTCGCCAAACGGCTCGGGATGTTGTGGTAGACATATGGGCTGCGGGGATGTGGGGGGACGACCGTAGAGGATAATGAAAGAAAACTGTGAGAGAGGCCCTGGAGGCGAGGATGGCTCTCAATTGCGGCGGGGTGGAGAGCGATGACGGGCTTCGTCCAACGGCCAGAGTTGGATCAATTCGATTTTTTTGAGACTCGAAAGCTTTTGCTTTGAGTCATCAGTCACGTGATTAAAAGCTGTTTATATTTTGTTTCTTCAGACATTAACTTAATCTTTATTTACATTCGGCTATGACTACGAGTATCTTCTTCGGAGCTCAGAAATGTTGAGTCTCGCCCATATATAGCAGCAGAGAGCCTCATTTTCTAGGCTTCTGAAAGTCTACTATCCAAGTGTCTCCGTCAATATCGTGGCATCAGCGTCATAGTGCAATCACATCACTCAAAGTTACTAGCATCCACGCGCAATGACCGGGTATCATTTCGAATTTGGGGTTGGTTCATTTCTTTTTGAAGCACCAAGTTTAGGGTCTAGCTTGGGAATGAATTCTATACAATGGGAACAGGTTCCACCTGAGCTACCAGTGTTGTGGGGTTGTGCTAAGGAAACGGAGCATTACACAAGGACGGTCCCTCTGGGATAGCCGGAGATTGTTAAATCTCGTGGCTTTCTTCTATTGAACAAATATTGATACGTCAATGTTAGAAACTTCGTTATTTTTGCAATTAATCGTTCAGTTTCCGAATGCTCAAGGGAAGCTAATTCCATTCTGGAAACTATTTTTCATCAAGGGATTCTTTCAAGCCTATTCCTGTGGCTCTTTCAATGTCACTGATGCTCTGTCTAGAATATTCTTTCAAATTCATTCTTTCAATACGACACTCACTAGACATGGAATTTTAAGAGGGGTTTTCAATGAGAAAACGGGGTTGTGTTTCTCATCACCCGACCTTACTTCGTATTAGCACGTCCACACCACAGAGGCCACAGAGGCACAATTACACTTTTGGACTTCGGTGATAGTTCAAATGTCCCAAGTAGTATTCGACAAACCGTATCCAATGCCGCGGAAGCAGTCGTGGAAGTTGACTGCACTGCAATGGCTACTTAGTCGGTTCGCTCAAAAAGGCAGAGATTCACATCATGAACATACAGGGCTTCCTTCCAGAGGCAGACATCGAACCCCAGGAGTGACAAGCACCTCACAACATTTCCTTTATAAACGGCAGATTTTTGAATCACCATTAGGTTCGGCTTCATTAGAACCACGCCGGAGAAGTCAAGATCGCGATTGCGGGACACGAAAAGGAAGCTCTAGTTCAAGACTACCTGCTGAACCTTCTATAGGACTGTGCCCTTCGACGCTGTGTATTGAACTCACTGCCACGACGGATGCTTCGCAAAATACGGGGTTACGAAGGAGAAACGACAGTCAAAATCTGAGAGCCCTAGTACACAGAGCAGCTATTGCCGCGAAGACCAACGCGAAGGATACATGGAATACAGGTCCTGTTTCTTCAGTCTCTGAAATGCCCACACAGTTTTTAATGGATTTTCTCGATGGCAGGGCCGCAATCGAAAACCTCGACCATTTTAATGCCTTCCTCATTGTCAACCCAACTGTCCAAGGCGACCGTGTCCTTTACGCATCTGAGAGCCTGTGGTCCACTGAAGATTTCGAAAATGATGAATTCTTCTTGCATAATAAACGCTCTGTGGACCAGACAACGGACATCATCACCGAGATCACAGGCAATGAGAATGAGGGTGTACATCTAATGCTATTTGGCGGGCTTGCTTCCATAGGAGGACGCTCCGGCCTTGTTCTCGCATCGCTCATTGACGTAACCGAGTTTCTCGACGCTCTCACTATTAGTGACCTTGAAATTGAGATGCTTATACGGCAGATAAATTCTACCAATTCTCAAGACAAAGGCCCAGCAACCAGCCTGGAAAATCTGTCAGAAACCTCTGACGTCATGCAGCAGCTGGTAAACCATGTCGCTAAAAGTATTCTGGCGCTTTACAAAGATTACTTCATCCTCTCCCAGTCTGCAAAGGCGCCGGGATTTTACGAAATGTCCCATGTGTCGCCCAACATATACGTCGATGGAGAATACGTGACTGACCACTTGAACCATACTCCGCGAGAGGCGATAAGTCGAATTGGTCGGTTGATGGGACAAAGCAAACGGTTTTTTATGGAAGTCAAATGGGGCAGGCATGGGGAAGCGAAGCGACTTTACTGCACCCCTATGCTGTCAGGCAGTCGTCGGCTCTGGCTCTGCTTGCTGGTTGATCCAGCCCATCCAATTCTCTGGAAGGAAGAGTAGATAAAGATGTCCCAGAACGCTGTTGGGCGCTGTCGATAAACTTTCTTAGTCACAATGGGAAATCCCCAAATGAGGATGAATCAGGGCATCTAATGGTGATATCGGCCTTGTTCAAATTTCCCTCTTGTTTGTGTTTCGATTCTCAACATCCCGAATGTTACTCTTTCCCTGATATTGTGGGTCAAAGTGCGAATGCATCGCGATTATCCTTCCATCCTCTAATTTTCACCCCACCACACACCTCCGCACTATCTCTTTCAAACTATGAGTCCGCGATTCTAGAAATAGTTGAGAAAAAATACTTCCGAGTGATCTTGCAATGAAAGTGATTGGTTTGAAGAAGTTACTAAGCCATTGATTTAGTTACACTGGAAGATGTCGCAAAGATATTTCAACCAGCCGCGGATCTGAGAACTGCGGCAATTAAAGCGCAAATAATAAGTTGTGAGGAGCGTGCTGAGGCAGGGTGATGTTTGTATCTCTGTATATGAATCGTGTCTGCAGAATCTGTCACAAGTATGGCCCAGCGTTCGCATGCACCACCTCTCAATGGAATAGGGGGAACATAATTAAATACAGAATCTCCGACGATCAATCGGGGGCGGGATAGGGTATATGGTACGGAGTAGTCGGCGCTGGGTTGAATTTTCCCCCTGCATCGCGGGCGCTGACTTGGACACGACGAGCTGCGAAATCAAGGAGATTCTCGGGGCGGAATGTTGCGTATTTAAATGCGGGTTTGTCAAAGATGTTTTCTTTCATGAGTTCTTCCAGGGTTCGTTGGGATATATATCACTTCCACTTGAGAGAAGGAGGGTTGGCCATGAAATATCATCTTGCGGTCTTGGATTTGGGAGTTGATGGGAAAATGGCGAAAACTGGCCCAATCAATGCTAGGATAAGCCATCCAATTTCGTAGCATCCCGCCCTTGGTAGACATTCCGCTTCTGTAAATTCTCACGGGTAAAATGATAAGCAATCCCACTGGAGCTAGTAGGGGAGGAAGAAGGGGGGAAAGATTGGAGTTATTGGCGACTCTGCGTATGCCTCAAATATTCTATCGACTTCCGACATCCTTTAGGAAAAATTACTCTCTGGACAATAAATAGTTGATGGTGCATCTTTGAATTTCAAGCGTAACATCTAGATCCATACATAACTAAAAGAAGTTACCTACCACGACAGAGAGGTATCAGCAACGAGCAACGAGCAACGAGCAACGAGCAACCTCGGCAGCTAAAAGTTATATCCGTGGATGTATTCCATCGTCTGCTCCACTTCAACGCGGGAAGAAAACACCCCGCCATTTCATATTGCATATTGCAGGTGGGGAGCTGAATGACGGATCAACGAATCATCCAGACCAAGCCATGGCAAGAGTAAGCATTCCTATCTTGTTGGCCAGAGCTTGTATCCCCAACCCTTTTCCCTAGGTCCTCTCCTTGGGTACGCGATCACCTGTCACACGGACGGATGGTTAGTTGCCACCTTGTGGAATCCATTTGCTATGTTTTCCAAACCTACCTTACTGGCCAAACAATCTCCAATTTTTTATTCAATCAATAATAATGCGTTGTACGAACTTTTGCAGGATCATTAAGATAGCTAAATCAAGCAAACAAACCAAACGAGGAAAAGATAAACTTGGCTAATCCTGGAATCCATTATGAGCAGAAGAACTGGAAAAATGGTACACGTGGGAGAGAGCATTTACCGTCCATGTTAAACGCCAGTCAAAGATGACTTTTATTTTTCCACGTTTCCCCGCCCTCTAATTTTTTTTTTTTTTTTTTTTTTTTTTTGGCTTCTTTCGCCATTCTCACCCTCTTCCCAAGAAAGCTGCATTCCCAACAAAAACCACCACCCATCGAACATGTAAGAATCGACATATCGATTTCCGAAAATTTTTGAATAACGAATTTTCAAAGCTCCCCTTCCCCCCCTGGAAGAAAATGCTAACAAGAATAATAAAATAAGAGCAGGATCCCAAAGAAAAAATGGCCAATTGGAAGACATCCGAATTAACACCCAGGTCATCCGTATCCGACCTATGTAGACAGACAAAATGCAATTGATATGTCGAATCAAAAGAAAAAGAAAAGGAAAGGCGCAGAAAAGAGAATAACACAGGATTGAGAAAAAGAATCAAGGATATTTCCGTCAGCCGTCATGCTCCCCTGGAGTGGATCATTTTTTGTTTCCCGCATTTGTGTTAGCGGCAACCCAAAAAACGCCCCCCGCTCACTCGAACGAGCGAGGGTGCTTCTTCTTCTTTCTTTCCCCTTTTCCTCCTTGTTCCCACTCATCTCCTTTCAAACTTCGAAAGAAATAAAATGAAAATTTTGCACCCCTTACCTACCAGTTGCGGAATCTTTTCAATTCAGCAGGAATCAGTTTCTCAGTTCCCCACCCATCTCTTGCTATTCTTCTTTGTTCTCTTCTTTTAACCCTTGGTGGCTTGAAAGTGACCGCGCTGCTGCTCCTTGACTATTCGACAGGCGCGCCAACCAGTTGAGGTGATGTCGATTTTGTGTTATTGATGTTGATGATGTCGCTCCAGTTCCTTCTGCGGTCAAGGCGCCATACGAGGGAGCCGCTAATCGTGGTCCGCGCGGGTGTGGGTCAATGGAAGCACTCCACTGCTCAGCGTTTAGTTGCTTGGCCGTCATGATGCTGTTGATGTTCGCTTCGTAAGCTTCGGGGTGTGGGGTGCTGGTGCCAGATACATCCACAACATCGGTCGCCCCACCCTCATCGCCGTGCATCTCCATAACAGCGTTCCGGATTTCGCGGCTAATTCCCTTGAAAGCATCCATTCCGGCCTTCTCAGCAACATGCACGTGCGTTCGGTGTTTGCCACCCTGTTCAGTTCGGTGGAGGTAAGAGCGCACGAAGAAGCGGAGAAAAAGGAAAGTCAAAGGTAGGAGGTAGATGACGTTGAGCGAGACGGCGAAGGCTTGGCCAGTGGTATCTAAGCAGGTAAAGGTGCGAGACTCCAAGCCATACCGAATTTCCCGCTTCTCCAGCACGGCCTGTGCTGCGCGACCTCCATCTATACCAAATAGTTTCCCATTAGTATTGAGGACATTCTCCGCGATGCCTTGAGCTCCAGCTGCGCGGAGGGCCAGTTTTTTGAGCCAGGGGCCCATACCGCCAGCAGTATCATTTGGTGCAGCGGTAAGGGCGCCGGGGATAGCGGAAGCAAGGGGGCTCAAAGCGACCGGGTGGAGGTCAGGGACAGGGAGCGTATACGAGATAAACAGATAGGAAGCAGCCAATGTAGTGCCAATTAAAAATTGGGTGATCTGCATGGTGGTTAGGCTGCGTTTGATGCTGAAGGGGACGCGAACGGATAATGCAGTTAATGTGTAATAGAAATACTCCAAATCGGTTAGCTTTTCGACAACCCTGTAAGCCTAAGGAGAAGGACGAAATATACATACCATCATAGCGTGAATAGCAGAGTTGAAGAGAGCGAAGATCCAAATAGGAGCGGCCATGTATCTCATTCCAGCCCACATACACATCATGGCGCCGGCGTGGTGGTAAGTCTGGAGAGTTGAACTCTTCTTCCCCTTGGCGAGGATAATGGCGGTATCGATAACTTCATAGAACTTGGAGAGATAGAAAAGCCAGCCGAAAAAGGCCAATCCTTTATTCCAAAGACGGCCGACATCAGTGGGATCTGGAACACCATCAGGGCCCAATGTGTATAGCGGGCTCATCATAGTCCATTTTTCAGCGTTGCGATCATATATGGCAGCATTCCCCAAACCACGGGGACCGTTGACTTTGCAGAGCATATCGACGATGTTCACAAAGTTGTGCTTTTCGGCTCGATCGGGCCAAGACTGATAGAAGGCTTGGGCCATGCCAGCAAAAGTCCAAAGAGAGTAGACGGTCAGGAAAACATTGTGGATGATGACGAAAATCTTGAAGGCTTTTGTTTTACTAAAAGCCCATGGTCTGTTACCCCTTTGCTTATTGACATGGTTCATAGAGGCAACGGTTGTTGCATAGATGGCTGCAACGGTCAAGGGAACCCGCGGTTCTAGAAGTTTGCGGTAGAGGGTCGCAGGGATGTTGAAGGGCTGATTCCATGTGGGCTGAGGAACAGTGGGTGGCGGGATTGTTTCTGGGAGAGGGGAAGGCGGGAAATGGAAAAAGGAAGCGGGAGGGAGGCGTATATGGATGGAGGCGCTCATGGCCGGGAGTTGTTGATAGAGAGATCAGTCAACACAGTCACGGTATAGGAGCCGACTCGAATAGCTTGTTTATCTTGCAATTAGATAGTCGCGCAGCTGCACCGGTCTTGGAAATAGAAAGACGGTTATAGACGAAGACCAGGAGACGAGCAGGTTGCACTGATCAAAAGGGAAGAGTGAGTTAGTGATGATATGATTATGTGATGCTGTGATGATGTGATGATGTTATGATGTTATCATAGCATCATCGTACCTTGGCGGGCGAAGTCAAAAGTCAAATGGGTTCAGCGCAGCTCTCACTGACTGAAAACAACAAAAAAGTAAACAAGTTGAAAGTAGCTTCGAGTCTCAGCAGAAAACGGAGGCGGCTGCAGCAGGAGGGACGGTGAAGAGAGAATGAAAGCAAGAGAAGTATGCAACTTCGCAAGGGAGCAGGAAATGGCGACGCGTAAAAAGATACAATAAAAGTAAGAAGGAAGAGAGAGAAAATCTGCAATCACAAGCCCATCAGGCCAGAGAAAAAGAGAAGAAAAAGAATATGAAAGGAAAGAGGGAAATAAATTTGGGGAAATGAACCAGAAAGCGGGCCCAGCTATCTAAGGACCAGCGGGGACAGCTGGGGAGGATTGTTGGGGCAAGCAAGGGGAGCAAGCATGGTCAGAGCGATTCCATGTATTATCATGATAATACATATAGTATTAATTCAAGAAGAACGAAGCCAGGGATGGGGCCATCTGAGGAGGAGCAGAGACATTGTTGAATTGCAATTAGTAGCACGGAGGAACCTGCAGATATCATTCCCACCAGCAGCATGTTAGTAGTTCAAGGAGTGGTTTCGAAGGGCAGCAAGAGGAGAAAAGAACGAGATAATCCGGGCTTATTGGCCAATCGCGGCGAACGTTTTCTCCTAGAGAAAGGATATTTCTTTGCCTCGAGTTTGGAGATGGTGGAATGAGCGCTGGTGTCTCCGCCAGCTGCTTGAGCCTGTATATCTAACCATCCCATGCAATGGCTTGTGATGTTGGTCTGATCGATGATGGTTTTGTTGAATGGAGGCTGCCTATTCGAGACTAGCGTGGCAGGTTTTCTGCCACACAGCGTTGGCCCTAGGCTACCTGTTACGGACTAGCGCACCGCACATATATCCCACAAAGAGCCCTAGCCGCTGTGTCACCTGACTGATCTCCAGTCTTGAGGGAATGTCGAAGGAAAAAATTAAATATAAAAACGGTGAATTTTGTACCATATACCGCCAAAGGAGACCCTGATCGTCCAGTTTTCGATTTTGGGATTCTGTTGGGGAACCCGAAACCCACATTTTCCGGCAAACTGGTACACGCGCCGGTGTGGTTCCGCGGCGCCTCTCCCGCCCGCGGCCATGGCAATGAATGGACCTCCAAGTCAAGATAAATATATCTTGTTCAGCACAACAAGTGCTTCCTGCAAAACCACAGCATCTACGGAGGTCGGTTTCAAAAGTTTCGTTCAAGCACTAAAAACGCCACAACAGCCACTAGAAATTTATCCCCTCGTCCGTAGGTTTGTGCAAAATTAGCGTGGTTTCAATTAGTGTATGGAATTCTGCACCGGCGCCCTGGGCATAACCAATAGAATCCTATATAATTTTATATGAATAATAATTGGTCATTTAGATCCACTGATTGAAGATCCCATGTAAATCTTAAGAATGCGTATGGAATTCAACGCGTTTGAAGCCCTGCCTGTCTGCCTGCCTGCCTGATTCTCATATATTCACCCACCTATCCCCCTACCCGCGAATATGGAACCCCCCAAACCTGCGAACGTGGAATCCACTGAGAAACCTACTAAATCCAATGGTGAGTTCCTTATATTAATCAATTCAAATGACCTAGCTAACTAATTCATTCTCTAGTTCATACAAAAACATCAAGAAAATGAAAACAGCCTGTTGAGAAGGTTATTGCAGAACTTCCACCTCTATGTATGTATGTATGTATAGGTTTAACGTCCCGGAGAAAACACGGGCAGCGCCCGTGTTTCAGAAGCCTCCCGAAGGGCATGGAGACGTGCTACGCTGGAGAGATTTCTATGTACACAGAGAGAGAAAACAGAATCCAGGTGGCAACTCTTGAGAAGACTCGGCTCATTGCAAAGGATTTTTCTGAGCTGCGCATCCACTTCTGGCCCGACGTATGGCCATTCATGGTGGGGCTATAGTGTGGTTCCCTGAGGGGACCGCCGCTGCCGTGCCTGGAAGGCTTTATAGTGAGCAGAGAGGGATACCTCTCTCAGTTGATCAGAAAGCTGTCTGTGCTTCTAACATCAGAAGAAAGACAGACAAGATAAATAATGAAGGAGAGAGCACTGAAGAAGGTTGTGACAGGAAAAGAGCAGAGAATGACAGAGAGAGCAAAGAAAAGAAGAAGAAGCATTTGAGCCGATAGAGACAAGGGCAAACGAGAGGAAAACAAAGCAGAGCACGCGTAGATACAATGCCGGCAGTCAAAACCATATCAGCTGAGTCAGACACGTAGACTGTACTGATTACACCACAGCTAATTGAGACAGATGAGCCTAGTTGTGCTATCTGATCTGTCTGCATAGACTGTGATGTCCCTGGCAGTTGCACTAGCTACCGTGGGTGTACTCAGCAGGCCGGCCTCGTGGAATTGCTGCGGGGGTTGTCAGATGGTTTGCAGCCAGCCGGCTGCATTACCTTGTGCAGTACCGTGTGTAGAACTGCGTGCAGTCCAGCAGTTCTTAACCCTAAGCTGTTAGCTCTGAAGTACCAACCAATAATTTCTCATACTAAATTCTATGTAATCTGATTTGTTGATACCACTCCACTATCTCGCGTTTTCTGCTCTACGCGTTCTACAACCTTGGAATCTTCTCATCTTGATCCATATTCATATCCACCGTGGATGCGATCACCCCCCTGGCCACCCTGGCCACCCTGCCCACCCTGGGATAGAAATATGACCTCTACAGGTGATTTCCAATTCTTCAATGCTTCTTTTCATCAGATTGACTGATTTATTTATTAGACAGTACAAAAACAGGTGTAAAGCGAAAGCGATCTGTCAGTGCACTTCTAGCAGACATTCCACCTCTGAAGAGTATTAGATTCAAATCCATGGAATCTCCTCATCGCTCTCCAACTGCCAATCTGCCCAATATTGATCCGCGGAATCCATACACCCTATTCTCTCTCTATATCTCAGAGTCTGATATTCAGAATATTGCCTGTTCCCTACGCGGAGATACAGATATCAAGGAATTCAGCCATCAATCCACGGGAATGGCAGCCAACTACTTCTACAGAAATCAAGGTATTTCTTGGGCAGATTATCTATATGGGAGTACATAGATCTCCGGCAATTGGAGATTATTGGAACAGGAATGATGTTCAGGGGCCAGTTCATTCATCAAGACTTCATATGGGACAAAAGCGATTCGAGCAGATCAAGAGATATATTCATATATCCAACCCTCGCAGGCTGGAATCCTCCTCCTTTATACAGAAGCTAGAGCCTTTATACTCCAACTTCCATGCAGCATGCCGGAAATACTACAACCCAGGTTCAAATCTCTCCATTGATGAGATGATGATTCGGTTCTTTGGACGGTCCAAATACACAGTTAAGATGCCTCAGAAACCAATCAAGCAGGGATATAAGGTCTTTGGACTAGAACAGGGGCTATCTTTGGACTTTCTCCATGTCTAATGATAATCTCCGCATAAGTACGATGTTCCGTACTCCAGGATTAACCAAGACTGGATCTCTTGTGGTGGAATTGATTGAACGGTTGCCAGTATTTATACAGAGCTCCGCGGCTCCTGCAGCTCAGAGCTCCGCGGCTCTGAGCTCTCTACAGCACTCTGAACAGCATCTAGAGTTGAATAACAGCAAAGAGGTTGCTGGCTACTCAATTTACATGGACAACTACTTCACCTCTGTTGCTCTATTCCATTATCTTCGAAAGCAAGGAATTGGAGCTTGTGGAACCACCCGTCCTGCCAATCTGCCTCCTCTTCTACAAGAACTAAAGAACTCCGGACTATCCGCTCATATTCCCTTCAATACTCTGTGTATAATACCTCAAAATGAGGTTCTCTGTCTTGGATGGAAAGACAATAATATAGTATTACTACTGTCTACAATTCATATGCCAGACAGCTTTGTTGAACGTGTCAGGAAGCGCCCAGGATTGAACTCAACTAATGGCCCTCAGATCCGGAGGATATTTGGAGACAATTGGCAAAAAGCAGTGGAGATTCCTACCATCATTGATGATTACAATCATAATATGAATGGGATTGACCTAGCAAATCAGTATAGAGCATCCTATGAGACTCATATGCCCACTAATCGCACCTGGTTGACAATTCTGTACTGGATTATTGATCATGCCATTGTCAATGCTTATATTCTTCATCGACTGGCTACTACTGGCACTACTGGCACTACTGACACTACTATATCTCACGTTGAATTCCGCCGGCAGCTCTATATTCAACTCCTAGAATTCTCAAATCCTCTACCTACTACTCGATCAAATCCGGATCTAAATCACCAGCGAATTTCTCTGCCATCTTCTCAAACTTGTGCCTGGTGTCAGTATAAAAGAAAGAGAGAAGAAGGGAATAAAGGAAGAGCTCCAAGATCAAGATATGGTTGTGCAGCATGTAACAATATTGCTCTCTATTTGAAGAGAGGATGTTGGAAGGAGTTCCATTCCAATGATATTAATTAGGGCTAGATCAATAGATTACATAAATTACACTAAAACACGCCAATACGGCCGATCTCTCATATAATCCAGTAGTTTTCGCGTATTTAATACGCTAATGTACACGCTAAAAAATACGCTAATTGTGTCCTCGCGGCCAGACGAGGGGATAGCAAATAAGAGAGAGATAAATCATTGACTTGATGAAACTGAAACTTCTTCAGATTCAAAGAGTTTTATATTATTTGAAGACTGATTGCCCAGCATTTTTCACAGCTCTATCATATAAAATAGATGAGGTTGAATTGAATAAGAACAGTCTGTCTGTCATCACAGTGTTTATTTGATTATTACATTAAAACCACAGTGATTTTAGGGTGGCAATCAAGGTTTGAAAAATCAACACCGGCAGTACGCTAGTATCCACTTTTTGCGTGGAGGATCTGTGAAGCCAAGTATGCAGCAAGGCGAAGATTTTCCCCAGAATCCTCAAGGTTCATCCCCTACCATGATTCCCTGCTCAATAGAGTTTGACTGGTGAACCAGATCCACTCCGCTGAATGGCTGATCACCCCAGTTGCCACACCCATCAGGGTTGTGATACCTCGGCAGGGTCAACTGGACGGAGTAGACTAGCGCACTACTTCGCCACAGTACGAATCGCCCCAACCCAACCCCCAACACTTTTGTCCTGAGAACATTTCTAAGTTTACAGGACCCAGAACCCTATCATGGATGTTCGTATATGTTTTAAGTTTTGTGAGAATAAATAGGGAGGAGCCACACGCAGCTAACCTTCAGGGATCCAAGCAGATTTTTAGTGAGCAGCGAAGCTGTGTATTTTCTGCTATTCCCGTTTAGGATTAATTTACGCTGAGTCATCCTTCGCTCTCGTGAAACCAGCCGTGCAAATGCGCCGCCAATGTACTGTATATACTCCGTACCCCAAGAGCCTTACACTCACTCCGAAACGATTCAAAGAATAGCGGGGCACCAGTGTGTTGGTTGACAGCCCCGCTAACTTCTGCAAATCACATGTGCCTAGAGGGTGCATGACCGAAATTGAGGCTGGTATTTCTCTACCAAGGAAGGTTGCCGGGATCTCGCAGCGAACGTTGAAATGGCGGATCCTTTAAGCATTACTGCCTCAGCCCTGACTATTATTACCACTGGCGTGCAGTCCGCGAAGTGACTCTATGAAACTGTTCAACACTTCAAAGATCGCAACAAAACGTTGCGTAGGCTTCAAGATGAGCTTGAGGATCTCATCCTCACCAAGATTTTGGACTTATTAGCACAGGTGACCAATAATGAGACGTCAATATTGGCGCTTCTTCAAGGTCCTATCAATCAATGCAGCCAAGTATGCTGTGAGTTCGAACAATCAATGAAGATTTTCAGTGGGAAATCAAAGATGGGCTTTCGAGATTGGACAAAAATGGAATTTATGAGAGGTGATATCAATGAGTTTATAGACACTATTGTAGGCTATGAGTTAACAATCTTAGTCGGCCTAGGCACTGTTACTATGTGAGTTGCAACTCCTCCTTCTTTCGCAGACTTTTCTAATATCTTTTCATAAGGCATACCTCCAAAGATTCCCACCAAGTGCTTCAAGTGTATAATGAAATGATCCAGGACACAGCATACAATCTTGAGATCCACTTACAGCAAATTGATGAGAAAATGGCGCAATTTACTTCCCAAAATGCTTACACCTCAGACATAGCGCTGCCCGCCCTGATTGATCTCATACAACACTCTCCCAACAGGATCTACATCAGCAGTTAAACAGCTCGTGTATGCAGGCTGTGTATCAAGATATCATGAACAGGAGAAGATCACTGGATCCTGTTTCAAGAGAAATTTCATTGGATCCGCAGGTGTCTGAAAAGACGTCATAAATAATGAGAGCTTGCCAGGATTCTACTTTCAAACTCTCCTCTGATTTGGTTTACTCTGGCGCTTAAATATTGCATGTATGTGTCTCATCAATTTCATACTCGTACAAGATGATAAACTAGGTTTCTGTCAATATATAGTAAAAGCACCGCCACTAGGAGTGAGAATTACCTCTGCTGAGACCGTCGCTCTTTCTTGTCGTGATGAAGAATAGCATAAATAGAGTGTCATTTTCCTGGGAATTGCCAATTTCTTCTTCTTCCTCTGTCCCGACTTGAAAGCAGAATGCTACTCTTCATTTAACTTTCGCCCGAAGAATCAAATTCCAGACATATCACAAACCCTGTAAGTGTTACTTGTCTCCGTTAGCTGTGAATGACATGCTGACATACGTAGTCTAGCGATACCTGAAATACAATGGCGTCGCTCAGCCCTGATGAACTGAGAACTGTTGTTTCCGCGCTGGCGCAGAAACTTGATTCATTGAACATTGACTATGCCATTATGGGGGGTGCTGCCACCTGTCTGTTGTATCCCGACCCCACTCGCAGCACCGAAGACGTTGACTTGGTCATTCATGTTGATCAATGTATGATCACCACCGACTGTCTTACAACTCAGCTCCTCACATCCTTCCCAACCGATTTCGAAGGAGTTAGCTAGTTCGGGCACACCATTCCCGCATACAAACTGCGCCGACCAGGAGGTGCCACCCAGTTAGTGGAACTAGAAGTATTCGACTACCAAAGCTGGCCGCAACGTCCCCAGCAAAACATTCAGACCGCCACACGGAAGACGTTGAATATCAATGGTCGCGCAGTTAAATTCTTTGGCGCTGAATGGATCCTGCGTGAAAAGATTTTGTCTCAGTATCAGCGCCAAGGTAGTCCAAAAGAAGGAACAGATATCTGGGATATCACTAATATGATCCCTTTGGCAGTGCCAGGCAGACCAGAGCTCGACTTCAATCAAAGCCAGGAGTTACAAACTGCGCTGGCAAATCTTGTTCAAAAGAGGCCAGCCTTAGTCCAGTCTCTGAAGGCAAAGGTCAAATACACCGCTGTATTCCAAAACTAACAAGTTTCTCTGTCCTCCGCCTCAACCCGGTCATCGATCGAGCGATAGAATTCAATGAAGGTAGCAGATTCCGAAATAATCATCCATCCAAGGGTCAAACTACTAGGGAGGGCGAGAGCTTGCTCCATCCGGTGGCCTTCGGGGGGGGGGGGGGTTACGCAGTGCTGCAGATGTTACCGAAATCCGTTAGCAGGGAGAAGAGCATGTAGTTTTGTTGCTCGACGGAACATTAGAGGTATAACATAGTCTTACTATACATCTGGCAGATGATATGAATTCTATTACTTAAGTATTGTCCAAGAAAGAATATCCCGTGTATTGTAGTCAATGAAGGGGGAAAAGCATCAAATAGAATTCCCCCTCATATCTAGTGGTTATATGAAGGTGGACTTGCCTGTGTTCAAACATGTGTTTCTATGATGTTCAGTCAAAACCTTCAAATAACTCATACATGTTCTGTATGGTGAGCTACCTCCTTTAATTGACCATATAAAAGAGGTAACTTTTCTGTAATATTATGTACAATGACTGTATCAGCCCCCCTCTGAATGTGTATTTAATAATTATCATTTCACTAGCTAGTCATTAATTAGTGATCTAGCACTGAATTCTTTTTCTCTGTTTTTGTATTGATTTCTATTCTTAATTTATTCTTATTCCTGCTCATCTACTTTGAAATCTTTGCATTTCTGTACAAGTGAGAAAGATTGATAATGGCCTTTGCTGCTGATATTGCTGTTGAAGCTGCTGCTGCATGAGAGCAGCTACAGCATGATCTTATTATAGAGATAACAGCACGGAGAAAAAATGCACTGAAAATCAACAAACAAAGCAGATCAAAGAATACAAAGATAATATATGCAGAGAAACAAAATGAATAAATGATAATATATAAATTTATTTTATTTCTATTTCTTCTTTATTTTTATGTATGAAGAGAAATAGAATTTGATAGACTAACTTCTCACTGCTACTCAATCTCCACTATTTGTATGATAAAAATGATGTAGTGAAAAGAAGTTTTCAGATGATCAGATTATTTCTGAGCAGAAGATAATCTGATTCTTTAATGAGGGAGTTCTCAATCATTCATTTAAAGAGAGTCATTATAAAAGAAAGCATATGAATGCTGAGGGAGAAAGATGGTGTAGACAATAGAAGAGAATTGAATTAAACAATATCAAACAACTTTTATTGATCTATACAATATACAACAGAGCAGATAGAAGAACTCTCATTCTCATTCAATTGATAAGATTTTGAATGGCATGTTAAAGACTCACAGATTTATGAAGCATATATAAAGATGTACAAAATTTGTGAACAGAGATGTAGACATTCTGATGAACAGTTATATTGAGCTGAATATGATAAACTTTATACATCAATGCTGAGAGAGATGGTAGAGAAATGGAAGGTATACAGTTGAGTCTTTTCTTCATACAACAGCTGATTTTTTCATGAATCATCACATATTACTGGGAGAGCAGTTCAGACAGAACATGCAGTTGATTAATCTATTTACAATTGAACTGTTAAATGAAAAATCAACATTCTGCTGACCTCTTATTCAGATTATGAATAATAGCAAGACAAATCAGAATAACAGACTTGAATATTCAACTGTCATATAATATAAAAGTTATATTCTTTATTCAATGTCACAGATTGCATTTTATCTGTTCTACAGATGGAATATTATATAAAAGCCTTTGTTTAAATTTCACTACCATCAATTTTGATACAATATTCACTTGCTCAAGAGTGAAAATCTGTACAAGTAGAATTTTTACAGAATTCATCTTGAGTGGACAAACAAGCTCTTTACATATGCAGACGTGCCGGGGATGACAAAGAAGATTCACACTGAACGATTCACAGATGCACAGAAAATAGAATTTAATGAAATGAATAAAAGCGACATCTACAGAGCTGAGTGATGAAATAATGACTTTTGATCAGCTGCTATCTCAGTCAAATTAATAGAAAGTTTGTACAGAGTATTACAAAGTTCAATTCTAGCTTGTCAAATAATTACTATCTTTCACAAGCTATAGTCATCTCATCAGAGCTGTTGAAGAAATCTCTTTGATCATAAGTGAATGAATGGTTTATCTGATTTCATTTTGAAAACAGATTCTTCTCTACCCCTTCTTTTGAGATCTCTGATGTGAGTTTGAAGCAGCTTGATAATAGAAGTTCATTTAATTCAAATGATTTTGCAGTTCAGAGGTTTTTGCAGCTGTTAGATTATCTTTATACAGCGATATTACGAAACTCTACTCTTCTTCAGAGGGAATTTCCAACTCATTCACTGTGAACTGACTTAGTGTTTCAATGTGCAGAGTATGAGCAGTTTGCAGATGCTGTATAGAATGCAGAATCAATTTTCATTTCTTCATAGAAAATGATACTTCAACATTCAATGTCACAAATTTTTGAAAGTTTGAGCATCATACAGAGATAAATCAATGTGGTGGCGGATTAGATAAAGATCAGACATGTATGAATGAAGGAGAAGATTGATAAAATTCAATATAAAATTGATACAATAACAACTGAATTCTGAATCTTTCAGTCTGCTTCTGTTTTTGTCTGTGTACAGAAAGATATTGTTAAAATTCTCTTCATTTCTACATTTATATCTTCATTCTCTTCTTTATCAACCATTGCTGCTGCTGTCACCACTTCTGCTACAGCATTGTCAACTGAGAATGATATTTGAATATATCAGCTCTCTCATACAATTCAATCAGTTAATGATCCTTAAAAGAAATGAAAATAAAGATTGAATGAACAGCTCTCTGTGCAGCATTTGAAATCATTGTATGAGCTTAGCTGAAGAAAGAAGAATAATGAGTGCATGTTCTTTTTCTGATAAAAGATTGTAATAGGCGCAACGGAGATATCTATATTAGGAAATAGATACGTGGCGATAGATACGTGGCGATAAATACGTGGCGATGGCAATATTATTTATATAATGCTCGCTGATATCCGTGGATTTTAGGAGATCAGCGATTAGCTTTGAACAATAGAGATTGCTACCTTCTTAATATCCTTTATGCGTACTTCACACTACTATTGTAATTACTCTTATAGCCCATCTCTTACAAAGATGATCATTGATGAGATATTTAATTGTTACTGTACAATGAAATTAAAATCTATTTTAGAGATTGTGGAGGAGTTTGAGTTGATGTGTGTATGATTAAAAATGATTCTGAACAAACTCTCTGTCTTTCTTAGAAGAGCAAGAAGATAATCTGTGTATATTAATTATATTACATATTTTTTAATCTTGAATATTTATTTATGCATACAGACTGCTTCAGTAAAATTTATAAAAGTAAGCATTCTCATTCTTTTTTTCTCTCTTTCCTTTTTCATACACAAGGTATTCTCATTTTCCTCTTTCATTCATGACAACAACAATAATAAATTGATTATAAAATCCTCTCTTCTTCTATCTTCTCTTTCAACTTTTTTTCTCTTTCTCTTTTCAACTTCATCATCATCATTCACAGTATGTACAACCTCTTTTGCATCAGAATTCATCATACTCTTATTGTTTTCCCACTCTGTACACTGCATGGGATGTCCATTTCATCATATCAAAGAAGAAGGACACTCACAAAGACTTGTGTATATAATCAGAGAACAGATTTTCAAAATTTTTTTTTTTTTCATAAAAAAAAAGATCAGCTCTCTTTCACAGTCCATCTCATAATGCTATTTCTTTTCTTTTTTTATATACAATGAATAATTTGAGTACTTCTCTGCTTCTCTACTGTACAGTATAAAAAACTGATTATAATGTAAAAGCTCTTGTTTCATACAAATTCTGTCATCATTCAATGCAATCTAATTCAGATTGAATTGATTGACCCTGTATCATTCAACTGCTAAACATCAATATGAATAGCAGAAATGATCAGAGTATAACACAATATATATCAGCAATTTTCAACTGAGTATATTTTATCATAGTTTTTAATTTTGTGCTTTGTTTGCTGTTTCTGATTTTAATATATCATACATCTATATGTGTATTAGAGCTGATCAAGTGTTGTCTCATCATTCATTATATATAAATGCCATTCTGATTCAATTCCATGATAGAACTTTTGTCACAGATTGTACATAGTGTTGTACATTTTCTGAATTTAAACTGTTTTCATTGTGCTGCTGTGTGTACAGCCATTTTAAAGAAGCATATGTCAATTGTAAATGATGTGACCATGCAGTGCATTGCTCTCTCCACAGCTCTGCAGATCAATCTGATATATATAATGATTTTTATAATAAATAATCACCACAGTTATAAATGTCAGTAGCAGATGATGCATATCATGATACTCAGTCTGATGTATAATATAATTTCATTTTCATTAAATAAAATATATATGAAACTTTCAATTTTTTTTTTTTTATCTAATTTTTCTATTCTATTTTATTTTATTCTCTTCTTATTCTTTGATCTCTGTTTTTTCATTATTATTATATATTATATTATTATAGAGTTAGATTTAATCATATATGCTGTGTATGACATTCAGATAGTTGATTTGCACTTTTACATAATATCTGAAATCAATAACTCTTTAATAAAAATGAAATTAAACAAGTTATTTAATTAATGGTTATATAACTTTCTATGTGTGAAGTCACATGTATCTGAATTTAATAGTGTTTCTCTTACTAAATACAAGTATTCTGTATGTATGAACATGAAATTGAACACACACAGTGGTGTTGATGGCTGAGTAACTGCGCCTCCGCATATAACCTGGTTATTGTGAGGGTTGGGTTCAACCACGCCGTAACCCGACCCACCTATAACTATTGGTAGCTCTTTGCCTGAGCCAAGGCGTTTCGAAATGCGTCGATCCATCGGACCAAACTTGGCCTCATGGATTCGACCAAAATTGGTACTATACCATTCCACTGCCTGCTTATCTGAACAATGATCAAGAACATCATTATTGACCTCTAGATATCCTGTCATCATGGATATCCAGGATCTCAATGACTCGCCCCACGCAGAATAACCTGACTCTGTTTCTTCATCAATTGCAGCCATAACAAAGCTTTCAACCAGTGCCTGTTCTAGTGGATATCTTAAATTTTTGTAGATATTAAATTGGTTTGTGGTCACAGCATATGTGATGTTGTTTGGAGGGTAAGAAATCTCTCCTAGAGGAATGTGTGTAAAGGAATTTGGAAACAGGTACACCTGTAAACTCTTTTCTGCTGGATCATCTTGTGGATAATCAAATACTGCACAAGAACAATCAAGGCGTTTGTAGCCAGCATTTATTTCCTCCAACATCTGTTGTGGATTTGGATGGCCCTCCATGACCTCCAGAGGAGGAGTGCGATTTGGAATGGTTCGGGTGAATCCCGCGTTCTCAAGCTTTTCAATGGCGACTGTGTAGTCATCGTCCTGCACAACAACCATGGTGGCCTGCAGGGATAGGAAAATGGTTAACAGGAACAAAGAAGGGTGAGTTATTTATTATTATAGATACACATTCTTACCCCACAGTCAATAGGGACGCCCAGATACCACCTTGCCCTCGGATCATTCCTGGTGTATTTGTTGGAGGAGGAAGTGCATGGCATGCTCAGTCGAGACTAATTTCCGGCTCCCGGTGTGGCGGCTGGGAAGGAGTCAGTAGACATCGGCGGTATATGCAAGTTGGTTGTCAATGATGGGAATTGGGCTCCTGAATTCTTTTAGCACAGAGAGAATGGACAGGTGGTGTGGAACTCACCATTTCTGCAAGATAAAATCTGCGGGGCTGGCTTGTGGAAACTATTCTAAGGGGATGTCAATGGAGGCAAGAACCGCTTCTTATCACCTTTTAATGTTAAGACCAGATATTCTTCGCTTTCGCCCAACCGGAGCTGATATTGCATGACCCCTCGATTACCCAGTAAAGAGCGAAGCTGTCTTTCTCCTTTCCAGCCGCTCTCGGTGAACAAGGCACACAAAGGGTAGCCACAATTAGCTGTGTGTTTGTTCTCGGCAGGCAGCGGACCTAACCTATTGCAATATATACATTTTACATCTTTGAAAGCTGATAGGGTTAAATTCTCAAGGAGCTCAATTTCTTTAGATCCCCGCTATCCAATGGAATTCTTTGAATGATTCTTATTCTTCATATTCTTTTTTTAATTAATCACCACCCCCATGTCTAAATCACTCAAATATAGTGAAGATCAACTTAGAAAAGTCATTAATGTGTTAAAAAATAATTTAAATCTACATGATATTAAGTTAGTGGTGTGAGAATTCAATGTTTCATATTTAATTTTGCATAAATATGTCAAAAGAAGGAAATTGAGGATATGCTGAGTTCCAATCAATTGAGTATTAAATGATAATCAAAAGAAAGTTATTAAAAAGTGAATTGATCAATTAAATATCAACTTTTACATTTTAACTGTAATGCACTCGTTTATTATTTCCTTATTATTATATTATCTTTGTTTATATCTTCGTCTATTCTTACCTCTTTCCATTATACTCTCGCTACCACTATTTCTATATGTATATATATGTGGATGCATGTATTTCGCACATCTTCTTTCTCTTTCTTTTCCTCTTCAGCGATTAGCTACAACTACAACTACAACTACAAATATTTATATATTGAAGTTGCTACAAATTGAATATTGCGAGTTTATCATGTTAATTCAGAGACTTCTCTCTCAATTATCAGTAAAATGTGAATGTATCATTTTATAAAACATTTGCTGCATGAATATAATAGAGTGAATCATATGTATAATAGTTAATTGCTACTATTATTTATAAATTTAATTATTCAACTGCTATAATTAAGTATTGTGATTATCAAAAATAGTATTACAAAATTCAGATTGATTCTCACCCCGGTTATTAAAGAAGTTTATATATATAAAAATCATCTTATATATTTTAATTAATATTATAAATCTTGTTATAGAGTATGTGTAACAATGAATCATTCAAATAAAATTTAAAATGATTAAAATTGTAGTAGATAAGCTATAGAAATAGTTATAAATCACTGATTGAAAAGTATTTGAAATTAATTCAGAAGCTTATATCACAACTTCACAAGAGGTTTTTAAACCTTTATTAAGAATTAAACTATAGAAGATAATATGATGATATATCAAAGAAAATTTGAATTAAATGATTAGATATTGAAATTGTATTCTTCTTCTTCTTCTTCTTCTTCTTCTTCTTTTTCTTCTTCTTCTTCCGTTATACTCGTATGCAAGCAGTGTTTATGACGAGTCTTTATGTTATGTTAAATACAGGCAAGAGTTGGTTATTGTGAGACGTTTACTCCGTAAGTGGTTGTATTAAGACGTGTTCAGTTGCACGTACAAAGCTGTATAACCTTGTATAAAAGACTCATTTATCTGACTTTATACATCTTTATACACTCTATTCAATATTGTCTGCATGAAAAAGATCTCATGTTCAGTTGACTATTTTTATAACCATTTTTTTTTTTCATTTGCATGTGATTAGATTTCAACAGTGTATAATTAGACCTCAGTGATGTATTTAGACTGAATAATGAATGATTACAATTAAAATAGATAAGATCAGAGGTGTGTAACATTGTGTATGTTATACACACTCATATTTTTTTTTTTTTTTTTTTTTTTTGATATGATATTATTTTGTATAAGATGTGTAGTAGTGAGATGCAGACTGATTTCTTATCATCTTTTATTGATTTTTTGAATTGAAAACTGTTATCAGTGATATGATGAATGATGTCATGAAGAATTCTGGTGATGAATATGAAAATGAATGATTGAAATGAATATTGTTATATCAATATTATTAATTAATCATTCAAATTGCTGTTCATTCTATTGCTCAGAGCATTCTTCAATATTTTTTAAAATCTAATTCATATTATTATTATTATTATTATTTATTATACTCCGCCTTCATCCAATGGATATGCGGTTCTGCTACCATATGTCTAGCTAGGAAAACCCCACTGCGCCTTGGCGCAGGGGGGTGAAAAACCTTGCGCACAGTGGTGTTAACTATCCTGTTCATCTGCAGGGTACCGGGCAAGTCAGCTAGAGCTGTTCCTTGCAATGGGAGCGGGAACAAAGGAAAAGGAATTAGAGAAAGCATAGTAACAAAAGAAAGGAAGAAGGGAGGGACAGATAGTAGGCGCTGTTAGGATAGAAGGGAGTGACAGGAGGGGGTAGAGGGGATTGACAGAAGGGGTAGATAGAGGAGATTATACGGCAGGGTGAGGAGATGATGAGGGGATGAAAATGAGGTGGTGCAAATGAGGTGGAGAGAGGCGAGGGGATGGGGAGGAGAGGGAGGAGAGGGAGGGGCTAAGTAGTCAGGGGAGTGAGTGCATGTGGGATTCAGGGGATTCTGGGGGTCCAAGGCAGCCCAGGGCCTTATGGTACATAGTGTGTCAGCTCGCGTGCTAATGTGAACTGGCCTAGAATCCCGCTCTCCATCCACCAGTTTGACAGGAGATGCAGGCCTTCCTTGGTGTCTAGCAGCATCCTCTTGTCTAGCCTGCCATTTCTTATAAGGCCCTGACGCTGCTGCTCCCAGCGTTCGCAGTGTATCAGAACATGTTCGACTGTTTCCCATTCATACCCACAGGGGCACTGTGGGGTGGGGAATTCAGGTACCTTACACCGGTTTAGGAAAGCTGCCAGTCCGGTTTTCCCTGACCTCAATTGGATGATGATAGTGCTGCGAGCCTTGCGCAGGCCGGTGTGCCACTTCAGAATTTTCTTGTCTGGGGGCCGGCCATGCCGCTCCCCCCAGGGGGGCTCACGTCTTTTCCACCTCTGCACCCACCTCCAGAGCTGCTCGAGCTTCAGCCAGTGATTATATGAGGCTTGGTCCAGGTTGGCTCGTTGTTCCGGTGTCATCTCTGCTGTGGCTCTCTCCTTAGCACCCTGAATCCATTGCTGTTCCCAGTCCACTGGCAGGGCTGCCGGGTGAACCACAGCTCCCATGTGTCTCTGTGCCCCCCTTGTCACCCCCCGGTGCCGAAGCCTGGTCCTTATGGCCGCACACGCATTCTCAATTTGTTGCGCCATTCCTGAGGCCTTCATCCTGTTGACCGCCTTTGCCACTAGCCCATCCAGGTGGATGTCTAAGGGTACTGTGTGGGTTTCCGCTTCCAGTGTGCTTGTTGGGGTTCTTTTGTATGCCCCTGCCACTATTCTGAGGCAGGAGTTCTGCACTGTGGTCAGCTTGAGGGCCAGTCCTGACTTAGCTGGACCCGTGCCCCCCTGCCCCTGTGGCTGGTGCCATGCTATTGCTCCATAGGTCAGGGCCGGCCTGATGACCATGTTATACACCATTCTCGCTTGTCGTAGTGGGAGCCCCCATGTGGATTGGGTGGTTTGGGACAGTGCTCTGACTTGAGTCTTCATCTTGCCTGCCACCGCGTCCAGGTGGCCCTTCCATCTCAGCCTAGAGTCTAACCATACACCCAATACCCTCATCACCTGTTTCGGTTGTATAGTTTGTCCTGGTAGTCTCAGCTCAGCCTGTAGGTTGAATTGGTTGCGCGCCCGTGTGAAGTGCATTAGCTCATACTTCTGGGGGGCAAAGACCGCCCCGTGCCGTGCTGCCCACTCCTCGCATGCCCGATGCATGCGCAGGAGCTCCCTGCAGTTGTCCTCAGTGGACTGGCCATAGGCCATCACGTTGACATCGTCCACAAAGGCTATGCACACCACCGGGCGCCCCGGTCTTGAGCAGATGCGCACCAGTTCCTCATTGTAGAATAGGAATAGTATAGGTGATAGGGGTGACCCCTGCGGGATGCCTGCTGGGATGTCAAAGGTGTCTGATTCCTTGCCCTCAAAGGCAATTGTGGATTTCCTGTTGGTCATGAAGGACGCAACCCATCCCACCAGGTCCCTGGGGATGCCCAGTCGCCGGAGGATGTGAACCATTCGCTCCCGCAGCACCTTGTCATAGGCCCCTGTCATGTCTAGGGAGAGTACCGATGCCACCTGTCCTGGGTGCTGCCACACTGTCCTTATCTGGGCTAGAAGTTGTGCTATGGCTGTTTCAGTGGACCTGCCCCTTCTTGCCCCCATTTGCTGTGAGGGTAGCAGGTTGTGGTCCTCCGCGATCTTCCGCAGGCGTTTTGCAGTTGCTGCCTCCACAATCTTCCCTATTGTGTCCAGCAAGGCAATGGGTCTCCACGCTCCTGCAGTCTGGTAGTCAGCCTTCCCTGGCTTGCGCAAGGCCACTGTCTTGGCTTCCTTAAACGTGTCTGGGTAAGTCTCCCAATGCCAGCATGCATTGGTGAGAGCTGTTATGGCCTCCACAAATGTTCTGCCCAGCATCTTAAGGAACTCGTTGGTGATCCCACTCCTCCCTGGTGCCTTCCTGTTTGGCAGTCTCTGGATCAGGCTTTCCATGTCCTCCACACTGATGGTGTCATTTGACGCTTCCCTTTCAGCTTGCAGCAGCTCCATATTGGTGTCACTTAAGTCGGCGGGCTCTGGCTGTGGGAAGAACCGTTGTCGTAATGCCTCAGCCTTCCCCTCAAAAGAGGTTTCTACCGTCGCGTCAGCCCCTTCCCCTGTTCTCAGGGGGGGGACAGTAGGTGCCTGTGGGGGCAGATGGTAGAAATAGTAGTAAAAATAATAATAAAAATAACAATGAAAGTTGTGATGAAAAATAAAATGATTGATTTGATGAGATTTTATATCTAGTTAATCATAATATAGAATTACACATCGCAATATTTTTTCAAATTTTATTAAAAATACTGTAAATACAATGAAAAATACTGTTTTAAAACATCACCACTTTTTGTATAAGAAGGTTAGATAAATAAAATGATTTAATTGATCAATAGATTACATCATGGTAATATATATCATAAATACATATGAAATACCATATCATAATATTAAATAAATCAGAAGAATATGTAAGAATATGATAATATTGCTCATATATTTATATTCATTTTTTTAAAATTATCAATTAACATGCTTTTTCTTTTATTTTTTAATTGTGTTTTCATTATTATTTCAATTATTATTTCATTTACTTTTCTATCTACTATTCCGACTCCTTTTACATGCTTTTTACATGCTTTTTAATGTGTTTTTTAAAATATTTTTTAATTTGCTTTTTATTGCTTTTTATTGCTTTTTAATCTGTGTTCTTTAAAATATTCATTATAAAAGCACACTGCTGCTCTAGTGAGTTATCATTGAATCTCAAATAAATCTACATCATTGCATCATTGCTTGTAAAAAGATATGAAATTGCAGTATAATATCAATATAAAATCATTTCATTACTATCTCTTTATTTCTCAAAAGGTAATTCATTTACTTTTTGTAGAAATAATTTAATAACTTTCTCAAAAGCTTGTTTAAAAATCTTTTATAAGTTATTAATCATCTTTTTATTCATTTCTAGCAATACTGATTTAAACTCTGAAATTGATTCAACATTTATTTTTTTTTTCCTGTTTTTCAAACATTTTCATTTTGAAGCAGAACTGTTCACAGCAATAAAAATTAAATGATTCAATATTAAAGCATTTGATGCAGATGATGATGAAAAATATAAATCATCATTTATATTCAATTATTGTTTTATAATTTGAAAATCAATTGCATATTGCTCTGTTGTAAGTTTCTCTTTAAATAATTGCTTATTCAATTTTTAAAATGAAAGTCTCTAATTTTAAAATATAATCAAATTTATATGATGTTGAAAATATTTTTTCATAATCTTTAAATCATTAATGTATATTTTGTGTTTTGCACATTAAATTGAATCAGAGATTTGATTTTTATATTTCATTGACAGCTGTTAAATATATTTATTATCTCTTCATCAATTTTTAAAATTGTTTTTATTGATAATTTGATGAGTGATATATCAAACTGTTTTCATTGCAATATTTCATTTATAAATCTTGAAGTTTTCATTGTCTGTTTTTCAACTATTCTTTTTCATGTCAAACAGATTCAGCAGTATTGCTTCATTCATTATTAAATTTCATACAATGTGTGAATGAAATTGAAAGGTGGATTGAGAAGTGAATTGAAAAATGAATTGAAAGATGAATTAAAAGCTGAATTGAGCAGTGAATTTAACAATGAATTCAATAGCAGATTGAATGAATTGAATGAATTGAATGCATTGAATGAATTGATGAAAAGTAATAAAAAATATCAACTGAGTTGAATCTTTTATTATTATTGACAGTGGAGGCAATGTGGCAGGCACTATCCCCTCGTGGGTAGGTTTTTGCAAAATTAGCGTGGTTTCATTAGTGTATATTATACGAGATCCCATTGAATAATCAGTGTATTTTTGAGTATTTGTTGGTATTAGTGTAATATATAAACCCTAATTAAGGATCCGCGCCAATATATCTATATTAGGATATATTATGAAATTCCGCCCAACATCGAGTTTTCAAACATAAGGGGGTATTTTGACATCCTGAACAACCAGAATTTGATCTCCCTGCCTGTTTACCTTCCTGCTGGCCAATCTTTCGTTTATACTGACACCAGGCACAAACACGCTGTTTTGAAAGAGGAATTCGTTGATGATTTAGATCAGGATTTGATCGTTCGATAGGAAGATTATCATGAATCTTAGGTGCAAATTCAAAGAGCTGTTGATAAAGCTTCTCATGAAAGCTTATATGAGAAGGAAGATCCTTTGCCGGAATCCCTTGCTGCTTCATATATATATATTGAAGCCGGTATGCATTGACAGCCGCGGAATCGATAAGCCAGTAGAGAATAGGAAGCCAGGTTCGATAGGTGACTCTATGGCTAGTATATGCTGCCCGGTATTGATTTGCTAGGTCTACCCCATTCATATTATGATTATAATCATCTATAATCAATGGGATTTTCAGCTTCTTTTGTGGTTGACCTTCAAAGACTTTTCTAACAATATTGGCATTGGTTGAGAGTTCCCCTGGGCATTTACGAGTACGTTCAATAACTGCGTCCAATGAATGAATCGTAGTTAGTGCCAATACCATATTATTATCTTGCCAGGCAAGACAGAGAACATTCTCTTTTTCAATGGCATGCAGGGTATTCCAGGGTATGGAATTTGAATGCTCTCGAAGCTCGCCTAGTACTGCTGGAACCTGGTTTGGACGAGTGGTTCCACATGCTCCATACCCCTGTTGACGTAGTTCTTTGAATAGAGGAACTGATGTAAAGTAGTTATCCATATAAATTGAATAGGATGTGACCGGCTGTGCGATAGAGATTTGATTAGGGGTGGCATTCGGCGTGGCATTCGGGGGGTTGATATTCGGCGTGGTATTCGGGTTGATATTAGGGCCGATATTAGGGGTGATATTAGGGGTGATATTAGGGTCGGTATTAGGGGTGGCATCCGGCGTGGCATTCGGCGTGGCATTCGGCGTATTCGGCGTGGATACCGTAGGAAGCCGGTTCACCAGATTCACCACCATAGATCCGGTTTATGTTAATGTAGGGAATTGAAACATAGGCATTATACCCTGCCGGCGGCTAGACCAGAAAAAAGTCCATAAATAGCCATGTTCTGCTAGGCCAAATATCTTATATCCCCGAGGAATTGGTTTATTAGGCATCTTGTATGTATGTTGACTCCGTCCAAAGCATTTAACCATAATCTCATCAATAGAAATCTTGGAGCCAGGGGTGTAGTATTTTCGGCATGCCATATGGAACTCAGTAGCCAACGGCTCTACCTTATACCACCAATCATCCTTATTTTTGGCCCCCGGGCGGCGGGCTTCACGGGGGTTAGATATATGGATATATCGTTTAAGCTGTTTAAAACGCGTATGGGTCATATAGGATTGAACAGAATGAATAGGGCCCTGTTTCAGATCATTCCGCCAGTATAGATCAGTTCGATGGGATTTATGAACCCCCATATAGAGAAGAATGCCTATAAAGACCTTTATCTCCGCTGGATTGGTATTTTTCCATGAATATTGTTGGATAGAAGGCTTTGAGGATATAGAAATTTCAGAAATCTCTATATCTTGAGCTTCCTCATCCTCCTCTATTTCTGAAAGCTCTGGAGCTTCATCATCAGTATCTCTAGCATCTTTCTTTAGTTTTGCATAGAGATTAGTAGAATCACTGATATTTTGAAGGCTTTCCTCAGAGAAGAATAGAGTAAATAAGGCATAAGGACTGCTAATATTGATATTCGCTGGAATATTAAGAATTGGATCTCGTGAGGCAGGCAGTATTGGATGGAATTTCACTGATTCTAGAGGTGGAAGTTCTGCAATAACCTCTTCAATAGGCCGTTTTCGTTTTCTTGACATTTTTGTATGAACTAGAGAATAAATTAGTTAGCTAGGTCATTTGAATTGATTAATATAACAAAATTACCATTGGATTTAGTAGGTTTCTCAGTGGATTCCACGTTCGCAGGTTGAGGGGGTTCCATATTCGCGAGGGGGGGGTGGGGGGGGTGTTCCATATATTCCTGAGTAGGGGTTCTTTATATTCGCGGATAGGGGGTTCAAACGCGTTGGATTCTCAACGCGTTGTTGAGATCTACATGGGATTGTTCATCAGTAGATCTGAATGACCAATTATCATTCATATAAAATTATATGGGATTCTATTGGTTATGCCCAGGCCGCCGGTGCAGAATTCCATACACTAATTGAAACCACGCTAATTTTGCACAAACCTACCCACGAGGGGATAGCAAATGAGGAAGAGGTAGATCATTGACTTGATGAAACTGAAACTTCTTCAGATTCAAAGAGTTTTATATTATTTGAAGACTGACTGCTCAGCATTTTTCACAGCTCTATCATACAAAATAAATGAGGTTGAATTAAATAAGAACAGTCTGTCTGTTATCACAGTGTGTATTTGATTATTACATTAAAACCGCAGTGATTTTAGGGTGGCAATCAAGGTTTGAAAAATCAACACCGGCAGTACACTAGTATCCACTTTTTGCGTGCAGGATATACGGCTTTGTACGTGCAACCGAACACGCCTTTAATCGTGCCCCCCACACCTGATGTGGGTGCGCCACAGCGTAACAATAAAAGTGAAAATAAGTATCTTTTATATGAAAATCACATATAGAAGATACAAACAACATTTTCTATAATATCTTCATCAACATCTTATATAAGAACTTGTAAAATAGAATAAAGATAAAATCAATAGTAAGAAATCTTATGATATTAGTATATTTAAAATTCAATAACTTTTCATTATCTTATTATGAAAATGCAACTTTTGTACTAAAATTTTAGTCTGTTTTTCAGATTTGAAAGAATGAACTATTTTTAGATAAAAATATTATATTGGTTAATTATATTACTTGAGTATTTCTAATTCTTCTATTTCACATTCATACTCATATCTAAGATGTGGGTGGAGATATTATAGAAAATAACGTTTGTATTAGCACTCCGTACGCAAATTTAAAGTTGTTTCGATCGCTCAGAAAATGTGGCGGTGCCAAAGATCTCCACGATATGGTTTGGCCTTCCCAGAGCTTGGAAGTAGCTTCCAAACAACACCAATTCCACTGCCAAAACGGCTGTCATTATGGAGGATGGCTATGTAAACCACCAAGAATGCTCAGAGCACTATGATTACTGTGTACTAGAAGCTAGTGAATGGTCTACTGAGTGCCAGAAATGATATATCGATTCAAGGATTCAAGGATCTTGTAACATCTCGCCATTTGAAAGCTGAACACTGCCCCGCTCACTACCCCTATCATATGTTCAAGCATTCTCTTTCTTATAAAATCGGAGTTAGAATAAGCAATTCAATTTATTTCATTGATATTCAGTATTTGGGTCAATATTCGGACTTTATCCAGTTCCAACACTGATGTTTGAACTAACAATTGCAAGTGTGAGTACAATACAGATATCTACATCATGATTCACAGCATCAATAACTCAAGCAATGTTATCCTACATTTGTACACGTGTGCAGGGTACTTACCAAGACTAAAGATAAAGTTGCAAGTGTACCGTTGGTGATGCCAAACCTTCAGATATTTGAACAAGATTCAACTGAGCTTATCTGAGAAGTTTAATGACAAACTAAACAAGCTGGAACTAAAAATAATATATCAATTGGGAGTGAAAAAGGAGAAGGATAAGTCTATAAAAGCATCACTCCTGCTCCTCATTTTCTCAATCCAATTCACAAGAACAACAATCATCTTCTCTTTCAATCAAACATCATCCTCGAAAACAAACGCAAGGAAAAATAACAATATCAATCCGATTTCATCTCTTACTATCTAATTTTGCAGCAATCCTCTTCCATTTGAAAACCCTTCCACGAAATCCAGAAAAAAATGCAACTCTCCTTCGCTTCCGGACTCATGATGTTGGCTGCGGCCTGCGTTGCCTCTCCAGCTCCTGCCACTGAACCTGCTGCAAGAGCTGCAGCAGATAAAATCCCTGGACCATATGATTATCCAGGCCCTTATGATTTCCTCGGGGAGGCCACAGGTCCGTGGGAATGGTGCGCGCCTAAGGTTTACGTATGCTCAAGTCCTAGCCCAGTCTTCTGTTCAATTGACTATGTAGCCAAAAGTCCATGTTTTGCTGACGTTGATCCCCTCCAGTGCCAATTTGATAAGGATTGCTCCGCACAGGAGGACTGCAAGAAGAAAGCTGGAGGCAGGGGCGACCTCGCCCGCTGCGGCTGGGGCGTGTGGCCTCAATCTTGCTGGACTTGGACCTAGTAAACCCGGTGCCTTGTGGACCATGTATATTCCAGCTCTAGCTTCGCTGCCTCCCTCGCCCTCTGCAAACGAACATCCTCAACATCCAGCACACGCTTCCTATCTCTCTCGCTAGCCCGAGTATCCCCTCGACCAACAGCATGCAACCCCCTTCCCACTCAAGCACACACGTTCACTCCGTCCAACGCTCTGCCTTGGCGCCGGCAGAGCGAGCCTAGCAGTCCCACGAGCGGCCGTACGGAGAGTGGGAGTTGGGAACCTCTGGAGGAAGGACGGGTATGGCGATTTGGCGATGTGGTCGCGAACCACTAGCGGTATTTTTGACAGTGGGGTTTTTGGTGTCGGAGGCGGCGGTGGGGGTGGACGCCGTGGTGGAGTTTGGGGAATGGGAGGACTGCTGAGCTGAATTGGGCGGCGCTTGGTTTGGATCATGGTGATAACGACAATTGCCTTTTGCTTTTGCTTCTTTTGTTGCTTTTTCTTCTTTCGCTCCTTTTGGTGTATAAAATTCCCCATCTGCAGTTAATAAAGCATGGTAAGCATGACACATCTGTTTATTTTGATTGTAATTTAGTACCTTGCTTCAAGACATATGTTCTGTACTTTGTAGACTTGTTCAATTGTTAGTACAATTCATTCTCAATTATGTATTAAAGACAATTGATTCATATACTGTACTTATATAAAAAAACTTAGTTGATGTTTGATTTAAGATTTTTCTTGATGTTGGAAAGGCTAAGTAAGTGATTCATAGCAAACATAGTTTGTAAACAGTAGTAACAAACAGCAGCGAATGACAGCAGATAGCAAATTCAGAGCTGCTGGAATGCAGGATTCCGCAAATCTGTTTTTGCCACACTCAATGTTCAGCATGGATAAAGTCTCAAAGCAACTAAACATGTAGCCTGCTTTCAGGGATTAGTCTTTGTGGAGCTTTGTAGATACACAATTATCATAATAAGTATATCATAGGAGCAACAGAGGATGCAGTGTGAATAGAGCAAATAACAGCAAATGGCAAACATCATAGCAGATAATCATAAGAGTAATTGTAGATCATAGCAGTGATATGCAAACAAGTGAGAAAAGTAAAAAAAATGAGGGAAATGCAAAACTTGAAAGATGAGCTGCACACCTACCTCTTCAACTCCTTAGTCTTGAGTACGCCACGAAAACTAATGTCCCTTCAAAAAATATGAAACCCACACACACACACACACACACACAAATAAAAGCTCAACAAACAAACAGAAAACAGCAAACAAAAACAAGCTCTAGTTTGTCGAAGCACCTTTGGTATATGACCAAACTGCGCTAGATCATGTCCCGCATAGCTTAACGCGGCTTAGTCCCCAGTGGTAATGGTGGGGGCATGGTAACTTGGGGTGGTCCATCAACGGGCAGAGGTTGAATGCTCGGCTTCTTTGGGGGAGGAGGGGGAGGAGGTTTTCGATTATTCAAAACTTCTAGATCTGGTCTGTTGAAAGTATGGGACGGTGGACGCTGAGGACTGTGGGCAGCATTAGCAGGTGGTGGAGGCTGCGGATCCGGATACGCGGGAGATTTCTGGTCTTCTATGAAATTATTGATTCGTTTGGAAATGCCATACTTTTGATCTAACTGGAACAACTTCTTCTTGCCTGACTCAATCTGCTCACTATGACGCTCGCGGAAATTCCCTGTTGTCGACACTGCACTTCGCGCATCACTTGCAGATATGGATGTAGGGTCTCGACTGAATGAGTGTGCTGTTCGCAATGCATGTTGCTTCTGCTCTATGGCGGTGCCTTCAGCGGGAATGGGTGCTGCGGACGAAGCCGAGCTTGTCGGGGAGGTATTCATTCTGGAAAATCGCTCCTGCAATTCGTTCTGCGAGGCGTATGACGATATACCTCCCATTGAGCTGGAACTTGTTGCCTGCGGACCAGAGTCGGCCCTGTGGATGCCGAGACTTGGGACGGATACCCCAGCATTACCAAGACGATCGATGGCACTTGTGTTTCCTGAAGATACTAGTCCGTTCGAGGAAGAATGATACGTCGGAGGCGGTGAAGGTGATGGAGACGGATGTGCTGCGCTTCGAGGTGGTAGTCTAGGAGGCAAAGGAGGTTTCGGTTTGAGAATCTGTTTCGATCGTAACTCATCCGCCGATCCAGTTGGAGCGTTGAGCCGTCGAACAGGGGGAGGGAGGAAATTGTCGGTGGATAACCCCGTAGTGTTAGTCCTAAACGGGACCGGAGGGGGGACTTTCTTTGAGCGTTCTGCTTCCTCAGTCTGCTGTTCCTCTCGCCCTTGTTGACGCAGCGATTGGATTTCTGCAGCGGATAGAGACGTGCCCAATCCTGGCGTTGGGCTCGAGACGCCCCCACCACCCCCATGCCTGTTTATGTGTTTAGGTGGGGGAGGGAACGAAGCCGGGTCCCTGAGAGAAGCAATAGGCCGACTTGCATGCTCAGAATGGCCATCAGAGGTACTCTTTCCTTTGCCTACCCATCCGGCCTAGACACAGGATAAACGATCAGTCAAAACCTCGATTCCTCCGTTGGTGGCAAGTTTGTTGCTCGACGAACAAATGGGTTAAGTGATAGAGAGGAAAAGTAGAAACCAAAGCAAACATACGACTTGGTTGATTCCTTTGAAATCGCCCCGCCAACTCTCCCGGCCACCATCTTTACCCTTCGGATGCCACCCTTCCTTGATTATTCCTCGTAATCCACTCATTCTTATGCGCTGGAGTAAGCCGTCGTCACGCCGTGTTTCAACCGAGTAACGTTTGTGAAGGATTATATGTTGAGAAATAGGATAACGAGAATGGAGTGTCTAAGAATTTCCAGTGAGAGCTGCATTTCTCTGCGGTGTTGATCCCATCTCTCTCCACCTGTTTGAGTCGTGATTCCAAAGAGCGACAGAGCCACAGCAAAGAGCGGAATCACGTGGACTCCATACATCTGAATTTGAACACTTTAATGATTCATGCAGAAAACCACACCAACCACCCTTTAAACCACACCCACGCCTCACATTTTGACACAGGGGGTCTGAAAACCGGATTAGACTAGAGGGCTAGTTGGAGAGTTAACGTCTGCAGCCATTGATATCGCTTTCCTACACCATGATCGCCCCCGATATGAAGAATTATTAATTACCGCCAAGAACGCCAATTTGTATCTATTCCCCCCTTTAGAAGCAAAAAGTAATTTCATGAAGGCTAAGGGTCATCATTGTTCCGCAATGGATTCTCATCGATTGCATGTACAGACGTAGCTGCAAATCTGGGATATCTGCTGGTTTCGCCCACAGCTACGGCTTAGGCCATTCGCCCCAGACCCCCAATTACTCCATTTCAATCGTTCCAGGAGGTTTGCTTGTAACTATGAAGAATAGATAAGGTATTCAATATCCGTGACAAGCGGGAACGAACCAAGACGGAGAAGAAACCAAATAAAAGAATGAAAATACTTACTGTCGTAGACGACTCGGCACACTCCCTTGACCTCATTCACGATCCTCCTGCTGACCGTCTTCAGGAACTCGCCGTCAAACGGATACCAGTCCGCGGTCATGAAGTCTGTGGTCTCCACAGCCCGGAGCGCAATGACTTGGTCATGAACACGCTGGTCTCCCATTACACCAACTGCCTTGACAGGCAAAAGGGCCGCAAATGCCTGGCTGATTTTCCGGTACAGCCCGGCCGCTTTAATCTCTTCGATAAATATGTGGTCGGCCTCCCGGGCAATACGGACTTGTTCCTGTGAAACCTATTAGCAAGAATGATGTTTCCGATCGAAATATTAACATCATTGATACACACTGGGGTCACTTCTCCAAGAATCCGAATGGCAATGCCAGGACCTGGAAATGGATGGCGCCAGACAAGTTCCTCTGGAATACCAAGCTGTTTCCCCAACTCACGGACTTCGTCCTTGAAAAGCTCGCGGAGCGGCTCAATGAGCTTGAGGTGCATGCCTTCCAAAAGGCCGCCCACATTATGGTGAGTCTTTATGGTTGCGCTAGGTCCCTTGAACGAAATACTTTCAATCACATCGGGATACAGCGTGCCTTGAAGCAGCCATTTGATCTCACCCTCGTTGGAAAATCCCTTCGCAGCGGCCGCAATGTTCTTGGCCTCTTCTTGGAAGACTTCGATGAATGTGTTGCCGATGACTTTTCGTTTTTTCTCGGGATCATCTGTAATTCCCTTCAGCTTGCCGAGAAACCGCTCGCTGGCATCAACCACAGTAAGGTTGATGCCAAGATGTTTCGTTAGAGTTTCTTTGACGGTCGCAGCCTCGTTCAAACGAAGGACGCCATTGTCGACGAGGACAGCATGGAATCGATTTCCAATTGCCTCCTGCATTAACTTTGCAGCCACTGTTGAATCGACACCGCCACTGACAGCTCCGATAACTTGTCCTTTCTCCCCGACCAATTTTCTAATGCGGTCGATTTCTTGGCTCACAAATTCGCCCATTGTCCAGTTTTGCTCGGCTTTTGCTATTCCAACCGCAAAGTTTCGAAGAACATCCTTCCCTCGCGGTGTGTGCGTGAGCTCCGGGTGAAACTGAATGCCATAAATGGGCTTCTCGGTGTGTGCGATTCCGGCAAAGGGCGCATTGGCTGTTGTTGCGATGGTCACGAAATTCTCGGGAAGATTAGATAGCTTATCTCCATGCGACATCCATACCACAAGATCTCCCTCAAGCCCTTCGAATAACTTATCAATGTGCGCCAACTTCCCTGCGTGCCGCGTCACATTCAGCTTGGCATGTCCGTACTCCCTCTTGTCGCCCGCAGAGACATTTTTGCCGTGGTTCCACGCTATCATTTGCAAGCCGTAGCAGATGCCTAGGACGGGGACTCCTAGATCGAATACAGCTGCAGTCAGGAGGGTCATGTCAGTATGTACTTTGAAGCAACAATTCCACATCCGCATTGCTAGCTACATGAAATGGCTCACCTGGGTCTACGTGCGGTGCGTCTGGCGCATAGACAGAGTATGGACTCCCCGACAGAATAACAGCCTTTGGTTTCCATGACAGATCGGCAATTTTCTGAGTACATGGGAGCATCTCAGAGTAGATGTTGAGCTCGCGGAGTCTCCTCGTGATAAGGTGCGAGTACTGTGAGCCAAAGTCGAGGACCCTGATTTATTCAGGATATTAGCACATCGCGGTATCAATTTGCGCAATTGTGTGGGTTGCAGGGCTCACAGAATGGTGTCGAAGGCCATATGAGGCTCGACAACTAGTGCTTCAGCTGTAGTCGCCATTATAGATATATATACTGAGGGTATTGGGAGTGATTTTGGCCGGATTGACTCCAAAGAAGGGAAAGGGAGCACAAATTTTTTGAAAGTTGCTGAGGGGCCGGGAAAATTGTGTCACACGATTGCTGACTCATCAGCCTTATCAGATCGAGGGGTATTTACATTGGTTGAGGCGACGAAGAACGTATTAATGTTATATCCATTGTACTCTCTGCAAATTAGGCATTCTGATAGATATGGATACATATTAAGGAAGCAAGGCACTAATACTGTAGGTTAAATGGGATCCCTTTGTCAACCTTGCTATATACAATCAAACCAGAGACGGTGCCTTGTTGTGGGGGCAAGTAAACTCAACAAATTATACCTCAATGAAAAACATAAATGCCGAAATGCCAGACATTGTTAATAATTGATATACGCACGACGGGATTTATCTCAGGACTGCCAACTAGTTGCTGAGGTCAAGCGCCGCCGTTCATAAAATCGCGGAGCATTCGCTTCCACTCCTCCAACTCCTTCGAGCGATCAGCCAACGACAGCTCTTCCAGCTGAATTTTGAGTTTGCTGTTCTCCTCCATGAGTCTAGCATTGAACTTCCACTCCATACATAATTGATTCTGCAGGTATTTGACCTCCGGCATATATTTCGCTGCAACCTCCTGCTGCGATAGAACAACCCGTCCATTCGCAATATTCAACACTTGCTCCAGAAAACCGACACGTGCTTGCAAATCCCTCATTCGGGACTGGATTTCTACTCCCATCTCGAGTTCGCGGTATATTGTCGAAAGAGCATCATCGACTTCATTGGAGACGGTTTGGTATCTTGAACGTCGTGGTGCCGCACCTCCCAATGTCGAATGGGCAGAGTAATCCGAGCGTCGTTGATCCGTGGAGTCTTGCGCTTGTTGTTTGGGGGACTGGTAAGGGTCGTGTCGGTAGGGGACGTCCAATCCGCTCTCCTGGGACGTGCAAAGGGATTTTATGCACCCTTCTGCTCCTGGTGACAGAGATACCGCCGTGGTAGGAGTAGCCACACGCTCACATGATATCGTATACCTTTCGCAAGTTGCAGAATAACGGTTTGCAGCATTCGCTCGCTGCTGGGTGTGAACGTTTTGGGCTAAACTCGCTTTTCTTCAGTGAAGAGGCGGCGGATAATGGAGTAATATGTGCTGGGGTTTTAAGATGCCAGTTTTTCTCGACACAGAGAGGGCAGTAGAACGGGGAGGGCACGTCTCGAGTCTCTCCGTGGCGGAATCAGGCAAATGGCATGACAAGAGCGCATGCATGTTTTGCACCCAAAGACGTTATTTTTGAGTTTGCAGACATAGCAAATATCCATATTCGGGTCCCCGACTGTTAAGAATCTATCAGTGTCCAATGTCAAAACCAAAAATGTTATGTTCTGGAAAACTATTCAAAACTACAGTCACATTCTTCGCCAATCCTGCGTCCCCAGAGTGTGCTCTCATACGAGGTTCGAAATTGTCAGATCCTTTGCCAACTCCGGCAGCCTGCATCTTCGTCTGATGGCATGCTTGATGAGTTCTTGGCCTCTTTGATTCGGGCTGCAGGTTATCCTTCGCTCTCCAGCCTCTCTTTTCAGCGTAATGTTCTGGCACAGAAGATTCCATCATGGATGCAGGTGGTGGTCTACTATGAACGCTTTGTGGAAAAATTCAATATGCATTAGCATCATTCCATCTGACGTCATCTCCCAACTCCGCCCTCGGATGTCCACAATATTCGGCTTCGTTTGGTCATGGATTAATAATAGTTCATCCTTAGCTTTCCGAGTATCTCAGCTGGATCAAGCACTCTACCAAGACTCGTCGATTCAATAGGAAGAAGATAAAGAAAGATATGATTGGCCAAACTATGATAAAAATCCCCGTATGATTGAATGTAACCAATCCGTTCAACAATTCTCTGATGTTGGAACTGATTTCTATATATCTCTTCTTTGTAAATAGTGTAAAATATCTTGTTGAAATGTGCCAGATATTGCCCAGGATCAAACTCGCGCCTGTTCAAGATTTCGACAAGATGGCCAATAAAGTCCTAGGATTTCCCACCCAAAGTTTCTTCAATCCCAGTGTCACCTCCGATTCCGAGATCAGATCGATCTTGGGGAACCAATCAATCCTGCGGGAAGAATCGTTAGTTAGGGCTTGGGATGTCTTGGCGTCAGAAATATTTCGCTGAGAAACAGACTCCGAGCATATCCAACAACAACCCCTCGTAGATGAACAATCTCCTCCACGCCTTGGCCTCTTCGAGGTTCACCTTACCTATCTCGTGGGCTAGTACACGAATCCCGTTCATCTCCCTTTCATTGTGCAGCTCCCAATTCTTCTTCTCCCATCATAGCTACAGGTTGTGCTCAGCAGCAGCCACGCTAGCAACAATGGGGAGAGAAATTCCAGACGAGGATGAATCTCCACGCAAGCGCATTAAGATTTCAAAGGATCCAGATTCTAATTCTCCTATTACCCCTGTTTCTGGATTTGGGCCTCCCGCCGCATTGGACAGCCAGGATATCCAGGCGCTGAAAGAGGCGGAGGTCGGCATCACCGATTTTGTCAGCCCGCATCTCCCTAGCTTTTCCGGTATCTTGAAGAAAAGGTATTTCCTCAGGTACAACTTATATATACAACTTGGGTAACCAGTGCTAATCAGGTCGTATTTGCTACAATGCAGGTATACTGATTTCCTGGTCAACGAAATTCTTCCTTCCGGCGAGGTTCTGCATCTGGCAAATCTCGATCTCCCTCATTCATTTAAAGCTGCCACTGCCAGCTTAGGACCTCCAAAGCCCACGCCCGCTGCGCCTGGGAATAACCAGAACGCAAATTTTTCAAAGGCATCAGAGGATGGCGAGAAAAATATTACGGAAACAGAAGTTTCGAACCCGACCGCTACAGCGAAACCCCAGTTTCACGTGAGGATATCCGAGTTGAATCTGTATTATCCCAAGACTCTCTAACATCCTACTCCAGTTATCAGATGAGGACAACAAACTCCTGGAAGAATATTTCGGTGCTGAAACCGCTCAACAAATTATCCTCTTACACAGTCGGGCTCTCTCGCGACCCACCGCAAAAGTAAGCGATCTTGGGCGTATAAAATCTGATGTAATTACAGACAAGGAGCTCCGGACGAAAATCCACCAAGCTATTCGACGTATATTCGCGTCTCGTCTAGACTCAACCACGGAGAGCGATGGTACGATGGCAATAACCCCCATTCCTTTATCACGCAAGGGTGCCGAGTCGCGTGGTGGCAGAGGTGGACGGGATACCTGCAGGGGAAAGCTGGGATGGAGCGAGTTAGGCGGGGAACATTTGCATTTCACCATCTACAAGGAAAACAAGGACACCATGGAAGTCGTGACATTCCTTGCTCGTCAGATGAAAATGAATGCAAAGCAGTTCGGGTTTGCTGGAACGAAGGACAGACGTGGGGTAACTGTCCAGCGTGCCAGTGTTTATCGTGTATATGCGGATCGATTGCTGAATGTTGGAAAGTCACTGCGGAACGCAGCCGTTGGTGACTTCGAGTATCGCACGGATCGCCTTGAGCTGGGAGACTTGAATGGGAACGAATTTGTAATCACGCTTCGCGACTGCCAATTTCCCTTTGGCCAGAATGAGGAGATGTTGACCAATGGAGTTTCAAAGGCTACTGAAATTGTCTCCCAGGCTCTTCATGATCTTCGCGAACGGGGCTACCTTAATTACTATGGGCTGCAGCGTTTCGGGACGTTCTCCACACGAACTGATACCGTGGGACTGAAGATGTTGCAGGGTGACTTCAAGGGTGCTTGCGAGTGCATTTTACATTTCAATCCAGGAACTCTCGCACAGACGCAATCCCAGGCACAGTCGCAGGAGACGAAAACCCTCATCAGCGCCGACGACATCGCGCGCGCAGAGGCGATTCACATTTTCCAGACAACGGGCAGATGCAATGAAGCCGCCAATAAGCTCCCTCGTAAATTCTCCGCTGAGTCCAGCATCATCAGACACCTGGGCCGAAATAAAAATGACTATTTCGGTGCGCTAGGAACCATCCCCCGCAGCCTCCGTCTCATGTATGTCCACGCATACCAATCACTGGTATGGAATTTTGCAGCGAGCCAACGCTGGCAGTTGTACGGTGATAAGGTCGTCGCCGGCGACCTTGTGCTCGTCAACGACTTCAAAGAAAGCGACGGCCCGGGTGCAGCTGCCGCAGTTGATGAATTCGATGCAGATGGCGACGTTGTCGTGCTGCCTGAGGCCGGCGATAGCGCCAACGCTCCCGATGAGATGTTCGAGCGAGCGCGGGCCTTAACTGCGGAAGAGGCTGCGAGCGGGAAATATACCATTTTCGACATCGTCTTGCCGCTGCCGGGTTTTGACATTTTGTACCCAGATAACGAGATGACAGCATTCTACAAGGATTTCATGAGCAGTGATCGAGGCGGTAAGCTGGATCCCTTCGACATGCGAAGGAGCTGGAAGGATATCAGTTTGAGCGGTGGGTATCGGAAGCTGCTTAGCAAGCCAGGTGCGGAGTATTCGTTTGAGGTGAAGGCGTATGCAAACGATGATGAGCAGTTTGTGCAGACGGATCTTGATAAGCTAAAAGAGTCGAAGAATGGCCATGAGAAGGCAAGGAGACCTGAAAAGGTGACTGAAGAGGTGACAGGGCAGGTTGACAATGCGGCTGCTGATAAACTGGCGGTGATTATAAAATTACAGTTGGGATCCAGCCAGTATGCGACCATGGCTTTACGGGAGCTTATGACAAATGGAGGCGTCAAGACCTACAAGCCGGATTTTGGCGGGAGATAAGTATGAAAAGCGATGGGTAATAGCATGGATACCTTTTTCTATTTCCTTCATTCCTTCTCTCTCTCTTCTATGCCATTTCTTTTGGTGGCCTCAATTCACCAAAAGGTTTTTTGATTCAGCGGCGGTAAATATCGGATAGCGCCGATGGTGCTGTCAGTGCTCAACTCAGGCAACATAGAGTTGAACATTCATTGATCAGCCGCAAGAATTGATGAGACTACATCTGACAGGGGTACTTAAATCTTAGATATCTCTCCGCATTTATGGTGCATGTTTCAAGGTGCAGCAGGCGATCTGTCATTGGATTGTCCAGTCCAGCGTTTCAGGTGCAGATGTTTCATTCACACCATCTGCTGTTTAATGGCACCGTCCATGTGAATAAATACTAAACAATCAACCTACGCCTGTTTTCTTTATTATCGAGATTCTCTTTGTGTTCATGCTTTATCCATTCTCCAAAATACCTGATCTCCATTATCTACCCGGAACCTGCTTCATCTTCGAAGCTTCTAAAAATCAGACACGCGTATCTGTGACACGGAACATACAAACCCTGTCTTGCTATCGCAGTTCTGTCATTTCCTTCATTAGAAAGTCGCTCAGGTGGTCCACAGCAAAACCAGCAGCAATAGACCAACCAAGGGATGCTCTCATCAACCAAAACCCTCTACTTGATTGGCCTAGCCACTCTTGCGCAGGCTCATATGCATCTCTACCACCCACCACCCTTCGCAGCCGCAAACAATCCGCACCTAACAAATGCGCCAGACTCTTACCTCGACTATCCCTATAATTGTTGCGGCCGCACCACACCTTTCCCCTGCAAAGGGTACCTAAACCATTTGAACACACCACAGGGCCAATCCGTTGCCTCCTGGGCTGCGGGGTCGCAACAAAATTTTAGTCTCACAGGTACAGGGAACCATTACGGTGGCTCATGCCAGGTCGGGTTCAGTGTCGACAAAGGCGCGACATGGAAAGTAGTAAAGAGTTTTGAAGGCAATTGCCCGTATCGGAACGGCGGGACGGACCCGGAGAAGCAGACGTTTGAATTTACGGTCCCCAGAGACACACCGGTTGGCGTACAAGTATTTGCGTGGACGTGGATTAACCGGGAGAGGGAATTTAATATGCTTTGTGCGGCAGTTAAGATCACTGGAGCGGAAAAAAGGGGTCGGAAGCAAGATTTTGTGTCACGTTCAGATTCTGGGCGTAGGAGCGGGCGCCACCAGTATCGTCAGCGAGATACAGGCTCCTGTACATGTACATGTGGTGGTGGTAGTTCGAGCGACACCAGCAGCAATGGTGCTTCAGCGACGACGCTACCAGCAGTGCCTTTCAATGACCGCCCAAGCTTCCTCTTTGCGAATATCGATAACGGGTGCCAGACACCCATGACGAATTTCGAAGTCAAGTATCCGAACCCGGGCCCTGATGTGGTTCAGGGTGACGGGGAGTATCAGCTGAAGTTGCCAGAGCCAGCGGATAAGTGTAACTAAATCGTCCCGGGTGTGCGCTTGTTTGTTTGACTTCTCTTCCTGTTGATTGTGCGGATGACGCTTCCCAGTGGTCAATGTACGGTTCATACTCAAACGCAATCTGTGTATGTATTTGATTTGCAGGCGAAATTGATGGGGGAGAGCTGCTTTGGCAAAATAAATCAATGTTCTAAAAACGCCAAACTTTGCCAGTGACCACAGCAATATTACTCAGAATAGAATGGGTGGATTGCTTGGGTAAACTGAAGCACCCTCACTGAGGTCAACAGCTTTCTGAATTATTATTTTACTGATGGGAAATTCGAACTTGAGTTTAATTGAGTCATTTTGGGCAACATCGATATTCCCCAGACTCGTCGTTAGAGCTCTTTATGGTTCTTTTCCCGAGGGTCGACGCCTGATTGCTTTCAATATCCCTGAACATTCCGGGGAGATAGATGCCAGACCTCGAAGAAACACCTAGCTTTTTCTATGTTGAACGCGCGCCAGAGCTCTGTCTGTAAGCTTTACTTTTTCTCCACTATTCTCGGGAGATATCAGATACCGTTGGAGTCTGAAGTCCCTGGTAGATTCACGTATAGGATAGAGACGTTAAATTTCCATAGCAGCTCATGGCTATTATCTTGTATGATCTTCCCGATAAAGGGAAAACGAGCCAGCACATGCCTGACATTCACTCCACTATGAGATCGTTAAATTTATTCTACAAGGCATAAATTTGAAAATCCTGTTTAAGCCAGAAGCAATCGAGCATGAGGAGTATTTCGCTATGACTGTGTGTACCCTCGGACTTGTTTTCTTTTATACAAGGGACTCTTAACCGGGAGAACATTTGATATATCTCATCCTCCACCGTGGGGTGATGCATTAACAAGTCAACCACTAGTGGACAGTGGCATCACTGGACAGGATGGATCAAGCACAACAGCTAGGGAACTAGGATAAATATAATCTGTAGACTATCTAAGGTTCGATATCCAGTACATGTACAGAAAAGATGGTTACATTTCTCTGTGCTAGGTTTTCAGTATGGGTTATTCCACCCCCTTAAGCATCATTTTCTCCTCTTCCTTCTCCCGCTCCGCTTCCGTTGCCCTTCCAAACCAGCTCTCCTCAGCGCTCAGGCCTGGCGGCTCCCAGAGCATCATGGCCACCCATTCCTTGCCCATTAGCTCCACAGTTCCCAGGTCCCGGAATCCAAGTTTCTTATATAGTCCGGCCCCCTTGAGACTGGGCTCCAATCCCACGGGTACATTCTCCGCCGTCCCCCGCTCTATTCCCCACTGCAGCAGCATTTTCCCAATTCCCATCCGCTGATATCCGGGGTGAATTGCGAGCATGCCAACGTACCAGAGCTCCGGGAAAATGTCTGACGGGAAGTTACCGGCCGTTGCTGAGGCGTAAGTTCGTAGCCTGGAACTATCGATGGCGTTGTTTTGGATGAACATATCGGCGTATCGCAGTTGTAGGTTTAGCAGCCGTCTCTCTAGCCCTGTGCATTTTGGGTGATTAGGAAGGTATTATTCCTGGGTCAAACGGAGTGAGTTGCGTAGTATATGTATGCTTTGGAGAGGATAATTCACGAACACCATCCGATGGTTTCTTTGTCCTCCCTCCACTTCCTGGCTTGTGGAGAGTCGCCCACGCGCTCCCAGGCACAGTAGCCAACAACTTTCCCCCTTGGCTCATACCCTTGGCCATGCTCCCGACGATGCTCTCTCCCGACCTCATCTTCAGGATCTGTTACAGCAACATGGAGGACCCATCCGGGGGTCGAGAACCGCACCTTGGTTCGCATCAAGAAGCCAGCCCGGTATTCGGAATAGTATTTCAACCGGTTCGGAGCAAGCCACGCCCAGAGTTCATCATCCAACAGAGCATCGGCCAGGATGGAGGCGACCTCCGGGATGTCTGCTGCTTCGAGTGGGTGGATGTGCATTTTCTCTGTAGGGGCTTTCTTTTTCTTTTTCTTTTATTCTTTATTTTTATTTTTACTTTTATTATTTTTTTTGTTTGGCGGATTCAAAGTGTTCACCGTAGCTTGCTGACATTCGTGGTTGGATTGTCTTCATTTCGGACTGACTATCCGTACTCCGTACTGACTGTCTGCTGATTGCATCATGGTTGCAACAGCAGGGGATAATACGAGACCAACCGCTCGATCCAGGGTTGTATTGCTAGTGGACTAGCACGGCTGCGAAGTACCGAAAGCATCAATGAGGCTCGTGAGCATTGAGAAAACATCCATCCTATAATGTTTCGTATTCCTGCACACGGAATCTTGCTCAGTGGATCATTGAAGCTGCATCTCTTCCTCACGGGGCACCATCAAAAATACACAAAATATCCTGTTCTGTTGACGCACGAAAGGGTCTTTTGGGCATCCGAAACATCTCCTCACGCTGGGGATTGCTCCGCTCCAGAGCCCAGTTCGCTCGGCTATTCAGCTAATAATCAACTCAAACAATCTTGAAAATGGCCTCTTCGATTCGTAGGGACCGTACTCCGTACCGTCAAGCTAGATACCAGGGCCTAGTTGATGGCCCATCAGCCACCCTCGTCTGCCACTGGCCCACGAAGGCGACATCAAAAGATCTTCATCCTGCTTGTCAAATCAAGGCAGGCCGCCGACTACATGAACGCTTCGGCCTCGAACTCGCCAAACTTTGCTATTTTCATGGTCGACCTTCCGAAACTGCCAAGCCCTTTGCCGAACGACTCACGAGCGATGAACCGAAAAGTCTAACTAATTTGATGAAGATCATGAACTTTTAAGCTAATGAGATGCGTTCCTTGCCGAAGACCGTTTCTTCAACACTCTTGGATGCCCACCTTGATGACCTGGTGGGTGGGGTTGCTCGGCATCGACTGGACATCGACTGGATATCGACTCGATATCAACTGGGCCGCTCGGTCCCTAGTGTCGCATCAGGGCGGCCTGTATTCTGGTCAAATGTCAACCACATGGCCGCCAGGGTCTTTTCTTTTCTTCTTAGATCTCTTGTTTGTCGACAGAGTACGGAGTACGGGCGGATCTCGCTGGGCTCATTGGACTTGTTCCGTCTGATTCCTCCGCTTGGCTTTCGCTGCCAACCCAGAAAGTCGCTCGGGCCACTTAGAACATGTGGTGGTCGAATTGATATCAACCTCCAAGATTGCTGTGATGGCTCTCTAACGACCATTTTCACATGAATAACAATTGCTTGGTCGCCTTCTTGCCAATCACTTCTCTGGCATCTTTTATGTTAAGAGACATCACTTTTGTCGATTCATATTGTTCATCTGAACCTGGAATTCTACATGTAACTCACTAAAGTCGTCAACTATATTTTTCAATCGTTTGAGGCACGAATGTTATGATATTTTCTGTGAGACAGTCAGCAGCTTATTCTAGGAGCACCTTGCTCAGATGACCACTCATACCATGGATACCGTGGATACTTCAGTCAGATCATTCAATGACTGGCCAAACCATCAGGGCGTTAGCATTTTACCCCCAACCCTTCATCCTCTGAATCATTATTCTTCAGCCGGTGCTAGTGGGAATTAATACCTATGGCCATCACTAACTGAACGCAGTTCAATTCTACCTATGAAGAGAGAATTCCGGTCGAGCTCAAGGTCACTGGTGACATACCTGCATGGGCTGCGGGAGTCCTATACCGCACCGGCACAGGTCGCAGTGAAATAGAGACGGACAAAAAAGAAATCTTTAAAATAGCCCATTGGTTCGATGGGCTGTCAGTGGTTCATAGATTCCAAATCCTGCCGCCAGATGAAATCCATCCTTCAGTCCGCGTCTTCTATAATTCGAGAAGCTGCTGTGACGGATTGATCGAGAGGATCAGGAAGACTGGCAAAGGCAAAGACATGTCATTCGGTGCTCGATATGAACCCTGCACGAGCTATTTTCAGAAAGTTATGTCGCTATTCCGGCCTGCTCCAGCAAGGACCGGAGCAGACCAGCGATCTATGTCCATTACGCTCTCGGTCAATTTCCCTGGTCTCAGCAGCACAGCCACACAAAAGACCTCTGGACATGCGTCAGGTATACACACATTAGCCAATAAAACAGATACCGCGGCATTTCAAACCCTAGACCCTGAAACTTTGGAACCCATTGGAGTAGCCTCACAGCAAGTCCTTCACCCAGACTTGAAGGGGCCTTTATCCGCCGCTCACGCCAAATCTGACCCGGTCACAGGCGATGTTTACAATTTCAACCTCCAACTTGGCAAGTGTCCAATCTACCACGTCTTCCACGTCTCAGCCGCAACGGGCAAAACCTCCATCCTCGCAACCCTCACCAATGCCCGCGCCGCATACATACATTCTTTCTTCCTCACGAAACACTATGTCATCCTCTGTGTATGGAACTCTTTCTACGTTGCGGGTGGCCTGGCAATTCTTTGGCACAAGAACATTATTGATGCAATGGCCGACTATGACCCGTCTAAGAAAACCACCTGGTATGTCATTGACCGCCGCCCCGCCGATCAGGGAGGCAAGGGGCTCGTTGCTACCTACAAAAGTGACCCATTCTTCTGCTTCCATACGATCAACACGTACGAAGAACCCACGCTTGATGACACTGGGAGCATCGATATCGTCGCGGATTTAACTGCCTACAACAATCTTGACGTCCTCAAGCGCTTCTACCTCTCGAACATCATCTCCACCTCCCCTGACGCCTCCAAGTACGCAGCCGGGACAAACGATGCTAGCCGTGGCTTATACAAGCGGTTCCGCCTGCCGTCACTCCCAGTCCCGTCAGCATCCTCCTCAACGTCAACATCGTCTTCAAGAAAACGAACGAAGCCCCGGCGTGCCACCCTAGACTTCAAAGCCGACGCTTTGGATACACCAGAACTCCCCACTCTAAACCCGAACTATGTCACGCGCCGCCACCGCTATGTCTACGGCGTCACGTCCTCGGGTAAATCGAGCTTTGTCGATGGGCTTGTCAAGTTCGACACGGAAACCAGGCAATCCATACATTGGAATGAATGGGGGCAGAATGCCGGCGAGCCTATTTTCGTGCCGAGGAGGAGAATGCCGACTCAGAAGAGTCCAAGAGGGAGTGAAAGTGAGAGTGGGGCGGATGGCGATGGGGAAGCGATTGAGGAAGTGGAAAAGGAAGGGGAGTCTGAGCCGTTTGATGAGGATGACGGGGTGCTACTCTCCGTAGTGTTAGATGGGTTCAAGGGGAGGTCGTATTTGCTTGTCCTTAACGCGAAAAATATGACGGAGGTTGGCAGGGCAGAGGTTGCGGGGCCCATCGGGTTTGGGTTTCACGGGACTCATGTTTCGGCACTGAGCGGAGGAAAGGGGTTGGATTTCTAGGAGCGGTTTGTCGCTTTTTTTCCTGAGATGTACATTTTTTTTTTTTTTTTTTTTTGGCCCCTCTCCTCAGATGAAACAAGTAGTAGATTCCTATTTAATGATATATAATTCCATGAATACTTTCATTCAGAGCGCAAGACACTGGATTCGCCACTGGCTTTCTTTGATCATGATATCTGCATGCAACGAAGAAGCTAACTTTGATATCAACCCTTCAGATTGCGTTGTGTTTTATTTCCATTTCTCTCTTTCATTCAAAGATTTGCGTTCATTTCCCCTGTGTGTTAATCCCCATTAAATATATAGCAACCAAGCTAAGTCAGGTGTTACTGAGTTTTTCATATATTCTATTCGACCTTACTCTTTTCCCTGTCGATCTTGACAGTTCTATCTATCCAAATTTGATCTGACATATGTCCCTTCGAGGGTTTCGACCAGAGCAGAAACGGATTGCAGTTTGGTCGAACAAATACGATTGACTTGCAATCATGTCGGACTCCGTCCCAAGCGAACGTTTTGCTGAATTGATGATATCTGGAAAATACAGTGATCTGGTTTTGGAATGCCAGGGCAAGCAGTTCAAAGTCCATCGAGCCATAGTGTGTGGCCACTCGCCCGTTCTGGCAGCTGCTTGTGACTCAAATTTCAAGGTAAGATAGATATATACATTTGTCTAGCGAGGAAGATGGAGAGAGGGGTGGAGGAGCGGTATTCGCCTAACTAACTATCAAGTTTGCTAACCTATCCACATGGAGGAGGCGGTCACCAGTACTATCGAAATAACCGGGTTTGATGTCGAGACTGCGAAGCAGATGGTGTTATGTATGTACACGGGAGACTACGACGAGGATGTGGAAGGAGGACAGTCTACCACCCCATCCCACAACGAAAGCCACACAGATGAACCTCAATCACCGAGGATGGACCAGTTATTATCACGCCACATACAAATAAACGCAATCGCGGACTATTATGACGTTGCAAAACTACGAGAGCTCTCCAATTCTAGAATCCAGAAAATCCTTACGACTTCCTGGTCACCACATGGCTTCGGTACTGCCATAGAAGAAGCTCTTAGGTCAACGGGTGACAAGAAGCTACATGAAATTCTCGCTGAGAGTGCGGCCGCGCGAATCGAAACCCTCGTGGACGCGAACGAAAATATTACCAGCGAGGATTTTGCACAGAGCGTCATATGCAAGGTGGTTGATTTGTACAAAAAGGCGAATGAAGAACTGAAGCAGCAGTTGCAGTTGCTTGGGGATAAACTATCTATAGCGCAAAGCGATATCGAGACCGCGGTGAGAGTGAAGAAAGATTTCGACAATTGCATTCAGCTTCTCCAACAGACGAAGTTTTGTCGCAATATCAGCTGCGATGCAGACTTCAGCTGTTATTTCGAGGATACGGGTCATTGGAATAACGTCCATATTCTTCGATGTTCAAAATGCCTATGCAGACATAGGAGTTAATTGATGGAGGGAAGGTTTGCGTTCAAATTATTCCATTGCCTAGGGGCCCTTAACAGTTGTGGTTCCCTAGACATCGACGCCTGTATTTTGCAAAAGCTTAAGTCAGTCCAAATTGTTTAATATGCGTCATCTTGAGTAGTGGGAGTCGGGCCACAATCGTCCTTTGAGAAATCTACTTTAATATTACTCTTTCTGGAGCTCTACGGCTGTAATACCAACTCAAAGCTAGCTAGTTAGTTACCTGTGCCGTAATCGTGTCAGAAATGAGATAGCATATCAAGGATTCTGTTGATTGCACTAACAAGGATCAAGTAATATCTCACTATTTGAAACCGGATCACTGCTCCGGTGTATACCAGCACTGCCCCTATCATATGTTCAAGCAAGCATTCTCTTTCTTATAAATACTGCCTGATTATCATGTAGTTACTGGAGTTAGAATTGCTTATTCTAACTCCAACAATTACATGATAACTAGGCAGTAACTATTTATCAGGAAATTCCAGGTTTCAAGTTGCTACAGAATCCTTGGTTTTACATTTTGTCCAACTATCTATCGCAAATGCTAAAATCAAATCAGATTATGAGTCTTTTAACCAGCACTCTAATCCTCCTCACAAGCCCCCACACCCGCTCCCTCGCCTCCGCCCTCTCCACCCCATCCCCAAGCAACCTCTCATACTCCGTATGCTCATGCCGGATATGCGCATCAACCGCCAGACCCACCTTGACCTGCTCACTCGCTACCGTCCCACTCCTCCCAAGGCGCCGCGAGCCCTTCAGGAATGCGTGACCCAGCACTTTCTCCAGGGTCTCGGCTGGCATGGCGGGGAATTGAGCGCGGAGCAGCGTGCGCGCTCTCGAGGTGTCGCGAGCGTCCTTTTGGGCGACGGCGCGGGATCGGGCGTGGAGGGTGCTTGCAGCGGTTTTTGGTGACGGTGGTGTGGACTTGGGCGGCGTGCGCTGGGTGTGCGGGTTCTGGGTAGATTTTGTTGATATATGTTAAAAGTGGGTTTCAGGTTTTGCGGCTAGGGGGTTTTCCAAGATGCTTGTTAGGGGTGTGGTGTTTACATATACTGTATAAACAGTCTGCTTTGCGTCGTGGGAGAGACTGCGGCAGTTCCGAGTGATGTAGACGTCGCCCTTCGGAATGAAGATGTAGCCTGGTGATGGACCTTGGGTTTCCGTTCGGATCTGGATACTAATGGTTAGCAAAAAATGATCGATATCAGATCGGCTTGTCAGGTTCCCCTTCATAGAAGATAATTTACAGCTTCCAATGACGCCTCCCCAAACTTTTCTTTGACAACGTTCTGTTTCTCTAACGCAGAGAGGCCTGTTTCTTCTTCCTAGTGACTTTCGACACGGTGGTATTATTCGCTTGCTTTCGCGTTCGGGATCGGGATGGGGGGCCCTTTCCTCTTGTCCTTAGTTTTTACGGTAGCCATGGTGGAAGAGCTTGCTCGGTGATGGTCTCTTACTGTTGGGGAGCTCTGAAACGTTGATGGATGTATCCGACAACACCATGATACAAACCCAACCCCGGAACGCTTCGACCAATGACTTGAATAGCATTCCATTCCTTGCGTCCGATATGATATATACCACCTCACTTTAATTAAAATCCGGGTTAATTTATTCCGGCTGCACGTCATGTATTCTCCGTAAGTTTGTACTTACAACACAAGGCGTTTTCTGCTTCATTTATATTTCCATGGTATCGAAATACTAATTTCTGCGGTGGCTATTCTGGCTACTAGTATTCCTCGGTAATTCCATTGGGAGTAAATAATATTGTTGCATGGACGGTACAGAGGGAATGCAGGTCCTCCTATTGCATCCACCACTCTGGATTGCAACCTGTGTGCAGCTGCGTGTAACTGGACTGCTGATGTGCTATTGTCTTGACCTATATCACTGTCTCGATTGGCCTTGCGCCGAACAGCATGCTTCCAGCTTTTCTCCGTGTGAATAGTACTCAAGTCGGCACTGTGACAATATGCCTGCCAGGAGCTATGCTATAGTTTGGGCAACAGAAGACTTCCCTTCACAACTCGAAGCTTCCATTACATCTGAAATCCTGAATGCATACCGAGAGACAGTGCTTCATTTTCCTGCCAGGTTATTCCAAATAACGCTTGAGGCTCTCAGCACTCTCACTCTCATGCCTCTCAGGCTAGAGTTAGGAAATTTCGGCGAATAAATGTGATGCCCTGATCGCGCACAAATGGGTTCTGCTTCTCTGTACTGTCCACCCCAACAACCCACGGTGTATGGTATCTCCGCCAGCTAAACCTCAAAACACTGGGGGAAGTATACGCACAACGAAATGGGCTCATCATGATTTCTCCGCCAGTTGGATAGATTATCATACAGAACACTGATCCTAGGTTGGTTGGATTAGTTTTTCGTCGGTGCCTAGTGCTCTGTGGTTTGAAAAAGCTAGGATTCTGATGATATCTATCACCTGCGATATAGGGAGTTTGGGCCCAAAAACTTGACTATCTCTGACTTGTTCGAGGTGATCGTGTGTGAATCTTTGGACGGATTTCAAGTTGGCTTTGCTAGCTAGATAATAGTGAAAACACTCATTAGTCAACGACATGATATATATATATCTATAGAGCAAGCAATTTTGGTGCTGCATCTTCCTTTCTCAACATTCGTCATGCTGCTGGTTTAACCGGCCTATTGAGTTGGGGCCCCAAGAGGCAAATGACGACAGCTCGTCGGGGGAAGTGCCCAAAGACAAAGACGAATTGCGATGACATGGCAGCTTGCTGAAGTGGATGTTTGAAGATGGTCCCATTCCTCTCCCCGCAAGGTTCTGTTTTGCTTTTTCCAGATCTGGAGGAATTTTCCGAAGGCAGCCTAGTGGATGTCGATCGGTTTAGCGCCCAATACTAGCGCCGCGTGCCTGCATTTGGTAAGCACGACATCAACACGGAAATGATGCCCGAGGGTTAAATAAAGTTGGAAAAGACACACAAAATCCAAGCAAGGTACTCCGAGTATTTATTCTCGTGGCCTTGGCCTGAAGGCGGGAGACTGGCTGGGGATCTATCTACGTATCTATCTATATCATAGTATACTATATATATATATGTATGTATGTACCTGCATATAATTCGGGGTCCATGTCCTTACCAACACTGGCGCCCCCTTGCCAAGGCATATATCACTCTCAAGACAGAGGCAGGATAAGATCACCGTTTCTCGATTATTTCTTGATTATTCATTCCTGATCTTTGATTGATGAGGTTTACCTACTTATTGTGCAATGCCAATCTAAACGCTGGTCTTTCCAAACCATGGGAACCATAATCGTAGTGCTAGTTAACTTTGGCCCTCGCAGCATTCTGTTTCCGGATTGAATTGCAATGCCCATTTTTCGCCTTATTTTATGACAACAATGTTTAGAGTCTTGCTCATCATCACCCACTGATTCAAGTTAAAAAGACTAGGGGAAGCGGAAATCTGTTTCTGCTGAGGTCCTGAAACGTGCAGCTGCCACGGGTCAGAGCGTGGTCGTGCCCGGTGCAAGCCCGACAGTTGCCGCTCGCCTTGAGTTGAGTTGTTGGCTCATGAAATGAGATAATGAGAAGTCAAGAAAAAAAGAAAATGGATTTAATCGTCAAACCCACGGTTACCAGCCAGTAATGGCTTATACTGCCTCGAAGTCTTCACGTAACCCTGGTGCAAGGGCAGAACTGGTTTGGCATTTCCTGCAGCGGATTCTTGTTCTTATCGTCCCGCCAGGGACCGGCCGTGAGTCGGCGGTATATATTGAAATAATTTTATATGACTTGGGGCATGATTCCAGCCCCAGGGCCAGATAGAGACACCCTGGATAAGCAATGTCTGTTATCGTCTAATATGTATACTGATTACCTCTTTTATGTAGATCGACGCATGGCATGCGTGAGGGAATAAGGAGCAAAGTACTCGACAAGTTAACTACCTTTAGCAGTGGGGGTGGGGGAAGATACAAGCATCTAATCTCCGTGTGCATGCAAATATCTTGCATACATGTCCTTCCGTTTTCCTTGATTCCAAAGGCTTTTTTTAATTATTATTATTATTATTATTATTATTATTATTATTATTATTATTATTATTATTCTCCTTTTTGCCTTTCCTTTTCTTTCCCGTTTCCCTCTTCGGCTTATTGGTGTATTTGAGATCCGTCTGAACCCTTGGTTAAATATATTACTATGACTATTAAGCATTAGCTTAATGTTATACCTAAATCCATCGCAAAATTTAGAACTCGCCTGAGTCCTCCCTCGCCCTGGTGGAACTCAAGCAAAGGCCTTATCTTAATTACCAAACTATGAACGAGGAGGTGTTTTCAGTTTTCTGGATAATTAATTATACCAACGGCAATAATAGTAATGAATGTCGGGGATGATGGAGCCCGCCCCGCCCGTTTGGGTGGTCTGGCTCCATCCGTTCGCTTGTCGAGCCCTGGATCTGCCCGTCAGGGGCATGGGAAAGGAAAGTTCACAAAAAATTAAAAAGAAGCAAAGCTCAAAGATGCAAGATGTCGAGGGTTGTGTTTCTTTTCTCTTTTGTTGTTAATGGATAGCTCCAGTGGTAATTTTGAGATCCGAACATTTTGTTCCTTTTGTACCTTTTTGTGCCTTTTTTTTGGCTTTCCTGCCCTGGTCCGAATAGGAAATATCCAAATAAAAAGAAGAGTAAAACTTACTGTCTGATGGAGGTTACTCTGTATTATTACTATTATTATTAATGCCCGAATCTCTGGAGAAATAAAAGTAAAAAGCAAAATTGGTCAAATCAGAGATTTAACTTAACTAACGACTGATTTCAGCCTTTTCCTGTTCCTGTGTCTCTTTCGGATTTTCTCTTTCCTCAACTCACCTTCTCCAATCCTCTGTCCAACCAACTTCATTTTTCATTTTCACCTTCACCTCCACCACGACACCCCAAACAAAGTGCACAACCACCCTGCTCCATCTCCGATTGAGCACTCTCTTCTGCCTTGTTCGATCCATGAATGTGATGAGCCTCTGATATCTGCTGTTCTGCTGTGTCTCCTCAAGTCTACAGCATCTCCCCCCTCCCATCCCCACCGTCCAGGCCTGCTGCCTGTTTACTTGACCTCCGATTTGCTCTGCCTAGCCTTGGGAGCTCCTTAGACCGCCGGCCAACGAGATCCACCCCAGATCCATCCCACGGCTAGCTGAAGGACAACATCCTTCGTCTCTGCTCAGCTTCGATCCTGATTTCTTAACGACCACGACGTCCCTCCCGGAAGATCCTATTAGTTATCACCTCTAAGACACCCGCAACATCAGAAGTTCGAATACATCCGGGCTCGTTGAGACATTTGTTGGCTGGGTGGCTCGTCAACTCCCATGTTTGCTAACACTGACATTCTGCTGATATGAGTTGGGACCGTCCAATCCACAGGTCCGTTTTGTCCTTTTCTATTCCATCTTTCATCTTCTGCTTTCTCTTCGGTTCTCGCCAAGTGCTTGGATGGTCGAAGAAATGTTCGAAGAAATGTTTTGAGCTTTCCAATTTGTCCACCCAAGAAGCCCCACTGCCGCCTCGGTAGCATTTGTACCGTCAGCTAAATAATATATCATGTAACTTTAAATTTGCAATTTTTTTATGCTGACACTTGCTTGGGCATTACTACATATACATGAGCAGTTTCAACTCCTCCAATGGCGACCCTCAGACCCCAAAAAGAACCCCGACTTCTGCTGCCTTCGGCGAGTCGACCTTCCAAACCCCGAAACTCGAATCCAGCTTCTATGACCCTCGAGTCACCTGGAACACGGCAGACCCATACGCGTCAAGCCCTGAATTCCTCAAAACTCCCCAGCGATTCGGCTTGACGACCCCTTCCAATCACAACTATCTCCATGGCTTAGCTGAACGGGATTCCACCCTTGAGCCCTCTGCCTCGTTTGCACTGAGTCTCTCCCCGCAACTTGAACGGACTACACTTGCTGGAACTGTTGGGGTGAAGAAGACCAAGGGCGGCGCAAAGAAAAGCAGCAACAGCAGGTCTGGGAAGGAAGCATCAGACGATCAGGAAGATGAGGGTGGTAAGGATACAAGTGACTCTGCGAAACACTCAGCAGCTTCGATGCAAACCCCACCCCCAACGAGCACGGGCAGGAGAAAGATGCAGAACAAGAGCAATCCCATCCATACACATCTAGGGAGTACTACTGGCGGTGCTGATGGTATGATGGGACCCCCCGACTCGGGTCACCTACAGACTCCAAGCCGGGTTGGTGGAATCTCCGCCAACCTGTTTGATGGTCAAACTCTGAACCTATTCCAGGCAGCTGCTGGCTCCTCCGCAGATTCACCATTCTTGCCACAAAATAGGCTCTTTTGGGACCAGGATACACAATTCTCAACTGATTCGCTGGATATGCCAGACAATTATGGAGATCCCTTCGGACCGAACCAAACAACTACTGCTGCCTTTGATCATGGATTTGCTCAAAGCGGACTGCAGAATGACACCCTCCAGGTTCCCAAATTCGATACCATACAAGCCACGTCCGGGATGGGACATTTTGACGATTCTCACGCTTTCAATACCCCCTCAATGGGATCCATAGACTCTAACCTTTTTCATTCCTCGTTCTCGACGTCCCCCCGTCTCCCCACCGTACGAGATGAGGACCCTGCCATGTTCTTAAGCTCTCCCGCTCGTAGATTCGGGTTTTCAGAGTCAAACATGCCACAAAATACGCCCCCTCGGCTGGAGACCCGTCAACCGTATCATCATCAAACTGAGGAGTCCAAACGTGAGAAAAAACTGAAAGAGTTGAAGCGTGCTAAGAGTTTAGCCCGCCGTAAAGCTGAAGCCGCTGATGAAGCATTGGATGCCCTCCGTCAGTCACGATCTTTGCAGTTGCTCTCCAGACGAAACTCTACTCATTCCACCCACCCGCACAATCGCCATGCAAGTGTATATTCCTCTTCTGGCACTGGCTCTGATGGTAATGGTGTAAGAAAAACCCCTACCAAAGACCACTTGTCACCTCTGAAAACAGAAGCACCCTCATTTCATCGTCCTAGCTCGTCGGCAGCTCTATGTGCACCTGTTGAGTCGGTGGTTTTAAAAATCGGGAAGGATGGACGCGCTAAAACTGAGATGAAAGTAGTAACTGAGCCACCGGCGACCTTGGCTCGTGGACCGGGAATGGATCTAGAAGAGTCGTCCGCTGAGAGTGAGACTGAATCCTCAGATGAATCCGATTTTCCAATTTCTCACAGTACAAACACTTCTTTTCATATACATCCCGAATCTACTCCACGGCAGCGTAACATGTCGCGTGCGCATTCCACCTCACGCCCGCAGTCTAAAAGCTCCTCTTATTCGTCAATTGTGGCATCTCCTCACTCCGGACGACATTCGCCCTGGACAAACTCGTCGCATAGTAGCGGGAGGCTACCACAATTACCCGCTCAGAAAGACAGTTGGATGTTGACTCGTCGACAACACACTAATCCTCCCGGTGGCCACTCGCGCGGCCAGTCGATAACTGACTCCGAAGCCACTCAAGAAGACGACGATGAGGCAGGTGACGCCCAGCATGCACTGAAACAGGTGTTGAGGACACGGAGCAGACAGGCTAAGCTGCCCACAGCCCTATATAACCGTAAGAGGCGCCACTTGCATAATCCGGGAACATTACGATCATCTCCACCTGGGCTTGGTAGTCAATTCGATTCCCGCCACGGAGATATCAGTTCACCTACTACAATTACGGATCCTGATTTTGCAACACCAACTACCGATCGCCAGAGCAATCCTAGCAATGGAACCAGGTGTGTTTGTAATTCGATGGATAATGGTGGACATCTGATGATCCAGTGGTATGTTACCCCGTCCTTCTTTCGCCAAATAAAACCCCCTTTATTCATTTTTACTAACCTCCTTGACTGAACTAGCGAATCTTGCACACATTGGCTCCATACGAAATGCGTTGGCCTGGACCGCCAGAGTCTCCCCCCTGTCTACATATGTATATATTGCACTCAAACGCCGATGAGAGGTGGCCGGATTCGAGACCCCCTTGCTGGCACCCTAGGTGGCCAAATCCCCACGTCCCCCCTTGCTCACAAGTCGTACCGGTTCCGATAGTCATTCCCAGTCTCTCGTACTCAATATTTCAGTTTCAAATGTTATTTCACCGTCCCGCTGTCAGATGCATATATTATCTATTTGGCGGTCTGTATCGCTTAGTACACGGGATCTCATCCTTTTTTTTTAATTTTACCTTTTTCCCCTTGACTCTATTCCACTTTTTAAGCGTTGCAGGTCAGCGACGATGGCATGTCTACTTTTAACCCTTCATACAACACAATGACTGCTGCAGGAGGACCTGAAGAGCCGTACTTGATTTTGTCACTCATGTTCTCCGCCTTCTCATAATCCTTTCCCGATACAAGTTCAATTGCAATTACACTTTACCAATACCCCGTTCCGCAGCTCTTCGCCATTTCCATCCTTGTTTCCCTTATTCTTTTGAGCCTTTTACCCCTATTTTTATCATGAAATATTAATAGCACAAAATATCAAACCTGATTTGTTTTTTTCGGAAGTCTGCCAAAATAAAAGCAAAATAGAAATGATTAAATAATAAACAAGTAACGGTACTCACTAAACTGTCAAGTTCCTGTCCCTACTACGCTGCGCACTCTGTTGCTTCCACTGTGTTCCCCTGTGTCATGTGCTGGACTACGCCGAGTGTGTAATCTGTACTGTTGGAGTGGTTGGCGAAAATCCGAACCACGTAATATTGTTTCTGATGGACGTCTAAAGTGGTTGGTTGTATTTGGTTGCTATCTACGGAGGGTTCTACTCCTCAGTATATACAAGTAAGGAGAAAAAACCATGCAGCAGAGTTTCCATTGCTGCATGGATTGATTGTTAACTGAATAATAGATTAATGGATCATGCATACATTGACGGACAGTTAATGGATGATAGTCAGATGAGCTAGAAGGATCATGCAAGAGTATGATGTTAGAAGGTATTTTATATCCCGATGAAGATTGGTTGTTCGCGACCTGGGTATATCTGTATTAGTGGGTGTTTTTTCTTTCATTTTTGTCTTCATATTCTAGAAGTACAGTACATATAGATCCAATTCCTCCTTCATGTATGACGTAATAAAGAAGGATTTCGTTCCTCAATCAACCCCGTAGCCCTTCCCTTCCCTAACCGCCATCTTTTCGCCCTCTCCCTCCAGCTTTGCCTTCCAAACTCCCACCCTCGACCCCCTTCCTCCTTGTATCGGGCCCCTCCACAAACCCGCCACCGTCTCCACAGCCCGCTCAACAACTACCCGCACCCGGTCCCTCAACACCGCAGACCCGCACTCCACCTCCAGTGTCTCCAGCCACACACGCGCCACATGCTTGTCGACCCGGATCTCCAGACCTGGCACGGGAATGCCGAGACTGTAAAGCCGCTCCAACTCCGCAGATTCGAGCTCGTACAGGTCTTCGGCAGTGAGGTCTTCGGGCGATGGTGTTGGTGTGGGTGAGGGAGAGAGGGACGGGGAGGGTGCGGTAATTGTCGTGCCCGAAGCGGTTGAGGTGGAGACTGCGCTGGTGGCGTCTGGGTCTGGTTTTAAGAGAGTTGATGCTACTGTTGCTGTTGTTCTTGGTGTCGAGGTGCCATTGTTGTTAAGTGTTGAGGAGGAGGTGGTGGTGGTGGTGGTGGCCGCGGCGAAGGAGGTTTGCTTGATCCTTGGCTTTTCGATGGCCGCGATGTTGGGCCCGAATTGCGCTTCGAGCAGCATGCAGAGGCGGGCGAGGCGTTCTTCTGGTGTCAGGTTGGAGTGTGGGTTTGGTAAGTTGAGGGTTGGGGTGTGCGAGTGCAGGTGTCGGTGTTGTTTGCTTGAGCCTGTTGAAAGAGTAATCAAAATTAGAATACGACGAATAACACAAAGGGAGTTTTAGTTGTATGCATTCATACGTTTTACAGAAGCTGGGCTGGTCTCCACTGTAAGTAACACGGCCATGACTGCATCGGCAATCCCATCGTTCATCATATTCCCTTCCCACTCGACAATCACCTCTCGCGTTCGTGGAGTGTAGAGGATAGTAACGCAGCCCATCACTAGATACGCCAGTGTTTCTTCCGTCGAAATTTCCTCATCTACTTTCTCATCTTCTTTCTTCACATCGGTACTCTCCCCGTCAAAACCGTTGGTCTTCAGGTCTTCGGCCTTTGGGCGATCCGGACGGATTTCCTCAACAGCGCCAAAGGTCCCCTCCAACGCCCATCGGATCAATTCAATGCTGGCCGTGTTGAGCGTGATGTGCTGTTTGCAAGTGACGGTCGTGGTAGCCAGGCCAGCATATTCCCTGAGATCTTCAGGCGCCATCAGGGATAACTTGAATCCGTGTTGCACGAGAACGCCGTTCAGAAGTCGTGACTCCTTATGGCCAGAAGGTGGTACGGTCTCTGCAAGCCGCCCGACGACTTTGGCAACCTTGTCGACTTGGAAGGGTATTCGGACTTCCTCGCAGTTTGCTGGCGTATATACTTTGATTTTGACGGTTTTGTCCGTGTTTAAACTTAGCAGTTTGGATTTAAGGCGCATCATTTGGTTTTTTTCTCCGTGGACAAGGATCTTTGGTGAACCGTCAGTAAAATCAAGTATGGGAACTAAATTTCCAGGAAGGGCAGAAAACAAACTCACCACAACAGGGGCGCCAACTTCTTCAATAAACGCGCGGTTTTCCATTCCATCGACGTGGGCTGCAAAACTTATTTCATCCACGCTGCATCGCCTCGGAATCATGACCTTTTGCTCATCGTCATCTCCAGTGGCCATTCTCCTAGCCGGCCCAACAGCATTCCTGCCGCTCATCACTGCCGGAATTTGCTCTGGCTCATTTAGGATCTGTTTGCCCATAGTACCCTCAACACTATAGCCAGTCATAATTACACCGTTTCGTTCGTTTGGCGCCCACCGTTCCAGAAGTTCCCGGCTAGTGCCTGTTTGCAGCATACCAGGAGAGGCAAGCATGACGCATCCGCCCACATCATCAAAGCGCTCAATACTCCTCACACTGCGCACGAACCGGAAATCCCACGGTCCTGCGCTGATGCTCTTATCCCCAGAGGCTTCAGCCTCCGCCATCCGTTGGCGGAAAAGGCGCTTGATATTTTCGTTCATGGCTCCAATGTATGTCTGATAAACAACCATACATCTCCGTGCAATGTTTCCGATATAGTAGATAGGTATCTTCTGCAACTCGGGATGCCGACTCCAGTATTCGTCGAGAATTAATAATAGCTCCTGTGCTCGTCCTAGAGCAAAAACTGGCATGAGAACCCGTCCTCCTCGGTTAAGAATTGATGTGATAGATTTAATAAGCGCCGCCTCTCGTTCCAAGCGAGGTGGGTTGGAAGATACACCGAATGTGGATTCAGTGATGAGCACGTCAACTTTGACACCTTTTGGTGCTTCTGCTGATATAAGATGTCGGTCTTCTTCACGAGAGTAGTCGCCCGTGAATAGAATGTTAAGACCAGCGATTGAGATAAGAAACATGGCTGCACCAAGGACATGGCCCGCAGGAAATGGGGTAATACGAATGTTGTTGATAGTATGGGTGGTGTTGAAATCAATGGCTTCTATATGGGACAAGGTCGAGAGGTGGTCTTGTTCCGTGTAGAGAGTTGTGCGCTGATCGGAGGAAGATGACGTATTGCTAACCCGGACATTGTCCTGGATCAACCATTTGTAGATAGCTTTGGTAGCATGGGTCATAAAAACCCGGCCTCTGAAGTTGGTTTTGCTAAGGACGTAGGGTAGACTGGCTGAGTGGTCCAGATGGAAACTAGTTTGTTCAAAAACAATGTATTAGCTAGGTGTCTGGTTTTCGAGAACGGAAAATATAATGAAATACGCAGACTAATGGACAGGGGGTATGCTGTACACGCGCGATGCTAAGTCGAGCACAATACAAGAGATGGATAGAGAAAAACAAGCACATATGCAAAACGAGGACAGGGGAGAATTTCATTTGTTTTCTCATATATACATATACGTATATATATTCAGGATAAGGGAGAATGAAGAGGTAACAAAATTTGCGAGAGTAATTCTCCGAAAAGTGAAATAGAGAGCTCTTCGGTCCGTGCCGATTTTGATACAAAATTATGCTGCTTTTCATTTTTCCAATCCAGAATAGTTGCAGCAAGATCAAAATCAAAGATACAAAAATACGAAAAAAAAAAAAATCATTTGACGTACTGGCTTATAAGAAGGATATCGACAGTGCTTAGGTCAAAATCGTCGAAGAATGGGAGTGCAGCGAATCCATCTTTTGCCGGGTGCATTCCAGCGTCAAGCTATACAATTAGTATTGGCTGGACTGAAAAGCGATGCGGCACAATGAACAACGACATAATGACAATTGCTCACCATAACTGTCTTCCCCTTGTATTGAATGATATGACATGACCTCCCGACTTCATTTCCACCACCAAGATTGTAGAACAGGAGCTCGTCAGATGGGTCAACAGGCTCATCACCGTCAACGGCGTGAAGAGAGGACGCCTTCCGTTTTGCTGCCATGACATATATTGAAATCTCTCAATCTCCTAGCTTTACAGATGCGACATCCGTCAAACTGTTTGATATTTTGTCATAAACCTATAACGTTTTGGCGCATGGAGTAGCGACGTTTGTGTAGAGACCTATTCCTCTCATTAGAATGATGACATTTAAATATAATGCGTCATCAATGGGCAATTCGATTATCGTGTTATTGCTCCAGATCCGCTTCAAATATTTGGTCATCTCACTCGAATAATCGGGTTATTGTTCCTCTCAGTCGTCGTCTGTAATGTCGCTGAATCCTGGCGGAGATCTCAATGGTTGAATTTCTTATGTCATCATAGCATTCACGTGACTGGGCATAAAAACTCGTTCCAAGGTTGCAAACAACCGCGACACAAAACATCCGACATCTGGAGCAACATCCAACTGGACGACGACGACAACGACAGGAGAAATATATATATATATATGTATATTGGTCGCGGCTACCCGGCTATAGCGATATTTTCGCAGCTCACTCTTGTTCAAACTTTCGCAGAACTACTCTGAAATGATAGCGTTTCTACCACGTCTCTTGGAAGGGCGCATTGCTCTCCGTCTTCCCACCCTCCGCTAGCGATTTGATGCTTCAATCGCGAGCTCGATAACTGCTCATATTACCATCCACCCAACTCCCACTGGGCATCTTTCGCCATTCCATATTCGTCATGGCCCAAACACAGTCTCAGCAACAGTTTGCTTCACAGGCCTTCTCCCCGCCTGGTTCCACACCGTCCCCTACTGGAGCCCCTTCTTCGGCCAGCAGCGTCGCCCCTCCCCCAAAACGACAACGCCTCTCACCTTTACCTCAGACTCACTCTCCCTACTCGTCTCCAGGCTTTGGCACGTTACAGCTACCTCGGACAGGAAGTCCGGCCAACGGCAACCTCACCAACGGCACCTCCCCTCCAGCGATATCCGCTCCGCCACCTCCACCTTCAGGAACTATGGGACCTCCATCGAGACCCGTCGAGAAAGCCACCGATACAGCTGAGCTAACAGATGTTTTGGCTTCGTCTGGCATCGATGTGAGAGAAGAAGAGGAATATTTGACCCATGCTTATGGGCAGGCTCCTCCTGCCCCAAAACCACCCCCGCGTATCCAAACGAACTTCAACAACCCCCCCCCCTCCCAACCATCCGCTGGTATAGTCTCCGCAGGAACCAGTTTCCTTGGCTCAGTGTTGCAGAAGCCAACGCCTACGCAGGGTACGTTTTCCACTAGTACGCCGACTCCCGCGGAACCCGCCGCTGCTGAGGACGAAAAGCTACGTCAAGATACTGCAGCAAGCAGACGTACGCAATACCCTCTACAGTCATCTTTTCTGTTCACGGCAATGGTGGAAGATCGAATACAAAAGCGAGCCTACGACCTTGGTGTGCGAATGCCTGCGCAAGGCGTCTATCGTCCCTTCCCGGGGCGTGCTGCTGGCCCTGTCGAGGTCACAGGTCCAGATGGCTCTTCCGTGATACGAACCGGCAAAACTCTTTTGACCCAAAACGCTCCACTTGGCGATATATTGTCTCTAATTTCACTGGCATGCGAAGAGAGGCTTCGCTCGGTAATCGATCATTCTTACACAGTAGCAAGCAATCGACGTGCCAATTCTCATGGTGCTGTTCCATTACAGTGGAGCGACGTGGCAGTCACATTAACTCCCCCAAGTAAAAGGGCAGATGGTCCACCGAATAGAGATGTGCTTGCTAGGTCATCAAATCCTGAACGTATGCAAATCGAGCCGTCTTGGGAACGTTTGATAACTTTTGAACTAACCATCATGTCTTCTAGGTTCTCCACCTGATACCTTCCAGGCTGACGAACTATCCAGCAATAAACAGATTACAGCAGCCCATATCGTAGCGAAACGGAGTCGCAGTTTGATCGAGAAGGATATGTCGAGTGAAGAACTACGGTCTCGTAAACGAGTCAGAAGGAACGCCGACACGACCCTAAATGGTGATTCCAGCAAGATGGGTTCAGTTGGGGTCGCCACTGCTGGCGCTGCCACACCGACTACTCCAGCCACTGAGCGTGCTCTAGATGACCGCAAAACCACCAAAAAAGACTTAAAAAAGGTCGACTCTAAAGTCACGGAAGCCGTACAACATCAGCAGTCCGTTGAAACGGCTCGGATGGCCACGAACAGTCTGACATCGGGCGTCAGATTTGGCGGGAAAAAGAAAACCTACAGCTGGCTAACCACTGGATCTACCACAACGTCGCGGAGTGGTTTTTCCACACCGCCGAGGGCAAGTCCTGCTGCTACCGTTCCAGGCACGTCTGCTGCGAAGCTTAGTGCTGGTGGCGTTGGAGGAACTAGTAAACCAGTAAGCAAAAAGATGGGAGACTGGCGAGAGGATGATAAGGAACGCGGGGCCGGGATCCAGATTAGGGATATCCTTTTTGTGTTGGAGATCGACGGCAAGGGCTCGAAGCATCTACAGAAGGCTTATTCGAAGGAATCGAAGGAGGATGTCGATAAGACTTCGCGGTAGTAAATCTCTAAACCTTCACCTTATATAACAAGGATAGCCACTTGGAGATCAACGAGATCTAGGGGGATCGGCGTCTTGGTTTTCCCATTCTAACTTCATTATCCTGGTTGTTTGGTCGGGGTTGTTTTATTTTCTTTTTCCATTCTCTGCATGGGTTATAGTTACTATTGATCAACTATTCTATCTATATCATTTGCATCTGCATAGGTGCATAAGTACTTGTTTCTGCACTCGACCTCTTTGAATTTATTATTCCCAAAACATCAACAAGAACATTTGATATCATTTGATCCTTCCGTTTGCTTCTTCGACGGCTTTCATCTGCGTGGCACGCATATCTGATGTACTGTACAGTACGTAAACACGAATGAAATAATTCCGTCTGTTATTATTAGTTGCCTTTTCGTATGGTTAATGGCGTTAGCTGCTCTATTGTCATTCTATCCTCTTCCCTACGCCGTTGTCAGGAAATCATTTTTCAAATTAATGTTGTGTGGTAGCTCTCTGTAAGAGTCTGCACAAGGAGTTCGCATTTGCGCGAACAATCATGTCCAATTTGCTAATTTGAGATGCACCAGTCTAAGCTTCTTTGCTTCATTGTGCGACTCCTTTCTGTTCGCCTGTCTTTTCTGTAATGATTCCTCGCGAGGAATCTCAACCTCCTCCTCGCCTTGTCTCTTTTTCGCCTGCTGGCGGAATTTTAGGCTCAGTGAAGAGCCAGACGCTTGCTTGACAGTCTTTTACTTAACATTTGTTAATTCAGTCTTATCTCTTTGTGGACTGTAAATTCTATTTTTAAAATGTTTAATTTCTCTTTTTAAATCATTTTGACATTTCATTAATCTACCCAACTTTGATTATCTCTTTCCAGCCATTGATTAGACAGTAGCTAACTAACAGACAGGTTATCCCGCATGAAAAACATGGCGTCCTTGCTCATGTTTCTCTACTGTAATTAACAGGGGGAGACTATCTGGCACCAGACGATAAATACGTTCGCCGTTGGCGTTGATGCTGTTGCTCGCGAGACTTCAACAATGTACTGTACATGCACCAACATGCTGCATATTCTGAAATTTGCCGTTAATTCAAGGGGGAAAAAAAAAGGCAACAAAGATGGGGCAATGCCACTCAACTTGGGACACTTTTATGATGCATATTATTGCGTTTAATATATTAATATTGGACCACTTTGCGTCTCTTGGTAACATTTGGACGTTTGATTCATTTCCACACATGCAAATCTTAAGCGGACCTATCGATGATATATATCTTCAAATCTATAGCTATATAAAGCTATAGCTATTTCTTTCAAAATCCCAAGGAGCAGATGACAAAAAGAAGAAGCAAAAATGATATTCAACCCTTGCCTGATGGCCCTGGCCATTGTCCCAGGCCTTGTATCAGCAACTCCAGCTCCAACTTCTGGAGCTATCTTTCTGTGAGTAACTCCCACCCAATACCCTTTTCCATCTCATTCCGGCCGTCAGAGCAAAGACGAGGGGAAACCAGAAATGGAGATAAGGAAAATAGAGAAGGAGATCATCAACATATAACACCTCAAATGCAGGCGACGCACCCCGACCGTCCAACCAGGTGAACTCATAACAGACGCCGTCGCCCGTCTTAATCTACCTACTCAGCATCGTCTGAATGGAACTACAGCTACTACCTCCCCCGCCTGTGCATTCAGCCATAATTACAACTCCTCTGCCTCCGAGCTCACCGCCCCTCTCGCATACGTCAACCCAGCCCTCGTCGGGGTGGGCCAAGGAACCAGCAACAGCAGCGCTCACTCCAACATCACGGATCTCTGCGGCGCTTCCATTATTGTTATCAATCCCCTTTTGACCAAGGTGGTAGCTGCTACGGTCGCAGGCAGTTGTGGGAACTGCTCGATGTATGATGTTGAGCTTTCGAGGGCGGCATGGCAAGATTTAGCAGGAGCAGAAGCATTGGGGGGAGATGGAGGGGAAGTGTTGACGGGCAATGGGGAATCAGAGGGATTGAAACCAATGTCTGTGAGGAGGGTTGTGCAAGAGAAGATAGGCGTTTCTGTTCAGTGGTAAGTGATTTAGTTTTTAATTGCTCTTTTTCGTCTCCTGGAGTGCTGCGATATTTTATATCGGAGTGTCAATTCAATCAACTAACGAACAATATAAAAACTACTTTGCTCCCTCCCAGGATAATTCTAGCACGTCTGTCAGGGCCGCAGCGGCAACTTAATGAGAGTCAGAATCCAAATATGAATACCACCCAGCGGCCGAATAAAGGCAAGGGACGTGTTCCCATCTTCCCTGGAATTGGCCAAGTGCGAATGTGGGCATCGCTTTAAGAAATGGGGCAGAGGAATGAGGGGAGGTTGCTGGGCTACTTAATTGAGATTTTGGATTTGTTTGTCACTATGTTATCTTAATCATCTGTTTTATTAGTTATTGGTTTTGTCATTATTATCGATTATTTACTTGGCTTTTCCCCTGGAATTTATAGATTTGTGCTTTTCTTTCGCCCTCTCCCCATTGTGTTAGAAGTAGGTGACCATAGATCGATAGCTCAAAAAACAAGTCTTGCGTCTCATTCTTATTCTTATTATTTTTATTACATTTGCTCTATAAGGGGAACTGGAATTTATCCAGGGGTGGTAAATCAGGCATCACTCATAACCATCACTCATAAAGCAGTTAACAGAAATTTTGGTCTACGCAACTCCTGAAGTTGTTGTTTGTGATGCTAGCATCTATGAAGTATGTAAATGTACTGTACAAGCAAGGCGAAGAACCCGGACCAATCACTCAGCGTGATAAAATAGCAGAAGCATGCTACAAGGAGTCGGATGGATATGATGTGAAGATATCGGAATCACTCTCTATCCATCCCCTTCCCTCCTTACGTCTCTCTTTCGTCTTAACCATCCAAGCTCCTCGTCACATCAGTAGGTGCACAGAGGCTAGTAATTGTAATAGCATAATTATTGAACATTCAAACACGACAGGGATAATTACCATAACTATATATTCAGCTTGTCGTACATCTACATGGCTCAAAAAGATAGTTTTGACAATGCCCAACAAAAGGGAATATATATAACAGTTACAGAAATTAGAAAAACAAAACATAAGTCTAGGTACAAGAAACGACATATGTTATATATAGCTGATTCCCCATGAAAGGAACTTCACGTAGTAATAAACAAACATCCGGTCCATCCTCCGGACTTCCATTACGCATCACCCTCCAACCACCAGCCGGTTGCCCCTTTAAAGAGAAATAGAATAAATCCTCAAACTAAACCAACCTAGCCAAGTCGAAAAGGAGCAATAGCTAATTAATATCCTTCCAAGAATGCCCACCATTCTGTTGCTCATCTCATCTGTTCTATGCCCTTGCTGTATTTGATGTTCCGGCACGTTAATAATGTTGGGCAGAGGCGTGAAATGTTGTGTGTTGTGTGTTGTGGGTTTAAAACGCCCATATTAGGCACGGCAGAGCACAAAACATAAGACGGGTGGGTGATAAGCAGGCAAAGAAAAACATTCATCACTTCATGAACACTCATATGGAATACTATGTGAAATCCACACATAGATAAAAAATGCCAAATCATTCACTAATATACCCTGGTCCCTATAACAAAAGAGGAAAAAAAGAGAAATAAGAATTGGGAGAGAGGAAGACAATTAAGTAGACAACATCGTCTATTTCGAAGCCGACACTGTTGCTGCGGCAAGGTCTTTACGGATCTGCTGCCCGATCCTCAGCGCCTCGGTGCCGTCGTCGATGATCGATTCCTTGAACCAGGGGTGTTTGAGCGCTTGTTTTGCCGTGATGCGCGATTTGGGATCATAGACGAAGATGCGGCGGAGGAGGTCGAGGAAGTGTTTGTTGAAAGGAGTCGTCGCTGGAATGAATTCCTGGGAGGGAGGTGATGTTAGTATCGAGTTTAAAATTAACAATCGGTATAAAAAAGGACTGGTGAAGGGTTGGGAAATGGCGTACATGGAGCTGTTTCATGGCACGGACGTATTTCCTTGATGCTTTCGATGTTTCGACATTGGGGTAGTCCAGTCTGTTCCGGATGAAGTATCTGGTTTTCCAGTTAGGCAATTACATACAAGGGAGAAACAAAAGAAAAGAAAAAGGAGAAGTGGGGAAAAAGGAAGGAGAGAAGGGGAACAGGGAAACATACTTAGATGCTGCATTGACACTCCCACCACGACCCTGCATAACCTGTTTGACAAGTTTCGCATCGAGCTTCCCCCCACAGACACTCTCCATCATAGCCAGATGTTCGAGGTTATCATGAGTTTGGAAGAGGGCGTCACCTGTGTAAAATTCCACAAGGATACAGCCGATGCTCCAGATATCACAGGGAAAACTCCAGCCTAGGTTCAGGATGATTTCCGGTGCCCGGTAATGACGCGTCGAGACGATGGACGAGTGGTACTCGTCGTTAAAAGTTGCGGATCCGAAGTCGATTAGCCGGATTTCGCTGTCCAGGAGAACACGCCGTTGTCGGGCGTTTCGACAGGAGGTATGAGAAGCTGATGGTACAGGTCTGTTGTACGTGAAGGTTTGGTAGGCATTGCTGACTAGGAGGATATTTTCGGGCTTTAGATCTGTGTGGACCAGGTTGAGATCGTGGAGGAAGGCAACGCTGGTAAAGAGCTGTCGAGCAAAGCTCTGAATATGACTACTTGGAAATGGCACGAATCCGTTGCCCTTGAGGAAATCGAAGACACTCGAGCCAAGGAGATCTGTCACGATGCAGATATGATTTCGAAAGTCAAAACAATCCCGGAGATGGATGCATTTGTTGCGATTAGCTCTATCGTTACAGGCCAACGTGGAGAGCACCCGCAGTTCGATCCGAGAGGCCTCTCTGTATTTCTGCACTGCCCGGATGATCTTGACGGCACAGCGTATTCTCTTTTGTCTGTCATATGCCTCCACCACCTTTCCAAAGGTCCCTTGACCGAGTAGTTTGATGATGGAATCTTATGCCACTTAGTAAAATATTTCACCAAAGTAGATAAGGGTAGAGGCACTCACATCTCTCTGTTAAATCAGTGTTTGGGGTGACAATGTAGTGTCCATCATCATCGTCCACCTTCTGGTTTTTAGAATGGTACTGTTCAAATCTGTTAGCTATGGCTGGCGAAGTTGACTTATAACGGAGAGGGGGGAATGATATACATCTCGGATTACTGGCACAGGCACTTCTTTAGCCTTTATGGGAGGTTTCGGAGGGGGTATATAACTGATAAATGCATCTCCAGAAACCTCCAATTCCCTCCGTTTCTGTTCATCACGAGCAGATTTACGAGTCACCACCCGCTTCCGCTTCTGGCCAATGGCAGCAGTGTCTTCTAAATAAATATTGGTTGACGGGTCACTACCGTGGGAGCCCATTGATGTTGGGGCAGTCGTGTGCAGCGAGGCCGTTCGATCCGTAGAGACAGAGGCGCCTGACGAATCTTCGCCGTATTGCTGTGGGTGGATGGAAAACGTGGGCCGGTCATAGTATGACATATCAATTGCGGTTTCCATGCCGGTCCGTCTTCGTTTGGTTGCAGGGGCTGCGTGGGAGGTGCCATTGATGTCATTAATGCCGGACGCGATGCCAGACCGCGCAGCGGTATGTGAGAGTGGAAATTTTTGGCGTGTGGATGTAGGATTGATTTCCTGGCTGTTCGCGTTGTCTGGACGGACATCGTCGTCATCGTCGTCGATGACTATTATTTCTTTCGGCACCCCATTCTTGTAGAACTCGGCCCAGTCTGGTTTTCTCCTCCGGCTTTGGGCAGTAGGTAGTATAGCAGAAGATGACGGCAGCGTCTGGTGGGGCGCCATGTTGGCCTGGTAATGGTTTATGGAGGAGGTGGAGATGGGTTTTGGCGGCGCGAGGAGAGGGAGAGTTTCACTATTAGGCTGGGAGGAGGTCTCAGTGGTGTTCGTAGGATAAACGTAGGAATTGGCCGAGTTGTGATATGGCTGGTGCGGGTACGCATAGTGGGTGTGACGCGATGGGTGAGTGGCGGTGACAGTCGAAGGGGTCGACATCATCCGTTATGAGAAATGGTTATATATAACGGCAGCTGGAATCACCAGCGGGCGAAGAAAAGGCCAAGAGAAATAGAACCTCCTTTTTGTATTGGCTTTTCGAAGGGGCCGAGGTAGCAAAAATTGGAATGGAAAAAGATAGAGAAAATCACTCTCCTGATGGCCACCGAGCAAAGGGCAAAAAGGAGAGGCACTCCAAGAGTGAGGGCTAAGAGCAAGCCATGGACATCGGGGTGAGAATCATCCAGAATTAACAGCAGCGAAAGGTAGGTGGAAGACAGATATAAGATGGATGGATGCTGGCGGATAGGGAAATAATGAGGGTATCGTGACAGGGAAATGGTGGTGAGATTGAGGTGAGGTTGAGGAGAAGGGGGTGGTAGTGGCAGTGGTCGTGGGGGGGGGCCCTCTATATTTGGCTTCTCCAGCCGGGAAGCTGAGGAGCAGAGGCGAGCCAGACAGCAGGCTGGGCCAGAGAAGAGCAAATACGAGCAGACTGGTGCAAGGGGACTGAGAGATGAGGATGCCGGCGATGGAATAACACTCACGGACTGACACACTGGATGGCAGCGAGTCCGACAGAAGGCGAGGAAGAAATTTGTCGTAAGGGCTCGGGGGTGAGGCAGTGTGGAGGCTCCCAAGGTTAGGATAGACGTTGTTCCGTCCGAGCGCTGACTACTGCAGGACATATGGACGATAGCTAGGTGTATAACAACAGGTCGTGTGGATCCAATCAAGGGTTGGGCTGTTTATGTCGATTCCAGCGAACGCGGGGGACATTTCTCTGAGTGTGTCTATCTGTGTGTGTCTCTCTGTGTGTGTCTCTCTGCGTGTGTCTGGTTGTGACCGTTGGGTCTTCCACCTACGTGATCGTCAATTGCTCACATAGAAATATACCCAGTGAGAGGGCCGTAGATGGCAACAAAGGCGAAAGCCTCATCCAGTCAAGCAGTGTTATTATGCGGATAGATTTCGCTCTGCGGGAAAATCTGGCAAAGCCCACTAAATATTATTTATTGTTTCTATGTGTTGTTTGATATCTTCCCCCCGATCACCTCCTCCCTGAATGTTAATACTAAATAGTATTTTCATTATTTCGTGCAGAATACATTCAAATAACATAACTACCTTCTATCCAACAGGTGGCATTAGGCTGTCGGGTCGTGTGTATAGGCTCTCAAGTTATTGCCGGAGCAACAAACCTAGTATTCGTCTCCCGGTTCCATATTAAACTCATAGGATACCTGTTAACAACTCACTACATATCAACATCCCGTACATCGTACGTACGCACAGTGCGGGCATGGACAGCCATTTAATCCTATTAATTAATACACCCCCTCAATTCGGGAGAAGGAAGTTTGACAAGCCCCATACTGGTCTGGGCTACCCTCCCTTGTATGCCGTCTCTCCATGGATTGAAGAACCCTATCAAACGGGATAGAGTTTCTCTCAAATACCCCTTTGAGCCAAACGCCCCTTGCAAACACCAGCAATATCAAGTAGAGTATGCCTCAACCCACGCGATGTGCCATCTTATGAAACCCTTCTGCGCTTCGCTCTGCAAGCCTGATAGGTAGCCGAAAGGCAGATATCGATGGTATAACGATAGAAGCAAGAACTATTTGGGCTGCCACTCTTCGATTATATGTAGTATGCTACATGCTACATTTTGTGGGCACACTAAATTCGCTTAGGGAGAGAGCGCCGAGGTAGTAGCTTTTTCTTTTCTGCTCTGGTGTTCTTGACAGCCTGTTTTGAATGCTTTACTCTACCCTCGCAGGTGCAGCCTGCAAAATGGTCATTGTTAGGATCGTGCTCGGGGTTCGTGCCATCGTTCTCTTTTGATAGACTTAGCCGTTGCCTTTTGTCCCTGAGCAAGGCGAAGCGGTGGTGTTATTGGAGATCCCTCCTGAAGACCCCTCCGGAAGATGTCTCCTCATGTCTAACGGAGAGAGGAGAGTTCAGGCAGGAAAATGGGCCGTTCGCATTCAGATTCGCTGGCTGCGATCAATGAAGCCAAAATTCCTGAAACCTATTCACAACACGGAGAGCTGGTGCGGAACAACATAATCCCATGCCCTAACCAGCGAACGCTTCATCACAAGAGGGCGGTTTGTATCTAGTACTAGTAAGATAAAACCAACCCCAGGAGACGTACCGTGTTCTGAGATACAAATTCTTCTCAGTTTGAGTTTATGGGCGGGTTCTTTGAGGTTGGACACTTCGATGACAAAGTCCTACTTATGCTTTTTCCGCTGTTCCCATCTCAACAACTCTTGACTGCAACCTCTCAAAGCTGCTCTTTGTTGGGGCTTAACATATGAACCGTTTGACTCTTGACCTCGAACGGTATCCTCATAAGAGATATACAGCCACACCTCGTTATAACCCCGTACCTTCCAGATCACCGTCATGCTCAGCACATCCATTTCAAATCCTCTCAGACCTCCACCTTGAAAAGCCCCCTGCATACTCCTTCTTCGACATTCCTGCGCGGGCGCCACACCTCGCACTCCCAGGCGACAATCTTTGCTTCACCAGTGCCGCAAACTCATCAGCCTTCTGCCGGACTTCCTTCCAGCTAGAATGATACAGCTCATGATTACCCAGGAGGAAAGTAGACCGTCTTAAAGTTCTGAAGCTGGGCCTCAATGAAGACGAAGAAGTCTGAATCACAGGGCGTTCCCTACGTTGTTCGGCGTCCGAGTCTAGGATAGGAGAATTTGTATTCCTCGATCGTGCACGATTTGATCTCTCTGATAAGATAACCATGCTGGGATGCACATTTTACACCTATATCACATCCGAGCAGGATACAGATGTCTGTTTTGGGCTCAACGACTTCTACTGCATTGATGGGTGGACATTGGCGGACCACAACACTTCGCATACGGTGGAGCTAGTGTGGCTGAATGAGCGAGTTGCTGCCCTTTCGACATCTGAATCTGATAGGATGATTGTGATCTTCACACAGCATATTCCCATTACCGATGATTCGCGGGCGGTCGACCCAGTGCATGTAGGGAGCACAATTAGCTCAAGGTTCTCTAGTGATTTGAGCGGGGAGGCGTGTTGGAAGAATCCGAACGTGGGTGTTCGTGAGCCTTAGGGCATATATCCATTTTAATTTTGATTTTAGAGTTGAGGAGGGGAAACGGCAAAGTAAAGCGAGTGCTTAGCAACCAGTGCGGGTATTACTTCAAGCAGTCTCATGGTTTCAATGTTGAAAAGGTGGTGGATGTCTCGTATGCTTTGCTTCAAACAAAAAGGCCATGAATGAATGGAGCTTTGATCTAGTTACTCGTAACTATCTCCAAGGGATGATTTATGATTACTGAGACCGCACCAGAATGTGGTTACACCAATTTTAACTACTATCCGCGCATCTCGCCCGCTCCAAGTTGATACATCCTCGACGCCAACACGGACTGCCTGTTTTGGCTCATTCGTGAGCGGGATCGGTCCAAGTTGCGTAAGCATGTCGACTATAGCCACATCATCAAGGGTATCCTGAATCTTCTTGTCACATGTGGGACGAAGGTCAACCAGGGATACATATGGAAGATTCGCTGGATTAATAGTGCTGACAGGTACCAGCCCAGTAGGCACGTAGGCAGACTACAGTTCCACAAGATCCCGATCAACAATAGAGCATTTTCTGGCCGGAAATTTGAATCCCGCTAGAGTGTACGCCCACCATATAGGAAGTCTTAATATGAGGACAAGCACAGTCACGGGTCAACCGTTTAAAATCCCACCATTCATTCGTGTTCTACCTCTGGATATGGCATCGCTGAAACCAGCATAGCATGGCTTCTCAGAATCTTTCTGTTTCCTCTTGGTGAAACCTTGATTGCCTCAGTGTCTCGGCTCCTTGATGCAAGCAGCATACCGAGCGTGCTCTGGGGGGGCTACTAGTATCCTTTGACTGTCTACGGGGTACCTTCCCCCAGCCATTTATGCAGTAGGTCTCTGTTCCCGCACAGCTTCAATGAGACAACAACTAATCTTCTGCACAGAAAACTGCCTTCGCAGTACCTGACAAAAAGGCCCCAGAGGCCGAGCAGATCCTGGGCCGCGCTGGCTTAGATATCTGCACAGACCAGGACTGCGTCGTGATTACAATAAAATCCCGACCGCCCGCTGGTCAGCCACTTCAACCTTGAAACTGAGGACATCCATATTTCGCTCCATCCGCAATCACAAATCCTTCCAAACAGAACTGATATCACACAGATTAGCCATCAGACCATCTCTGCGTCAGATCAGAGCCTCCTCGAGTCGAAAATAAGATACGGCAGGGTCCCATTTTTTTTTACCCGAGCATCACCATGTCCGTGTTCCCTCCATATGTTTTGTGGAAGCCTGCCTTTTGAACCTTTGTACGGCTGGCACGAAAATGTGACTTTCAGTGTCCCCACGATCTCCATCATATGGCGTGGGCATCTTATATGATACAACATATCTACCCTCGCGGGTATGTTGATCTGGATTCTCTGCGAAGTCTTCAAGGATTTCATGAGCGACGGGGTTTTTCAAGAATAGTGTTTCCTTGTCTGTTGCTGCAAGGAAGAAGTTGATCGCGTCTGATATTTGATGATACCGACTTTTGTACGCTGATTTTCTTTGCTAGTTGTATTGAAATGTTATTCTCCGAAGTCGAGTATATCTTAATTAACAACAGGACGCTAGCAACGCATAATGGTTAAATACGGATTCGATACGAAACCGCTAGATTCGCCATGCGATAATGCGGGTATGTTTTCGTGGGAAAGGCGGGGAAACGGAACTGGCTGGATCAGCTGGGAAAACTCACAGAGAGAGACGCGGACAGAAGAGGAGACGTAAGGATGTGGAAAAGGACACGCCGTACAATTGTCAGCGTCAGTTTTATTTATCTCCATTATAACGGAACAACAGAGGGAGCTCTATATTTCCAAGATGGAACATCTATGTGATTATTTCAATCAGTTATATCAAGAAACATGCATGTCTAAGGCGCTGACTTGGGATAAAACGAGGGAAAGAGAAGGGGAAAAAAAATCCCCAATATAAAAACGAGAGGATAGATGACCAAACAGTGACTCTAAAAAAAGTGTTTTGTAATCAAAGAGGAAGATCATATACCCCTGTTGAATTCAACCTCACCGTTTTTGCCACCACGGTCCCAGAACTCCTCTTCCAGCGACCGCGCACTAACCGCTTGTCGTTGCGGGAATGCGCCAAGCGCGAACGGCAAAGCACAGAGGGAGGTTGTTAAGATCAACCCTGAAGAAAGAATAGAAATTAGCCAAATAACCATTGCACTTATTTACCATGGTAGAGAGAGCGTGTAAAAGAGAAAGAACCTACCCAGGTTAACAGGCATCACAAGTCGAGGTCGCGCCTTCAGCCAATGGGTCTTCTGCAGCCGTATGAGAATCAAGGGGGGAATAGCCATGACTGGAGTCGCATTGAGCACTCGGCTGATCGCCGTTTCCCCCACAGCTAACGTGGCAGCCCTTTTGCTCTTCCCCAGACTCTGCACCTCCAATTCTCCGTCAACCTCTCGCTTCGCTTTCTCCTCATCGCATAGAACTGGGTAGATGTCGATTCCTTTGCGGATTTCCTCGCTGCGCATTAGGAATACATTCAGCGCGCCAGCACTGGCGACGGCTGCGAAGGGAACTAGGCGACCCAGTATCAATTTCGTGTTTGGAGACACTCGCCTTAGACGGGGGACCATGGCGTTCAGCCCCAGCGCGACGGAGCAGGAGGCAGAGACGGCCATGAGGTATGATTTTGCCATAGTGGAGTAGGAGAGAGGAGTGGACTTGTTTGCGTTGGCGTTATTGATGGCGACATTTAGAGACTGGTTGGCAATTTGCCAGAGCACGATGCCTCTTGTCTACTTTCTTTAGTGAGCTAATTGGACCTGGATTGAAAATGGGGATGGGCGAGTGGAGACATACACCAAGGCCGGGGGTGAGCATTCCCGCAGTCACAATCAAATTGGACAGAACGAAGCATGACATGCGAAAGGGGAGAAAGACTGGTTCACCAGTATCTAGATAGGGATTTGGTCGTTAAAATACTGACACCCTGCTATTGCAAATTGATTTAGAGCAGAGGGGGTAATTGGCAGCATACCAGGGTGCAAAGTCGAATCGATGATTCTTTTCGCCTGCCACAGCTCCGGTGTCATCGATGGGACATGGCCAGTTTTATACGAGGCGATGAGGCCTTTGGCCTTATCTAGACCAGCAGAGGAGACAAACAGCGTCCTGGATACAATATTGGCAGGGATTAACGAATGCCGAAAAGGGAATAATAGAAAAGCTTTCGTCTCGCAATGCGAGTCGGAATGTTTGGGATGAGCGTGAAAGAAGCCTACCTGGGGTCTGATATTTCCGCAGCCTGCTTAACTCTACCCCAGTACGTACTCAGATCGTGCCTGGATGTAGGGAGATCTCGATTGCCGGATATCGAGGCTGACATGGTTGTAGCAGGGAGCGATGACTGTGCAATGCGCAGGAGAGAAAAACAATGACGAGAGCAATTGCACAAATGAGATTGACCAAGGTTGAAGAACAGAGGTGGAAGAGAGAACTAGAGCTTTTGCCACAGAAAGGAGAGACTGCGAGGCTACATCAGGCTGTCTCGAGACATGGCAAACCTTTAATGAAGACAGAGAGCCGTTTATATCAGCGAATTTGCCAGGCGGTGAAGGCTAAAGTTATGCCACAAAGAAAATAAACTTGCTACATTTCCACCAATCCGCGTGGGTCAATAACGCATGGAATCGTAATTGATATTCAAGCGTCCATTATCTTTTGACGGTAATAATTTTTTTTTTCGAGCTACCGAGGATATGTGCCCGGGCTGTCTTATGCGATTAGGGTTTCGGCTTAATAGTACTATCTTCTACTTCCAACACTCCTCTTGACATGACATTATATACGACGAATTATAGCTGTTAGAATATCTATAGCCGAATTTCTAACAGAATAACTGTCGACACTGATTCCTATTCCAACTGCCACCTAACTCGGAAATAATAAGCTGGTGCCCACTCTGACAGATATCTTAGCCATTGCACACACCCCACCTGCTGGCCCCAATGTCCCGTCATGCCAGGGTGGAGGAGGTCTCGGATTCCGATCCAGATGATATGGATCCCGTCGACTTCGACCCCGCCAACTTGCCTGCGAATTCTATTATATCCCCTGCCAATATTCCCTCAGCGACTACATCAAGGCTGTCCCCGCAGGCCCAAACCTCAGCCTCTGCGCAATCCTACCCTCCCCAAATCGACAACAGAGATATCCCCCGCTACTATCAATGCCTATATCCCATATATTTCGACAAAACTCGTTCTCGCGCCGAGGGGAGGAAGGTCAATAAGAAGTTGGCTGTAGAGAATCCGCTTGCCCGAGATATCTTGGATGCTGTACAGGTGCTAGGACTACGCGTCGGGATTTTGGAGCCGGAGAAGTTACACCCGAAAGATTGGGCAAATCCAGGCCGAGTTAGGGTACAGTTAAAGACCGACGATGGCACACCAGTAACTGATATTGTCAAAAACAGTATGTTACTTTAGTTCACCATCCCATCGCCCACTTCAGCGTAGGTATCGGATCTAATCCTCCTTGAATTTCGTGCAGAACATCACCTTTATATCAAAGTGGCGCAATATCTCCACGAACATCCAACCACGGAAGAATCCCCTTTTCGTCTACGTATCCGCGGGCTTTCTGTACCAGAAAACCCCGTACCACCCCCTGCTGCGCCGCGGGGCTGGAAGCTTGGAACTATCCTGCCATTCCATTCGCCGGCACTCACGGGCGGAGGTGTGAGTGATAATCCTTTTAAGGAAGCGATGTTGGAAATGCAACAGCAAGGATTAGGTGGAGATATGCCAATTATGCCTGGGAGCGTCCCCGAACCCAAAAAGAAGAAGGAAAAGAAGAAGGCAAAGGCTTGATTCTTTAACCGAGTTGGGTAGGGACGCAAGGCATTATAATCTGGAGTGTTAGAAGTACGAATTAGCAGATCAGGGGCGATGGGGGACTTTTACCCAATGGACGGAGTTTTTTTTAAACGCCTGGTTGAGTATATTTGAATGGTGATTGACATTCTCCTCCAAATCATCATCTACCGGCACCTTATCGTGCGTGAATGAGTGCTGTATATGCGAAAGAGTACTAGTAGATTGTCTCGGACTTTCTTAGTGATGGCCACCCTTTCTACCTTGTTCAAAACAGAGAGTTCATTAAGTTACGAAACATGCTTCAGTCTCTAGAACGGTACAAATACTACGTTTCCAGGCCATCTGTCTAGCACATGAGAAGAGCAATGGCAATACCTTTTGTAGATATTTTGCTTGGGCTGTTTTGGCAGGTGTGCAATAATACAATAAATAGAGGGCTCTAACAAGCAATCAGAATAAACACGATAGACGTCAGGAGTATTCATGTTTTAATCAAATATATTTATGTTCCTAATTCCCCTCGTTTCCATGGGTCCTTACGGTGGCGTGTGCTTCGTGGTGCCGTTTTGAGTCATCTTAAGAATAGGTACTCCGTAAGGTGCTCGTAGTTCTCGCAACCCCAGATAGACCCCACTCCGTGGCTCTGGACTGAGACTCCTTGCAAGCACCCGAGTAACTCAGGATATTTGTACAAAAAGTTGACCTGTTCCGTTTTCCCTTGTCTATACAACTGGTTTTGGGTCAATTCTTCTAATCCCGCTTACACTTAGCCTCGAGGCCGAGGATGGCCAATCGCCAGGCATGGGAATCAGCGAGGGAACTAGCTATGCAGGACAGCAACTCAGTTGCCAGACTCCCTGCTGATGATATCAAACCAAAAGACATACATGCTACGTCTTCAACCCATGCATCACGCAGGAGGAGATCGTACTTGCCCGCACCGAAGCCGATCACTCGCTTCCGAATCACCAAGAGCTGCCTTATCTGTCGGCGGCGCAAAGTGAAATGCGACACCGTACGTATTTAAAGATAAACTATGCGGAATATCTAAGCGATAAGCTATATGACTTGCTAATTTATTTGCCCGGTTTTCAATCGGTAGGTCCGTCCGACATGCGGAACTTGTGAAAAAACGAAATCCGAATGTGTATACAACTCTTCGTCCCTGACTGATTTCTCCCAGTCACCGCACCATTCAGGAGATAATAGTCATGGTATTAAGCGGCAGAGGGAGCTAAACGACCCCGTGATTATTGAAAGTTCATCTGTCGAAGTGCAAACACCGTACCACATATTGAGAGAGATACAGCGGGGTCAGGCTGCGCTGCGCGAACAGTTTTCAGATTCACAAGCTATTGCCTCCAGGTTGGATCAACTCACAGCCATTGTTGAGAAATGGACTCGAACAAATGGGCCTCAGTCTCTTGAAAAACTTAATACGGCCGGCCAGAGGCTGATACATGATACGCCAATTGATGCTGAATTTCAGCAGCGAGGCGCGACTGATTATCTGAAGTTAGCGGACATTTCGTCCCCTGCCGGTCAGTCGTCGAAAGCTCGACAGTTCCAAACAGGGCATACTGAAAATAACACCGGTGATGACTTTCCGATCCCGAGCGGCCTGGAAACGGACCTCGTTGATCCGGTTGGGTCGTTAAATTTGGGCCACCTAAGTTTGGAAGAAGGTGGGAAATCAAGGTTGGTTTTTCCTCGAAGTCCAGGCAGGCGTGGATTACAGATGTTGGAAGTTGGTTGACAAAGTTTTATAGATATGTTGGAACGACCTATTGGGCATACATCTCGCGCGAGGTACAATCACACGAAAACATCCAATGTGTAACCTAGCAGCTACTGATTTCTGTTAACCGCAGATAACGGAGCTAAACCGGCTACTGCGAGGCCAAACCCTCTCTAATGATCGCTCAGCCAGTCCAAGTGATGACTATTCTTCTTTGGATGAAGATGAATTCCAGGATTTGACGCCTCCAGGAAGTAGTCGCGGAACAAAGACAACACCACATACCCGCAAGGACTCGATTAGCAAATCAGTGCTGTTCCCACTGGGCGAGCCACCGGGATCACTGGATAAACCAGTTGAATCAAATATGTTGGAGAATGTCCCTACAAAACGACAGAGCGGCATTTTGTATAAAGGATTCATGTCTGGAGTGCATGCTATTAGCCCGGTGGTGCATCCCCCTTCGATTCTCAAAAAATATAAGGCATTCTGGAATTGGTACGAGAATTCTGGGGAATCTGGAGAACCTTGTCCTGATCCTTCCTTTATTCCACTTCTTTATGCCATCTGGTACGGTGGCTCTGTTACAATATCGCTCTGGACGATCCGCGATGAGTTTGACGTCGAAAATCGGGCCGCCTTGTCTACCATTTTCCATGACGAAGTTACCCGTTGGCTTCGCAGAATATCGTTTCCCAGAAACCCCTCAATTCATGGACTCAAGGCGTTCCTTCTTGTCCAGACTATTTTATCCAGAGAAGAAGAGCCGCTGGCGAGTAGCTTGTTCATCAGCCTTGCCCTTCGTGTTGCCCAAACCATGGGGTTGCACAGAGACCCTGCTCAGTTTGGCATTTCAGCTTGTCAGGCAGAGGCTAGAAGACGCATATGGTGGCATATTGTCCATATGGATGGTGTAGTAGCGATGTCCAGCGGCCTCCCTCCTCTTGTGAGTGATGAAAATTACTGGGATGTACGCATTACAAGCGAAGTTAAAGATACTCTTTTAGATACCCCTGAAGCGGCAGAGTATGAACGCATGATTAGCAACAATGAGCGGAAACCGGATTGCCCAAGTGATCCGAATATGTGCCCCGGTTCATCCATGGTGAATGTGTATTATCTATCTGCCAAAGGAAAATATGTTATGGCTCGTTAGTCCGCCTATATGCCATTGTTTAGTTTCGTTGCGAGATGCTAATTATGTGCTAATTCTTCACCTCAGAGGCGATTCGAAAGATCCTGAAGATTCAATTAGGGACTAAACCAGTTACTCGACGGGACATGGAAGTTTTGCGTACAATTTTGATTAACCTTCAATCTGAATTAAAGGCAATAGTCGATCGGATACCGGTATCAACATCCGTGAGCCCTACCAGCCGCGATGCCTCCAGCTATCACTCCACTCCATCATGTTCTGCATCTACAGCTATGGATTCTATTGAATCTACGACATCTGACATCGGTCCTAGCTGCCTAGAGCAGTATCACTCCCCAGTCCTGGTTGCTTTTCACAAGTGGGCTAGGATATTACTTTCCCTTTTCGTCGACAAGGTAACCTAGGTTAACTTTGGCTTTTCGTTGCGTTATTTTTATGCTAACACGCGCTGCAGGCATTTTGTGTTGCATATCAACCTTTTTTGAAAAATGCAAAAAGCAAAATATGGCCGGTTGCTCGTCAGTGGTATGTATATATGTATCCCTCGAGATAACATTGGCGTAGATATTGGTCGTTACTTTGATATATGACAGCTAATCAAAGCCAGCGCTCTTCGCCATTGTCATGGGTTCATGGACAAGTTTATTCTGCTAGCCACTGATCCCGATTTCCAACCATTTCAATGGAGCTGGCCAGGGTGAGTCTTTAGTGCCCCCCAAGAATATATAATGGTGATATGAGCTGAATTCAACTATAGTAACCACCAACCCATGCATGCTACAATGTATGCCACCCAAAACCCCGCATCTACATACTTTTATTCTTTGACCTAACAGGATGGGCAGGATAATGCTTATCGACCTATACGAACGCCCGCAAACCGCAGAGGCACCCAAATCCCGCGCCTTCATCGACAAGATCTTCTCGCTTTCTGGCCCTGACGGAGGAGTGGTGGGCGGCGAGGATGGCATATCAACTTCTCGGCCCCTCAGAGACGGCGGCCGTGAAGCGTGGGACATGTTACGTCGTTTGCGGGAGAAAGCCTGGCTAAAAGCAGGGCTTGACCCGAGCGTACTTTGGACAGAACAGGCACAGGCGGAGGCTCGGCGTCCGACTAATAAGCACATTCCTATGCAAATTCCTAAGGAAGGCCGTGGATCTACGTTCCGAAGTTTGGCTGATGGTTATTTTACGCCCGTCAAGGAACCGTGCGATCGTAATATACCCAGCAATAGCCAATCGGTGAAACCACAAAGGGAACGAGAGCGGGCGCGAGCGCAGAACGTGAGGGACAACGCACATAAAGAAGAAAAAATTATCCAAGAAAGGCATCCCCATACCAAACTAGAAGCCAATAGTGTTTCCTCCCATGACTACGCCACATCTACAAGCCCACTGCCAGGTACTTTATTTCCATGGCCTGCTGCTACATCCCAACCCCCTCAGGCCGGCGACACTACCAAACAACTCTGGTCCTCTCCCTCCAAATTCTCACATTCTACTATTAACGATGCATCCGCATACCAATTCCCTTCACCGCCGCCCGCAACCACTACCGCTAATCCCACTACACCACCAGGAACATTCAACACTCCTACCCCCTCCACAAGCCACAACACCAGTAGCCACGACAACAATAACGCCGTTAACCTTCCCACTTTCACGTCAACCGAACATCCTACGGCGCCGAACCGCCCCATGCCTGTATCAATCTCCACCGCACCCAACATCAACATCGATATGCAACAAAACCCAAACCCTAACCGCAACTTACCCTTCCAATCTTCCAGCCCCAGGTCGAACAATCCTTTACCAGATCATCTTAACCTCCAATTCGACTGGGACCAGTGGGATGCCGTTTTCGGACCGTCACTTCCTGTCGTTGATGACTTGATGCATCTTGATAGCATCAATACTGGCATGATGGGGCCAGTCGCAGGGGTGGGTGGGAACATGGGAACTAGTGTTATCGCTGGTGGTGGCGGTGGTGGTGGTGGCGGTGGTGGAAGAGGAGGTGGAGGAGAATCTGTTCTAAGCGGTGACGAGTCGGGCGCGGTATTAATGGATCTTGGGTTAGCAGCTGAGTATTACAACGGTCGTGGGCCCTGACGGGTGAATGGCGGATCTGAATAGGAAGTGGGAGTCGAGTTTTAAGGGAGTTGAAGCGTTTTTTCCTTTTTTTTTTTTTTTTTTTTTTTTTTTCTCACCTTCTTTTCCACTTGGTTTAGATTATATCTGTGTTCGATTTTTCGATGTTTCCAATTCTTTTCCTTTTCTGGTTAGGTGTTTTTGGTGTTTCAGCAGATATATACATAAACTCCATAAAGCGAGGAGTCAAGCAAGGAAGAGAATGGAGTTTAGGCAGTATGGTTAGGTTCAGTCCAAGAAATATATTTCTACTAATCGTGGGTCGTGCGTTGGTGGATGTATAAAGTATTTTATCTTTTCAGGCTCGGGGGGAACCAGTCAATTTATACGAGTTAACCAAAAATATATAGAATATGTTTCTGCTGATACATCCTGTTCAATAAGCAGGTATGATTTACAAATTTACCAAGACCATATCAAAGTTATTAAACTTAAGAAGCTAAATGACGGGTTAAAAAAAAAAAAAAAAAAAAAAAAACCAATTCACATTGCACCCCTGTCTTTAATGAGATCTTTTGATTTGTAAAAATGAAAGAAATATAGTTTTGACAAACTAGACTTTCTTTATTTCATGTGGCGCTTAGCGGTATAAGAGATCAAACGTCGGGGATGGAAAACGCATGTGCAGAAGACAGTGACATCGAAAACGGAACAGAAAGTTGGACTTCCAACCCCCGGGGCAGGCGCAAGGGGAAGAACAGTTGGGGAGGAGGGGTCGCGGGGCAGGGGGTGGGAGAGTTAAATCGTTGTTTGCTATGGGCGGCGGGTGAATTATCTCATTATCGTCAATGTGAAAGTTGGACCGGGCAGTTGCTATCCTTTGCAAATTGGCTATGATAGGATAACAAAATGAATTTGAGCAGTGTCCCTCGTGTCTTTTTTTTTTTTTTTTTTTTTTTTTTTTTTTTTTTTTAATTTTTTTAAACCTTCTCTGGAACCAAACCGTGCTTCCAAATGGTGGCAAAGGGCGTGATTCCGTCTTCACGGAAATCAATGAGAACGTGCCTGATGATTCTGTGTGAGTATATGATAGTGGCAGAAAAAAGCCATGTAGGCTCGGAGATATCCATGGAAAAGTAAGGCTTACATTCCATCACCATTCATGGATGAACCCATAAGAACATCGTAGTTGTCGTAGTTAGCGAGGATCTTCTTGACGGCAGCAGGAGCACCAGCCTGGAATTCCTTGATAGTTTCTTCACTCGCTCCGCGCTCCTTGAGAGCATTGTTTACCTTCTTGACATATGCTGTAGTTCCAGTAGGCGAAGTCAAATTAGCATATTTTTCTAAGAAACGAGATGGCTTGGGCGGCCGGAGAGTGGGTTGAGACAGCCCAAATTAGATTTAACCTACATTTGAGGTGAGCTTTGAACTGTTCCTTGGGGGGTTTAGTTTCATGGCCATTTTCGTCTAGTTTCAGCCAATGCAGCTGGAAGGAGACCTCGATATCGTGAACCATCTCTCCACCGCCTTCACCAGAGTAATCTTCATCCCCGCCTTCTTCGGCAGAGGGGTTGGCACCCTCAAGCTCTATAATACCAGGATTCTCTGTTAGCGATCCATATAGGACAGAGCAGACAGGAACACATTTTGCTGTTTGTGAAGTAGGTAATTGAGGGTTGACTGACGAAAACTTTCTGCGCCCTTGACATATTTCTTGCAGTTCACTTCCCACAGGACTCCACCGGGGGTTTCGATGAGTTTCCAGGTGTCGGAGATGATCTCATCCCCTGAGACGATATCCTATGAAGGGCGATTGTCAGCAGATACCCTCTCTTTTTCCCGTTCGTGGGTATGCTCTCGTGGCGCCATTGACAGACAGTCCATCTTCGCAGGTGCTCATCAGAGGGGGATCAAGAAGAGCGGGGTACATCGGGTGCTGACCTTATAGACAATCATGGCGACTTGGTTGGCAACGGTATAATAGCAGGTGTTGAAAAAAAAAAGAAGAGGAATGGGTTTATTGCACACGGTGAGCAGAGGATAAGGAGGATTGGTGGTAAACGAAGCCTTGGAACAGAGGTAGATAGTGGGGGAACCAAATGTTTTTTTTTTTTCTTTTAGCCCTTTCATCTTGGTGATAACAGAGTTTCGTGGGTGGCACAAGGCGCTAGACCGAAAAGAGACAGAGTCACGAGTCTCGATTTTTAACACGGATATCCGTAGATGTCGTTGATATTCCCACGTAATATGGTATATATATATATAAGGATTGTAAATTTTATTGTTTTGAGAGGTTGATTTTATTTTTTTGAGAGGTTGTCTGGAGGTTGTTGCAATTTGCTAGGGTAGTATTGTACTCAAGAAATTCTAGCAGTGGTAGTTTACTTGAACCTGACAGACAACAACAGCTAATTCAATTCTCATTTGCTCAAGTTGTCTTTATGAATTCAGGTTCTAAAGATTTGAGTCCGACGGAAAGGCCCCTAAAAAAGCAGATGAGTTGTGCCATGCTATGGCTGGGTATTCCGTGAACACCAACTGTATTCTGCCCTCCGCCAGCCTTCCCCTTTCACATCCCGGTAAAGTATCACTCTTACGGGATATAATCATTAAGAGTACGACATTCAGGTCAGAATCTCGCATCTCGACGATATCGTTTCAGCATTCACTGCTTCGGAAAAGTGGGAACAGACAACGAATACAAAGTAAACCAACTGCCCGAGGTTCGACGAGCAACGCGAGGCAACGCGAGACCCCATCGATACCAGGCTCCGGCTTGAAAAGCTCTACTTTATCTCGGTGAATGGTCCCTAGATGCAAGTCTCGAAAGCCGTCAGCTGGGATTGCGTGTCGACAGAGACACATTTTGACTCGCGAATTGGGCATCCCTAACCAGAACAACATTGGACATAAGAAATACCTGTATCAGTTAGTATTCCCTCCGAAGAGCGTTGCCCAACGAGAAAAGTGGAACCCCTTGTTCATCTCAAGTTCCCAACAATCCCGCAAGTTGTTGATGCGCTGCTGCTAGAGCAGGATAGGTGTCACCATGGGAATGCCCGAAGCAGTTTTGATGACAATAAAGGTAAGCAACAGAAGACTAACGATTGTGCTTGATAGCCTCCCGGGCTTGTTGCTGCTGCCGAGTTCACGCAATTCTCGTGAAGACTTCTCGAAGGACGATTTGGTTTGCGATAGCGTCAAATAAAAACTTGGACATAATAGTATCGCTGTGATTTACTACTACCAGTAAGTAGCAATTCGTAGTGACAAGTTCCCTCAGCATAAAGATCTGCGCACAGACAGAGGAGGCCGAGTGGAGCTTTTCAACGAGGTCGGCTTTTCTGATTCCTGCCGTTTGTCGCCAATAATAACTGCGCAGGAGTACAACTTAGCTACGGCGTAGTAGCACCTTGAATTTATATCCGCCCGAGTCCATGGTGGCGTGTTGCCGGATTGGGCGTCGCTGGCGAGCCGTCGATCACGTGAAAATAAGGCAATAAATCTGTTTATCTACCATCTACCAAGTTTCCTGTCCTCTCACCTTCGTAAATTTGCTGATGATCGAACTCGATTCTTCTAGCGAGAGTGAATAAGAACATTAAGATCCAGAAAAAGTAGGAAAACGGGACGTCCTTTGGAGGTAAATAATCCTGGGTTCTCTCTATTAACTTGCTGCTGAAGTTTGCGTTTTACTCCCTCCTCGTCTCCCCATTAATCCATCTCCTTAACTGCCTCGTCTCCTGGGTAATCGACCCGAAAACTGCCCTCTGCCGGAGCCCGCTGGGTTTGGGTTTGTTCCGCCCGACTCTAGCACCCATCAAGATGGCCAATGCAACGGCTTGCCCGGATCTGCCGCCTCTTCCGGCCTACACCCTTACTCTCCGTGAGCCCCTGATCGCTCCGATTCCCGACAGTGCCCTCGGCCAAATCAGTACTATAGTAGCATACTGGACGGTGTCCTTGATATTTCACTGGATTGACGTCAACGACTACTTTCCCCAGTACCGTTTGCATACTCCTGCTGAGATTTTAAAACGGAATCGTGTCACGCGACGGGAAGTTGTTCGGGATGTTGTTGTGCAACAATTGATCCAACTTGCATGTGGCATTACGTTAGGATATTTTGATAAACCTCAATATGCGGGGAAGGATGAATACAATATTGCGCTCTGGGCTCGGCGACTGCGAGTCATGCAGCATATGATCCCTTCTGCCTTTGCTGTGATCGGAATTGATGCTCTTGCATTGGCCAAGGAACTGTCATCGTATCCGATAGTGGCTGCTGCAATTTCTGGTGGCAGATATTCATGGTTGACGCAAAACGTGCCAACTGCTGCTGGAGCATCCGTGGCTGTGCCTGCGTTTGCTATTTGGGAAATGAATGTAGCCCATGCCATTTACTGGTATCTGGTACCGACTTTCCAATTCGTCCTGGCGGCGTTTATCATGGACACATTTCAATACTTTTACCACCGCGCACTGCACCTGAACAAATGGCTGTACAGTAAGTCCAGTTCATTGTCCTCTTTAATAAGCAGAATTTGAATTTTGCTTGTCTGCCCAAATTAGACATCTGACAGTAGAGCAATCATCTAGCAACCATCCATTCTCGCCATCATCGCCTATACGTACCGTATGCCTTTGGCGCCCTATACAACCATCCGTTCGAAAGTCTCCTCGATACTGCTTCAGGCGGCATCGCATTTCTCATGACGAGAATGACCACTCGCCAGGGAATTTGGTTTTTCACATGCTCAACAATCAAAACGGTTGATGATCATTGCGGCTATGCCTTCCCGTTTGATATACTCCAACATTTCACCTCCAACAATGCTGCCTATCATGACATCCATCATCAAAGCTGGGGTATTAAAACCAATTTCTCTCAGCCTTTTTTCACCATTTGGGACCGGCTCCTGAATACCAGTTGGACAGGTGACGTCACTCTTCGATATGAGCGGTCACGTACTGCGGCGCAGAAATTAATCGACGACGAAAATGAGAAGCGGGCATCTGTCGATGCTCGAGAGGACGCAGCACCTATTTAGAGAAGAGGACGAGTCAGTTTCGCCTAACTTACTATCGCGCAGCATTCGTCAGAAGAATGCTTTGGTTTTTCCACAGACGGACAGTATGAAATCAGTCAGCCATCGCCTCAACGAGAACATATTGCAAAAGTAATCATCGTCCATTTAATAACCAAGAAAAATGGCAGTATAGGACTGACTTTCCCTTACTTCTACAAACTTTCATGACCTGGTGTGTAACTTTTTTGCTTACTACCTACCCCCTGGCTTTGGTTGCTTTATCAAAATCCTAATTCCCCGGAAAGCGCTTAATATTTTATTTGTTTCGCCTTGTATGTGCACATGTGCTGTGCTGTTTGGTTTTACGACCACATCTTTCACTATTTTTTTTGGGTCCTTTTTATCAAGGCCGACATCCGTTATTCTTATGCTACCTTGTTACGTTATGGCGACATCCATTTTTTTTTTTTTTTTTTTTTTTTTTTTTTTTTTTTTTTCCTTTTCTTCCTTGCTTCCTGTCAAAAAGACGTTTTTTGCTATTCCCTTCAAAATTACTATCTCTTCTTTTCCCCCCTTTTCCCATTTTTTATTTTATTTTTAATTTTATTCTTTTTTTTTTTTTTTTGCCTTCTCACTCTATCAAGCTTAGGCTTGACTTTATTCGTCCAGCCATGTATGTATATATGTATGTATAATAGCCCTGAATAATTCCACAAATAAGGAGAACGAAAAGAAGAAATAGCGATGCTAATTCATATTTCTCCCGGTTCCAAGGGGTAACTAACAGCCCATGTCACAGAGTGACATGACAGTAAGCTTATGTGATTCCTCGAAGCAACTATACTAATACAGAAGTTATTGCAATGAGAAAGATAGGACGGTGGGGCATCAAAATTCAACATTTATCAACAACAACCATAGGTAAAAGCAAAAGAAAAAAAGAAAAGAAAAATACGAAGCGTGGAAATTGGTTAATATGGTCAACGAACCCGAGGAGCAATATCCTTCCACTCTTTTTCCCGGCCCTCAATTAACCCATTCCACGTAGTGAACCCCGAGGCCCTCGATGTTGTATTCTTGGGCAGCGACAATCCTCCTGCTTCTTCGCACGGGCCTAGCCGTTTTGAATCTAAATCCCATGGTCTACAATTAACAACATCATAACAGGCACTACGGCTATCCCTATCCCCATCTTCATCACTAGGATGAGAATCACATTCATCACTATCGCTAACCGGTTCGTCGTCCCACACTGAATCCGAATCGTATGGTGTCCGTGGGGAATCATCTTCCACCTCTTGGGTCGTTTTCGTCACACCGGTTCGCAGGAAAGAGTTAGATCTCCCTCCGTCTCCTGAGTGGCTTACATAGGCATTGCTATCCGTACCAGCATTGGAATCAAGACCTAGTTTATATTGCATTTCAGTATCGGAATTGCCATTGCTTCCATGTTCTCTTGTGTCCATACAGGTATGCATGGCGGCTGTCACTGTGGTTGCAGCAGTACGGACAACGTGAGTAACAGGCAGCAACGACGCATCATTATAGCCGCTTGCGCTAACCTGCTCTGTAAACGGGGTAGAGGGAGGCTGTAGTTCGATGAAACAGATGCGACTGAATGGCGCCGGGATTGTTGCGCTTGTGTGTCTGGATATGGAGGATTGCCTTGTTGGTCATAACCACGGGGGTATGGTTTTTCGTTCGGCGTCCATGGGCGGCTTATCGTAAAATGATCACTCGTGTTATGATGGTTGCGACTGAGGTTGGGGATGGAGGAATTGGAAATATTTGAAGAAGACCTGTCAGGGAGCTGGTCCCTGGTGGGCTGCTGGAGAACACGGCCAAGCCGTTTGACATCATTTTCCATACGGCCCACGGCCAGCGGCGGACTTATCTTTGCGGGAGTATAGCAATCCAGATCATGATCTGATTCATTTTTATGTGTAGTCGACGTAGGAGACGCCCCAAGATGATGCCATCTTTCAATTGTAGCCATCGTCGCCTCCGCCCAATCTGGTTGGCGTCTATACTCCGGTACCTGCTCCGGCGGTGGCCGCAGGCGTTTATGGCAATACGAAAACCTTTTCATCCAAACTAGCAGTCTCGGTGGTGATACATCCTCGCGCGGAGGGGCACGGGCCTCTAGAAAAGCGAGAAGGTTCCCTAAAGCGGTAGCATCCCGTGCTACCCGACCAACCATGCACGCGTCACACCGATTCTCTTGATAAAACCATCCCTTAATCGGCTCGTGGGATTCATTAACAAAACTGGCACCCTTCGTCCACATGTTGTTTAGTTGTTGTAGGTAATTCACGAGGTGTTTTTCTGACTCGCTAAGTCTCTTGCGCTGTTTGACATAGCTGTTAATCCTGTCTCCAACTTCGTATTTAATCAAGTTAAGTATGAACTCGCCTAGCTCAGCCTTGAGCTTCCGGTGGAGGGGGCAGGTCTTTTTCCATAGTTTTGTCCCCGAAGAAAGCAAAGCTAGGGATAGACTCGTTCTCGTCCACGGGTCACAGGCTTTGCTGTCAACTGTGATACCACTGTGTAAAATGGATGCGAGTTGGCATTTCTCTAAGCTTCTTAACTTTGTGGTTGGGTCGTTGCGAGACATGTGGTATTTTCATTCGCCAGATAAAGTGAAAACCGCAGTGGAGCGATGATTCTAAAGGAACCTAATCAACGTCTGGTCACATTAAGTTCCGACGTATGGTATTTGTTGGAAGGTTCCCCGTCCCTCTTTTCGTAGAAAGAGTAGCACACCCGATTCTACAGTAGACGGGGCGGGGAGATATCTGAAAGGCGAGGGTATCTTCCAGGTAATGAGAGACAGTTGAGTCGAGAATTCAAGAGCACAGATACATCTAAGCAAACTAGAATTCGTAAGGGCGAAGTCACAACCCCAGCAACTGGTATGGAGTAATGCGTTGGAGCAAGTTGAGAAGATCTCGTTGATTTCAACTTTCCGCCAAGATAAGATATCTGTGTATATGTATGTATAGGTGAATATATCCAGCCAGTGCAATAAGACAAAAATGTAGGAAGGCGGAAGAGTCGGCGAAAGCAAACTGGGTGGTAAGACAAGAGATTAAAAACGAAGGTCCAAAGGAACATTATGACGAGGTGAAACCAGAAAGAAAATGAAAAACGAAGATAAAAGCAAAAATTGAGGCTTTTATCCTCCTTCGCAGAGAGCCATGGCGGGAGAAGGGATATTCCCCCGTTTCCTGTCGCTGCCATTTGCTGTATGTTGTGTCATGAACTCTCGAGGTGATAACGCCATTTCATCAGACCCTTGTTACAGACTGGCATGAACCGTCCTCGAGCGGAAATTTCATGGAGCTTAGATAGCAGATAAGGTCTCGGAAATGGGAGACGGAAGAATGTGGGGTCGTTCCAGGAACTTGCGGATCTTTGTTCTAATCCCATCGCAGAATGCCAGATTAACTAGGTCTGCCATTTTCCGGTGTCAAACTTAGCGTCACCACACACAAAACTCCACGTTGCGTTTTTCCACCGGGGTATCAAAGAGCGTTGAAGTTTTTTCTTCTTCGAACAAAGGGAAAGGGATGAAGCGTTGTTGGGATGGATGGAGTTGTGGAGGTGGCAGGTCAGATATCATGTGACCATCATAGCCCTAAACGGAAACCAAGAGGATGACACGGGGAGTTCTTTTCACAATACTTCCTTACATATCATTCTTGCTGCCTACCATTGCTTTTACGCTAGACTTCGTTTATTTACTTTATTGGGAAGTAGAAACAACACACTTTTCGGTATTTAATAATACTTATTATTCATATACCCAGACTATTTATCGGTGGGGTGAGGAAGGGTGTTCAGATAAAGATAGAAGGTACAGGAGTGGGAAAATCTGGCATCCATTTAGCTATCTCCCAGTTTTAAGCGGAGCAATGCCATCAAAAGCCAGGGTAGACGCCAGACCGTCTAACCCGATAGATAAATTTGGCTGCATGTACATGGATCGTTCTCCTACAGTCGTGGGTTGGCGGGAGTTCTTTCACTGTTGAGAACCTTCAAAATGTTCTGGGTGGTCCAATCTGAAATAGCCATGTTCGTTACCATCGGGTTAACGCCACTAGCACTGGGGAAAACAGACGCATCAGCAACGTAAAGCCCTTCAGTTCCCCACACTTTTCCGCTTGGACTAACGACGCTGGATTTCGGCGACGTGCCCATACGACAGGTACCCATCTGATGGGCACTTGCAAACACTGTATGTTCAGGAGGCAGCGGAGAGTACGTATGGCGTACTTTTTTGATCCAGGCTTGGAATGCGGCATGATTGATGCCTGCTTCGGGCCCGCAAGTGTCAGTTGCTGAACGTTCTGGTCGAATGAACGATGGAATGTCACGACTTGAGGTATAAATTTCTTGAGCGCCGCAAACATAAGCAACTTTCGCGGCGCCAATAATTGCTTCGATCATATTTTTTCTATCGAAGAGAGAGGGCGTGTAGGATATTCTACATCTGCCGTCGACGGGGTCGGGGTAAACTCTCCCACCGTATCGTTCACGGGTTACAGTGATGAACCCAGCCATGTTGCGAAGTTTTGAAACAAAGCGCTTGTACTCAAGGCCATTGGTCCAAGGGAACACTGGGAGGAAAAACGAGGGCACTGTTGTTACCGTTTCGATTTTTGCTCCGTGCCCGCGACCATCCAAATCCTCGAACTCGTTTATCACAGCGGTGAGAATAGCCCCTTCCCATGGTTTCATTTCTTCTCCAAATACGGCAGATAGGAGAACAACTTCACATATTGAATAGGCGTTAGCGTTCATATGAAAATTCAGCTTGCCGCTTAGAACACCATATGGGGGAGTGAGCTCACCTGGATGTAAGTACAAGTTACGCCCAATTTGTGGATTTTTCAAGCCACTCCTGAGCAGCAACAGGGGGCTCTGCAAAGAACCGCATGCCACAATGACTTTTTTGGCCTTGATTACCACCTTGCGTGTAATGACAGGCTTTCCACTAATGCCTCGATTGAGGTCCCTTGAAGTCCAAGTTCCTTCAATTGCATGAGCAAGACAGTTTCCAGCATTACCCTCTTTAAACAAGATCCGCTCAGCGTGGAATCCTTCAATAAATTGGGCACCTGCGCGGGCAGCGTCGGCCAGAAAGGTCACCTGGGGACCCTTCTTGCCACAAGATCCACAGCCCAGGGTGCAGTGCCCACAATTATGTTCCTGGTTACCCGTATTCTGAGGGACAGTCTTAGCAGCGTAACCCAGCTTCGGTGCACCCTCAAGTAGTAAATGGTTCGCATGATTATGCTTAATTCGATCCTCTGTATTAACCCCCATACGGTCACAGACACGA